AAGTATTATATCTTTTAATAATTAAGTAATATATATTAGGCTTATTAATATAAAGATACTTTATTAATAGCTAATAAGCTAAGTTTTATAAAAGTGCTAATAAGTATATCTTATATATTAAAGGTAGTTATTATTTAAGAATATAGTTATAAAGTAATTCCTAAAGTTATTAGTAATTTTAAGAATTACTAGTATTTTTAGTTAGATATTAGTAATAAGTTCTTAGCAGTTACTTATAGAATCCTTTAGTATATAGTAACTACTTATAATTAGAAGCAAAATGTAGGGTATATATAACGTAACTGCTAGGATTATAACAATTAGGGTTATTAAGAAATATAACTTAGCCAGTCCTCTAATTAATATATAGGTTTTATTATTTAAGCTAGTTTATTTTAAGTAAGATATTTATTTCCTTTCCTAAAAGAATAATATTAAAACTTATTTCTTAATTCCTTTCTTTAATAAGAACTTTAAGGAAATAATTTCTTAATTTATTATATTATTATTATAATTAAAATATTACTTATTTATATTAATAAGTTAATATAATAGTTATTTCTTCCTTTATAATATTCTTAACTTTATAATTATTTTTAAATTAATAAAACTTTTCTTTATTTTATTATTAATTTATATATTTAGCTATCTTCCCTTAATTTAAGCTTATAGTATTAAGTAGTTTAGTTTATTATCTTATATAGCTCCTAAAGTACTTATTAATTTAAGTCTTTTTATTTTTATTTATTACTTTTTTATAGCTTTATTATTATAAAAAGTATATTACTTTTCTTAAATTTATTTAATAAAGTAATTTATATTTTTTATTATTATAATTAACTTCCTTATAGTAGTCTTTAATATATTCTTCTTTCTCTATAAAGTTATTTATAAATTCTCTATTATATACATACTATTAAAAATATTCTTCTAGCTTTATATCTTATTTATTTAATATTATTTTTTACCTAAATTATTTATTTTCCTTATTTTAAATTCTAATATTATTACCTTCCTTATTTTAAAGGTACTTTCCTAGTTATTTATATATATTTTATATAAATTTCCTTTTTTTTTATAATTATAATTTCTAAGGTTAATAAGCTTAATTCTTATTTCTTTATTTTTAAATCCTTTTAAGGCTAGGTTTTTAAATTCTACTTTTACTTTTATAATTCCTTATATTATTTATTAATTCCTTAGCAGAGGTTCTTATTTTTCTAAATTTTGCAATAATATAATATATAAAATTATAATTCTATTACTTTAAGATTCTTATATTAATAATATATTAAATACCCTTCTATTTCTGTTTTCTAATAAGGGTTATTATTAGGTATGCCAGGAATTATAATAAAGAAGTAATTATTATCTTTCTTATCTTATTCATATACCTTATACTAATAGTATTTATATAATAGCTATAATAATTTATTATATTTTAAGAGTATTATTAATAATATATATAAATCTTATCTCCTACTTTATACTCCTTTTTAACTACTTTCTCTTTTTCTTATATAGTTATTTAAATTAAAATAGTATTAATTACTTTAAATACTTTAAGTTATCTCCCTATATTAGAAGAACCTCCCCTTTTTTCTCTTATTATATTAAGTATCTCAGTCTATTTTATCCTTTCTTATTTTTTCTTTTTCTTTCTTTTAAACTAATAGGTATAATCTTTTTCTTTTTCCTATTACCTATTTACTAAGTTCTTTTACTATTCCCTTTAATATTTATTTATTTTTATTTTATATAATATTAGAATTTCAGATATATTTCTTACTTTAATATTTTCTTTTATTAGAAATTCTTTTTATAATTCTTAAATTAAACTATTTAAATATAAATATTAGCTATATTTTAATTTAATGCCTTTATATAAAGCTATTATATTATATAGGCTTTATATTATTCTTAGTATTTAAGTTTATATAATAATTTAAGGATTTTATTTATTAATTACTCCTAGTATTTACTTACCTTAATTAAGGTCTTTAGGTCTTTTTAGCTAAAGATATTTATTAGTAATATATTTAAACTAGTTATAATTATAATTAAGAGAGAAGTAATGCCATAGACACACATAAAGTAACATAATAATAGTGTTTTTCTTTTTTAACATAAACATAATATAAGGCGTTATACACTACGCTAAAAAAAAACAAAAACACAATAACCTTAATATCAAGTCAACAGATCATACAGCTGCTGCCTTGAACCTTAAGATCCAACTGAACAAGTTGCCTCAATCCACAAGCATATAGTGGACCGAGACTGGCTCGGCCGGTTAGTAATCAATTGGATCAGGTCACAAGACAAAGCAGTGATGATAAACACAGTAAAATAACACTTAAGATAATTATAATATTTAACTTTAAATATATCTTAAGGTTTTTAATAATTATTATTACTTTATTAGGCTATTCTTAATACTATTAGTCCTGCTTTTATTTTATATAATATATTATTATTTCTTTTATACCTTTAATTAGTATTTTATTATTTATTATTATTTTACTATAAGTTATATAACCCTCTATATTTCTCTACTTACTTCTTATATTATTATTTATATTACTAGTTATTAATTTTAATTATAATAGCAGCAAGGTTATTTAAGTTAGTAAGTTTAGGTCTAATATTAATTATAATATTTTTAATTTCTGCCTTTAATCCTAGGTATACTTAGGCTATATATATTTCTTTATTCTAATTAAGTTAAGATACTTAATAGTAATATTTAATAAGGTATATAACTATAAATCCTCTTTATTTAAGCTATTAGATTTTTATTTTAGCTATTCTTTTCTTATTTACTATTTTATATATATATTATAGTTCTATTTTAAATTATATATAGCTAAAATAAGTATAATTAGTATTTACCTTTTATTTCTTATATAAGTTATTAATATAGTTATATATAATAAGTTTAAACTATTTAAATACCTTATTTTTAAAAAGTCTTATTATATATTATACTTTAAGCTTATTAATAATAAACTAAGTTAAGTAATATATTTAATAACCTTATAAATTAATAAAGAATCTTTATAATTTATTAAAATTACTATTATAAGGGTCTAGTTAATAAGGCTTAAGGACTTCTTTAAAATCTTTTTTAATTATAATAAGTATTATAATATATTTAATATATTCTTAATATATCTTATAACTATTTTTAGCATCTTTATTAAGGGGTTTAGCTAGATTAGTAAGTTTAGTTACTTTCTTTTTTAAGGCTTTAATTTTATTTTTTATAATCTTAAAATTAAGTTTAACTTCTTTTAGCAAGGTATTATACTAGCCTCCTAAATACCTAAGCCTTTTCTTAAGTTTCTTAACTTTATCTTTATAAGTACTTAAATAAGCTAAAATAACTTCTTCTTTATCTTTATTAATATCTATAAGGATATTCCTAATATCCTAAGGTATTATAAATAAAATAAGTTATTAGCTATAACTAAAGGTAAAAGCTTAGCTTAAGGTAATAAGTATTATTATATTAATATTACTTAATATTATATAATATAATTTAAATAGAAACTATTAATATATAATAATTAGGTTTTTTAAATAAATAAACTAATTTATATTAAGTTTATATTTATATATTATATAAGATATAATATTAAGTAATATAAAGTATTATATCTTTTAATAATTAAGTAATATATATTAAGCTTATTAATATAAAAATACTTACTAATAATTAATAAGTAAAGTTTTATAAAAGTATTAATAAATATAATTTATATACTAAAGGTAGCCTTATAGCTTAATAAAGAATAAAAGTAATTTAATAATTAAATCTTTAAGGAATATTAATAATTTATAGTAATTTAATCTTAAAGTATTATAATTTAAATAATTTAATAGAAAAGGATTACTTAGAAAAAGAAGTAATCCTTTTATAATTAGTAGAAATTATAAGGACTATATAATATAATTATATAGGTTATAATATTATTAAAAAAGACTTAATTAAGGGATTTAAAGCCTTAAAGAAGTTAAAATTAAATATAATAAATAAAAATATAAAAATAAAAAAGCTAAATATAAATTAATAGTTATTATTTAAAAGTTAATAAAAAAACTTAAATCTTAATAATAAACCTAATAAAAAGAGTTATTATTTAAAAAGAAATATTATATATTAAGTAATTATTATAATACTTAAAAGAAAAAGAAGAAAAAAGATCTTAAATTAAAAAGAGGTTATATTTTATAAAATATATACTTAATAATAAATTATATTATTATATACTTAAATTATTATAATTTATTAATATTACTATTACTTAATAATATTATTATAAATTATTAATATAATATAAAACCTTAAGGTAAAAAGTTAATTAAAAAAACTTATAATTAAAATAATAACCTATAAATAATTAAATTAATAAAATATAAATTAATTAAAATTATAAAACCTTAAATAAAGTTACTTTTCTTAAAAAGAAATATAAAATCTTAATTTATAAAGGGAAAAGACTAAATTAATAATAGCCTTAAAATAATAAAATCTTATTATTTTAAGAGGGTATATTAAACTATTAGGTATTAATTAATAAGGTGTTTTAATTAAAAGAGCTATTTTTCTTAAAATAAAAAAGTTATATAATATTTTACCCCTTTTTTAGAAATTAGCTAGGCTATACTAAAAAGGCCCTAAATAGACAGTTTAATAAATCAAGCAACAGTTTAATATAACCTATAAAATCACCAAGTAATTCTCATAATTACCTAGTAACTACCTTAAGTATATAAACTATACTTATTAGCACTTTTATAAAACTTAGCTTACTAGCTATTAATATAACTTCTTTATATTAATTAAGCTTAATATATATTAAATTTATTATTAAGAAATATAATACTTTAATAATACTTAGTATATACCTTATATAATCTATTAATAATAAACCTAGCATAGCTTAGTTTACTATAATTAGAACCTAACTATTATAACCGAGGTTATAATATAGGATGTTAAGGCGAATGCCGATGTTGGCCGCATCCTCTAGGCTTGAAACACGATAAGGCCAAGCCGCTAAGGAAGGGGAGGCTCTACAGATAGGAGAGATTTCCAGAATAGGAATTTGTTTAATTGTGACCTGTTCGGTACAAGAAATGTTGCTTGCCCTCTAAGGAGACACTTTGAAGAGGTACCTCTGAGTTCATGAAGTCTGCCGCTTTCCAAGCCAGCACTAGCTGCTTCTGTCCAGTGTTCATATTCCCTGCTCAAGAAGCCCTTCTTGGGCGCGAAACCTTCTGGAATCACATGCAAGCAGAACATGATCGTAAATGTTGCGAGCACGAGACACGAAATACCCACCCTGCCATCCTACAAAGGCCCTGTTATGACTCACACTCTTACCATTTCCATGGGCATGGTGGGGCTGGTTCATATCCCGAAACGGCTATTGTCGCCTCGCTGCAATTACGGCAAACCCGAGACTGCTCGTCCCATGGGCTCCTGAGGGATAAAATGGCATCGCCATGTAACTGGGCATAGCATTGAGTTTGCGATGCGAGCATTTACCTGAGCAGAACCATACAGAGCCGCATACGCCATGGCTGACCCCGGGCCAAAGATCAGGGTCAAGACGACGATGCCGACCCTTCCGCTTGCGACGCCGCGGGCCAGCATCAAGACGGAGCGGCTGGTGCTGCGGCCGCTGTCGCATGAGGACCTGGCCGACTACCACGCTCTGCGCACGCAGCCCGAGGTGGTCGAGTATATGCCGACGGGGCGGGCGGACCGGGACCTGGATGAGACGCGGGCGGTGCTGGACCGCGTCGCCGGCCCGGGCCGTGAGGCCGACACCTTCGTCTGGGGCGTGCGGCTGGCGGCGACGGGCGACTTCATCGGCGCCGGCGGCGTGTACGGCGTCGACGCCCGGACCCGCTGGCCCTCGCTCGGCTACTACGTGCGCCGCGAGCACTGGGGCCGCGGCTACGCCTCCGAGGCCATGGCCGCCGTCGTGGCCGCCTGGTGGCGCCTGCCCCGGTCCCCGGGGGTGGAGATGGAGCTCGACCCCTCGTCGGTCGGGAGCGCCGTCGCCGCCGGCGAGGAAGTGCCCGAGCGCCTGTTCGCCTTCATCGCCTCCACCAACGCCGGCAGCATCGGCGTCATGAGGAAGCTCGGCTTCTGCAAGTTCAAGGACTGGGGTGTGCTGGATAGCCGCGCGGGCTATGAGGGTCAGATGGTCACCCTGGTTGGATTCCTACTCCAGCGGCCTGCTGAGTAGGATTTTTGAAACGCCGATTTCTTGATAGTAATTTGCAAATTTCTGATGAGTTAAATATATTAGACAGTCTCTTTGCTAGCACCAGAATTCTACAACTAAAACTCGACTTCGAAATGCCTTTAACTACAACCATGGAGCTAAACAAAACAAAATGTTGGCTGGCTATTAAACTAGTCGATCAGAGATAGGGTCCCATGATTTCTCGTGTCTTGTCCCAGATGATCTGGTCGCCTTCCTTCTTAAGCTGCGCCATCACCTCGGTCGGGTGGACACACCGCATCTTGCCGTTCACGCAGAAGAAGCCACCACCGGGGCCGTCCTTGGGGGCCCGGCGCTGGTGATGAGGTAGAGGCACCTCTTGGACGAGGCCTCGGGGCTCATGGCGCCGGCCAGCACGGCCAGGGGTTCCAGCGCAGACAGAGGATGGGGCCCCAGCGCTTGCCGCCCTGATTCTTGGTTATGATGCCTGTGCGGACGGTGCCTAGGTGGTTGTTGACGAGGACGACGCCGCGCCAGGGAGACGGTATTAAGCGTGGTCACGACCCAGGCCGCGCTAAATACGCCAAAGTTCTGCGGCCACTAAAGCGTTAAGTCATTAAGTAGAATAGCCACTAACTTATCCTCTGCGGCCAAGATACTAATAATATATAGGCTATATATAAACCTCTCTATAATAGTAGCTTATAGTAATAGTATTACTATTATAGTAAATATAGCCTTTATCTAATAGTTAAGTATTAAAGATGCCTTAAGGCCTTTAAAGGTTTTATTATATATATAAATATAAATTTAAACCTTAAAGGTAAAATTAATAAATTAGTTATATACTTATTAATTTAATACTTAAATAGCAAAAAGCTAATATAAAAAAATAAAAAGTTAAGGCTCTTTTTATAACTTATAATTATATACTAATTAGTAAATCTTACCTTTGACCCTGGCAAAGGGACGGGATATGTATCACGGACTAATGCTAGCTTCGTGAGTCCTTTGAGCTGGCTGAGATGGTGGCGAAGTTTGTCATGATCTACGAGCCACTGGTGTCGCCACCCAAAAAATTTTCCAGCACAGAGGCTCAGTTGCTCCAGAGAAGCAAGTTGTCCAATTATTCGTAGGGACTCTTCAGGGATTTGAGCGTTGGGTGCTCCTCCCCATACTAGGAATAAAGACGCGAGGTTGCTGAAGTCGAGGCTGCTGAGTGTCGGGATAATAAAACGATCGAGATATGCTGTATCCCCCAAGGCCAATTTGCTCTCGTGGATATACAGTCTGCGTATTCCTGTGTGCCGTGAGATGAACTTTGCAATGCGTTTACAAGCTGAAGCCTCTCGTGGCAGATGAGCAACAGTAAAGGCTCCAAGATCTCGTAAAGGCTCGCAATCCAAGGTCGAAGGATCATCTAATATCTTGACGGGTAAGTCAAGGGACTTGAGAGGCGCTGCGAGAAAAGATGAAATAGCAACGCTGTCGAGTTTGAGAAAGTTCAGCCGCAAGTATCTCAGGCGAGGAAATGATATGGCCGTCTCTCCGATCGAATCAGGAACGCCATCATGTCTGATAAGTTCCAAATAAGACCAAGACAGAGACTCAAGTGTTGGCGAGTAGAGGTGGAACAAGGTTGAGAAAAAGGTTGCAAGGTGATGCGTTGTAGTCTTGCCTTTCCCTTCAAGTTCATACCATTTATCCAACGCCATACTAACGTCGAGATTCAACGACCTAAGTGGCCAGGCCGTGGGTGTTAAAAGTGGTTTTAACGACCAGGCGTCGTCAATTGCCAGCTTGTCCAGCTCGATATGCCGCGCCGTGCACCGCGTTATCGTTTCGAAAAAGGTCTTATCCAGAGAATACCCATCTCCCCAGCTGAGAGTTTCAAGGTTCGGCAATGCTGAGATGGCCTCGACTGCAGCTGTTCGCACCACCACATACTTCTCACCCGCTTCCTTGTAGAGTATCTTTCGTTGTTCGATGGTGACTGATCCTGCGTCATCACCAAAAATTGACTCATAAAGCTCTCGATGAGAATTTGCAACATAGTCCGGACGAGATGCAAAACTCTGCGGATACAAGCACCAATACCGGGTTTGGATAACTGAGTCGACTTGTCCATCGCAAGCTGGGAAGCGAGTTGCTGTGCCGGGGGACTGTAATCGAAATGCGCCTCGGAGAATTGACAGTAGCGTGCAAGTTGCTGACATTCACTGTTGACCAGCGCAAGGGAGGCCAGCGATGTCTTGTCATCGCTTAACAGGTCGACGCCAGGTCGGCCGAACTTGCTCATCATCAAGCTGGATACGTCGCGGTCAATATCGAAAGACATTGTGACTAGTAATTGAGATGTTGTAGTGCAAAGCGTAAGGGTTGGGAGGTCCTGATGAAGAAGTTAGCGTAAGTGAACTCGTTTTTCGATTGACAGACCTATAATTAATTACCTGGAGTACAACCAATTAAAGTTGCCTACCCGGTAATAGTCTCATAAGGATCTTGATTTCTAAAGTTGGAACATCTCAGTGAGATATAAGAACAATATAAACAAGGAGTTAGGATCTGATTCTTATATAATTAATGTCTGCTTTTGGATTGAGGCCACCTGTTTACTTAGATCTTAAGGTTTGTGGCAGCAGCTCTATGATCTGTTGACTGTATATTAAAGTTGTCATGATTTTATGGCGTAGTGTACAACGCCTTATTTCATGCCATTGACTCATTAATAAAACACTCTTATTGTGTCACTTTATGTGTGGCTACGGCATTAATTCTCTCTTCATAAGTAATGTCTTGCTTAAATAGTTTAGATAGTTGCACTCTACTATGTGTTTATGTCGATTAGAGAGCTACATTATAATACCCCGCTTAAGAGATCATCAACTGGCCGCCAATTCATTGCCATTTGTTATCCTGTGGAATGAAATTATCCATATTATACTACCTGTACTCGTGTCCTTATTATCTGTGTTGGCAGCCTAAAATTTAACCTTATGGACAGCAGTCATCTACATAGTCTAATATTATCTATACTCACCTGAATTATAAATACCACCCTCTACTAAGATGATCTTGGTCAAACTTACGCAGTCTCAGTTTCTTTGTCTAGGGAAACTTCGGCAGATCTTGACACAATTAAAGAAGACGTGAATGGTCTTGAAATAAGCTCCTGTTTGCTGAGACAATTAGTGTAGCAGGTCTGAGTGTTGAACATGAATCCTGTCACTGGAGATAAGATAGTCGGCATATTGGTTGTGTCTGACAGCCAAGCCGGCTGCTTGGCCGTTAAGTGGATTGATGTCGGCTTGGCACCAGTGGGATGCATAAAAGTCAGGCTGAATGACCACAGAACAGGCTAAGCGAGATGAACCGTACCACATTGGCGCATCTGACACTGGCGTGCTGATGGATAAAAGTCGCATTGTTCCTGCATCCATCGTAAGCTCACCACATATTGTACATACGAGCTATGAACAAAAATGTTGGGCTTCAATCGAATAGTGCAGCTGCACATAGTCTTGTGCTGGCTTCTGACTCTATGCCTCGCAAAAGATGACGAAAACTATGACAACTCGACTAATTATAGGCCTCGCAACGTTACAGGCCTCGGTGACTTTTATCAATGGGTCGGATCGTGAGTTTTCCCGCGGCAACAAGGGAAGATGACTTGACTAACTGATATCCTAATAGTTACTATAACGCGACTGCAGAGGTCGAGCTGAAACCTGTCTTTGGAGACGTCTGGAATGAGACCCTGTTCGGTGCTAACTACACGGATAATCTATGTTCTGAGCTAAAGAACTCTACCCAAACCGTCAAATACGACGCCATTCTGAGTATCCTTGAGAAAGGCCGCTGGAACGCTGGAAGTAACTCTGTTATCTTCTGGCTAACGCTTATACCAAAATCCTCAGCGCCGTTTAATGTATCCTCCCTGGGTGCTGATTTTACATATACATCTCAATCTAGGGGACTTCAATTTCCCCTGTATTCTGTTTAGTGAGTCTAGTTTTGTGCTCTTCACTCCCAACTTGCTGACATTGAACTAGTCCAAGCCCAGGCGGATATTGGCGCCCCAAGGAAGGGAGGGGTCCTGATATTTTCAACTTTACGACTAGCCAGACTAAATCTGGAGCCTATAACCTCAGCGCAATACTTGAACGCAACATGCCGGAATCGTATTCGTCGAATCTAAACCTCAGCATGCCAGTATGCAACACTACTGAGCTCAGCGGCGACTACAGCGTCGGGGTGCAGGAGCTCCAATCTTGGGATACGGAGGGCTGGGATGACTTTCAATACCCTAATATCAGCGTTCAGTTCGACGATAAGACAGCGAACCTGACTATGGATGCTGTCTTCTCTGCGAGTCCATATGTGTGGCCTAACGTGAGTGAGTGGTCGGGGCCTACAATAGGCAGCCCCGGTGCCACTGGCTTCATACAAATTCGCGTCTCTGGGGTTCTGGATACATACCACTCGGATTTACTCAGCCTCAATGACACGAAACCTGTGTGGTTGCGTACTGTGGGCTTTGGGAACGATTCATCGAACATTGGATATGACAGCGGGACTACTAAGCTGTCGTCTGAGTGTACTGTTGCTATCATAGCCATTACCATTTGTATCACCATGTTCTTATAAAAGGCTACAAGTCCAATAGCTAGCTGGTTGGTTAATATTGAAATCATTCTATGTTGTCCAAAGCTCTAGGTCCTGAATTTCATGCTATGTCATAGTCACCCGGCAGCGGTCGATTAGAGTCGACCATGGCTTCATCTGTGAAGTCGAAGGTCGTGGAGAACTTGAATGGGCCACTGAAATCTGATATCAAACGAATGTGTTAGCCGTGAGCTTTGCTATTATTGGCACGATCTTACCCATGTAGAACGGCTCAGAAGATTTATCTGCAGACTCATTGGATGAGAACCGAGGAGGCTTAGGTATGGTAGCGCTTGGCTGATTTGATTGGAAATTTCTCAGCGAGTAATGCGAATGAGTAGTTGTTGAGGTGGGCTTCAAACTCGGTTCTCCAGTTCCATCTTTGAGGATTGAGGATGGTGTTGGAGGTGCTTGCGAACGCTTGGACATCAGCTGAACGACCGGTTCGCAGAAAACACCGGGACACTCTTCTTGAAGTCGTTTTTGGAGTGAGTTTGGAACCTTGACGTTGGCCTCTTCAAGCCGCTCCAGCAAGGTCTTAATGATATTCTCCAAGCTGCCAATTCTCTTCTTGTGTTTCTCCTCCAGCTGAGCATTTCTCTCGTTCGCAGCCTCCAAGTCGGTTTCTAAAGATATTCTTTTTTAGTCCCTCTCCTCTATATCTCGCATCAGAGCATCGCGTATGTCAGCACCTCTGGGTCGGAACTGCTGTTTACATGGTCGTAGTGCTGTGTTATGCTCATATCCGACACCGGTGTAGAAGCCGGGATCGGGCGAGTTCTCCCCTGGGTTGATAAGACCCCAAATAAAAGACCATCTGGTATCGTTGGGGAGTGATTGCCACGACGGACAGTTTTCAGTTCGGCGGTGATGCGGTATTTCATCGTTTGGATTGCCAGAACAAGTGGTACCAATACACCGAGGTTCGCAAGTTTCTGATTTATGTCGCTTCCGCACATTATCGGGCTTCCTTTCGTCCTCTGGGACATGGACCTGCGTACAGCAATCTGTATATATGACGATACGGTGCTTAGATCGAAGACATCTTAAAAGCTCCGATATTGTCGTATTAGTACCCTGGCACTTTTGTGGTTGGTGCACAGGACAAGGCATCTGTATGCGACCTTGAAAAGACGCCATGGCCTCTGGATTGGATGGGTTCTTCTCTTGACGAAACTCCTTCCGCGAAGGCTCATCGCCATCGTCTTCTTGAGACGACCCAGCTCTTGTCGGTTGGGAACGCTTGGAGTTTCTCTCGAAACCAGAAGCACTAGTAGTCGTCCCGCTCTTGGGAGAGGTATCGGTCCCAGATCCATCAGTAAGAGGTGTCGATGAGTATGTGGTCTGCATAGGACTTCCCTCGGCTAACCAAGGCTCATCGAAACTGGACTCGCAGTCCTGGTGGGACAGAATTCGGAATAGCTCCATTATGAGAGCTCTTGATCTCGTCAAGCTCTCTCCTAGTACAAAGTCTCGAGGTATAGTCTCAAGACTGCAGGAACTAGATCCAGGACTATGAACTGAAAGCGATGGAGATGGTGGACTATGAATTGAAAGCGATGGAGATAGGGCAAAAGCTGCGTCCTTTGTCGAGATGATCCACTCTATCATGTCCTTCTTCTCTCCAAGGTGTTTCAAGTTACCCTCAGAAAGTTCATCTGTACTCTGTCCCTGCTTGGTATGAGTACTTGGGATGTTTGTAAGGGGTGAAGAAGAGCACGTCCTGACGCAGCTCAATTTATCATCAGTGTCCGGCCTGGTAACTATTTGGTCTTCTGAATTGACGGCTAGAGACTGATTAGGTGCATCAAGTACTGATTCTCCAACGCCGACCGGAATACCTGTTGCAGCTGGTTTGCCTTGTTTCGTTTCTCGAACGCTGCAAGGGTCAGAGTGCATGGTCGATAGGGGGACATAGCGGCTTGAATCCCAGTTCTGGGTGGCTCTCCCGAGCCCAGTGTAGGTAGTTGACACACGCTTGACAAGACGCATGTCTGCGACTTCACGAAATCGTAATGGTTCGTGCCGTCTGGTGGGTAGCTGTAGTGCTGGGACTAAAGGCGGTTCTGCCCTGGTTGAATAGCCTCGCAAGGAACTGCTTAACCGATGGCCCGAATTAATTGAAAGTGGGGTTTCCCAAGGACCGCAATGTCGTTGTGACGAATTGGAGTAGTCCAGTTGGTGTAATTGCATGTTCATGTCTGATCTTGCAGAAGGATACGAGCTCGAAAAAGTTCTGTCGTCAAAGCCGATCGAAATCGCCAGAGATCCAAAGGGGTCCCGCATGTGCGGTGAACTTCCGTATCCGCTATCTCTATCTGAGGGCGAGCGTGAAATTACGGTTTCACAACTCTTCGGCGGCTCTAGCACGGCTGGGGTTGAAGAGAAGCATGCTTCGCTGGGCGGCTGGGCTTTGCCGGCCGTGAGAGGACCTGAAGATTCCCTACAAATATCAGTGAGTTGGCAAAGCTAACCTCTCATCTCGATTGAAGAAAGAATGAAAAGAAACATGTAAGATTCAGACCAGCATACCAGATAGGTGTAAAAGACGAGGATCGTCTGATAAAGGCATTGGGATTGCATGTGAATCGCTCATCTTGTAGAGGTGCCCGAATGTCCCTCATAGTTGTTGCTTCAAAGATGCGGCCTATCTCGTTATGAGTGGTAGAAGAGTAGAATGAAGATTGGGAGTTGATTTGACTTGGAGGAAGGGCGGATAAGCACTAAGCAGTAGGTCTGTGCCAAGATCTAAGTTTATGTACTCTGACGATGCTTACAGCTATCCAACGATAAGATAAATGGCGGTATCAGTTATCAAACCAATTAGAACTACGGAATGACTGATTTGTGAGCTAGCTTTACCGTATTCAGAACTTTCATGCACAGTGACTCTACCTGACTTTGCAATATGCTCAGCCTCAAATACATAACAATTTGTCAGAGCAAAACAATTTGTTTGGCCCCCAATCAAACCCGCAGCATATCACCAGCCCAGAGCAAATCCCACCATCTAAGCTAGAACCCAGGTCTAATGGTCCCAAATTGCTTACCGTTGAACAATTTGGGGGACAGCATTCATCTGTTTTGCGGCTGACTTGTGAATAACAGTTTGTAGGAGAGGCTTTTGTCAGTATTGGTGGGTGGGCGATGACAAAATGTTTGCAGGTTACAGGCCGTATGAAGGAGAAGCCTTTGATATTATAGTTACCAAGCGGCCGAAGATAAAAAGGTCACGATGCATACTACACGGGGGAGGGAATAGTTTAGCAGCTGCGCGTTCAGTTCTTTGCCGACATGGCTGTTGACGCAAACAACGCAAACTTTTTACGACTGATACCTCCACTTAACGACGCTGGACCAGTGGCTGAATCTGCCGAACAACGCCATTTGATGCCAATTCCAGGAATCTGGGTTGGTTTTATTAAACGAGGGCGCAGCTTCCTCGATACTACACCCCAAATGCCAGATACCGAGCAACAGATAAAAGCGCTGCAAGAGTATCACCAACAGAAATTCACTCCCTTTGAGCGATTCATTCGAAAGTGGATTTTCTGTCAACATCCCATCGTGCTTATAGGAGAACTTTATGGGGTTAATCAATCTCGTCGACCCTATGTGTTCAGAAGCGTGCTAACAAGTAGCACCAGGATCAATCCAACGACTTGGAAGGACAATACTTTCCACGAGAAGTTCAATTTGAAAGACTTCAAAAATCTCAGGTGCTTACCAAGGGCTTCTTGCGTCCGCAGTCTCTTCGTGAGAACATGAGGTTTTTCCATCAACGCAGCTACTTTAATGTTCGCTCATTGAACCACTTGAATGTGCGGAAGGTTCTTTGCGTTGGTTATGAAGTCAAAAGGGCCAATTTGATCGGGCCCCTGTTGGTCTCCTTATGTTTTTCCTTTGTTACAGCGGCTGTTGCAGCTGTGGTGACGCAGAGTATATCTACTGGAGTTGGAATTGGTGGTACTGTCGAGGCCACCCTTGTTTTAGTGTGGTCATATACTATGTGGTATCTTAAGTAGAAGATTGAATTATGGTTTCCTCAATTTATAAGCCGTGGATGATGGAACGAAGTTACATATGCTCATGTCAATTTGAACTGTCTTGTCTTTAGCCTTGAACAATGAACTCATATGGTTAAACTTCCATTTAATAAAAACCAATCAATCTCTCCAGAACTAAGGTTTGAATATATCTGGCTTCTCTGTAGGAGGTCCGCCCCAAGCCAGTTAAGGATCGCTGGTCGATTGCACTGTAAAGTGAGATCCCAACATGAAGGAATAGCAGCTGAAAAGCTGATCTTCGATCTAGTGCTATAATTGGCCTAAGTCTAGAATTAAAGTGGATCATAACGAGGCCTTAAGCCAATGAATAATGTTCGATCGGCAGGGGAGCGTCTTAGTCATATCCCAAAATGGAAAGCAGCACGTCGAGGCTCGGATTCGCATTTATTTGACGGGATTAGTGTCAGAAACAGTAAACATAAGGTGAAGTCGACTTCGCTGACTTTCGTTATTGACCATGGAATATGCGGTATATAACACGCAAAGTGCCCAGAAGATAGTTCGGACTAAAAGTAATTAAGCTTCTACGTTCAATTTCATCTTCACTTACTACCAGTCGTTATTTGACAATGGAACTCTCCAACAAAGCCGCATACCTTCTCAGCCCGAACAGTCCCCTGATCGAGGTCAAACCTGCACCTGTCCCACAGCCTGGACCAAATGAACTACTCATCCAAACACAAGCCGTTGCTATCAACCCAGTTGACGCTGTCAAACAGTCCATGGGCAACATGATGTTTGAGTGGCTCACCTATCCCCTTATCCTCGGTTACGACGTAGCCGGTCAAGTCGTCAAAACTGGCGTGGACGTTACTCGATTCAAAGAGGGAGACAGAATCGTGGGAGTGGCAGCAGGTATGGATAAGCGCGGAAGAAGACCTGATGAAGGCGCTTTCCAGCAGCTTGTCGTAATCAGAGAGCATTTGGCTATAAAAGTGCCTGATGGTATGAAGAGCGCTGATGCCAGCGTCTTATCTCTCACTGCGGTTACCGCTGCGTGCACGCTGTTTCAGGAGGATCAACTAGGTCTTCAAATGCCGCAGATCAAGGCGCACCGTGAGCCTACTGGGGAGACAGTCCTGGTTTGGGGGGCCAGCACGAGTGTGGGGAAGAACGCCGTACAACTTGCTGTCGCGGCTGGCTACGATGTTATTGCTACGGCGTCACCCAAGAATTGGGAAGCCGTGCGTGGTCTCGGTGCATCTGCAGTATTCGACTATCGCAGCTCGTCAGTCATAGACGATGTGGTGACAAGTCTGAAGGACAAGAAGTGCGCAGGTGCCGTAGCCATCGGACAAGGTTCCCTGGCAAAGTGTGTCGACATTATCAATAGGATCCCTGGTGCTGCGAAGAATGTCGCACAAGTCACGATTGATATGCCGGCGTCGCCGCCAACAAGCAAGTTATCTATGATTCCATTCGTCGTACAGTACCTCTGGTTATCTTCAACAAACAGACTCAAGGTCTTGAGCAGCGGGGTTCGAAGCAAGTTTGTATTCGGTACAGATATCATCGAGTGGGATATTGATGGGAAGATGTCGCAGTATCTCAGCGAGGCATTAGATGTTGGGGAGTATGTTCTGCCTTCCGAGGCTTGCGTCATCGGAACAGGTTTGGGGATGATTTCCCAGGGACTGGATATGGTGCGAAACGAGAAGTCTGGAAAGAAGATTGTAGTTGTGTTGGAGTGAGGAAGCTTTGTTTCTCCCATATATCAACTGTTTAGAATGTTCTTGCGTATAATCCGAAAAATATCAATCTCAACTCGCATGAGTACATGTAATCAGCTAGTTGAGATCCTCTCGCCGCCGTTGTTCTCATCGAATAGCACAGAGAAGCAAGTGGTCGCAAGTGAATCAATTCCGATTTGGGAGAGAAAGTCGGAGTACTCGGGGAAAGGAAACTCAAAGTACAACCTCAACCTAGAGGCAAAGTCTAAACCACATTGTAGACCATATACATTAAACTTATACATTAAACTTAATCTACCTTTAGCGCGTCGTGTTAAATTTTCGTAAAACAAGAACAAGACAAGTAAACAAGACAAGAGAAAAGCCACCAGCGATGTCCGCCCAATCCCTTCTTATCCATGGACTTTCCATGGGAGTACAGAGTACATGCCAAGACGACGCTCAAGTTTCAGGTACATAGCTTGTCTAGAAAGACGATTGGCTGGGATTAAGAATTCAGGGTCCCTGTCTCATGAGAAACCTCCATAGGCGCCCACTCGGCAAATGGGAATTAATACTACATTCTGAATGGTCACAATATCTGCACCTTATGGATCTACCGAGGCTAAAGATGATTCTCAATGACGAATTTTACGACAAAGAAATGATCTGCACTGAACCGCCCTGACATTGCAGTCGTTTAGGTGGATCAATTGACCACGCAAGACCATTTATTATGCTCAACACTCGTTCGCAAGATAGCCCGAGAGCCCGACGACCGGATTTCGGGTTTCGGTGCCTTCCGTGGTAGCAGTGTAGACAAGCTTATGAATTCGGAAATGATATAAGACTTCAAAGCGAGCTCCCAGTTAGCTACCAATCCAACATTGTGTCAACTTTATCACTTCATCTCCACCCACTGCTCAATCTACAATATGAAGAAAACATCCGAACGGACAGTCATAATTGCGGGAGGAGGTATATCCGGCCTTTCCCTCGCCAATATGCTGGAAAAAGCTGGCATACGCTACATCTTGCTGGAATCGTACGACAAAATCGCTCCCCAGGTTGGTGCAAGCATCGGTCTTCACTCAAACGGACTTCGAATCCTTGATCAGCTGGATTGCGCCGAGGATCTTATGTCATTAGTCGATATTCCACTCAACAATAGTTACATACGATATCCCGATGGTTTAGTGATCAGACACCATAGCGGTGTCCAGGATCAATTGATTGAGAGGTAAGCCAGAGAAAAGTCTCCAGAAAGGTACGCTAATGGCTTCCTCCCCAGACATGGCTATCCTACCATCTTCATCGACAGGCAGATGCTGTTACAGGCTTTGTATGATAAGCTCGAATCAAAAGCCTCAGTACATCCTGCTCAAAAAGTGGTTTCAGTTCTGGAGATAAACGACGGGATCCAAGTTACAACAGATAAAGGCAAAGTTTTTGAAGGAGACATTCTGGTTGGGGCCGATGGTATCTATAGCACCGTTCGGGAGGAAATGTGGCGCATTGCATCACCTGGATACTTTCCTGCTGACGAGTGGTCAAGCGTACCATGCTATTACAAGTGCATATTTGGCATTTCACGCCCCATCGAGGAACTTGAGGAAGGTGGCCACTATGTCTACAACGATGGCTTTTCCTATCTCGTTCTGGTCGGCCCTGGAGGGAGGTTATACTGGTTTCTTTTCGTCAAATTGCCCGTTCCTCTATATGGTCAAGATATCCCGAGGTACACGAAGCTTGATGAGGAGAAGCTGGCTCTACAACATGCATCCGATCACGTCACTCCGGAGGTTACCTTTGGTCGGCTATATGAAGCTAGAACTAGCTCCACGCTGACTCCACTCCATGAATACGTATTCGAAAGGTGGCATTACAAACGCATCATCACTATTGGCGATGCAGCTCACAAGGTATTAGGTCTCTACCAATATCTATCTCCTAGTACTAATCGAGCGCGCATAGTTTGAACCTTTGACTGGTAATGGAGGTAATTCTGCCTTTGAGACTGCCGCATCACTTGTGAACCACTTAACTTCAGACGTGTGTTCAGACTGGAGCACTTCGGAGATCGAAACCGCCTTCGCCGCTGTACAAGAGGAGCGTTTCCAGAGAGTGCAGTGGCTCGTCAACGATGCCCACAAGACCCAGCAAATGCAAGCTATGGCAACACCTTTCCTAGCAACTATTGGTCCTATCTTGGCTCGTCTTTTAAGCACACAAACGGTACTCCAAATAGGTGGTTGTAAAGCCGTCGGTGCAACACGAATCAACAGCATTCCTGTACCTCAGCGAGAACGCACTATCCCTTTCAACGATGAGCTACCTTCCCGTCCTCTTTCTTGGAGCTGGCTTCCCGTAGGTCTAGGGGTACTGAGTCAGGCAGCGTTATTCAGGCTCGCGACTCGGATCCTTGGTCCCCTGGAGATTCCAACCACTTTTGGCGGCGAGCCTCTGGTGAGGTATTATACGGGGTTCAGAATCCCGGATAAGATCTTGGGACACCTGGTTGCTGTTTTTGGAGTCCCCCTTGCGTCGAATAACATGGCGGCGAACCTGCAGTGGATTTCTTTTACGCCATTGTTGTTGTCGACCACCCTTGACTGGACCTTGGAGAGCTACCGTGTCGGTTCTAAAGGACTCCTTACTTCGTTGTAAGTCGTGCAGAGTACAGGCAGGTATTCACATTTAACAGCTAACATAATTGTGATTTAGTTCATCGATCTTCAGCACCATTTACCAAGTGAAGGCGGTTGGACGCATTGCGCCTTTGTATCATTTGATTTCTGCATGCGAGCATATTCTAGGAGGCTCTATCAGTCCAATTACCGACCGTTCCATTGACAAGGAAGTCGTCGAATCGTTTGTGCCCGGTATCACCCTGGGATATGTCATACCTACTGCCCTGATGCTGTGGCCTTTCAAGAACAAGGCCACTTGGCAGAGGTTTACTGCCTTTTGGCAGCCATTCCCCGTCTACGTCGGCCTTACTACTATGTGTCTTTCGGCTGTTCTACGCAAACAGCGGGCCAGCAACACGCCTCAGCCCAGAACCTCGAAAAAGAGTAGAGGGTCCAGGAAGCGAAAGGCGGAAACCCACTCACTATTGAGATCTGTTTACGTGGTGGGAACCGCAGCTACAGCACTTGTCCATCTCTATACCCTCTATCGCACAGCTTCAAGTTCGAATCTCAGCTTTTCCGGTGTTTTCGGCAGCATTAGATATTTAGTGTCTGGTGCGTATCCGTCTGATCCGGCAGACAAGATCCATGTATTTTTACAGCGAGACATGTTCTTGAATGCCGCTTCCGTTCTTGCAAATAGCATCTACCGAACTCTAGATCTGCGACGCTTAGGGTACATCACTAGCAATGAAGCTTTGGGGGCTTCATTAGCTGTGTTGGTTGCACAACCGGTGCTTGGACCAGCTGCAGCTCATATTGGGTTTCTCGGGTGGAGAGAGGAGGTGTTTATGAGGATCGATAGACGGATTGGTGCCTGTAACTAAAGCGAGGTGTTTATTGTGCGTATAAGAGCCAGGATTATAAAGTTCGCAGTATATAAAATTCATCCAAAGAATGGCAGCAGAAGCAGTATTGTTAGTATGGCGCTCATAGAAGATATATTTCTGCAATGCCACAAACGGCGAGAAGACTTATTCTTGAATCAAGGGGCACAGATAAACTAAGTAAAGAGCGTGCTAACTTTACCCTTAATTTTCCTAAGTTTACGTAAGTATTCTCATCACTTGAAATTATGGTCTTGATTTTTCTGACGTCGCTTAGCTGCAATGACTTTCTTTCTTCATCTATCATGTAATGTGTCGGACGGGTTCTTATTCACTCTAAAACTGCCTATTTAATCCTTCAATGACTCTATGCCCTCTTATCCTTATGCGCTGATCAAGTAGTGAAGGGGTTAAATTCAACACCAAGACGGTCAGCTTCAGCCTTCATCTTCTTGTTCTTCCTGGTCAAGTGCCACTTAATGATAGATGCAAGGGTAATACCAAGACCAGCAAAGACGATCTGCAAGATCATTGCCATAGTGTACCGAGGTTGATCTCTGTCGGGGAAGAAATAGGGTGAGATGACATTGCCGAGATGACCAAAGATGTTGACGATAGCACCACCAGCAGCTCGCTTCTCGGGAGTCTGACCAAGGGTCGAGACAGCCCAGGTGTACTGCAGAGTGTTGGCAGAGAAACAACCAGCAGCGTAGAGGAAGGTCATGGCGTATCGGACTGCAGCGTTGCCAGTAGCAACGGTGACAATGAAACCGATGACCGAGAAGGAGAGGGGGATGATGATGTGAAGACCTCGATCCTTTCTGCGATCAGAGTCCCATGACACGTAGAAAGTGCAGAGAGTTCCGAAGACATAGGGAGGGGCAGTCATGAGAAGTGAGGTAACGCTTTGACCGAAGCCTGTTAATCGTTAGATGCTGTCAAGTGATAAATGAAGAATGTAACGTACCAAGACCTCTGACAATGGTGGGGAAGAAGTTGTTGAAGCCATAAGACGAAGTGATGAAGATGTTCATAAACAAGAACATATAAAGCTTGAGATCGGTAACAGCAAGCTTAAGTCCATGCATGACAGTAGACTTCTCAGAGAACTCAACTCTATCATCGAGAATTCGCGCAGCAGCAAGCTTACGCATATCCTCGGTCATGTACCTTGTAGCGCCACCGGTAGGAGAGTCAGGGTAGTTAGGCAGCACGAAAAAGGCAGTGATAGCGAAAAATGCACTGGCAGCACCTTCAATGATGAAGAGCCACTTCCAGCCAGCGAGACCCATTGGGCCGTCGAGACCGGCAAAGACGCCAGCAGCGATGAGGCCGGAGAAGGCTTGGGCTAGGACAAGACCGGAGTATAGGAGGGCGACGCGGAGGGCAAATTCTCGACGGGTGTACCAGCAGGACATGAGGAAGACGGCCTAGATAATGTCAGGCATTGAGACGGAAAGTTGTTGGGGGGCAGAGGGACGTACACCAGGGAACAGAGGTGCCTCGACAATACCGAGGACGAACTGGACGCCCCAGAGGCCGCCAGCGCTGGTGCAAAGAACGGTCAATGCGGAAATAGCAGACCAGATGAATGCAGCGACAGGTAAAAAGATCGAAGGTCGGACACGAGTGATCAACATGTTGGAAGGCAGCTGAGCAAGCATATATCCAACAGTCAAAACCGCAACAGCAGTCTATACAAATTAGCTTCATCCCATAACCACTTCCATAGCAACATACCTGATAATCTCCCTCCCCAAGGTTAAGATCCTCATTGAACGAGTTCAAACGTGCCTGAGCAATGTTTGTTCTGTTCAGGTAATTGAACATGTACAAGATCCACAGCTGGGGAAGCATAAAGATGTCCAGCTTTCTCACAATCTTCTTCTCCAACTCCGCCGCGTTGGCCATGCCCAGACGCGCAACATGGTTGATGTCCGCAAAGCCCTCCGTCGTCTTCTCCTGCACGATAGAAGGGGTGTCATTGAGGGCTGAACCAATGTCCTTGTGGTCATCACCACCAACAGCTGGTTTTTCGTCAGACATGGTGAAGAACTACCTCGACACAGGGAACAAAAAAAGGAAGAATAAGGAGGACAGAGAGAAATGTCTGTCTACCGAGCACCCAAAACTCGACTTATCGCCCTGATTTTATACCCAGCTTAAAACTTCCTGATGTAAAACTCCACAGAAGAAAACAGGGTACTGCGTCAAGACTGCGGGGAAACGATGATGGGGGACATCCTTTTCTTGTAACAGAAGGTGCTAAGAGTCTTGGCTTGTGTAAACGCTCACGGCCAAGAGAAAGCCAAGAGAAAAAGCTAAGTTGGTAACGGCTATACTGTGGGGTGAGTAGATGTTACCGTCGTCGGAGAGCAGGGACGGATATGGTAAATTTGGAGTAATTCTAGCGTAAGGAGGCTGAAAAAGCTACGGGAATATTCAGTCCCAGAGAACGGAGAATAGTCTATTACAGCCTCAACTCCTCGCGCTAACTTGCAACGATGATGAATGCCTCCAAATCATCCCCTAAAATTGTACCTTTGCAGATGGCGTGACTCGTTTCTCAGCTCTTCTTGGCGAGTGATTTTCCTTCTTTCCCCAGGTCTTGGTCGGAGACCACTTCAACTGCCGATTCTCACCAGCCAAGACATCTGGGGTTTGTCTCTAAGCGAAATCCCCTCACCACCACGCACCCCACTGTAGTCGTTCCATCTCCGACAGTCCTCCTATAACCAGCCTCTCAATTGGGGTCAGAAATGCCTCTTTATTCTTGGCGACCCACGGGGAAAATCCGGGATTCTTATGAGAAGCTTTTGGGAGATGCGGGATATTAGGATTGGGGTCTTGGCTGTAGCCTGGAGAGGAGTCTCTCATGAATCAGATTCCTTGCTGGAGTAACAGCGCGTGGGGTAGAACTCCACATGACTCGGGGAATCTGAGGGGAATTTGAGTCTATTTTTGCTTACTTGATGCATACTACGTAGCTTAAATCTCGGTGAGGGTGAAAATAGGCGAAGGAATGCCAAGGTGAAGTCTCGGTGAAATTATGAGAACCGAGGATTTGATCACAATGACAGTTCATACGTGTCACAACACAACCACCCTCAAGGTTTTACGCAAACTGTTTATCCAATGTTATGCTGTCCCATATTTCTCCAAGACTGCAGCAAGGTCAAGGAACCCTCGCAACTAACTCCGTGGTCTGGGGCGCGTAACCTAAAACATCAGCCGGTGAATGGATAAGAATGACAACACATCTTCGCTGGCTGAACAAAATATGCTCGGATGGGGGGATTCACGGTTATCGTAGACGGCATATGGGATGATTCTTGGCTTGACTCTTGGCTACAGCAAAGAGAAGGAAAAAATCGGAGCCGCAAATAGCCAAGATATTTTATGTTGTTCTAGAATAGGGTAACCTTGTTGTGAATTATGCGATGTATCAGTAGAGTGGCGGGGAGTCGGGGAGATCCACTTAATGACACGGAGACAAGTCCGAGTCTCCAAGATGATAAGAGGGGATAATGATATGCTTGGAGTATTTAAGCTGAGGTCCCTGAGAAACTCTTAAGTGTGGCAGTCTGCTTTCTGTTGGTTCTTCAATTCCCCAATCTGGAATTGTCATGCATACAATTACATCACACGATAATCCATCGGTCACAACCAGTTACATCACAAGCCACAGATCATCAAGTCAGACCCTTCATCAAACATTAATTCTCTTAAGCTAATTCAGGCATGCCGATCCCCCAGCTTTTCAGACGATCCCTTCCCCAGACTTTTCGTCATCACTAATAAGTATTCTTGGTAGCCAAGCCCCAAAAGTAAGCCACCCACGCGCCAAGAATAAGCAATATGACGGCAGAAAAGTTGATAATACCCAACTTTCTGTGCTTCTCTGCGTGACCGTCACTCTCAAACTCTTGCTTCTTGGCGTTGATGATGTGTCCGTTCTCAACTCTCTTCTTGCGACTCCACTGCAATTGTCCGATGAAATCTGTTGAGAAGCCAAGAGCAAGCATGATACTTGCGACGACGACGGAACCAGCTGCTAGTGTTACGTAGAGAATGGTGACGTTGTCATAGTTGTTCTCGTCGCGGTCTTGGAGAACGCCCGCGATGAGACTGACGATTATGGTCATGCTGTTGTTGATGGCGATTTTGATGGCGTAGCCTGAGCCGAAGACTTCTTGATACCACATGCTTGTGCGGATGCTGTCGATGATGACTGTAGGTCCGAAGGAACTGGCGACAGCAAAGATACCAAAGCTGGCAGCTGTACCAGACACAGTAGGTCCCCAGGCCACAAGACACATAGACAAGAGCATACCTAGTCCACAGACGAGCATGATTGTAAGACGCTGTCCAAGCATGTCCACAAAGATACCGACTAGCGGCACAAAGAAGAAGCCAAGGTACTGCGACATAGAAGAGTACCAACCCGCCTTGACAGCCGAGATCTTGAAACGCTGCTCCGCCAACTCAGTGCTATTCGTAGAAAACACATTCGCCGTCGACGTCTGAAACAGCGAGAACAAGCAAACCAGCCAAAACGACCAAGGCAGGGTTAGCATCTTCCCAATCTCAAACCTCTTATTATTCTCCGTCAACTTCTCCCCCGTCGCAGGATCCCTCGTCCCCGCATATCTCTTCTCACACCACTTAGTAAACCACCAAAAGAACAAAGTAGCAACGTTTGTAAAAAGGTTCATGAACACAGCCATCCAGTACGCCCAGCTGAAATCACCGAGATTGTCAGCTATGACGTTGGCGGTGGCTTTTCCGACGAAGGAACCGATCTTTCCAATGCCGAGCTCGAAGGCGAGTGTTGATGCGAAGCCGGAGGAGGGGGGAACCATGAGGAGAAGATTTTATACTGGGCGACTTGGGTTGCGACGTCGCCGAGGGCTTGGATCACGATGCCGCCGATCATGAATTTGTAGGAGCGGACTTGGGTTGCTGCTGCGACGAGGATGGCGCCGATGGAGAAGACGGCGTTGCCCCAGAGCATGGTGCCTAGATGTACATGTCAGTGAGGGAAGTTGGGTGAGGTGAAGGTATACATACTAGCTCCGCCATATCGATCTGTGAGAATACCACTGACGAGGATGAGAGCGGTCTTGATAAAGTTCTCACTTGTATCAAGAACAGCATATTGAGTATTTGTGATGTGAAGTTCCTGGTATAGGTTAGCCAAGTTTTTCCAGTGAGGGATGGTAGACCTGCCTTCTTGAGGGTACTCTTCAAAGCACCAGTGACTCCACTACTCCAATGACCTCCAAAGCCAATCATACTAACGATGACGACAGATAAGATCTTCATGCTCAAAGGCACAGGCTTCTTTCCATGGTCATCGCTCCCACTGTCCGATTGGTCAGACACGGGAGCGATTGTCTCTGTCTTGAGCTCTTTCGACTCCATGTTCACTCTCAAGGACTTGTTGTAACAAACCGATGATAAGATGAGATGAGATGGAAAAGATTATCAGATAAACGCAACGGCTGTCAGGTCTTTATCAGATCAATCTCGAGTGGGTCATCTCCGATGTTTATGTTTTTCTCAACAAGGTTTTTTCCCTCGACATCGGCTAGAGACTAATAGGCCCACTTGGCGTGTCACTCACGCGAGCTGAGTCTGGACCCTCGCATTGTCCGATGTCAAGTAAGAACTATTGAACGTTAAATACTTCTAGAACCATTTAAGAAAAGGAGATGTTATAATAATACGCGTATCCCCGGAGATGTTTATATCATGCTCCCACCCCCAGCACCTCTCCATGACTCTTTCAAAAGCAATTCTCTTTTGAAAAGGCCTCGAGTTCACAGAATCTGATAACGCGTTCCCTGGTAGCTTCGAGCCCCCTAAATTACCGTCTCCTCGGTACATGAGTGCCAATCCCTACCATAAAGAGCTAGACCCCCCGAAACCGCCTGATATCGGAGCGAGAGATTTATCACAGTGAGACACCTAGACCCACCGAATTCTTCCCTTCTTCCACTTCTCACTGTGAAAAAAACATCAAGATCATCGCATCGCACCTGATTGATAAGAATTGGGTCCAAACATGGCCTGTTTATGCGGGTGCATCAATCAACTGATTGATAACTTTGATCCGAAAACGGCCGCGGGTCTTGCGTCAGGTCTGAATAAGCACCTCGAAGCGATTAGGAGTATCCTCGCTAGGAATAAATCCCTCGCCAAGGAGGTGAGGTATCAGATTATCCCGAGTAATCAGCGGACAGCAAAGATTTTATCGCTCCATTCTATTGATCTTGTAAAGGCTGAGAGGTTGCACGGAGCTTTTAAAGATGATGTCAAGGGTTTTTGGGTGGCTTCTGGCGATGCATTACACCAAGAATTACGACGACGAATTGCGTGTATTACGATATTCCTAAGATCGAAAGTGGACGATAATGCTTGGGCGTCGCATGATGTCTCGAATCTCATTCAAGGACGCACGTTATCGGAGCTGCGATATGCGGGCAGTAAGTACATCAAGATCGCCCGACGACTGGGAGGGATTGGGTCGATCCTCTGGCTGCCGCTAGAAATACCGGCTTCGACGTAAGTTTAGAGTCTTGACCAATCGGCTGTGTTAACGGGATCAGATATGAACGGTACCTGAACATGGATGACGCCGAGGCCTTTGATCATATTCAAAACCTTGGCTCTGACGCGCCAGACCTGAATCTTTTCGTTCAGCGCCTCATCACGGCTCAACTTGACGGTAAGCACCATTATTCCGCGTGAGGTCCGTGCTAACACGTGCTAGATCCCTCGCTTGTCTTGTCACATCGAAATTTACTATTGGAGTATGGAGACTGCATATCACCCTCTGAACAGGGCCTTCTTCTTTTGCATGCTCTTGGCGGCAACGACATTCCACTCGATCTGTTGAAAAGCGCCAAGAATCCTATGAGACGATGGACCAATGAAGGAGAGATACAGAGTATAACTGCCTCCGACTTCGGGTTCAATGCTGAAATCATCGGGTTGCTGTCCAGTGATGAGCGTCTATCGGAATTGAGTCAACAGCCGGAAGTTACTCAGCACGCTTTGGAAGATGGCACCGTTGTTTGGTCTTTGCTGCCTGGGGCACAAAAAGAACTCTCTAACCGATTGACACCGCAGACAATGGAAGATTGGGCGACGATGGCGCTGAAGTTACTATGTTTTGCATGTCCTCCCTGCTATGAAGGCAAAGTCAATTGGTACGCGCCTTTCCCATTACCATTTCCATTTTGCTAATAGTATACAGGGCACTGCCGCTCAAGAAGGCGATATGGAACCTTCTCGACAAAGCGACAAACCAGAAACGACTTCCCTCATCACTTCGAGCATGCGTCATCGAAGCTCTCATCTTCTTTTGCGAACGAGACCTCTTCTCAATCCGGCATGCTGCCGTCGAACGAGCAAAGTCACTCCTCCGCAAAAACATGTCGTTCTACTACCAAGCCTCAGTAACTCTATTCGACAGCATAATATCACGCATCGACGGAAACTTTCAGCGGTCGGAAGCTCTCATCGTTGACTTTCTGGCAGCCGATCATGAAGGGAATACACGATCTGACAACGCGCTACGAGGACGACTGCACATCTCGAATATTGAGAATAAGATACATCGATACGACAAAGAAGTTGCCTCGACTATATACAATTGGGAAGGAATACATCCTCTTTCGACGTTTGAGATTGAGGTCACGAGGAGGCTTCAAGGCGTGGCGGCCAAATTCTTCCATTCAATTGGAGACTTTAAGACGACGAGGGCATCTTTGGAACAGCATCTTTGGCTAAACTCAACGATGCCGATAAGACAGAATACTAGGTTGCTCATTGTTACAAGACTGGCAGAGATTCACTGCGAGTTGCATGAGTATGAGGAAGCGTTGGAGATTATCCAAGTCGAACTCGATGGCATGACTGCACGGAAAGGTCGTCCGTTCCGAAGATTATCCATGGCCAGGGCAGAAGGCTACATCGGCCTTGGCCGTCTTGACGATGCCACCACTGTTCTTCAAGAGCTCATAAGCGTTGAACCACCTGAACTAGATGACCTTAATGATCAAGTCCTCCGCGTCCGCCGCCTCATCCTCTCAGCGCGCATCCACCACGAGGGACTCAACTTCCCTGAAGCTCTCCAACTATGGCAACTCACAGGCCAAACAATAGAAAGTCTATCGATATTCAAGTCAAGACATGGATGGACGCTTGCTATTGTTCATTTATCCATGGCTCATGTTCATATTGCTCTCGGTAATGAGGAACTTGCACGACAGGCTTGGAATGCTGGTGTAGAGATTGCGATGAGAGAGAAGTTTGAGTATGTCTTTCCGGTTCTGGCGACGACGTGGTTGCATAAGATTGTGGGGGAGATTCATGAGGTTAAGGGTTGGCCTTTGAGGGTTATGTTGCCGGGAGGGAAATCGGATCTGACTTGGCTGTAGGGCGATGTTAAAACGTATGATGATCTCTTGTGGCTTATAATCCATGTCAGTAATTCCATCTATATTCTTTACATACAGCGCCATGAGTAAAAAAGATGTGATTTCGAACACACGACCTCTAAAAACGAAGGGTGGGCGGTGCAGGGAGAAATTTTGGAGTTTAGGTTCGGACTTTAGAGAGTTATAGGTTCTAGGAGAGATACCACTGCACCACTCACCCTTCGATGGGAATATACAGAGTCATTTTGGAATATAAGGGTAGTGTTAAGAACAGGGTGGAGGGGCAATTCCTGACTTTGCATTGTTCAACTATCAACCCGCTGTATCCAATCATGGAAAGTTCTGCCTAAAGTCTAAACCTCCCAGTACTCGTCCTTATAGTTTCTTCTTGAACTGTATAAGACTACCGTAATAATTCATAAGGGCATGATGTGCTTAAACCTTAGCAGTCGGAGCTTGATATGTTACAAGAGTGGAAGACAGGCTGATATGTGGTTTGATTGGCCCGGGATATTGGGGTACTAGCACCAAGGTATTATTCACACTACATCTAAAATAAGACTCTCGCTTTTGCAAGGACAACAAGCGATCCGAGCTCGCTAGGCTTTGTCTCCGTCATACCACCATGATTCCCCCCAAAGCGTAATCCTGCGCCCTCCTCTTTCTCGTCGCCGTCCTCTGGAACAGAGAACAATGCTGGGAAGACACAAAGCTTGAGTCTACCATCTGCTAGAAGTCCAGTTTGTGACATGTCGCATTCCATCATATCCCCATCCAAAAAAGTGTCTGCTTTGAAGAAGAAATATTTCGTGCACTTGGGTGACAGCGCGAGCTCTACTTTGATCTCCAGTGCCTGTGAGAGGCCACTTTCAAGGGCTGTTACAGCAGTATTCTCCTCCTCCGAGAGACTGTCGAATGGGCGCTCGGACATGTCATGACTCTTCGGAAGGATAAAGAAATTGACTGTTTGGAGAATTATAGAGCTTAGTCACTTGGCTTTCTCGTGTATCAATTTCTTTTTGACTTCATCGTTGGCGAAAACTGACTTGATTGCCGCAAGCTCAATGTTTCGTGACTTACTTCTTCCTCCTAGTGTAAGTATTAGCGCATACTGTTTTAAAAAGTGGAGACGCCTGCTGACAAGAATATAGGGCGATTCTTATCAACAGAGGCCCTATATTCCTATCAACAGCAGTATTGTTCTGACCTGAAATTGACACAAGCCTTCTGAACTCAGTAAAAAACGGTGATTCGATGGACAACATCTCTGGGAACTCGGACTCAAAGACAAGCTCAAAGATCCCAGCTGTTATAACAGCAGCAACGACTTTGCACTTGGGAATCTCAGCCTTGTGGGCATGTGTAAGAAGCACGCTCATGTCGCTGCCAAATAGCCGCCTCGCCCAACTCTGCGATAATTGCGAAAAGCCAGATCGCAGTTTGGGAAGATCTTCGTTTGGGCTCAGGTCGCAGATAAATGAGGATATGCTTGTGTTCATGTCTTGATAAAGGCGCTCGCACTCTTCCTGGAGTGATGATTTCGGAAATGCAAACTTGTCGGACTTCAGAGCCTCAAGGTCGTCTACGAGTTGTTCCATCGTATTAACCCGGTTCTGGAGTCGGGATATTACTCTTCTCGAGGCGGTTGGATCAGTAGGCCCAGCCCTGTCACATTGATCTCGATCGTCTAGTTCTCGCTCGAGCTCGGATAGGCGATTAATTAATGTGAGTTCACGCCCCTCTGCCTTGAGCAATTTATCTTCCGTTATTCGCAGCCTCGTCTCTAGGGATGGAGTCGGCGTCTTTGGTTCTCTAGCGGACGATGCACACTCTTCAGATCCGACGATACCATGGAGGTTGGACTCCGAATCAAAAGACTGAGATTGGAGGTTTTGGGTCCTCCATTTCTCTCGTGAGCTTTCTCAAGGAGAAGTTGAAGGTATATTCCAGACAACACAACTGCCATGTCAAGTTACTGCAGCCTGATGACAGGTTAGTCTCACAAGTTCTGCTGTTCTCTCTTTTCTGGGCTAACTTACAATACACAGATCAACTATTCCCAGCTCCGTGTCGTCGGGAGCGGTTTACCGTGCCTGTAACAAGGCAAACGGACCTGAGCGGATCGCTCAATGCAGTTACGGCATTCTGGGGAGAGAACCTCACATGCCCGACGAGTATCCAGAGCATCGAGGCCAGAAGTATACCAGGGATCCATACGATGGCGATAAGTATATCCCAGATATCATGACCTGGATTCTCAAGAAGGTAAGGTTTTCTGACCGATTCTCCATACTCTTGTATCTCTGACGTTTGGATACCAGGGCAAAAAGGTTGCTCCATTCCTGACCGTTCACACTGTCGGCCTCCTCCAGACAGGTCCTCTCTCCTGCAGACAGGAGCTTTTCATCTCAGACCGTGCGACGGATGACCACTACCCGATTACCCACTGGAAGAAGAAGGGTAAGATGACAAGCCCTGGAAAGTAGACCTCACTGACATATTTTGCGATAGGAGCTCAGAAAGTTGGCGTGATCGAAGTTGACGTTTCGTTCTTGAGGGATCAAAACCTATTAACTCCAAAAGAAGCACGTGTTGAAAATGGGATTAAGATTGGCAAGGATCACTATGAGATCCCATTGACAATACGTATGACAGTCATAGGGCGTGACCTGGAATGTGAGTTTTTATAATCATCGATTTGGTCTGGGGTCGAGCCAAAGCTAATTGGAAAAGGCAGGGCCATCTACAAGGACGTGTACGAAAAGAAATGCCGATTGAACATTGCATCTGCTTTCAAGCCCGGTGTTGAGTAGACAGAAAGAGATGAGGCGTTCTGCTGCTGACATTACTTACCCGAGGAGTGGAAAAGAAAATTTGGCGAATGGAGTCAGAGAGGAAATGTTTATTTGCGATACCCATAGAACGTCCGTACTGTGAGACGGCACATAGTGCATATTTACCCTGGTTAGAATAGACGAATGGGAGACAAGCATACAAGGGTCAACTTTTGCACGTGATACCATAAGCAATTCAGCCCGAGTGAATTTTCTGCACCAAAGACAACTCTTGTGTCACCTCGTGCCTCAGCCCCTCAAAATGTCTTCCTCCTCAAACAGCAATGGAGTAGATCCAGTTGGTTTTGCCAGCAACATCGGCACGTGGGTCGCCGCAGGAGTAGCAATCGTTGCCCTAGTCGGTGTAGTCGGTCCACTTCTTGCACTGCAAGTATCGATGAGTGATAAAAACCGAGCCATGAATGCGGTTCAAGACCAGCGACAGAAATATGTTTCAAGAGGGTTTCGTCTGACTAGAGGACTACGCGTGTTTAGAAGGATTCGCGTGCCAAACCTTGCACCTGGATACATCACCAACGAGCCAGATACAGCCCCGCTTATACCACCTCTCAATGCAGCTTTGGGTCGTTGGGGGTTCAAGACGAGGGATTATCTGCCATGGAATTCGGGGTGGGCCAAAATGTCCGAATTGATCGAATCGTATCAAGTACGAGATGGAATTAGTAACGGGCCCGTTGACTTGGGCGTCGCCAAGTCCGGAGGCACGCTCGAGGTCGTCAACAGTCGAACCGCATTGGTGGTGAATAAGCACTGGATCCTGATGCTAGGTCTTCTTGGCCGATATGGAGACCGTGTCGATAAAGGGATCCTACAGCGAAATGGAATCAGGAGGAACTTCGATGGGGAACGAGCATCCATTCGACATTTCGCCTTACCAAGGAAAGCCAAACAAAGAGAATCAGACTTGCAATTTGAATGGGCTCGCGAGAAAGAGACACGCTCATCAATCAGAAGTAAAGGCTCGTCAAGTCGAGACTCAGCAAGTTTGAGATCCTGGTCGGATAGCGATACAGACTCTGACGGTACCGTGATGGCTGTGCGTCGAAGCGCTTATGGAACCATCACGCTTGAAACTACGCCCCAACCTACGATACATGGCATAACAGGCAAATTGCAGCAACTTGGTCGACACAAAGGGTCATGGAGTTATTTAACCTCTGTATCATTTGTGCCACATATCGCGAAAGAGATCTTTGAAGCAGGTATTGATGAGAGGAGGGAGGGTTCTTCTCTGCAAACTCTGTTCTGGCTTGCTCATGGCTTTCTATCGTGTGGTAGAACCGCAGAGGGACGACAGATGGTAATTTCTTTGGAAGCCCCGGACCTTTCTCTTGTATCGATAGGCAAGGAGATTGATGATATCATGGCCTGGCCTGCATACTCTCTCCAAGAGTCCGATGACATTCCTATATCTATTGGTATTGCGATGCAGTGTCTCGGTATTCCAGAACCACAGATATTGCAATTCCTCCCAATTGATGCTGCGAGTCAGGCAAAGCGGATCTTGGAAGACACTAAGTATGGCACTCATGTTGAGATGCAGAGTCCAGCGTACGACTCAAATCAACAGAACCTTCAATGGCAACATCAGCTACCAACACAATCAGCCGGTTTAACCCTCGATGGTCCCTGGGTTCGTTACTCAAATTCGGCACAAGAACATTTCTGTCTATTTCCAAGACGTGATTTTGAGAAGACGCTGAGACTTATACTCACTATTGACTGGGATCATTGGGGGTTTTTAATATGGAAGGATAGGTTTTGGACGGCAATCCTACGCTGGACCATTGGTATTCTGAAGATGAAGAAGATATGCGATTCTGAGTTTGGACAAGCATTCGAACTAGCATCTCACTCTCGAATCTTTGATTGGAAGCACAGTGGGACATTTTATCCACAAAAATTGGCAGATCAGCTATCATTCGACAAGTTTCTAACCGACTATCTCGACACATATGATCTTCTCCCTCTTCGTCTCTCACTAGGCATTCTCTACATCTTGGATAAGCAGCTCCGAGAGAGGATCTTGAAAGTATGCGCCAACCTATTTGATACCGAGGGAAACAACAAAGCCTATTCTATAGCACGAATTCACTACCTTGAATCAGCTCTGGAGGAGGTTGAGGCGGAATATTGGATGCAGAAGGAAATCCATAAGAACGATGAGATACCCTTCTTGAGTAAGAGGAAGGCGGCTACAGATGAAGATTGCGAGTCCGTTGAAGAATTTTCCACACATATGTTGATAAAAGACTTGGATGCTGCTACATTGGAGCGCTTTAATATCGACTACGAACAGGTGAGTACTTCTTCAACTACGAAGACAGCTGCTGACAATAGAAAGACTGATCATGTGTTGTACCGCATAAACGGGTACATTGCACTATGGGAGCAAGAGATTCTCCTCAAACATACCTCCGTACGTCGTGAGCTCTACCATATCAAAAGTTGTATCACTGGTGGCGTTTTAGAGTACACATATAAGACAAGACAGCTGAAGTGGTACTCTGATAAGGCTTCAATGATGGAGTATAGCACTTGGCAGTTGACACTTCAGGACGCAGTCATGACTGGAGAGAAACAGTCTATGTGGATTGAGGAGAAGGATATGGTGATGGTTGCATTGTGGGTTGCTAATAGAGCGGCTATGTGGATCGGGGCTCAGGACTCAAAGCCGTTATTGGAGTTTGTTGAAGATCTAGATACATATGCATATGTACTGTGAGACTCATAGGAACAGCTCTACATGGCTATAGGAGATATAGAGCGATACTTATAAGTTATAAGTACTTATTAAGCTCTCATTGCTTTACAAAAGGTTGAGCATGAAGCATATAATGTATTCTAATTAAATATGTTTGTAATTACAGAGAGAGAATGAGGAGTGGCACAGGATGACTGCTTTATCAACTGAAAACCAGGAACGAGACCGGCCTTCTTCTCAGCAGTTGCTCATCCTGCAAGATAGGAGATTGGTTTCTCCCTGTCAGAAAGCTAGAAAACACAGACTTTCATTCATTGACTACAACAAGAGCATGGAAAAGCGCAAGTCTGTCGTAGTTGGATAGAGGCCGAAGCTCAAGGTGCTGACCCCTCCCCGTTCCTATAGCCTCAGTTGTTCGACGAAGAGTCCGCGATGGTATATCGGAGGTTCCCTGACAGAGCGGGGGGGAAATCTTAGGGCGAACTTCGGGACAATAGGAACGGTGAAGTCAGGCATCGGTGTAGTGCGGCGAACCTCAGCTTGACATTCCATACTCTAGGTCATCTCTAAGAAAAGTTCCCAAATATCACTAATTCAGGTAGTATCGGGCTTGCGAATCAATACTATCGATTAGGGTCTATCAAAGCAATACTAACTTCATCCAGCCGCCGTCTCTTCACCAGTATCGCCTACCAAGATCACACATTAATTAATGATTCGCCATCTCTGACTCTTAATACAGTCAGAACAGTCCCAACAGCCCTTATCACTCCAACTCAACAATGTATCACCAGACTGCTGCCACGTGATATACTTGAGTTCGAAACCTGCTAAAGCGCATTTGCCATACTCTTCAGACCAACCCGACGATATACAATCGGGGTTCGAGCTACAAAGAGCCGCACATCGCTCCTCAGAATCCTGGTTGGGAAACTTGGAAGGTGCCTCGTCCCAAGACCAAGGGAAGTAACCCTGATGTTGACAGATCAAATCGCTGTCAACACCCTGCTTGAGCTGACAAACGGCATCCTCGCTTGTGATGCTAGGAGTGCAAGTCGCAGAGGGTAGTGCAGTTCTTAGTGACGCGGAGTATTCATCGCGATCTTGGTCGTGGCAGAAACATAGAAAGCAACTTTGCTCACTCCAGTTCTGAGAACCGTCATCATTACCGGGGGTGAATGAGGAACTGAAGATAGAGCTAGAGGAGAAGACACATGTTTGTAGGTTTTGATCCCATGCGGAAGCCTTGCAGCGGCCGGGCATTTGATTGCACATAGCTACGCAGTTCTGATAATTGTTGATGCCGAGCTGCCAGGGATATTCATCATCTCTGAGTGTGAAAGTGTTTCTCAAAGTTCCCGATTTGCTACACTGAGAGTAATCATAGTTGTTCTGATCAAAAGTGCATCCATCGGATAGAGCGAGCGTGCATTGAGGCATGGAAGACTCGGTGGTGGTTGGGGCGTAAGAGGAGATGAAGGTTGTAGGAGGTTCAGTTCGAGTTGGAGTTATTGTCGTGTGCTCGACAGTATGTTCAGTAGAGCTGAGAGCTTGGCTAGTAGTCTCATCCTTAGCCGAACAGTCATTGGAGCACGACCAGCAACCCTTAGAGCTCCATGGGAGAATGTAAGCAGAAGGGTTCTGAACTTCAGCCGCCTGGAACGCGCTGCTTGAAATAGCGGTGTTGGTAAATATACACCTCTTGCGCGCATAATCATATGCCGAGGCAGCGCAATCCTTCAGCAGGAAACAGATAGTCGCGCACTGCTCTGAAGTTGTCTGCATAGTGGACTGATCAAAGTCGTTGTTGGCATAAGGCTGGAGATCAACAGTGCCAAGGTTACCGATCTTCTCGCAGACGAGGTCTGAAGATGGAGAGCTCTGTAGATGACAGTGGGGGCAGGCGGTTGGGACAGAGGGAGCAGCGGAGGTGGTGATTTCTGGAAGAGAGGTTGTTGATGGCGCAACCGAAGTCGTCTCAACATCCGCTGGGTTCTTAACATCGCAATCATGACACTCGAAGCAATCGAAATCATTCCACATCAAAGAATTCTGCTTGTTTAGATCGATGCCAACTACGCCAAGTCTGTCGGAAAGAAACCAGCAGGAAGTGTCTTGACCAAGGTCATACAACGCAAAGGCCTTGCAAGCAGAACCTTCTTGCTTGCACAGCAGGGCACAGTCTGCGATGGAGTTCTGTCGAGGGTTGCTTGACTTTGTGCGGCCCCATGTACCGGATTTTGCTTTGCCAAAGGCCCAGCAGGCTCGAGGGGCGGTAGGTCGATCATTGTCAGTTTCCTGTGGGATTCCGGGCAAGGAGACCATCTGTGTTACTTCTGGCTGGACGGATGTGCAGTAGCCGGGAGGTGGGGCCCCAACGGGGCAGACGCGTGAGCCAGTTGGCAAAGAGCTTGCAGTGGAGAGGTCGCTTGCGGTTATAGGGTGCACGGCGCTCGTGGTCGGGTTGAAGGTAAGAGTGGGAACATGGCTCTCTGATCCGGTGGATGGGTCCAAGGTCGGGACGGTGAACTCATTTGCGGTGGTAGGTTTGCTCTGGGTGTTGGTGGTTGTGTCTAGAGTACGGGTATCGATACCGCTCTCTGACTCGGTTGATGGACTGAAAGTGTTGACATCGGAACCTGTAGAGAAGCCAGTTGTTGGGTGCGCAGTATCCGAAGTGAAGACGTGAGACTCAGTGAGCTGCTCGGTCTCTGTTGACGGTCCATGGGTGTTTGCGCTACTGCTTGATCCCTTGGATGTCGTAGATTCAGCCGGTAAACCACTTGTAGTAGCAGGGCTACCTTGATCACCAAAGTCAATCGACACATCGTCAATCGTCTCAGGAGTAACCTGGTTAGACATAAAGATCGAGTCGACATAAATAGCCGCAACCCCACCCACGGGACAATTCACCGCCACTGAGAAAGCACCCTGCGTGTTGGGAACATCGGTTTGTTCAAGAACAGTATTCCAGTCAATAGCAGTTCCAATGCTAAGAATCGTCGACGTGTAGAATACATGGCCAGCAATAGAAGCGCTGAGCGTGCAAACGTTAATGCTGCTAGCTGTAACCACAGCATAAAAGAAACGAACAGTGTACTTCTTCTTAATGTCAAGAGAGTCAAGCTGCTGCGAAATGCTGACGATATTGCCAATGGCTCGCTTACGCCCGGGAGGTTGGTTAGCCGCTTGCAGCTCGACACAGCCCTTCTCTTTGCTGCCGTCGCCGGTATAGCCCTTGTTCTCGACAATCTGGCCATTGCCTTCAATGGTGTAGTTAGGGATGTTGCTTGGGTTGGTCGGGTCTCTGACGGCAAAGTTTCCGTTGCCAATGACGTTCTTGATAACGAGGGGTCCCTTTGTTTCTGAAGTCGTTGGGGCGGCTGTCGTTACTGTTGCGGAGGTGTGACTGGTCGTAGCATGAGGCTTGCATGGGCCGGCGAGGGCAACGTCAAAGTTGCCCAGGATGGCCAGGGCCGTTAAAGCGAAGGCGTAACGCATAACGAGTGTAGTAGCCAATAGAGGCGCTGAGAGGTTTGGCAAAAGAATCGTGAACCGTGGGGAGCGACGTATCGACCGTTTATGAGGATACCGCCTCTGCAGAGCGGCGACCTCGGACCCCTAATTCAGCAAAGGTATTTCCGAAGTAAGTGGTCGAGGCCTTTAATTTTACGCTACGTTGAAACTATTTACTTAAAGTCAATGGGTCGTTCCAATCAGTCGGTGCCTCGTACCTTTTCGGCCTCTGCGAAACTAAAGTGGTTAGGCCGCGCTCTCAGCTTTTGTCTCGCCGCATCACCGGGATCTTCTCAGTATAAAAATGGTAATTGTCATACAAGTCACAATAGCCAAATTAATTAGAGCTTGCCCATCTCACATAGTGAATCATTTCATTTTTTGAAAATGTCCAATATGAGAAAATTGACCTGACTTCAGCTTGAGACTAGTAATTAACCCCTGTCCGCGATAGTTCCGTCAAAGTCTAGAAGCCAATAGCGTGCCATAGCGTAAGAGACTATTTAATCTTTTAACTATGCTGGTCGAAAAGTCAAGCCATCGCGACGTATCCTGGACCCTGAAATTAAAGAGTTTTGTCTTTATTTTAATACTCGTTTTCTTGAAATCTCTCCTGATGAAATTAAAAAGTTCCTGTCTGCAATTGAATTCATGGATAAATAATGATCAAATTGTGGTGTACCTTGCAGCAAAGGAAAATATACCCTTCAAGCCACCCGCCATATTTAGATAAGCAAGCTGAATCAACATATTGAAGCCAGACAGTTCCTAAATGAGCGTAAACTCTCGATCAGTAAATATCTCGTCATCAGTGACCAGCCATCTCAACGGCGTCATAGCCTCATCGTCATCAAACACGTCCCAGCTCTTAGAAGGCTCCCCAGGTACAATACCAAGACCAATTCGCCTGAATGTATCCGGTCTATTTTCCACCCTCTGCAGCAAAAGCTTCAAAGTCGCGGCACCTCGACCCCTAGGCCACCTTGGGTATCCAAACCCCTCATATAATGGCCCATGTGGAAAACCCAATACATCAAAAGTATAAACGTCTTGGCGATTTTCCAACTCATGGTCTAGAAAGATGCAAGAAGTGGTGTCGCAAAGCCTGAAAAGAAAAAGTTCCTCAACTTCTGCATCTTTACTTGAATCAAAAATTGAAGAATGAAATGGCTTTTTCCGATGAAGGTTGGCCTTGAGGGTAATCGACGGCTCCTTGGCCTCGGCGTTGATGAAGATGAGAGTGGCACTTGAGTTGGTTTTGGAGGCATCCCTTCCCCCATGATCAGTCAACTCATACGAAATCTCGCCTGTAACAGGTACCAATGTCCAAGATGATATATTGAGAACTGATCTTGATTCCAGACTGCCTCGTGCAACGGCGTCATACCCGCCGCGTTGTAAAAGTCAACATCAGCGCCTTGTCGGAGTAGGAAGTTTGCGGTTTCAAAATCCGAGTAGCGCATAGCACGATGAAGCGGGGTATTATAGTGCTGCCAGGTTTCCGAATCGTGAATATATGGCTGGACGACGCAGCCTGATTTCGGAGCTGGTTCAACTAGGTCTTCTTCTGTCCAAAGAGTGTTGGGATCTAAACCATGCTTGAGGGCATTTTTGGCTGCTTCTGTTTCGTTGATGGCCGTGCCCTTCCAGGTCCTCCTTTGTTGGGGTATCCCATGGCGGTAATTATCCTTGCTAAGCGACTGCGCTGAATTAAACCTAAGAGAGGCTGAAAATCGAGCAAATGAAGATGTCAAGAGGGTCCGGTCGATATTTACCAGCTGTACCAGCACAGAAATATTGATTGCGGCATCAGACGAATATAGTTGGGTCGCGTCAATTTGGCCCCCAACTGCGATGATCTGTCAACATAGGGGGCTGTGATAGGCATCAAGGACTTAGCATCTCCACTGATACAATAGGACACTAAAAATACAAATAGGACAATATATTTTTTGTTTTCTAGTTATTTGACTTTCCTAACAGCGGTCAGGTTAGGGCCAGAGTAGGAATAATCCAAGTCCTAGCTGTACCTGAAGATTCAAGGGAAAGAGAAACACAGTCCTAATTATAAGAGCTCCGAAAATCACATTTTTACTATAAGCTTTTAACTATACTACTACCCGGTATTTAGATAGTATTCTTAAATGCCACTTTCAATCATCTTGGTCCTGTCCTTGACCCTAGATCCATAATTACCCGCTGAGTCATAATGGTTAGCTGATAGAACCTGAGGTCCCCTGAATTCCTGGCCTAGTGAATCGCTAGGCCTGAGTCCCCAACTGGACTTGATGGGTCCTTTGACATTTGTGGGTTGTGGGGGAGTGGTGTGTCTAAAGCTAGGGAGTGGTCTGTTCAAGGGACTGGGTGAGGCTGTTCCGGGGCGTGGAGGCTGGGGAGGCGGGTTGTCGAATGCTGATGACCGGCCTGCACTAGTCAGATCTGACGTTTCTTCTATCGACGAATTGGGAAGGGTGCGAATAGAGCGGATCCGTGGTCTGTAAGAGGTACTAGGTGAGGGTGCTCGCTGTAGATATATCTTTTATAGCTAACTTGTAAACTTAAAAAGAATTTTAATCTAATTAAACAGATACTATTTTTCTAGTTACTTTTAACCCCTGCAATGGGGAAGTGTTCTCTCTTTAGATTCCTATATAAGCCCAATAGCTTAAAACTAGGCTGTTACCCCCGAGCAAGTAAAGGCAAGGGCTTGGAAAAGAAGGGGATTACTTAATGCCCTAGAGCAAGATAATTAGATTGCGGGGAGCCACTTGGGCATCGAATCAATTGAAAACTGACATTCCTTTTTTGCATATGTTATGAAAAATGTTGGTAGAAGATGGATTGCGCCAAGTTCTGCGCGGTGATTATAAGCTCTCAGCCATAGGTCTCGACTACAAATAACACATCTAGTGAATGGGAGACGTAATCCAACATGCCTCGCTGGACTCAAGCTTGATGATCCCATTTTGCCTCCCAGCAAGCACGAGTCTTGGGATGCTATGCTTGAATACATTCTCAGGATCATACTTCCTCTTCAAAGCCGCCAGCGTATCATAATGCTTCCCATAGATCTTCTTGACATCAACATCCTCATTAGATTCAAGAGAGATATACGAACCCTCCAGAATATTATCAGCGTCTTCTGCCTGAAGATCAGCCTTGACCTTGGCAGCCCACTGAACTCGCTCTTCCGCGATAGCCTCGTCTGCAAGAACAGCGTAGATCTCAAACATATGATGGCGTGCCCTCGTTCCAAAAACAGACTTTTGTTCTGGCTCTTGTGCTGAGAGTAGTGTATGGTATGAGAAGATGAGACTTCCGCCTGGAGCATTGACACAATGCTTTCCCAAGATTTCAATAGCATTTTCTGTCATTCTCTTGGCATTAAGAGTGTAGACTCGACCGTAAGATGGCCACGTTACGAGCTTTTCATTATTCTCAAGCATTTCCGCAAGTGTAATCTCCTGCGTGTTTTCCATGACGCAGTTCGCTGCTCCAGCGATGTTCTTGATCCAAGAGCGGCCTTCGTCTTTGTCTTGGCCGTGCCAGGTCACGATGACCAAGAGACTTACGGGCTGGCCTGGCATTTGGGCAATCATGGGCTGGAGCTGGAGATACACGGGGAGCTGGCCTGACTCGAGAAGCTTTTCGTAGTGCTGGGTGTAGGAGGTAAGAGCTGCGGATAGGTTGCTTGAGTCATAGACGATGGTTGACGAGAGGATCTAAACCTGTAAGCTCGGGTCATGGTACGATGGGGCTAAGGCGTACCTTGTTAATAGGGTAGACCTTGATGGTAAGTTCAACAATTATGCCGAGTGATCCACCACCGCCTCGGATGCCGACAAGCAGTTCTTCATTGGCATCTTGGACTTGTCCATGAGCATTCACAATCTTGGCCCCAAGGATCTGGTCGACGCCAAGACCGTAATGGGATGACAAAGGACCATAGCCACCGAGAGTCGCCCATCCAGTATAGCCTACACTTGCAACAGTGCCACTGAAGTACAATTTAAGCATTAAACCTTGAACAGTTGAGCCATGACACTTACGTGGGTGTTCCCAATCCTGCCTTACCTAGATCCCTTGCCAAGTCACCACTGAGAATACCTCCACCGACTCTTGCACTTTTCTTGTCTTCGGCTATGACAACGTGCTTGATATCTCGCATGTCGATAACAAGTGCCCCGTTGACGAGTGTTCGACTGGCGCAATCATGGCCTCCTCCACGTATAGTAAACTCGACGTTGTGATCTAAACAGAAACGGAGCACTGATGCGACTTCTTCCCCGTTCTGAGGTCTGACTACACCAAGAGTCTGGACATGTTTCTCAATAAAACATTGCTCAATTTTCTTGTAGTCTGGTGCGTCAAGTGCATAAGTCTTGGCTTGGGTGTCTGCGAGGTGAGCCTTCAGCTCCGAAAACAGAGACATTACAGTCATCGTGAATAGAGTCTATGTGGAATGAACACGCAGGGTAGATTGGAGGTGGCTTCGGTCACATTTTATATCCTCGGGGACTTCCAAGCCGCCGCCTCGCTGAGCACCTTAACTTGTCAAGTTCCTCCAGTAATTTAGGCCTGTAAAGAGCCTTGGCGTATGTATGTTTTTCCCAATTGATTGATAAGCCAATGGTCGCGGAAGCAGATGTTACGCTGACAGCTGAGAGTCAACTCTCATTCGTCAATGAAAGAACTAATGCATGCCCGGCTTACTCTCGATTTTCGCGATGCATCTGCTACCAAGGCTGAGCGAGAAAAAAGAATTGACCCCTCTTTTCTCGGAGCAGGAAACATTGCGGATAGTCGAGAATGTAGGTTGCAGGGACTCAGTCATCAGTTAATCAGCAAAGAGCTTATGGGGCGGAACAGGCGAAGAAGCAGTGGCAGTAAGCCCTTACACTTCACTAATGCCAGCTAGCGGATAGTGGGCGTATAGCGCATCCAGCGTATTACACATTGCGTCATGACGATCAAAGTGCCGATCACGCTCAGCCTTAGAACTATCGAAACAATCACCGAAAATTACCTAGTCTCATAAAGGTGTTCTACATTAGGCCCTGGAGAAAATTGGAAACCCGAAAGTCCACCAATACACAGTGAGAGATCTGCTTTTTGTCCTCTCTGAAGGATGTCGGTTCAGCTGTAGGATTTGAATTGTTATCTAAGCGCCCAATCTCGGCATTAGCCTTCCGTTGGAAGGGCTTGCGCTGCTGATCCGTGAGGCGTAGCAACTTATTAATAAGACGCTGTGCCACTGCCGAAAGCCCGTCAGCAACGCCCGACTTATCGTTTACTTGGCCATGGCCTTGAAAGTTGGAATATTGGTGCAGGCATCGGTGGGCTCAGTGCCGCTATTGCACTTCGACGAATGGGAGCCCAAGTTGAGGTTAGTATAACAAATACCCAACGATTGAGCTCGGCTGACATCGTATAGATCTTCGAGAGATCCAACTTCAAGGATGAGATAGGTGCTGCTATAACCATCACTCCAAATGGAATGCGCGTCCTTCGTCATTTCGGCTTTGATCCCAAGACAGCTCGCGGTGTACAGAATAAGCAAATGCGCATGGTAGATCCGCATACACTAAATGATCTGGTCATCGAAAACTTCAGTCAGGTTGAAGACGACTATGGCGCGCCCTTCATGTTCTTTCATCGTGTGGATCTTCATACTGCACTGAAGGAAATGGCTTTATCGACTGATGAGCGATATCCGGGTTCGCCGGTTGTAATTCACAATGGCCATTCTGTGACCAACCTTGACTGTGAGAGCGGGACGATTATTTTGGACAACGGGGAGACTTTTGAGAAAGACCTTGTTGTAGTGGCCGACGGAGTTCGAGTAAGTCCAGTGTGCCTATGATATTGCAGGTTCCACTGGCTAATCTTGCTTTAAGACCAGGTTCATCAACGAGATTACACAAAAAGACATGCCTCTCGAAGACATCGGCTCCTCTTTCTACCGCTGTCTGATCCCCTTCTCCGAAATAAACAAAAACCCCGACCTCGCAGCCATTTTTAAAGACCAAGATCCAGGATTCTGGGTCCCCTTCGAACTATCAACCGGGACATTCCTTGTTATATATCCCTGCCGAGATGGGAAAATGCTCAACGTTGCGTTTCGACACAAGACAAAGGCGAAGAATGAGCATACAGTCGATTGGAACACTGATACCAACGTGCAAGATATCATTTCCATGATAGGGAGGTTCAATCCTCTGGTGGCCAAGTTGTTTAGTTTGTCGACGAGTGTTTCTGTTCATAAGTTATTTCGGAGGGAGCTTCTTGAGACGTACACTCGGGAGAGGGCTGTCATAATTGGTGATGCTGCACATCCCATCCAGCCAACGCACGGTACGTTGAATGTTCTCTGAGCATCACACTACTAACAAGAGCACAGCACAAGGTGCAGTTCTCGCGATCGAGGAAGCAGCAGCACTACAAGTTCTCTTCAAAGACGTGCAAAACCCAGAACAAGTCCCGGAGCGTCTGGGCTTACACAATGACATTTTGAAGCGCTGCATTCATGTAACGCAGCTACTGTCGGATGCTCAACCCGGGATATCTAGTGTGCTGCGGAAGCGAGCTGAGGATATCTGGGGAGAGGAGATCTTTCCTCCAGAGGCGATGAACTTCACCAAGCCGATCAGAGGCTTTTTCTACGCGTGGGACGTCATGAACGAGGCAGAGAGTGTTTTGGCTCGTGCAGCATATTGAATGATTATTTTTTTCTACTTAAATACTACTTTTGAAGTCGCTATATGACAGTTTACTTACATTGACCAAATCAATCGCTTCTAAACCAAGCTCGCCGTCTAACCATCCAGCTACTGCAATGTATCTACCAGATATCCTCCTTCGAGATGTTAGCAAAAGTGTCAACCTCAGATGTGATCTGCTTACCTGATATCTTGCAGTGTCCCTTAGACCCTTTACCCTCTCAGTCGCGCTCTCAAGTGAAATGTTGCGCTGCTCGGCCCAGATAGAGATGAGGGTTGAGTTGACATCACGCGCCATATGCTTTGCATCGCCGCAAACATAGACAATCGCACCGTTGTCAATCATGTCTATCACATCCTTGGCGTGAGTCTTGATGAGGTGCTGTACGTAGACCTTTTGCTTCGTCTCTCTTGAGAACGCAACGTGGATGTCGAAACTGTCGCCCAGAGTTTCCTTGTGTTGCTGATGGCCAGTCAGCATCTGAACCCTAGGATAGCTTAACATCAACTTACCTGCCACTCTGATTCATAAAGGTAATCTTCATCCCGTCGGCGACATCCAAAGAACAACAAGCTCTTTCCAACATTCTTACCCTGCTTCTTCAACGCAGCTCGCTCCTGCAAAAAGCCCCTAAAAGGCGCAACACCTGTTCCCGGACCGATCATGATAACAGGTCGAGATGAATCCTTGGGGAGCTTAAAGTTAGACTTGCGCAGATGTATTGGTGTTTTGAAGCCAGCATAATTTCCACGAGGTCCATTGAGTAGATACTCTTGTGAGTGGGATTCCTGGTTCTGAGCTTGTTTGAGAGAAAGAAGGTAGTTTGTAGTAACGCCTTTGAAGACATCAGGTCGTCCCTGGATCTCGGCTGATTCAACGGCGGCAGTGATAGAAACGAGAGATGGTTGAACGAGAGATGAGGAGGAAATGGAGTAGTATCGAGGTTGAAGTTTACTCAAACCTTCGACTATAGCTGAGAAAGGAACCTTGGTCCACGGTTGACCGCCGCTGAGCATGCTTAATACTTGTGCAAGTGAAAGGAATTTCTGGCTGATCTTCTCATGGAAATACACCTTGTCGCTACCAAGCTTTGTCGCTTCACTCTTGGCGGCTTCGGTAGGTGCAAAAGCAGCGATGACGTTGATGAACTCTCGAGAAACAGGTCCAGCGATCTCAAGGTAATATCGCAAGGCAGTAGCATAGGTAGTTGGTGTAGGAACAGGTGACTTTGCTGTTGATTCCCGACTGACGATGGAAATAACCTTATCTTTCTTCTCAGAGAGTCCAAGAATGTTGAGAAGTTGGGTGACTTGATCTTCTGAGTTGGTAGGCCAGATAGCGACGTGATCACCTGTTTCGTAAGACAGACCTGAGTCACCGAGATCGATCTCCATGTGAATGCAGTTTCGATCCTTGGAAGTGAATATTTCTCGAGACTCGTTGATCTTGGCGATGTAAGGATTCGTGTTGCTGAACTGACGGTTCCCAGAGCTGGTTTCGAGATGATCCGCGTTTGCTTCACCGAGGAAAACACCAGGTGAACTCTCACTCAAATCATCTCTTTCCAAAACACCGAACGTCGACTCGTAAGCAACATCTCTCTCCTGCAGACCAAACTCTTGAACAAGCTTCGGCCACATATCCTGCTTCCACGCCAAAAAGTCCTCTTCAGTCGTCCCAGCCGCATCATCAGCTTCACCAACACTAGCAAGATTCTTCGCACCAAGTCCATCCAGCGCCTTAGAAACACGTCTCACCATAGCATTGTAATGCTCATAAGTGCTGTTTCCCAGACCGAAGGCAACATACTTGACATTCTGAAGATCAACATCAGGTTGGTCCCCATCTTCACCGCCAGTGATATAAGTATAAAAGTCTTGAGCGTTATCTGTAGGTTCACCCTCGCCGTACGTAGCGAGGACAAACATCAGAACGACCTGCTCTGAGAGTTCAGAAAGATCATTGTAGTCATACTCCTCGAGATCAGCGACCATGGGATCGAGGCCATAGCGTGAACTAGCTTCTCTTGCTAGCTTTTGAGCGTAGTTTTCTGCGGTGCCGGTCTGTGAGCCGTAGAATATGATGCAGTTCTTTCCGGTGGTGTTGCAGATGTGAGAGATGCTTCGAAGACTGTCTTCTTTTGAAGCTGTTGTTTCTGAAGAGGTGGTGGGCTTGGGGAAGAAGAGGTTTCGTATTTTGCCATTTGATAAGTATACAATTGCTCCGAGGAGTAGGGAAATAAGTACGATCAAGTCTGTTGAGTCAATGACGGGAGACTCTGTTGTAAGAAGAGCTTCGTCCAGAATGGACTCGTTGGTCATGATGTCGATATCAGCCATTGTATCAAAGATTGAAGTCGATTTGATGGTGATAATGATCTGCAACTATTCAGAAATCGCCAAAGCCTATTATACCATTTCAAGAAATCATCACCAGTTTTCTCATGGACCGAGTATCCGGTGCGGAATACTATTCCGATGACCGAACTTTCGATGAATTGCCACGCAAATCGCACCAACCAATCACAAGCGTCAGAAAGCCATCGGAACTTTCGCAATATTTCCGACGAGAAGTCAAACCAAGGCGTTCAACAAGATCAATATTTCGGTTACACTGGGAACTACGGATATAGAGTCAAGCCCAACATCACGATGCTTCTCTCCGTGGTTCATAGTAATGCCACCCTCGAATTATGCTTCTACCAAAAGTAATGTACAATAAAGACTAAGCCGCGTTCTTCCAAGCATCCTTCACCAAGCTCCAAGTCGCAAACACCGCCAACGGCGAAACAAAAGCCTCGGGTATCAAACCATCTCTCAAACTCCAATGGATAGAAACACTAGCCCAAGCCAAATTCTGAAGCACGTCACTCTTCCACTTTGCTTTCCATGTCTTTGTAGCCAGTTTCTCCTTATCTTGCATCGTATTCATCCAATCCAGCGATAAACGACCAATCTCAATCAGAGTAAACGCAGCCCAAGATCGAATTGCGAGAAACGTTAACTTTTCCTCTGATCTGGCTGAGCTTTTGAGAATTCCTCTTGTTGAGAGGAAGCCAACTGCTTCGGAGACGTGGAATGATGTGAGGCAGAGTGTTTGTGAAGCTTGTATTGCTACATCTAGCTTTTTCACGGGTTTTCCTGCTGATCTGTCGGCGGAGACACGTTTGATGAGGTCTTTGGCTGCCATCCACATGTCCAACGCGCCGAAGAGGCGATCCATGATCTGCCATTCATCGAGCATTGCACTAATTGCTCTTGAACAGTTTGCGACTCGTGTTGTTGATGTAGCCATCGTGTTGATATGAGATATTGTGAAGAATGACTTGGAGAGACCTTTCAGCCTCTTATTTTGGAGCCTTTGGAGGTAGGATGCTAAAAGGTCCATGATGAAGGTGACCAAGCGTATAGCCTCGCCGGCGAATAAGAGGACGACATCTCGACCTTCTCTCGACTCAATTGTTCTGTGTAGATGGGAAAGAAACTGGCCGAGCCGTATGTTTCTAAAGATTGAGGATTTCGTATGACAGTCTGGTGAAGAGATCATGGTGAACTGCTGATAGACAAGAATGCAGGCGATAGGGACAATCTGATATCTGATACGAGCCTTGCAACAAGTCAACAAAGCATTACGCGGTCTTTCTGCAGTGATACCGCGTTGACTAATACCTCAAAGGTTCCGACCGGAACAGACGAAGTGAAACTGATAAGAATAGTGATGAACTAGCAATCGAGTCATGGAGAGGCATATGTGATGCTGATCACCGTAACACTCGGAATGCCTCAGTTCCGGGCAATCTGGTTCCGAGAAATGAGAGATAATGAGGGACGCGTCAATTGATAGCGAAGCGAGCGCGCTTTTTAGTTATCTCTTAGTGTCGAGTTAGTACTTGATGAGGAATTAGTGATGTTTGGGGTTTCTCAGCTTACTTCCGAACTAGGAAGTTTCTGGTCATGCCCATTGAGGAAGAAGCCATCACGAAATCACAAGACAAATGCCAGAATAGGTCATTACAGTAACTTTATAGTAATTTAGTGGTAGTGATTGTCAATTATCTACAGCTTAAAAACATTGACCTTGACACACTTAACCTGCGTCCAATCATGCAGCGCATCCTCCCCATTCTCCCTCCCAAACCCACTCTGCTTAATCCCTCCAAACGGCGTATTAGCATTAACGCTTCCCCAGGAATTAACACAAACCAATCCACACTCAATCTTATCCGACACGCGAATCGCCTTGCTGATGTCATTCGTAAACACTGAAGCCGCAAGACCGTAGACGTTATCGTTTGCGAGATCAATGACTTCTTGCTCCGTCTTGAACTTGGCGATGCTGGCGACGGGGCCGAAGACTTCTTCGCGGATGATGCTGGCTGATGGTGAGACGTTGACGTATGCTGTGTTGGGGACAAAGTGGCCCTTTGAACCGTGGGATTGAGAGCCACCGTGGAGTACTTGTGTTCCTTCGGAGTTTGCTTTTGCGATGAAGCCCATGATTCTGTCCTTTTGCGTTGAGCTAATAACAGGTCCTTTCATGGTCTCTTCAAGCAAAGGATCACCCATGACCGCATCTTTCGTCCTCTTCGAAAACTCCGCTACAAACTTATCATAAATATCCTCCTGAACATAAATCCTACTTCCAGCCGCGCAGATCTGACCGTTGTGGATAGTAATTCCCATGGTAGACCACATGAGCGCATTCTCCCAGTCTGCATCGGAGAAGATAATGCTGGGCCCTTTACCGCCAAGCTCGAGGGTCACGCGCTTGAGGTTGGACTTTGCGGCGCTGGCGAGGATGGTGCGGCCGACGCCGACGCTGCCGGTGAAGGAGAGCTTGCGGACTTCGCTGTGGTCGGCGAGGGCTTGGCCTGCGACGGTGCCGAGACCGCAGAGGATGTTGACCACGCCGGGGGGGAAGCCGGCTTCAACAATCAATTGACCTAGTTTTTGGCCGTAGAGAGGGGCGAGCTCGGGGGTTTTGATGATGAGGGTGTTGCCAGCTGCAAGAGCGGGAGCCAACTTCCATGAAGTGATCATGCTATTACAATTAGTGATGGATGGTAGGAGAGTGAGAAGGGATTTGACTTACAGAGGAGTGTTCCATGGAACAACAGCCGCACAAACACCAATTGGCTCTCTCTTGGTATACGCAAGACCACTCTCATAGTCAATACTCTGTCCATCAAGTTTATCCGCCCAGCCCGCAAAATATCTACACGTCTCGGCTGCTTGCGGGACACTCATCCCCATGGACATGTTATACAGCATCCCAGCATCAACAGCCTCAATGGATGCAAAGTCCTGAACATCTCGCTCAATAAGATCAGCGAGTTTATTCAACAGACGTCGTCGTTCCTGAGGTGGTGTAGTCTTCCACGTAGCTGATGCTTTACGTGAAGAAAGTACAGCGCGGTCCACGTCGGAGGTTTGGGCGGCGGAGATGGAGCCGATGGGGGATGCTGTAGTGGGATTTTCGATTGTGACTTTTTTGTTGTCTGCTGCGGGGGTGAAGGTGTTGTCGATGAAGAGACCGGTGGGGACTGTGACGAGTCAGTAAGTTAAATGCATGTAATGGTATATGGGTGTAACGTACGTGTGATCTTTCGACCACCAGAGCCAGTGATTGTAAGGTCCGCCATACTGAGAGTGTGTTCCGAGTATAAAATAGTAATAATATCCACTTATCAAGATCTTATCAGACAGCAAGAAATCGATAAGCAGTCAGGTAAGAAAAGAAGGGCGCAGTGAAACCGCATGCATATTACTTATGTACATTACGACGACATTCCACTCGGAATCTAGGATGTTATGTTCCGGAATTGCACTGACCATGTTACATGAGGGGTTATGCATAATCCAGGGTCTTTCCTCAGTCCTACAGTCTTACTCATGGCGATACACCGCAGTCAGATCATCTCCATATCTTACGTATATTTAATCCACTGACTTGCTTTAACTGTTTCAGTTGATGAAAGGATTATACGACGATGTAGTATCAGTGCCACTATTCAGCAGGAGCCGCAATGCAGATGGGTAATATGGAGAGTGACGAGTCTTCCGATTGGGCCGCGGTTATGGTGTCGGAACCGCAGTGGCGATTCCGATATCGCGGAGTTAGTGGACGAAATAAATGGCGCAGATGGGGAGAGATGCCCTGTAATTGATCAACGGTCAGACAATATCTCCGTAATCTCCAGCGGCCCGTGATCCGTGATACAGAAGAGGTTGGAGTGGTCTTGGCGAATCGGTAGTTGGTCGCCAAGATAGAAAGGCCGAGATCCGTTACCATGAATGCATGGAATAAGCTATGTGCAATTATCCCGAGGTGACATTTATTTGCCAAGGGCTCAAGAACAAGCCTCGGTACAAACAGACGCGTAGTAAGCCCTAATGGGAATGGTGGTGTATCTTACGTGTGATCATCTCGCAATAGGCCCGCAAGGACCAACTTGTCACGACTCCAGGGTAACATGTCACAAACAATTTTACAAATGTTTGGTTTCAACACATCCACTACCGGGATCGTTTCACAGTAGAAGCAGAAGCCGGCAGTTGTCTCAAGAAATCTCATTCATGCTAAAATAATGCAAACACTGATGTACAATTTCGATGCCATGCCAAGTAATGTCAACCAATACCCTGCCTACAGCTTAGGTCCCTCCTCCTTACAGCACCCAGAAGTCAATCTCGACCCAATATCCTTATCAGAAGGAACATCAAGCGCCGGATTACCCGTAAAGAAATCCGAAGGCGAGATATGCAACTGCAGCATCTCAACAGGCATAACAGGCCAGTCCTCAACTCGAGGGTTATGCGTAAGGCCAAAGACACTCCAGCACACAATATCCTGATTCAACACGTCGTCGCATCGATCAGCTGCGTCGCTCACACCCCCGACTTCAGTCTTGCTGAGAAGAGTGTACCGTCCGCCAGCGAAGAACTCGTGGTCCTTGTACTTGGTCACCCAGAAATGATGCTTGGCGAATAGAGCGCGCTTGGCTTGTGTGCTGTTGGGGTCGGCGAGGAGGAGTTGTGTTGCTGGCGGTGTGATCTTGTAACCAACTGGCTTACCCGATACACGGTTCAGTTTGTTCAAGTTCTGAACCTTGAAAACCCTGTTGTTCATCGGAGCTGCGTCTATGCCTTGAGATGTAGTAATGGGCGTCTGACGAACTTCATACATGTTTCCATTAGGATTCGTCCTCTTATCCATTCTCAAAGGAAGACTCTCCTCCTGCACAACAGTGTTTTCAGAACCATCGATAGACGGATCAATACGAACGCAGAACACATGCTGATGATTTTGAGCGAGGGCTCCAGGGCTGACGACGTTTCCCCAGGGGGCGGTCTTGCCGGGGTCGATGTTGACGACGGAGACGATGCCAGTGGCGCGGGCTTCGACGACGATGCCAGCTGCTTGGTCGAATTTGTAGTTGAAGACGTACTCGTAGTTGGCGAGGGTGATGATGAACTGGATGACGAGCTCGCGGCGGCGGGTCACCACTGCGCGGCCGGTTCGCCAGTCGGTGTGTTTCCAGTTGATGCCGTTGTCTTGCTCGTGGAGACAGATGGCGTTCTTGGTTTCTTGGGCGGTGCCGTCTGCGTCTGTGAGGACACCGTCGAAGTACTGGGGTTGTTAGCTGAGAAGAGGGTGAGTTTGGGGTGGGGCGTACCTTGATGACACCGAGACAGTCGCAGCCGAGAGTAAGGTTGTTGACGCAGTGGCCAAGACCTCCGTCACCAAAGTCAAAGGCTTGCTTGCGGTGGTATGGTGGACGAGGATCAGCATAAGGGACAGTCTATATATGTAAGTATGTATCTCGTGAGTGTTTCCCAGTAAACTTACCATATCGCTGATACTCAATCTGTACATAACAGGACGTCCGTCATATCGGATATCGTGAACAACAGCACCCTCACGAGGATTAAACGTAACCCTCATTCTCCACTTCTGCCACTGGATAAGATTTCCCTCTGTAATCGAGAAACTAGGTCCCTGAGGCTGCACAACCATCAAAGGCTTCAAATCCTTCCTCGTCCCATTAGGGAGAAGCTCAGGAACGTACTCTGCGCTCTGGCAGTGATCAATACACCCAGCAGCGTAGGTCTTGTCAGTCAAACTATCACCCTTGCCGCCCGTAGCAGGCTCGTCAATGCGGATGATCTCCTTGGTAGCGGCATCCATGACGGGGATCAAGGGCATGGGATAAGCGTAAAAGTTGGAGTCTTGGCCTTTGCGAGCATCGCGCGCGAAGACGAGAGCTTGGAAGAAGCGAGTGTTTCCATCTTCCAAGTCTGGTGCACCATATGGCCAGGGCTCAATGACTGTCTCAAAACCCTCGGGGAGCTTGATTGCCTTGAGTTTATCCTGGAACATCTTTGATCTCTTGCAAGCATCAACCACAATATCAAACTCAGCACTAAACAATCAGCATCTCATCAACCCCATGAGTGAGGGGAAACTTACGTAGTCAGACTGGCTTGGTGCTCTTCACTGATAATCTCCTGCGCCACGATACTCCGCTTCGTAACATCAACCACAGACTCATAGTACTGCGACTTCTGATCTCCACCAATGACATCGTAAAACACCTGCGCGCAGCGATCAGGTCTTGGCGAAGAAGTAGTCAAAGCGCCTGAATGCTCAAGCTCCAGAAACTTGAGGACTTCTTCCTTGGGGGGCTCGAACAGATACGATTGTCTGAAGAACAGCAGCGCACCGGGGTGAGAGGCCTTGACGATGTCGCGTGCAAGGTTGGTCTCCCGTATGGTGAGGGCAGAAAGAGGATGTGGTGCAGCCATGTTGACAAAAAGACTCAAGACAATGGATACAATAGAATGGGGTTTGTTTGTTCAATCAGAGTCAGCTCAAAGTGATGTTTCGCAGCTGTCAAATAGTCCCCCCGGAAGGTGTCGTTCCGAGCGTTACACTCGGAACGCCTCTCGGAACGCGGAAGTGCAATCTTCTTATCTCCCCCCCTCCACTATCAACATCCCTAGTCAAGGATAACACACTCGTAAGAAAAACTAAGTTAGATTTCCCCGCGTTCTTGATACGGCCCCTGTTTAGCGTGTGTTTTGATCAAGATGTGATATGCCAGCGGGTAAGAACAGGGGGTACGTAGATATCTCTTTTCCCTTATCAACGTAGTTTAATAGACAGAGATTTCCGTGCTTTCCAGGAGCTCCGTAGACAGAAATTGCATTATAAAACGTTATTATTTGATCATTTGAAAATGGGCGATTTACAAGACTTGGACAAATATCCTGTGGCTGTTGATAAAGACGCCATGAGCCTTGAGGGTGATACCGGAGTTTCGAGCGATGATGCCCTGCGTCTTGCGCAGTTGGGCCATACGCAGGAACTTCGAAGACAGTATTCCCTCTTTTCTCTCTGTGCTCTATGCGTTTGTCTTATGGCGACATGGGAAGCTTTGTCCTCCGTCGTCGCTACAGCTCTCATCACCGGCGGAGCACCATGTCTCTTCTACAACTAGTCCGTCTCCCTCCCCCCCAAAACAAACACCACTAACATGAATAGTCTATTATCAGCAGTATGCTCAATCTGCATCGCTAGTTCCCTTGGCGAAATCGCTTCGATATATCCTACAGCTGGAGGTCAGTCAACCCTGGGTAGAGATCCTTTTAGCTTGAGACTAACGCTTCGGAATGGTACTCCAGGTCAATACCATTGGGTAGCAGCCCTTACGCCCGCTTCGATTCGATCGCACGCTTCTTGGGTCACAGGCTGGGTTAGCATTGGCGGGCAGGTTGTTCTTACATCATCTGCTGCGTTTGCTGCTGGTCTACAGATGCAGGCTCTTATAATTGTTAACAATGAGACGTATGTTCCTGAGCGGTGGCAGGGCATGTTGTTTTACTGGCTGGTTCTTGTTTATGCTCTTGCTCTTAATATTTGGGGTGATAGACTTCTTCCGTATATCAATACGGTGTCTGGTAAGTACTCTTGCAGGCTGGAGTTGTTTCGGAACTGACGCTTCCAGGTGCGATTCATGTCATCGGTTTTGTGACAATTGTTGTCGTTCTCGGTGTTATGGCACCCAAGAACTCGGCTTCTTTTGTCTTTACAGAGGTCACCAACTCTAGTGGCTGGGCCAACGATGGTGTATCTTGGCTAGTTGGCCTCTTGAGTGCTGTGTATCCTTTCCTCGGGTATGTCCTCATCTCCCAATCACTACATAACCATCTAACTATCACAGATATGACGCCGCCTGCCACTTAGCAGAAGAAATGCCCCACGCCAGCCGTAACGTCCCCCTCGCTATGGTCGGCAGTGTAACCGTCAACGGTCTCATGGGTCTCGTCTACGTAATCATCTTCCTCTTCTCAACAGGACCACTCGAGAAACTTCTCCAAACACCCACTGGTTTCCCCTTCATGCAAATCTTCCTTGACGCTACAAAGAGCCCTGCTGGTTGCATTGTTCTCTCCGTCATCATCACCTGTACTGCTGTCGCAGCGACTGTCGCTGGAGTTACTTCTACTTCGCGAACTTTGTGGGCTTTTGCTAGAGACAAGTCAACGCCGTTTGATAAGCAACTGAGTCAAGTCGATAAACGTCTTCAGATTCCTGTTTACGCTGTCGTTGTCGTCACTGTTCTTCAGATGCTTCTTGGTCTCATCTACCTCGGCAACACCACGGCTTTCAATGCTATCTTGTCAATGTCAATCATTGGCATGTATGTCAGCTATGCGTTTCCCATCATCGCAATGCTGTTCGCCAGGAAGAGTCTTCAAACTTCGAATGGCTTCGGTCCCTTCAAGCTTGGACGTATTGCTGGCCCAGCTGCGAATGTCATCAGCTTGATATGGATCACTATCGTTGTCATCTTCAGCACTTTTCCGTCGTCTATGCCAGTCACACCTCAGAACATGAACTACTCTATCGTTGTCATGGCTGGATGGCTCTTTGCTGGTATTGGATACTATGTCTTCCGTGGAAAGAACAAATTCGAGGTTCCGGTCGTTGACCTTGATGTTGTCGAGGGACTTCGTGACGGAGTTCATGACAAATAAATTGGATAGTGATAGTCAAAAAGTCGGTGATCGATAATACTTGGAATTGAGCGTTATAACAGGAAACCCAGATTGTTGGACACTGGATATTGGGCATAGGATTAGACGGAACATGGGGCATGACTGAAATATGTACGAGACACTTACGCGATGGACACGCTCATTAATACACTCCTGATACAATGATATTGTCACAGTCTGCTCCCCGACAAGTTCCATTAAACCAGTGACACCTAGAACGCCCCATTGAACCGACTCAGATCATCACCCTGCGCAACACCACCATTCTGATCAGGCAACGCAGCAGCCCCCTGATCAAGCCCATTAACCTGACTCACCGGCCTCATCATATTATCCTGCTCAAACGCACTAAATAAATTCAACAAATCCGTCTCCAGCCCAAACATATCCGCCATATTATCATCCATAAAATTACTCCCCACGCCACTTCTAGGCCAATTCGTCGGTACAACAGTCTGCTGCTGTCGAACCTCGGGCGTCTCCTGTTGCAGAATCTCCGCAAGTGCCGTGTTACCAGTTGGTGTGATTGGTGACTCTAGCGATAAAGCCCGATGAATCGTTCCTTTTAGCGAGCGCCAGAGTCGTCGACCTAGTTGGCCGTGCTGAGATATGTTTTTGAGAAGGCGTACGGCATCTTGGAAACTTTGTCTGCACCGATCGGCGAAGACGTCGGGGCCGTGACATACTGCTAGGAGAATTGTTGCCAAAGCGCCTGTGAGGAAATAATTAAATGTTGCTTTTTGGCGTGCATATATATCGCTTGTTTCGTTCAGGTTTACTAAAACTTGGATTGTGTCTTGTGCAAGGCTGACAACGAGTTGAGCGCCTTGCATGTCCGAGCGCAAGTTCTCAGCGCTCATAACGTGATGTCGCAGAACCAGGTTTCGAATGTAGTTTCCTCTTAGATAGAGGAGCGTTCTTAAGCGCTGTAGAACTCGAGGTTGATGACGTGGAGCTTGTGACAGTCGAGGGTACACGAGCTGTAAATCATCGGGTATGGAGTGAATCCATTTCTGAGTTAGAAAATCGAAGAAGTCGACTTTATCTTTTGGAACCATGAATGGTGATGAGTCAAGTGGTAGATCCTCCCAGACTTTAGAGCATAATTTGGCGTAGGAGACCATACATCGAAGATACGGATGTTCCTCACCCTATCAACTGTGAGTATACGTATGTCCCTCGGGATATGAGGGGAACCTACTGGCTCTGGACATTGGGGATCTATATCCCGATCCGAAATGCCGAATGATAGACTAGTGCCATAACTCCACCTTCGGTCCAGGATGTATACACACCAGAAACAACGAATCGCCAAATCTCGTTCTGAAGGGTTCTTGAAGTTCTCAAAGAGTGAGGTTCGGCGGTGGAGGCCGATTTCAAGGGCTTCGCGACCGGCGTTGCCGATGGCTCTCCAGGCGAGGAGGTCTTCTCCACAATGAAACCAGTAGATGCTCTGTAAACGTCAGTAATAGTAAAGAAACAGTAGGGAATAGACTTACCAGCATTATCATGAGTTGAAGTTCTTGAAGATCGATAAACGCCTCGCCTGATACCCTGCAAATTACAGGCTCAACATCATCAATCAACCTCTTGCTGATGTTATTCAGCCCCTGTGCCTCTATCGCAACAGACGTAGCAACCGCCAACTTGATAGCCTGAACATCCTTAAGCGTATTCTCCATTGGCGTCTGAAACACCGAAACTGCCTTGCCCGATAACTCATTAACATCAATGAACGGATAAACACTCTGGATCTCCTCATTATAAACACCCAACAACCTCTGAACCTCCCCAATCCCCAAACTCGGCAGAATCTCAACATCTTCAATCCCTGGAGAAAGATGCTCACTCTCAACAACAGGTTCTGTCTCGCTGGGTGATTCAGCCGGCGTGCTTGTACCAGTAGCATTTGGTTCGATACCCATTCCTGTGAGGGAGTTTTCTGCGATCTGGAAGCTGTACGCTGAGCGCGTTGGACCGACGAATTGAGGCTCGCGCGGCTCGGTCCTCACGTTGCGGATGTCTTTGCGGTAGGTGGAGGGGTGGCCTTGGGGAGTGGATTTTGTGGAGGAGAGGGTTATTTGGGGTAGACGCTGGGATACGTCTTGGAGGGCTGATGTTAGGGCGTTAACTTGGTTTTGGAGGGCGATTACTTGTTGGCTTAGAGATGTGACATCTGTCCTATAGAATGTGTTAGTATCATGTATGCGAGATGGATGAGAAACTCACTGAGGTTCTTGAGTTGAGCGTCTTCGCGATGGCTCACTATCTTCTTTCGCTGGCTGAGTGGTTGGAGCAAAGATGCATTCAACTTTATTCACATCACATCTCTTACAAATATCATCACCCTCCTCCCTCACACACTTGAGCTTCTTCTTCTTACACTCATTGCTAACAGCGTCAGTATATCTCAAGCCCTCAGGGATGGTGGTCGCGTACCAAGCTACAGGCGCGTATTTGGCGCGTTTACTCCGCTGATGAGATGACGTGGCCGACTCTGCAATTGAGCCTATTCTCTTGCGACCAGGATCCATCAGTCATTCCTCGATATGTCGCGTGTTGTTAATCGAGGCTCATGAAATACGGGGTGGAATTATGTGTTGTAGTGTTCAAGGTCACTAAAGAAAAGGGCGGGGCTGCCTGTAATTATTTCTATCCGGGGGTCGCTTATCCAGATATTCCGCTAGACCAAACCTGACAAGGCCTAGACCTTGCTGATGTCCTTATCAATTCTTTAGCACTTCTTATCGTACAGCAATAAAGTTTTGACCTTTCTCCAAGTGGTTATTACTTCCACTCACTGATTGCGTCTCTAGCGTCTTGTTTCCCATAACTTATCGATACTTCATCCGTCCTTCTAATCCCACTACTATCGTTCTGAGTCTTTGTATCGCGAAGTATACTCTCGTCGCTGGCATTCGCATTATATGCAATGACTGTTCTGTTTGAAGGACCGCTGCCGCCAATTGTTTCTGTACCGGGCATTGAACCGTTGCCGTATTTTCGACCGCTGTGATTGCCGTACATGGGGAGTTTGTACGAACTGGCCGCGCCGGAGCTGTCGCCTTGGCTGCCGTATCTGAAGCGCACGTAGAGAGGGCGGAGGACGGGGATGGAGGAGCACATGATTGTCACGGTGCTTTCCGTTGCGGACCATATGAGCATGTCCACTGTGTCGTCTGCAAAAGTTAGTAAATCGATGACTGGTGGTGAATGAAGGGGCATACAGATGTATTCACTGGCGTTCAACCCGTTGAGAGCGACGGTGCGGACAATGCCGCAGATACCAGCACTAATAATGTCAGCATGATAGAAAGCAGTCGTCGATGGATGGCTTACAAGATACCAAGACTGAGACCGCATGCGACAGTGATCTTCTCTTTGCGCTTCATGTTAAGCTCCCAGATGACGAACCACGGAAGAATCGCGAAACAAAAGTCCGCAACGACAAACCAAGCTATACACATTAGCGACACTCAAAACCGCCAAGCCGCCAGAAACTCACATCCAACAGTCAACCCGACCTTGGAAAAGTCAATCCAACACGTCCCCGGAACCCGTCGATCCCAAGTCCTCTGCACAGGGTCACACTGTACAACGACAACAATACTCGAAAACAGCGTGATGAACACCGTTCCTGCTAGAAAAGCCCAGATGAAAGCCTTCTGGAATTTGTTCCGTACGATGCGAAGTAAAAAGATACCGACAGCGCATTTTCCAAGACCGATTACCATTAATCCGGCTACTTGGCTGTAGATTTCTAGCTCCACGGCTCGGAAGTATGCATCGGGATTGCCAACGTCTGCGAATTTGCGACCGAGACCGTATTTTGTTCCGGCTGTGACGAAGGCGGAGTAGATGATCTGGAAGACCTACAGATTGTGAGGATGAGTTGTTGGAGAGGGAGTGAAGGTCATACCAATGCGATGATGACGAGATAATCATCTGCTCCGACAGAGTGCAGGATTTGAGATCTCGTGTATAATCTCAGTCCAACAAAGACTGCAAAAATAACGACTTGAACCCATAGCACTGCATTGAGCATAGGCCCCAGGCCTCCATAGTAACTCGTCATGATTGCAAAGACCCAGTGTTAATAACAAAGAGAAATAGAAGCTGAAGTGGCTCGCCTTGTTCGGCGGAACTCACGACCTTATCGACTCGAAGCGAGGCAACATCCTCTTCTGATCACACGTTTCTCCAGTGGTCTAACTAGTGTGTTGGTTGACTGGGAAAAAGAAAGGAGTGAAGGATCACTTCCTAGCGCGTTTCAATGCATGGTTAAGGGGAATTGTTGGCTAACCTCTGCTTCAACAAGATCTACAAGAAAACCCTTGTTGACGATATGATATGTTTGGCACGAATGACGCAAGCTTGGAGATGGACCAATAGTCAAGGTTGCTGTAACATGTTGTGTCAGTTACGGCTTAAGTTTTCTGTAGGCGAGGACAAGCATGGCGTGACTGTTGGTTGATGCGGGCTTTGTTATCTCTTTTCTCCTGGTATATCATACATGATAGACCTCTAGTTATTCTTGGACCTTTCACATCGTGAGTGTCTGGATCCTCGCAGAACCCGAACACCTGGGCTGCTGCAGGAACTTGACTTGGCCGCATTATGCAACAAGGTAAAAGTCTCTTGCAATGGATTCTGCAGTCAATTAATTCTCCCCGGATGCCGCCATCCGCAGGATTTTGCCGAGACAATCAACAGCCCCCACATACTTTCCAGAGCTCCGGTGATGCTCTCTTTGCTTTTTCTCAGGGTCACTCCCACCCGGACGTTTTACTCCCCCATGCCATGATTCGTCGAACTTGAATGTATGTCATGATGGGGTCGCCTGAGAAAACCTCACCAGAAATAGGGAAGCCGTCAGAGTAACATCGCCTTTTCGACAACATTGATCATACTGGTGTTGCAGTAACTTTATCCACCAAGACTTTGATTAGCGGTTCCGATGTAATGACACAATTGAATGGATTATCAGAGTTTCTTTTGAGACAACTTGAAGGATTCAGGCGAAACTACAGTAGATCCACTTATAGAACCAGGGATACGCTGATCACGGCTCAACGTTGCATTTATGAACCGCGTCATTTCGCCGGGCCGTTACGGGTCAACCACCATCAGGTCAACGGTTCAAATGCATTGATCAACGGTTTTTAGGCGTGCTTGCTACAGGTAAGCATGAGATTACCGGATCTTGCATCCTTTAAGTCAGAGCTTATATCACCCATTCTCATTAAGGCAACAGCTCTGTTCTATGGCACCTCCGAATGACTTGAGCCTCAAGAACTCGCATTGTTTAGCAGTGGAGCTATAACGCGAAGAATTGCCCGAAGTATCCCGCGTTCCCCGTGGGATTCAGATCCTAGCTAAGCGACCTTGTCCTGTGGGGACTTAACTGACAAGTGGGCAAACAATTCATTTTCTGTATAAGTGACATTTCACCATGGGCTGTTCATATTCATGTTGTTACGCGGGTATATAGACGATACTAACGCATATGATGAAGCATGCATTCCGTTGTCAAGGACAGAGGCGATGTTGCACTCATTGGCTAATAAGTAATAGCAATAACACATATAACTCTTTTTACGCCATTTCTTAGCCGGTATTCGTAGGATCTATTAGATAGAAACTCTCCTCACATCCATCACACCAACTCTTCATCCTGGTCAGGGGCAGCAGGGTTGGCCCGCATCAATGTGCCTCAACTGAATCATTAGTCTAAGTGAAGACATCTTACAGTCAACTTATTTATACAAGCGAGAGTTGTCTCAAACCATCTATCACATCCCCAAAACATACTCACACTCTTGTACTTGACACTTCACAATGGGCGGCTCAGTTGATTCTTCAACAAACGATCTCATCGCCATCCTTGATGATGTAAAGCCCAGTCAATTCGGCGGCGATGAAGTCGAGCGCCTTCGCGTCCGTGCAGCTGCCCGTCGTCTTTTATCCAGAGTTGAAACTCCATATGAACGAGCGTGGGGTTTTTGCTTTGAACATCCTGCTGTTTTCGCGGCGCTGCAGACTGCGATTGATTTGGGAATCTGGACGGCTTGGACCAAAGAGGGTGGTGGGAAGAAGACGATTGATGAGTTGGTCAAGTTGACAGGGAGGGATGTTGAACCTAACTTGCTGCGTGAGTTATTATATTTTTGTGATGTTGGTCGAAGCTTACGTGTGTTCAGGACGTCTGTTCCGTCTCTTGGCTGCGTTTTATGTAGTTGAGGAGACTGGCGTAGATACTTTCAAGCCTACGCCCTTCTCTTACGCTATAGGTGACGAAAGTACCAAGGTCCGAGCCTCCCTCCAAGCAGCGTAAGTCTCCCAATCACAAAGCCGGCTCTTCGACTAAACAACCTAGAACCTACCAATACATCTCAGCTGGCCAAAACCTCCCCAAATACCTCGCCAAGATAGGTTACAAAGTCCCCATAGCAGCCGAAGACAACAACTACGCAGGCAGCGATCCCGACGGCCTCAACTTCTTCGGTCGTCTTCAGAAGAGTTCAGAGTACTATGAAGCTTTCACAGGCCACATGGAGGCCTGGACCTCTTGGAAGACACCCTGGACGAAGATTTACGATCCTAGCAAGTTGATCGAGGGTGCAGACCTGAGTAAACCGCTTGTTGTGGATGTTGGTGGTAATACTGGTATTGATATCTCGCATGTTTTAAAGGCGAGACCGGACTTGCCAAAGGGGGCTTTGGTGTTGCAGGATCTACCGGAGATTATTGAACGGGCTGATGTTGATGAAAAGATCACGGCTATGGCTCATGATTTCTTCAAACCTCAGCCTGTGAAGGGTAAGTCTCCCCATTCTTACTAAGTGGGAACTTAAGTACTGACTCAAGTCTAGGAAGCCGGGCTTACTTTATGCACGCCGTTCTTCACGACTGGCCTGACGCTCAAGCAACACAGCTCCTTCAGAACACCAAGGACGCAATGCAGAAGGGCTACTCTAAACTCTTTATCTATGATATCGTGCTGCCACCAACTGGAGCTAGTATCAGCCAGACCACCATGGACGTTCAGATGATGTCTCTTCTTTCAGCTTCTGAGCGAACCAAGAGTCAATGGGAGGAATTGCTTACAGGGGCTGGGTTCAAGATTGTTAAGTTTTGGCCTGACCCTCAGCAGTACGAGATGTTGATTGAGGCTGAGGTTGCATGAATCAGTGATTAAAGTATGTCTGTGATGGTATGGAGGACAGTAGTGGGTGACAATGAACATGAATAGAGTATCTGTTGCTCAGCGCCCCCAAAAAGACACTAGGTCTTATTTCAGCTCAGGAGTCTCAACATAATCAGTCACAAAGAAGAATAGCCATGAGCCGAAGCATATCATAAGCCCATCGAGATAACTGCGACATGCATCCCTGACTCAGTCCATCAACTAAACACCACTTTGATCAGCGAGAGCTACGTATTCCCTTTCAAGTCTCGGCAAATCAACGACCCCAAAAATTTAAAAACATGACCGCCGAGAGGAAAAAGCAGCCATCCTTGCCCTTTAATGCCAGAAAATCGAATCTTTAATTGGGATTTTTTAATGTGTTGGCTTGATACATCTAGTTGAGATATCATAAGCTTTAACTATCAATCAATCAATCGAGTTTCTAGAGAGATATCGCCTTCCTTCTCGGGTCACAGTTTGAATCTAGTATCGACTCTTTTCTATGTCATACTAAAAGACCAGCCTTCTTGTCTAAACTACCATTCCCCGCGCTTTGTCGAAGCTATCGACAGTTTTATTTCTTCCTCTGTTCTTTTTCCAAGGAGTTCTTCAATCCCCTGATGACCATATCTTCATAAGCACCTCGCCACCAACAAACTTCGCTTCTTCAGGAGTAAGCATGCGGCCATATCATGGCGTCTGGCTTGCAGCTTGACACGGTCATGTTCTTCTTCTGAGGTCCAAGCAGATCCCTGCGCCAAGTTTGTTACAGCTGTCTGTCACAGTTGGGTGGATGAGAGCATGGAGTTGAAAATCTTGACACCATCCATAGAGCCGAGCCATATGGATGCGCCATAATCGGTGGTCTTATCGACAAGGCCATCTCAGGGGAGCTGACAGCGTGAAATCCCCAAATTCAGTCGCTGCCGGGAACTCAAAGCTTTCTCCATCCCTATGTCAACCTTGCTCAACCCACAGCGTTAATCATGGAGGGGGACTAAGGTGGTACCTTTGCCTATCTCCTGCATGCTGTACCTGTTGCTTGTATGGTGGAGAAGCCGTCCGAGTAATGGACTTACGGGGCAAAGACGCGGATTTTATCGCCATTCATTTCCAAAACAATATGTCATATCGATGGGATAACTTTCTAAGAACAACTAGCATAGGGTATCTAAAACGGCCTCGGGCCAAAGCTTCACTTTACTCCCATGGACCCTCGAGATATATCTCTAGCCATCTATAGTTTACCGATCTAGACATCCTATCAAAAAAAGTGTCAGTGGCTTCGACTTCTATATTCAGAGGGGCCTGTCTCCTTCTCTCATCAAGGTTGCTTTTTCGGACCAGGTGTTCTCCAATGTCTTTTCAGCGGGTGCTCCAGTTTGTCATCATCGTCGTCGAAGTAAACAATGAATGCGCGCATCTCCACCATTGCTGCTTTTAACCTCTGTATTGCTAATCCTGTGGTATCGGTGAGCTCTCGTGACATGCCGGCTCACCGCCAAAAGACGCTTGAGATTTCCTCATCAGCCCTCGGGGTCAAGATCTCGCTGAAGAATTACTTGGCTTGGTCTCAGCGAAAGCACAGAAGATTGCCGAGAAGCTGACTGAGTTGTTTCCCTCTTCTCATCCGTGAACGCTTAGTACCATCGCTCCTCTTACTCTGAGAGATGAGAAGTTGGCATCGCGGTGTGTCATGGAGCCACCGACTCAACATTTGTTAAATACACCAGTAATGTTTACCAATCCAAAGTTAGTTGCTGTGGTATTTGATCACTTGTAAATGGTATGTCATCAGTCATGATGTGCCATAAACACGGCCTTCTGCAGATGCCGCTTTATGAAGACGGCCCGGAGGAGATCCGTAGACTGGCTCCAAATGCCATGAAGCCGGAACAGGATGTGAAACGTATAAATCCACTTCTTTACTAGTCCGCCTCGAGCTCCTTTTCTCTCGCCAATTTGCCTAGCACAAGTCATCCAAGAAATATTAACTCTATAGTAACTCGATTTGCCAATGACGGAATTACCGCTTGTCCTATGGGAAGTGATAATGCGTCTGACCTGCAGCGACTCGTGCCAGTACATCGCCCGATAATTACCATTTCTGGATTATTCCTCGATGTGAACGAATAGAGACGTATGTGCCTGATGAAATGCTCAATTTTCTGACGAGTACTATGCGGCGATCTATATGAGATGCTGCTGACTTGTTCTTAGGACACTACTTGGTTTCAGTACTGCGTATTGAGTCACTGAACAGGTTATATGAGAGTTTCAGATGTTAACAGCGCCTTTCTCTGCCTGGTTAAGTTCTCGACTTGCTCCCATTAACATTTTCGAGCTGCATTCATAATTTCATTCTGTCGTAATACCCGTCATTCTACGCCCTCTCAATCCATCATATAGATCATTATCTACATCATTCTGCATTAGTTGAAGAAGAAGATTGGCGCCTACTGATGAAGGACATCATCAGGAGAAATGTCTACTCGATACGTAGGTCGACATGATGGCACAGTCTTAAATGTGGAGAGTTAGGAAGATCCTCACTTCTATAATTGCCAACATCCTATTAGATCTAACTTTTCCAGGAGACAAACGTCATATTCAAAACTAGACAGTATAGGGCACTTAGATATTAATGTATCTTAGAATTCGTAGAATAGATAGACTCAAAAGTCAATACCGGCGGCCTGTAAAAGATGCCAAATTCAGGTTGGTCGATAAAACTACAGTACAGGGTACGCCCAAGAAAGTCCAGTTTCATTCAGAATCCTCCGCCGCAAAAATGATCAGGTCAACTCGGGATTTCTTTTTAAGTTCAATTGAAGTCCTTGAACTTCAAGCACTCTATCTGACTCAGTCTCAACCCTTGTGGGTAAACTCTGTTCTGTTGTCCCATTTAATATTGGGTACTGGCACGGTATCATGCGTTATTTGAATACGGGCGCTAACACGGCTCGGCAGAGGATCATCGACTGTTGAGCAACAAAAACCGTGAATACGAACAGCCACAACGTATCCAAAAAGTCAGTTATTCTCAGTTCTGGACGCTCAATTGACTCTTGGCGATGCTCAAGTCGAGTCAAAAAGTGAGGCTATAGCGAATACAGTAATTAAGCGGTCAGCACGTGGCGCGATCAGCAAACTCACTGAAGGTCTGAAGCGGTCGCAGAAAAAGAGGGAGGCTGGGCCCTTGAAACCGGTCTCATTAACCTTATTGTTATCGTTGAACAGAGCATCACTCGTATCACCTTGCACAGAACGGCTCCTCACATCCGATCACGTCACAGAAATACAAAGCCGAGTACGTGCAAAAAGCAGCCGAGGCGCCCGAGCCTGCGCTAGAAACAGCGGTATTGGTTCGAGAAGTTCTTTTGATCTCAGCCACCTCGGGAAGGTTATCTCCAAAAGTGTCATCTGACTCACTAACGCGTGGCGAGGCGTTCTTTTAGTCTTGTCAGACTCGCGTGTGGCTTGCATGCGGAGGAATGTAAATGGCTTTGCTTATCACGATAAGTTAGATGATCAATTGATGGAATTGCGTATTTTGTACTCCGTACTCAAGTTTATGCAGATCGGACGAGGTCTTGTGTCTAACCGAGACAAAGTGAACCAATTGTTTCAATTATACAGATAAGACACCCCATAAGATTACAAGGATATTTTGTACAAGGCCCGTCCTTTTGTAGCGTGAGCAAAAGCGATGACGATTAGAAAGCTAGCACCTCTCAAATAAACAAGCTACAGTGGATAAGGCAAATGAGGGGAAGAACTGCCGCATGAAATCAAGATCTGCACCTCCAAAAAAAGCTTACAGTCCAAAAGAACCCTGAAATTTGGAGCTCGCCAGGATAGGAAGGTCTATATACCCGCGGGGCGGAACTTTTGCTCTCCACACTTGCACCGAGTGAGGCAGTTCCTGATAGAACATGGATGTTTCTTATGTACGATGCCGTTCTTACCGGTCAATCCTATGTGATATGCACAATAATCCTTGACATGGTGCAAGTGCCGTGTTTCCGTCCAGTGACATCAGATTACCCATGACGCAAAAAAGTGTACCATTCAATTTATTGTGCAATGCTAACGTCTGTCATGGTCTATAAGAACCTCCCGCTATGTCCTACACCTAAACCGCCCAGCACGACCAAACTGTCTCTCAAAAATGCGGTTCAGTCTGATCAGCACTCTTCTGGCCTTTGGGACATTGTCCCAGGCTGCGTTCAACAAAGGTGCCATCAACGCCTTCAATCGTGTTCATCCTAGACGATACGATGAGAGGCGCGCTGCTGCACCGGTTGTCCCGGAGCAGCCTGACCTTGAGAAACGAGCCAAGAAGAGCAAGTTCCTGAACAAGCATTCTGAAAAGTTTGTTGTTAATGGGTCTGCTATTCCTGAGGTTGATTTCGACGTTGGAGAGTCTTATGCTGGACTGCTCCCGATTTCTCAGGATCCGGATGAGGAGCGCAAGTTGTACTTTTGGTTCTTTCCTAGTACCAACCCCAAGGCTAAGAAGGAAGAGGTTGTCATTTGGTAAGTCACGTCTAATGGATTGGAGATGCATGCTGACTGTTTAGGTTGAACGGTGGCCCTGGCTGCAGTTCTCTCAGTGGTCTTCTCACCGAAAACGGTCCTTTCCTCTGGCAAGAGGGAACTCTCTCCCCCGTGCCAAACACATACAGCTGGACCAACCTGTAAGACTACTCAAACTCTAACCATGGCTTGACTAACAGTACTAGCACAAACGTTATCTGGATCGAACAACCCGTCGGTGTAGGCTACAGCCAAGGCAAGCCCAACATCACCAACGAAGTAGAACTCGGCAAGCAATTCATCGGCTTCTGGAAGAACTTCATCGACACCTTTGAACTAAAGGGCGCCACTACCTACATCACCGGAGAATCATACGCAGGCTACTACGTACCCTACATCGCCGATGCATTCATCACAGCCAACGACGACGATTACTACAAGCTCGGCGGCGTAGCCATCAACGATCCTATTATCGGTGACGGCACTCTTCAGCAGCAAGCTGTCATCTTCCCGTATATTGAGTACTGGTCGAACTTGTTCTATATTAACCAGACGTACACGAATGCTCTGCGATGGACGCATCAGCACTGTGGGTATGAGAAGTATCTCGAGAAGTATGGAACTTTCCCTCCGCCTGAGGAGAAGTTTCCTGTTCTGCCTGATCCGTATGCCGATACGAATCCCAAGAGCAACTATACTTGTGATATCTTCGATTGGGCTTACTCAGCTGCTCTTGATTCGAACCCTTGCTTCAACATTTATCACATCACTGATACTTGCCCTCATGCGTACAGCCAGCTCGGCATTGTCAACCAGGTAGGCCTCCTTTCTCCATCTTCACAAATAACACATATTGACAATTTCAGGGTGATTATTCTCCTCCTGGAGCTAAGGTCTACTTCAACCGCACAGATGTCAAGAAGGCTCTCAACGCCCCCATCGACCAGACCTGGTATCAATGCACTCCCAACAAGGTCTTTGGCTTCGGCGACCCCAACTCCAACCGCAGCGACACTTCCCTGGCCCCCGCTCAAAACGACGTTCTGCGTCGCGTGATCGAGCACACAAACAACACCATCATCGGAGTAGGTCGTCTCGACTTTCTCCTCCCTCCCAACGGAACCCTCTTCGCCATCCAGAACGCTACTTGGAACGGCAAGAAGGGTTTCCAGAAGTATCCCCAGGACAAGGAGTTTTACGTTCCTTTCCACATTGATTATAATGGTGGACGACTTAGTGAGGAGGGTATTGTTGGACAGTGGGGTGAGGAGCGTGGTTTGACGTGGTATGAGGTTCAGCTTGCGGGTCATGAACTTCCGGGATATACTGCTGGTGCGGGATACCGTGTCGTTGAGAAGTTGCTGGGAAGGATCAAGAATTTGGGAACGATTGAGAACTTTACTACGCAAAAGGGTGATTTCCAGGGTCATCCTCATGAGCGGGACTTTAGCGTCGTGAACCCGTTGGGTCTTCCTTGGGGTCATGGATTTAGCTACGCTTAGGCGCCTGTCTGCAGATAATTCTTGACTTGATAGCGCAAATCCCAATTGATTCATTGGGCACATCTTCTTATTCATGCAAATTACTTGGAGTCTGGTTTGTCTTGCATTCTCGTCAGTTCTCCGGGTTTTATGAACTGGTTCCCAAGTGAGGGGATTCCCAAATCACATGATAAACTCAATTTCGTGCAACCTATTCTCTTTGCGCACTTTGCACCCCTCAAATTGACGTGACCCCTCCATAACTTTTCAGGGTCCTCGACTGAGCCTCAAACTTGCAGTCCTAGGGCCAAATCAACCACCAAGATGCTTCCGACGCCTCTGCAGGGCACGTACCAGCAGTACAAAGCAGACACCGACTCAGTCGCAGCATGGCTCGCTTCAACGGCAAAGCATGCGGTTACCCAGCTGATCTACTCACCTCCACTGCTATACAATTATCTCAACCTAAAGCTGCAGGTCATTTGAGGCAAAGGCTAGAAAAGATGCTAAGAAGCAAAAGCCAGCCCCGAGTATAGCTCCCCCAGTGGAAACAACTCGACCCAAGTACATCATCGCGATAAAGGGCTTTATCGCTTCGACAAAACCGCTCATTTCAGTGCCTAAGTCTCTAGCTGAGACTATCGACCGCGTTATTTATATGCGCTCGAGATTCGGAGCCCAGTTGGAAGAACGTGGAGCAGAATCAGATAAAGACTCTGATGCAATGCATAACTACTTCATCGGAGTTCTAGAGAGTGTCAGAAGTGTTCTTCGCCCCCGAATGCCTGCCGACACACCATCATACGACTCGATCAAAGACCTGACAAACCGCTTCAGTAGTCTCAATGTTTACGAACCATCGCAAGAATTCCTCGACGCGTCGAATTATACCCGGCCTGAAAAAACTCAAGACGATGAAAACACCTACGAGGCTGAACCGCAAAAGACTCCTGAGGATGCTATGATAGCCTACGATGTGATGCTGGACGATCTCACCAATATACGATCTCACATCAACATCATTCAGGTTTAGGGTAGCTAGTGCCTAAAAGTTAAAAGTTTGAAACTTATAATATTAAAATTTGCATTATATATTATAAGACCTCTGCTAACTTTGTTACGATCCCAGCGGTTACGTCACGTGTACCTCACAGCTTTCCTCCAGTTAGCAATGCAACTCATGCCTATCACCGTAAGACCATCGTGAACCGCCTAACAAGACTCACGGTTAGACTCACGACTCACCAATGAACTTCGACTCACACCGTGACCCACCACCGATATATATATATATATATATATACATTCATTCAGTATTAGATAGAACTTAGCTTACCAGCTATTAATAAAAATTCTTTATATTAATTAAGCCTAATACGCATTAAATCTACTATTAAGAGACGTGACATTTCACTTCGCTCAGCACCACGCCTTACATTGTCTGCCAATAATAAATCTAGTACGGATTAGTTTATCCATAGTTGGGAACCAACCCGTCACAAACTTATTATAACAGGGCTGTCTATTAAGCCTCGCAATGCGAAATGAGATTCATAAAAAACATCAACAAGGCAGGATTCGAACCTACATGTGCGAACATATATTAAGACTGCAATTAATAGGTGCTGGTTTAGGAAAGAGGCCCAAAATTACAGCAGAGGCTGCGAGTTAGCCCCTATGACAGCAGCACCTCAACGTGGACCAATTAGGTAAGTTAAATACTAGACAAATACACATAGGTGCTTATTTATGACGTACAAGCAAATACCATGCAGAATCAAAAACTCTTCACCGCCTGTTAATAATTAAAAAATCCATCTTAGTTGCAGAGTTTTATAACTGCAATAAAAATCACTTGCAAAGTATATTACAATGAATAAGAAAGGTGAACTAACTAATATTAGTGGGGAAACCCTCGATCGCTTTGTACTACACTCTGCATTGTTACGTCTGATCGACCCTGTCCGAGGCCAACCGACCAGGAGTACACTCGATGAGAACCCAGACGGCAGCTTTTTGGGTGCATGGCAGCTCCAGCAAAAGTTTCTAGACTCATTTGCTCTTGTTTGCTCAACGTCTAGCTCAGGAGCGGAAACAGCCACGGCTGTGTGTCTGGAAACACATGACCAAGTTGGAAGTATCCTACGTTTGGCGCGCAACCATGGCTTGACACCAAAGGATCTAGCTGGACTCGAAAGAGTATTGCAAGTACTCCGAGAGGTTTCTAGAAGAGGTATGCGCTCTTTTGAAAATTGCATGAACTTGACTAACATGGCGGGCGATGCAGAAAAGCTATCAACGCAAGCCGAGCCCGAGATCCTGCAACTGGTTGCTGAGCTTGACAGAGGCCGAATTTTGTCAATTGCAGAGAGGATTGAGAAGCGAGGCATTCGATATTTCCTACAGAAAACACAGTCTGGAGTTTATGACAGTCAACTGCAGTCGGAAAGGTTCAGAATCTGGCTCGAGAACTGCCCTTTCACAGCCTCTCCCTCCCCTATCCAGAATTGGAGTTGTGCGAATACCGTCATGCTCATCCATTGGGCGTCAGAAGCTCGATGGCATTACGCCGAGCAACTACAAACTTTACTAAAACTTGATGAATCACAAAGTCAGGCCTGGTTGGATAATCTGCACAAAGTCGCTCGCTATCATTCTGCGATTAAATCCATGGTTAAGTTTGCTGTGAAGGAGCCCGACATCTTCGTCAAGATCGTCATCCGACAGATCAACGCTCCTAATACACGTCGATTCAAATTCCCGAGCAACAAAGCTCCACTGCTTGCAGTCGTTCGCACGCTTGTAGGGAAAGATACAGATTCGACAATGGAGAAGCTTGAAAAACATTTAGGTACCCAGGATGTTGAAGCGAGGTTGCGTAGAGCCTGTCGCCTGGACCTGACGCTTCATGCCGAGATGCAAATCGTTGTTTTTTACGAAGGCAACCCCGGGTTAGTTCCCCGCATACGGCTCATTGGGACGAGCAAGAAAGCTTGCTTTCTTTGCGACAAATATCTGCGTCATCATCCACTCAGACTGCAAGCTTCCGCTTGTCACCAAAAGATTTACCCATCGTGGATGCCACCTCCGTACTATAAAGTCCCAGGAAATTCGACGAAAGTCCCCTTCATAAAGCTGAGTGACGATATCGAGAAATTGACGAGGCAGGAGCTGAAGGAAGCAATAACTGCTCCTCTCCGGCCACCAAACTATGACTCGACTGCTGGGCCTTCTCTGACCCTAACAGCAACTGTACCCACGGAACTGAGGTCACTGCGAGAGACTCGAGCAAAATCCACAGTTGGAGATAATAGTTTCTCAGAGGATTCGGATTGAAAAGCCGTGGCGTGGTCTGGGCCCGGGATGTCCAATAAGGTGCATCAGCAATCATCCAAAACTGTCCACATGCATGGTGCACTTTCCCACACCACCAACGTGAGCTAGGCCGCTGTTACAAGTGGGATTCCGCGACTTGGATAACGGAAACCAGCTCGACGCACCAACGGCGTGCAAAAGACCAATCACTTTGCGAGGCCTACAATTGGTGTACATAATGGACCAGGGGAATGAAAATGTCTTGATGCCCAATCCTGCAGGAGGCCGACCGACCATTTCATCATGGCGATGTCTACCGGATTTAATACTGGACATCAGAGCTCAGCGAGTTCCAATTGTAGGTACAAAATATAAAACCACCATTATTGCCACCGATCATAGCAGAAACCTCTTAACTTTCACTTATTATCTACAAAAGTGATGGAGACAGCTGCAACCAACACAGACATTGCCGTGGGAGATCACCGCGATCTCCTGGATATCATCGACAACCTCCGTTTGCAGGGAGTCAGTCATTATGTTGCCCTACCCGAAATTATTGTCTGTGGAGATCAGTCTGCGGGGAAGAGCTCTGTCCTCGAGGCCGTCTCCGGTATGCAGTTTCCTATCAAGGACGGCCTCTGTACGCGTTTCGCCACGGAGTTGGTCCTTCGTCGGGGTCACAATATGAGCATCAAAGTATCCATCACTCCTGGCGAGAGTCGGGTTGGCGATGACAAAGAACGCCTTGAGAATTGGATGCCAGTGGCCAGCATCGACAAGGATGGTCTGGGCGCCGTGACGAAGGAGGCAGAAGATGTGATGGCTATCCCAACCGGCACAGGGGAGTTTTACGAAGATACACTCCGCATCGAGCTCAGCGGGCCGGGACAGCCACACCTAACAATGGTGGACCTTCCTGGGCTCTTCAGAGGAGGGAACAAGAATCAATCTGACGCCGATATCAGCATTGTCCACGATATGGTGGAGAGGTATATGGCGCGACCGCGGAGCATCATACTCACTGTCGTGTCAGCCAAGTACGAGTATGTCCTGCAAGAAGTTACTCGGATGGCCAAGAACGCCGATCCAGAAGGCTTGAGGACCATGGGCCTTATTACAAAGCCTGACACGTTGGATGTTGGCTCTCCATCTGAGCACTACTTTGTTCGTCTAGCCCAAAACATCGAAGCAGAGCTTGACCTTGGTTGGCATGTTTTGAAAAACCGCAGTTTCGAGGAGCGTGATGTCACATTGGCAAAGCGGAACGATATCGAGAAAGAGTTCCTTTCCCAAGGATTGTGGAGTTCCATTGAGTCTTCACACTGCGGAGTAGAGTCCTTAAAAGTCAGATTGAGCAACGTCTTGAGAGATCAAATTCTTGTTCAGCTTCCAAGTCTTGAACAGGATGTGGAAGATGGTATTCGTAACTGCGCTGAGAGCCTCGAGCGTCTGGGCCCGGTACGAGGTACCCCACAGCAGCAGCGCAGCTACCTACTACGCGTGAGTGATAATTACACACTCTTGATGAGGCAGGCAGTCGATGGCACATACACTGATCGCTTCTTCGGCAACCGGAACGAACGTGCTAGCTTTAACAAAAGGCTGAGAGCTGTGGTGCGGATGAGACTTGACGAATTTGCAGAAGAAATGCGAGTCAACGGTCAGAGTCAACATATCGTTGATTCAGAGAGTGAGGATGAAGGCTCTCGCGACTTCCGCGTCCCTAGCATCCCTCGGTCTGATTTTATCAACAACGTTGCTGGCCGCCTCAAATACAACAGAGGTCGCGAGCTTCCGGGTCTCTTCAATCCGCTCATCGTCAATGACCTTTTCGTCGAGCAATGCACACCTTGGAGGAGGATTGCCAAGAGCCTTGCTGATGACATTCTCGATGCAGTGCACATAACGACTGAAAAGGTAGTCGAGCAAATTGCCGCGAGGGAAGTCTCCGAAGGGGTCTTAAGACTCATTCGTAAAGAAGTAGAGGGTCTAAAAATCAAAATGGGCGGCCAGATTGACGCACTGCTTGTATCAGCTACGCAGCATCCTATTACGAATAACCCGCAGCTTATCCAGCACGTCCAGCAGACTCAGGAAGACCGACATAAACGCACCATCAAGTCACTGATTACTAAGATGTTTGGAACGAACCGTTTCGACGGCTCAGACAAAAAAATCAGTATAAATCCGGTTGAGCTCTTAAAACTGGCTGGAGAGGGATTCGAGCCAAACATGGAGCGGTTCGGAAGCGCATTGGCAGTAGATTATATGAAAGCATTTTACAAGGCAAGATATATCCCCGAGCTAAGATTGACCGATCCGATCGCACTGACAGGTTTACTTTACTTGTAGGTTGCAGTCAACAGGTTCATCGATGATGTGAGCGTCCTAGCGATAGAAGACTGTCTCATCAGCAAGCTTTCGTCGCTTTTCACGTCAAGCAATGTCGCGGAGATGAGTGATGAAGAGCTGTACCTCCTTGCAGGCGAAACTGAAAAATCATCCGTCGAGAGAAAGCGCCTAGAGCTGAAACAGGGGATCCTAGAGAAAGGGTTACAGGATCTCAAGAGCCTCTACAAACGCAGCACGGTCGTCGGCCACAGAAGGTACGGCGGCTTATCGTCCGAAGATTCTGAGGAGGTGTCGGCCATGACACAAAGCAGATCTGAAAAGGGATCATCCATTACCGGCAGGGGAAGGGCAGCTTCTGAAGTATTCAGCGAGGAAATCCCTATTAATGAGGAGCAACACCCTGCACTTCAAGCAGATGATATCAAGTGGCCAGATCAGGATGGCACGAAGAACTTCTGGTAACCTCCTGCGATGAGGAAGGCCGTGAAGGACGTCATGGGTGAAGAGAATCGATGGGGCGGCTAAAGTCTATCTGACATAGACTTAGAACGCGATTCAGCTGTCTGAAGGACCCAGTCAATATACCTGGGATGGCTGCGCCTGAGCTATCTGTAGTATATAATTAATAGCTATTCTTAAATAAAATATACTTGTTTATGTATTAATACTTGCTTTTATAAGTATTATATATATAAATTTTATATAAACTTGTATTACTTATATTACTTATATATTTCTTTAAGTAATATTAGACTATTGTAAGGTTACTTGTTTTACTTTATATACTTTCTCTATTGCCTGGCTCGCTAAAGATCCTGTCTTTCTCGCCAAGAGGAAAGTCGGTCAGAAGGTTGGTGCACAAGTCACGGATGATCAGATGTATCGCATCCATTTCTTGTCGCCTATTCTCAGTTGACTGTTGGTCTTTCACTACCGCGCTGGGATGCATGAGATCGGCATTGCGGTAATGAATGCTTGGGGATCTGTTACGTACCCTGCGCATTTGTACAATACGCTCCAGCAGGAGGGACTACTTGTTAACCGGTGGCAGAATATGGATGTGGTTAGGAGCTTACTTGGTGATTCGAACTTCTTTGTTGGTAACCCGCCCAAGAACAAGGATGAGTATTTGAACAAATTCCTACTTCAGGTGGGTTACTCTGCCTCTGCCATTACAGCGCACAAAGGTTGTCCTTTACGACAGTCGAAGAGCCATCAGGACATGGCGTCTCGCTCTGGTCCTCCCGGCATCAAGGATGGTGTGCCTGTGTCGAGCATATTCATCGAGAGATATCTACGACAGTCTGGACAAGTCAGCCTCACACCTGAGAACGTTGACTATATCATTTCTGGAAGAAACTACCTCGAAAATCATTCCGAAAATGATGTATCCTTCGTAAAAGCCGATGGCGCACGAGATCCCGAGATCCAAAAACAAAAACAAAACAAAAAAGCAACAGACGGCGGTAAACTCAAACCCGGTGAACTTCTCAAACCACTCGCCATGGCCCTCACCGCCGAAATGTTTGAGTTTTCCTTCCCCTACCTCGTTCTGCATCGTTGGGCTTGGAAATTTCTTCGTCAGATCAAAAGCGTCTGCGATCCTGTACTGCAACGGTTATATGGTCCTGCGTATCTCGATCAAGAGAAAAAGCTCCCGCTTACGGTAGAATATATACTCATGACATTTGCGGAGGATCCAGATGGTGATGGGAGAGAACTCATGAGGATTGCAACGAGGGACTTGAATAGGTTGGTTTGTCAGAAGGGGATTTGGGATGTGGCGATTACGGCGGCGGGGAAGATGTATGGGTCGCAATTCGAGCTTGATAATGTTGACGATGATGATGGTGATTTATCTGAGCTGCCGCCTCCCGAGTAATGGTATGCATGCTCCAGGTGTTGTGCACTTATTATGTAGCTCTAGGAGAAGTCATGGTGAAAAAAGATAAAAATTCAATTGTTAGAGTATTGAAGTGAAACCTCTCCTATGCAAACTAGTCTTAGTGCCGAGTTGCTCCTTTCAATTCCCTTACAGACTCATACATTTGCCATGTGTTTTCGCGAACACGTCGGCCCCAGATGGCGCAAGGAATGAATAAAAGACAAACAAGAGTAGCGACGCATCCGCTGATGATGAAGAGCTTTGAGATGCCAATGGATGATATCCAGCCGACAACACCAAATGGAACACCGATGGAGGGAATGTTGCGGATAAATGTGACCGATATGAATGCCTCTGCTGTGAGCTAGTGATTGTTAGTGAATGACCGAGAGATTGGTTTGATTGGACTTACACTCTGGTAGATATCGATGACGATTGTGCATGATATGTCAATCATTGATGCCATACCAAAGCCAAACATGGCACCTCCAATACTAGGATATATCCAATGCCAGCCCTATCACACAAGTTAGACCACTGAATCCTTCGACATCTGACAGAGTACTTACCTTATCAGCAGATACTCCAAAGAAAACAAGTCCACCACCCATAAGGACCGCCGGCAACAGAAGAATATACAGTCTCATCTCCGGTTCAAAGATGCCCTTATTCCTCCCCGCCAACTTAACAACAACCCAATCACCCAGCACACCACCATAAACACTCCCCAGAAAGTTTCCAACAAACGGCCCAAGGGACATGAGGCCTACGCCCGCTGTGTTGAAGTTATATGGCGGTGCGGAAAAGACCATGGATATTGATGATGTGAGGAGTATGAGGAAAGCAACGCAGCTTGCTACCTGAAGCGCTGAGAAGAGAACATGGGGGAAGAGAAACATTTTGAGAGGGACGAGATAGTTACGCCAGAGGGGTTCGTCTGTGCGTGTTATGAAGCGCATTCGTTGCTTGTATGTGAGTCTTGGTGGGTGAGTTTCAGAGTTGATGTCTGAGTCCTGGATGTCTCCTTGGGTTGAGTCATCCTTTGGGTTCTTGAGTGCGGGTATGCCTTGGCTTGGAGTGTTGCGCGTTTCGCCAATTGTGACGGGTATGAACTTTGTTTCTTCAAAGAAGAAGATGAACAGGAGAAAGAGGATGGTTAGGACGATGCCGGTGGTGTAGTATGTCCATCGCCAGTCTTGGGCTGCTGCTTGGACGCCCACGATGCAAGGACAGACGAATTGACCGACCATGACAGCCATGATATAAAAGCCATTCGCCGTACCTCGTTGATGGACAAAGAACAAGTCCGCAATCTACACTCCGTCAGCATCACCCTACCACCGAACATGTCTCAACTTACCGTGATCTCCGAGATAGTCTCATTGATACTCGCCGCAAGACCCGAGAGAAAATTCGTAACATACATCTCCCCCACCGTCTCCATCCTGCCACTCCACCACGACACGGCAGCCATGAGACCAGTGGAGAGTATGTAGCATGGTCGAGAGCCGTATTTTCGAGCGAGCGGGATGAAGAGGAAACTTCCGAGGGCGAGACCGGCTGAGTTGAAGGCAACGCCGTAGTTTAGCTGGTCGTAGGTTACGTGCATGGAGGTTATCATTTGTTGCCATAGGACCATTTGCATGACGATCCTGGGGTTGTTAGTGGTGGGAGCAAGATTGGGATGGGGCTAGGAGGACGTACGCTGAGAAGAAGGCTACTGTTACGGCGAGGACGAGGGTGAAGTTCCATGCTTTTCTTCGTTTACTCCAGTTCTGGTAATCGTTAGTTGATATGGTGGTAGATAAAGGGAGTGACTGACCAGAGGATCGTTGGGATCTTGTGAGGGTATTGGAACGAGGATAATCTCAGAGCGACCTTTTATAGTGCGTCAGTACTTCTGCAACAGTGGTTGATGGCGATGCAACTCACTCAGGAGACGAGAAGTCCCAGGAGGAAAGCTAAGCTCGCTATCCATCTTTGCCGAGCACTCGAAGAAAACAACAAATATAAAGAAGAAACGAGATACCCGTTAGGTCAAGAGCCTGCTGTCCTCTCAGGGAAGTCCTCGAGGATACCCCAGATTTATAGCACTCCCCCTTATCACCCCGAAACCGGCTTCACCGTTGCATCCCTCCCAATCCTGGAGAAATCTTTCACCAACCCATTGGTATTTTGCGGGGTATCCCGATCACACTAGCATTCAAAGAGTAGGTCCACCCACAAGACAGCATCTAAATCTTGCAGCTAGAGATAACACTTGTTACACCTGATTGGCTGCGTGTCGACCATCCTAAAACGGCCTAGCTAAAACAAACTCAGTTCAACGCCTCTCAATTTCGTCTCTTTATCAAGATCAACATCATTATCGCCCCTTTCCAACGCGTTATCTAATATCTCCTCTAGAATTAGAGCATTAGGCGTGTCGCGGTATGCATCGCAGATACTGCAGCATCGGCGTAGCGTTTGTACCCATGTTGGTCTTGTTTGAAGAATAGTTACTTCGAGACGGGCTGCAGTGTAGGGATACAACATGCTGTTTGTAGCGAGGATATGAGCGTATTCTTCACGATGGCGAGTTTCGTATAGTGCGTCGAGGGTGGCTACTAGGCGACATACGAGGAGTTCGTTGGATGGTGAGTGAGGAGGGATGCGTTTTTGTCGACGAGTAAGTAAGATTCCTGATAGCCGAAAGGCTTCCCAGAGATGAACATGCGGAATAGAACCCTCATGGCCCTCCCACTCAACAAACTCCTTCTCCACATCCTCATGCGCCATTCGACCGAAGATATCGAGGAGACTTCGCGGTAAGCCCGAGACACTTTCGACACCGCCAACTAGCCCTGTTGGAGACGCTCTTTGAGCGGAGCGGAGAAGACCCCAGATTCCAAGCGTTGGCGTATCGCGCCCTCGAACAAAAGTGGGAATATCCATTATGGCCATCGCTTCAAGAGAAAAGCGATATTCCAGATCTCCTATTCGATGCGCGTTTTTGGAGTGCGGGAAGAGGTGGTATACCCACATCATATGGTTTAGATGAGCTGTCCAGGGGATTCCTTGGAATAACTATCATACGTAATCAATACTCAAAGATTCGAGTAGAGACGGTGAGGGGCTTACGTGGAGTGTGCAAAGGAATACACCAGCATTTATCAACCCCCCATCCAAAGTCCCATCAAACCGACTTAACTGCTCTCGAAAAAGACGAAGACTTTGATTACAGAGATCGTGGAATAGTGGTGGTGGATTTCGGGGGTTGGTGTTGTAAACGTGTGTGGCGATTAGGCCAAGGTATAGTGGTTCGTTTTGAAGAGCGAGGCGTTGGAGTTCAAGAGGGAATGGATCCTCTGTGGATGTTGAGTAGAAGAGGAAAACGGTTTTTTGTATAACTGGTTTGTTTAGTAGGAGAGTATTGGAGTTAGTGGGTGGCTTACATTCTTTGAAGAGGTGTTTTTCTTGAGCACTTCTTCTTTGGAGCCACTGCGGTTCACCAGTCTCGATCACTGGATACTCCATGTCCAGTAAATCCGATACCGGGCCATTCTCAACACCATCACCCAGCGGCAAAGCCTGGAACTGTCCAAAAGCCCCCTCCGTACCATCAATCTCAAACCCCCTCTCCCTCTTCTTCTCATTCCCAGCCCTCAAAACAGGAAGTGAAGCACCAGTAAGCTTCCCTCTAGACGCAACTCCTACATCCCATTGTAACTTTAGAGCATAACCTTCGCAGTTGAGGTTGTTCTTTTGACATTCGAGACATGATGGTTTGGATTCGTCACATTTTCGATGACGTCTTTTGCATGTTGAACAGCCGGTTCTTGAGCGTGACATATTGTGTTAGTTGAGTTGGAGATAGGATATGGGGAGTAGAGTTGGAGTGATAACGGGTTGGGGCGGTCTGGGGTAGCAGAATGTTTAGCGGCTTGATTGGGCCGAGACTTGCATCATCGTAAACACTCAATCAATGTTCTGAAGTTTGAGATATAAAGTCCATTTTGAGAGGTTTCTTTGATGTTTATCGATATAATATTGCATGGATTGTCACAGGATCAGTGTTGTACATCTGTTCTACATCTATAGCGTGAATAGATCACAATCGCGAACTACTTCTTATAAACCCTCTCCCCTCCAAACCACGTCTCATCAACCTTCATCTCCAACAACCCATCTACACTAACAACCCCCGGCAACACCATAAAATCCGCCCTCAACCCCTTCTCCAACTTCCCCGTCCACCCCTCCGCAAATCTCGAATACGCAGCCCCATACGTCGCCCCCCTAATAGCCTGCTCCAACGTAAGCGCACTATCCCCATTCGTAACAGTCTCCCTCTCCGGCTCCAGCGCTGACTTTCTCGTCGTAGCATTATATAAATTCGGAAACGGCAGGTGTCGCGCCGTAGGGGCGTCTGTGCCGATTGCGACATTGGCGTGTCCGTCCAGACATTCTTTGTAGGGGAAGCAGTGTTTCCATGCGGAGGGTTTCACGAGCTTTTCGTAGCCTTCAAGAATGGCGGGATCGCTGTGCACGGGTTGCACGGAGGCGGTGATTCCGAGACTGCCGAGGCGGAGGGCGTCTTCGGGGGTGGCCATCTCGAGATGTTCGATGCGGTGGCGGGCGGTGGGATTGTTGGTGCTTGCGATGGCGGAGATGGCTTGGGAGACTGCTACGTCGCCGATGGCATGGATGGCACATTGCATTCCAGCTTTTGTGATTTGTGAGAGAACTCTGTTCATTGCCTCGCCGGGCCATAGGGGTTGGATGAGATCAGTTGATTCACCATATGGATATGACAATGCAGCTGTGCAGCCATCGACAACACCATCGCACATGAGTTTGACGCCGACGATACAAAATTCCGGTGATTTTGAGGGATGGAACTTGCTGTGCATGTCGATAGCTTCCTGGATCTTCTCGTCGAGTACTCTCTCATCTGCTTCGTACGGGACGAACCAATGAGCTGCGATGTGAAGATTAATCCCCTTCCTCTCTCGCAATGTCTGCAACGCTTCCCAAGCTACTGCATCCATCGCCATATCAATAACGCCAGTGTAGCCCTCTGCAGAGTACGCTTGAACAGCTCGTTCCAAAGCCTCAAGCTTATCGTCCATTGAGAGTGATTGAATCAGAAAGGGCCAGATAAATGCTGTGACGGCCCATTCTGCCAAAAGACCAGTTGGATTGCCGTTTTCATCACATGTGAGATGTTCAGGGCACTTCGCCTTGATTTCATCAATTGGAAGTTCTTTCAACGCAGCGGTGTTGCACCATGCGGAATGAAGATCATTTGAATCGATGAAAATAGGTCGTGGGTCGATATCATCAATCATACTCGCAAGAGCAACTCCATCCGTCGCAGATTGAAGCCATCCTCTGCACAAAATCTTGGGTAAGTCAGGATTGGCAGCAGCAAAGTCTGTTATCCTCTGTCGAATCTCTTTTAGGGATTTACATCCACCAAGATCGAGTTTTTGCTGTGATAGACCGAAGAATAAAAGATGAACATGGCTGTCGATGAATCCAGGAAGAACGACGCGGTTGTTAAGATTCAAAACTTCCGCGCCTTGAGACTTTGCGTCTTGCACTGTTTTGTCGTCTTCGGATCCGAGGTAGGCGATTTTAGATCCCTGGATGATCATACACTCCTGATGCGAGTCATCATCACCGACGAAACGGCCATTGATGAGAATTGTTGAAGACATGATTACGCCCGCAGATGATAGAAAAGCGATATCACGAGAGAAGGATACGAAGATGAAATGTAATGGAATTACAGGGTCTTATCAATTGGAGGGGGATCAAGACTACGATGAAAGTGGCATCAATTCTGAGATGGACGGTTCAGCGCATCGACCTTCTGAATGGGTTGACCTGCTGAATGCGCCAAGCGTATGGTGGGGTTGGATTTCTGGGCGTGTCGACCTGCTGGAAAGGGATTAGAGTAGTGGGTCAGTGATAGGATCCCGGGGTCAGGGAGCAAGAAAGCTTCTGACATTTGGCAAGGGTGTTAAAAATAACTGGTCTAAAGGCCTACTAAGTACATACTAAACTTGCCAAATCTATCCTAAACATATCTAAGCTTTTTGTCACTTAGGATATAGGTCCCAAGTTTTCTTGCCTCCCCTAGCCTGGGGACCTTGGAGGCTGGTGTTGATTGGGTTTTGGGAGGATAAGAATTTAGATGAAAGTAAATCGAGAGGTGGAGTATCTGATGGCTCAATCCAGACAAAAAGCGAGGAGCGCGGAGGCATAGAATTCCGAGTGTCGGAGCCGAAGCAGTGATGTATCGGTCAACTGCAACTGCAGATAGAAATAATGGTATCAAAGATCTCATCAAAGCCATTCCCTTCCCCGCAACGTATCCCGCGGAACCCATATGGCGTTTCCCATAGAGCCCATCTCTTCAGATTGCAAAAGTCGTCTTTCATCTTATCATGACTTATGAAGCATTCATCGCTTTTTCATGTGTATATATACTTTGGCATCAGAGAAGAAACAGGCAAGCTAGAGGTCAGGCAATTGTCTAAAGGATATGTTCCACTAATTGCAGAAGTAGATTAGATAAGCGACGCGCACGTACACTTTCTCTTTCTTTCAGCATCTTTCCTGGCTTCCTACCAACACCAACCTTTCCCTTCCATCTTATTTGTCTTGCTTTTCAAGCGGCCATGGATCAAATCTCCGCCGTGGACTTATTGTCCCATGACTCGACGCAAAAGGCGGCAACAGCAGGTGACCCGATTTGCAACGGCGACAGCTCTGATGACTGGGGCGATTTTGTCGACTCAGACGATGAAGGTGATGTGGAATTCGTTTGCGAGGATGTCAGCCTGTATCCGCGTGGGATCTGCTACCCTCTCTCCATCGGAGAGATTATCGCTGATCGATACCGCATCATCCATAAATTAGGCCATGGTAGCTTTTCTACTGTCTGGATGGCGCACGATACGACCGAGAAGATAGATGTTGCCCTCAAGGTTCTGATGCTAGGGAACTCAGAAGACCATGAGTACCGGATACAGAGCGAAATCATTGGCGCTGTCAAAGACTTGAAATACTTGTTGGTCTATCGCACAAGCTTCATTCTTCCCAGTCCCCACGGCCAGCACCGAGTTATGGTCTTTCCTATGCAAGGACCAAATATCAGAAATTACCCGCCGAAAAAGAAACCGCTTGCCACTCGTATGTCGTTTGCGGTACAACTGCTACAAGCCTTGAAAGCACTACACGAGGCTGAGATCGCGCACGCAGGTGAGATCATTCAACGGTGACTCTGGCACTGCTAACATACGAAACAGACCTCAATACTGCCAATATAATGTACAGCCTACGCCCTCTTGAGGAGGGCGGTACAACCGAAAAGTACAAGAAGATTGGGCGACCAAGGAAGATGAGTTTGTGGACTGAGCAGTGGAAGGAAGGCGAGCTTGTCATGCCGATGGAGCCCGAAGAGGATCTCATAGGAGATACCATCGTCCTTGGCGACTTTGGCTTAGCCCACAAAGCAGGAACTCCCGCCCAGAAGATGCAGTCACCCGCTACATACTGCGCCCCTGAGCGAGTACACAACACCAACCCGTCTTATGGCTCTGACATTTGGAGCTACATGTGTATCTTCTTTCAGTTGTACACAGGAACGTATCTGTTTCAAGGTTGGGGTCACGCATCAGTGGTGTCATCTATCGTTCGTACCCTTGGGCCCCTTCCAGTGTCTTGGAAGGGAACCTACCACGTCGGTGGCTCGGGTGAGGATAAATGGTATGATCAAAATTGGCACACTGATCCAGTCTTTGATCTCAAGGAGAGGATGACTCAGCTTTGTCCTGATGTGAGTGCAAGTGAACGGGAGCTTGTTATATCCTTCTTACACCGTGGACTTTCATATCAACATGAGAACCGCTTGACAGCCGCTCAGCTACTTGAAGATGATGCATTCAAGGGATTGAGAGAGATCCATGATGTTTAACACTAGAAGATACACCATTTAAGATATTACACAATGGCAATAATCTGAGCGTCCTGTGATATTCTGACTTTTATGCAAGCCCTGAGAAAATGTTGTCACTGGTTTACTGATCTACTGGTCAACAGCCTATCTGCTGGCTACCTGGAATTACGAGGGATATGGTGCGTAGGTGGTGATACGTGTAAGCGCTGAGAACTTGGGTGGTGGGGCACTGGGGCATCTTGCCTGGAGCATTACTAAACACTATTAAACGCTGGGCGACATTGACAGCCTAAACAGTCTGTAAACTTTAATTATAGTAGCAATCTAAATTCTGGACACATTAGAATTATCGCGCTTGGAAGGCGAACTATAAAATGTGCAAGGAGGCGTTCGGACTGTATGATTGGTGATATCCCTGGACATGCTGTTGGTTCTGTAGATGTTGGCTTGGCTTTTTTGTGATTTCACCGAAGTAGCCGAGCCGAACAACATTCCTCTATTAATTGCAATTGGCTGTTTATAGAAGGAGCCTGGCCGCCTGAGACAATCGCCGAAAGACGCTGCAATGGAGCCTAGCGTTAGTTAAGAGCACAGCCCCTAGAGCCCCTTCAGAAAGCAAGTCTGAAACCAAGCAGAACCAACAGATAAATACATGGAAATGAAATGATAGGACATGAATCGAGCTACCACCTGGATTGGATTACGTTGCTATTAATAGCGATTTGTCACTTGTTTAGTTGTAACCCTGACTACTAAAGCTCAACCATCATAATTTCATTATAACAAGTCTTACGCGACCAGAGAGGCCAATCGTCTTCATGCTTTTATTTCCCTTGTAAATAGAAAGAGTAGATTATACGTAGCTTGGACTGACGGAATCTCTTCTGCAAGAATCGCGGGACTATTTGCTAGCTATCATTCTTTTTACCTCTTGAGCTACCTCATTCCGATGGCCTCTTAAAGTGCACCTTCAGCTCCTCCCAACTATGCTTATTATAATCCGGCTGCACTTTCTTACAAGTTTCTAACCCCCAATCCGTAATCCCCAACATCAAACTACTCTCAAACATAAACGCCATACTCCCCTCCCCGACCTTAACAGGCTTCAACTCCGCATTACTAGCCCTCTCATAAGAATCAGCATCCGGCCCATGAGCAGACATGATGTTATGCAGACTAGCACCCGCAGGCTGAAAACCACCACCAGTTTTGGCATCGTACTGTCCGCAGATAAGACCCATGAATTCGGACATGGTGTTGCGGTGGTACCAGGGGGGGCGGAATGTGTCTTCTTGGACGAGCCAGCGCGGGGGGAAGATTACAAAGTCGGCGATGGCGGTGCCGGGATGGTCGGAGGGGCCGGTTAGGACGGTGAAGATGGAGGGGTCGGGGTGGTCGAAGGATGTGCTGCCGATTACGGAGAAGCGGCCTAGGTCGTATTTGTAGGGGTAGACTGTAATTGTCAGCACCATACTATTACTCCATGATAATCTTGTGGTATCTGTCACTTACATCTATAGAGGTTAGCATTGAACAGTAAATCGTGGGGTTGGGATACTCACTTTCCATGCCATGCCACCACATCAAAAGGCGTATGTCCCTGCTCAGCAACAAAAAGCTCATTGTTGAACTTATTCAAAATCGTCCAGGTACTCTTCGTATCCTCATCAAAATCCGCAACGGGGATCTGAAAATCCCTGGGATTCGCCAGACAATTCGATCCAATAGGTCCCAATTCCGGCAGTGTGAAATGACCCTGATACAACTCAAGAATATACCCCCTCACCGGTCCCTCAGGCAGCGTAACCCTGTACCGAACTCCCCTAGGAATAATCGCAATCTCATTAGGTCTCACAAGCAATCGTCCCAGCTCGGTCTGAATATCCAAAACCCCATGCTGCGCAACAATAAGCATCTCACCATCAGACGAATACATCGCTGTGTTAGCATCCATATCCCTCCCCGCTGCAAAAACATAAATTCCAAGACCGGATTTAACAGTGGGATCACCTGCTCCAGAGACAAGTTTCAGACCGCACACCCAATCGACGTTTTCATCAATGTCGAAAGGGTCCCAGCGGAGCTGCTGGGGTTCATAGTTTAGTTTTGCTTTGAGAATTGGGGATGAGGAATCAGTGAAGCGCTTGTAGGTTGAGTGCGAGGCTGAGGGGAGGATGCGGTACAGCCATGTTTGGCGGTTCTCATGGCGGGGTGCTGTGAAGGCTGTGCCGGAGAGCTTCTCGGCGTAGAGGCCGTAGGGGGGCTTTTGAGGTGAGTTTGCGCCTATTGGCAGTGCTCCTTTGATAGCTTCAGATCTAGTTCCATTAATCGCTGTTCATATTCAAGGTCAAGTGTTAGGACTTACTCATGGAATGAATCGAAGCCGTTGAGGTAAGAGTACTTCTCGGGCGTGGAAAAGTTCGTAACAGGCATAGTGACAACAACGAATTACCAAACTCGTCTAATACTCAGAATAGTATACGATAAGGGATGTTTATCAATCAGTTCCTTCTGCTTTATTTAACGATATTCTTCGGTTCAAGCCCGACTTTCCGAATGGTCAATATATGCCGGCCCATCCGATCCATCTCGGAAAGCATGGAAATTTCCGAAATGTACCCCGCGCAGAAGATGGTCACTTATTAAGCATCACGACATTAATACAACTCTACAGCGCGATACAATGATCTCAAATAGAGGGGCTTTAATTTGCAGAGGGTTTAAAAGACCAGCCTTTCCTTTGAGGATATTTCGTTGTCAAATCGTTGTATCTTTCTCTACGCCTTCATACTCAAAATCGTTCAAAATGGCATCTTGGCTTCCTATCCCTTCTAAGAGCCACTTCTCACTGGCAAACATTCCCTTTGGAATCATCTCAACATCTGCTGAACCAACTCATCGTCCTGCCATTGCAGTCGGTCAACATGTCCTTGACCTATCAGCCTTTGCTCAAAGCAATGGTTTCTCCAAACTAGCGGACTTTCCCTCAGATCAACTAAAGGTCTTTTCTCAAACAACCCTCAATGACTTTGCAAGCCTTGGAAGACCTGTGCACAGAGCTACACGAGCCTATCTCCAAGATGTCTTCCGCCAAGAAACTCCATATCCTGAGATTCTTAAGGATAATGAATCTCTGCGAAAACAAGCTCTGATTCCAATTGAGGATGTTCAGTCTCACTTGCCGCTTAGCATCGGCGACTACACTGATTTCTTCGCTGGTCGTAACCATGCTCACACCGTGGGAACACTCTTCCGCGGCGCCGCAAACGCTCTTCAGCCAAACTACAACCATCTCCCCGTCGCATACCACGGCCGCGCAAGTTCCGTCGTGGTATCAGGAACACCCCTCCACCGCCCCTGGGGCCAAGTCCTTCCCAACCCTCAAGCGAAAGAACCCGTGTTCCAACCCTGCGCCAGGCTCGATATCGAGTTGGAGCTCGGTATGTTCATCAGCAAAGGTAACAAGCTCGGTGCTTCTGTTGATGTGAATAACGCGGAGGAGCATATTTTTGGATATGTTCTTATGAATGATTGGAGTGCGAGGGATATTCAGCAGTGGGAGTATGTTCCGCTGGGGCCTTTTAATGCGAAGAATTTCGGGACGACGATTAGTCCTTGGGTTGTTTTGGCGGATGCGCTGGAGGGCTTTAGGGGGAGGGGTTTGGAGAATGAGGTTCCGCCGAAGAAGTATCTTGATGAGAAGAGGGAGGATTCGATTCTTGATATCAACCTTGAGGTTTCTATTACCAGTAAGTTATAACCACCAAGTTCAGCTGAGAGGGTAATACTGACAAGATGCAGCTGCCAAGGGTAACAAGACGAAAATCACCCAAGTCTCATCCCAGAATCTCCTATGGTCCTGGCCCCAGATGATCGCCCACCATTCCGTGTCTGGGTGCAACCTGCGAACAGGAGACTTACTCGGTTCAGGAACGATTTCTGGTCTTGAGCCGGGAACACAGGGAAGTCTTCTTGAGCAGACCATGGGTGGAAAGGCTTTTGTCAAGTTGGAGGGAGGAGAGGAGCGTAAGTTTATTCAGGATGGTGATAGTATTACTATTACCGGTTGGTCTGGTTCTGCTGAGGATGGACTTGTTGGGTTTGGAGAGTGTGAGGGTACTATCATTGCTGCTATTCCTCGAGAATAAAGTGGCATGGGACTATCTTGAGTGATTATTTAGACTATAGATTTTGCAATTATTGTTTCCTAATCATTTCATTTGACTACTTATTGTGATACATGTAGACACTTGAGAACTGATGGAGACTTCTGGATCACACAACCGGTCTACAAAAACCTTCGTTTTCCGATTGCAGATGCGTCTTATACGGGAACGTTACGGACATCGGATCTTGGATCACATAAGGCCGGAATCTATGATATTAGATGATCATGACCAACCTCACAAGTTCACGTGTCCAAGTAATAACCTCAAAGAGGATACCCGCATAAGACTATCCGGACTGAATGCCGACGTAGACTTTAGGGCGTCGTATTACTGCACAACAGTGGAGCTCAAAATAGTCCCGGAATTGACACTCACCATTCCGAGCCCATCAACCGAATATAAACCTCCGAACCTCCAAATACATTTCCACATACCTATATCCGTACTTCCCTCTCTCCACTCCACCAGCCCGTCACCTCATCCTCACCAAGCATCTCATCATGTCCGGCCAAATCACCCGTGTCACCCTCTTCAAGGTCCCCAAAGAAGAAGATCAGCAACACCTCGTGGACCTGTACAAGGCAATGCCCCAGAAAGCCACAAAGGTGACCCCAATTCAACCCCTCAGCCTTTTTCTTCTAACATTTCACAGGACGGAAAGCCATATATCGTCTCTGTTCAAGCTGGGAAGGCCAAGGCAGATCAACGAGCCCAAGGCTTCACAATCGTGGCTATCTCAACGTTCGCATCACAGGAGGATTTCAACTATTACGATACTCAATGTGCTGCCCACCTTGAGCTGAGGACTTTTGCAAAGGGTGTTAATGAGGGCTTTGCGATGATTTACTTTGAGAACGAGGTTGTATAGAACCACCATACAATAGAATAAGATTTTCTCATATTAAACCTTGGAATCTCATGGATATATCCTTCCCTTGCTCCGCAGCCATAGCGTATTCTCCCTCTTCGCTGAACGTACTTGGGACAGGATTTAGGAATTGCTGTCCCTCGCCAAAGGCGTTGAAGAGGTTTAGGAGAGATTCGCTCATTTGGAACATATCGGGTACGGAGTTTGCCACGTCTGTGTCGCCAAACATCATATCGCCGAAAGAGAAAGATTCGTTTTCGGGCATTGCCATGGGAACTTGGTCTTCCGTGTTGACCTCAACCTGCGGAGCGTTCTGATCGTTTGTCGTTCCATTTTGGCCATTTTCATCGTCTTTCCGCGCCTCACCATCTTCACCGTTTTGAGGAAAACCAAAGGTGTTCATTCGGGGTATCATGCCGCGAATACTCTTCCAAAGTCTTTTGCTGACAATGTTGTGTCGAGATAAGCCTCTGACCAATTCAACGCCATCTGAGAATGTGCGTTTACACGGCAGGGAGAAAATCTCTGGGGCGTGACACACAGCTAGGAAGATAACTGCCAAAGCACTGAGCAGAAAGTAGTTGAAGACGTTCTGCTGTCGTTTGTAGATATCCGTTGTAGCGTGGAGATGAACCAGGACTTGAATAGTATCCTGTGCTATGTCCACTACCAACCATGCATTCTGCGGATTTGCGGCTATGCTAGCCGTACTCATCAAATGATGTCGATAAATAAGGATACGAGCGTAGTTTCCTCGGAGGTATAATAATGCACGGAGACGATGTGGGAGTCTTGGTTGCGCTCGTGGTGCAAGACCAAGACGAGGATGACGGAGTCGGAGATGAGGTGGGATTGAATCAAGCCAATCTTGAGTTCGTAAATCAAGAACAGCAGCTGTATCGTCAGGAATAGTTTGAGACGCTGATCCAAAAGGCGGAATAGCTTCCCAGATTTTAGAGCATAGTTGACCATATCCAACCATACACTGCAAATACAGATATTCCTCATCCTATACCCAATTAGTCTTGATCAATATTTCTTTTGACTGTACTTACCGGCTTTGGTAACTCTGGATCAACATCCTTATCAACGAGTGCAAACGATAAACTCGTTCCAAAACTCCATCGCCGATCAAGGACGTAGACACACCAAAACACGCGTGTAGCTAATCGTCGAGAATCAGTGTCTTTGAAGTTATCCAAAAGACTCCTTTTTCGATGGAGGCCCATTTCTAAAGCTTGGCGTGCTGCTATGCCGATGGAGCGCCATGCTAATAGTTCTTCGCCTGCGTGGAAGTAGTATATGCTCTGCTGTTGTCAGTACATGCTCTGATGAAGGGGTTAGGGAAGGGGGGCTTACCAGCATGGCTAAGAGTTGAACTTCTTTAAGGTCGACTTGTGGACTTAGAATGCTCGACACATTCGTCTGCACCGAGTCTACTATCGCAGTAGCCAACTCAAGCTTACTCGGCTCCTCCAACAAAATCCCCGTTGATATCGCCACCTTTGCAATATCAATATCCTTACTACTCAACTTCGCCTCATCCTCAAACCCCAATCCCCCACCACGAATCGCCTGCAATATCTCCTTCGACTGAGCAATATACTCTGCAATATCAATAAACGGATACACAGATTCAACCTCTTCCTGGAAATTAACAAGATAAGTGGTAATGTCACTCGCCGTACAGCAGTGCCAGAAACTCAAATCGTTAATAGAATCGAGGACTGGTTCAGAAGGTGATTGGGCACCGCTAGGCGGCATTGAATCGAACTTTGGAACGCCCATGCGATTTAGGGAGCGTTCGCTGACGAGGATACCAAAGGCTGAACGCGTTGGACCCACGAATTGGGGCTGTTTGGGCATTTCGCCGCGGTGAGTGCTTGCTGGTGAGTGGGTTACGATGTTGTGTGATGATACGGTTGATGCATCTTGGGGATGGTTTTGGTTCTGGTTCTGGTCTTTGAGTTCCCGGACGACACCGACTAAATCTGACATTTGTTGACGAAGCTCTGATAATTGATGATTTAGAGCTTGAATATTCTGATTTCTACTAAATCTGTCAGTTTATTCTTTGGATACATTGAGATACTTACTCATCAGGTTTTTCTTTGGTAGCTTGTGTACTCGTGGCAAAGGTACACGTCAAACCACCGGCGATACATCTCTCACACGTATTATCCTCAGAGGGAATACACTTGAGTTTCTTTTTCTTACAATCATCACTAACCAAAACCCAAGTCAACAACCCATTCATCAATCACTATCATGATCACTCACCAAGCAACAGAGGTGTATTTCCCCCTCTTACTCCTTGGAGCAGGTGTATCAGCGACACTCTCAGCATCGGCAGAATTCCGCTTTTTCGGCTTTAGTACCGGATGCTCTTCAGACATGGTGGGCTGATGCAAGATGCTGCAATGTTGCTTTTCCGAAGAAGAATCGACTGAGGGGTCTTGGATTGGAAATCCACGGTTAAAGAGGGTTTCTCGGAAATCTTCCGAGGTTTCCGAGTCGGAAGACTAAAACGTTGCGGGGTTGGCGAGCTAGAGAGATTCTGGACTGTGGGGTTATACCTTGGCGTGTTTTCGTGTTATGGAGGGTAGTGATTGAGTTTGAGACGGTATATAGAGCTGAAAGGAATCCGTATTCGAGATTTCTCCTCACTTAGCATTTCAGATTCATCAGCAGTCTTCATCATGACGATCGCTAATCTTCTCGTCTCGCTAAACAACCAAGTTCACGAGAACAAGGGTCAATCCCTCCTCGTGACACTCCTGATTGGTCCATTGATCTACATCTTCATCAATGAACTCATTCGTCACAATGCGAGGATCAGCAACCTGAAAGGTCCTTCTGGTTTACCGCTAATCGGCAATATTTGGGACATTCACATCAACGCTGCCGAGAAGTATCGCGCTTGGGCAAAGAAGTACGGCCCTGTTTATCAGATTCAGCTTGGAAATATCCCTATTGTTGTCGTCAATTCTGCCGCGGCTGCGAGGACCATTTTTGGAGCGAATGCGCAGGCTTTGAGCTCGAGACCTGAGTTTTATACATTTCACAAGGTGAGCATACTCTCAGCCTCGGCGTTTTACACGTGAGATGCTGACGGTTTAGGTCCTTTCTGATACTGCTGGTACTACAATCGGCACTTCTCCCTACAGCGACTCTCTGAAGCGTCGTCGTAAGGGTGCTGCTTCTGCTCTCAACCGTCCATCAGTCGCTACATACGTCGACCATCTCGATGTCGAAACCCGCGACTTTGTCAAGGAGCTTTTCGAGTATGGAAAAGGCGGCAGCATCCCCGTCGACCCTATGCCCATGATTCAACGACTTTCTCTTTCTCTCGCACTTACTCTCAACTGGGGTATTCGTCTCAAGAGCCAAAAAGACGATCTCTTTTCTGAAATCACCCACGTCGAAGAAGAAATCAGTCGTTTCCGCTCAACCACTGGCAATCTCCAAGATTACATCCCCCTTCTTCGTTTGAACCCTTTCAATCTCCACTCCACCAAGGCACGAGAGATGCGCAACCGTCGAGACAAGTACCTCACAGCTCTTAACAACGGTCTCGACGAACGAATCGCAAACGGTACTTACAAGCCCTGCATCCAAGCCAACGTGATAATGGACAAGGAAGCAAAACTCAACAAGGACGAACTCACCTCCATCAGTCTGACCATGCTCTCGGGCGGTTTGGACACCGTTACTACACAGGTTGCGTGGTTTGTCGCGTATTTGAGCCAACATCCTGAGATCCAGGAAAAGGCCGTCTCGGAGATTAGGAAGTTTTACAGTGAGAAGCAGCCGATGTGTGATGAGCAGGATGATCAGAAGTGTGAGTATATCGTTGCGCTTGTTAGGGAGTCGTTGAGGTATTATACTGTTTTGAGGTTGGCGCTGCCGAGGGCTTCGATTAGGGATATTGTTTATGAGGGTGTTACTATTCCCAAGGGGACTGTTGTTTTCTTGAATGCTTGGGCATGCAATATGGGTAAGTCTCACCAAGTCATACCTCTTTACCTTATAGAAGCTATACTGACATTCTTCAGACGATCAAGTTTGGTCTGATCCCGAGGTCTTCCGCCCTGAGCGATGGTTCGAACAACCTGATGCTCCTCTCTTCACATACGGCGTTGGTTATCGCATGTGCGCTGGCTCTCTCCTCGCCAACAGAGAACTGTACCTGGTCTACATGAGACTTCTCAACAGTCTGAAGATTGAGAAGTCTGATGAGGTTGATTGCCACCCTATCACTGGTAGCTTGGATCCCACAAGTCTTGTTGCTCTGCCTCGTCGATATAAGGCTATCTTCAAGCCTAGAAACCCTGAGGCGTTGCAGAAGGCTTTGGCGGTTGATAACTGAGCGAGTTGTTGAGGTTTACGGGTGATATGGGATTAGTTGCATGCTCGGTTTGAGCATGCCAAATGACTTGTCATACCAGTCTTGTTACTATTGCATGGTGATATGGATCCGTCTGGGCCATTGAACTACTCTGTTACTCTGTAGACTAGATATAAATAAAAAAGTTAACATACAAATCTTTCTCGCCCTATCTTGAGTTCTGCCTCCGAGCCCCTTCTCAACCTTCCTAAAACCCTTCAAGCCATATCTACTGGGCAGCCTTCTCGATAATCTCCACAACTTTAGGCAGAGTCTTCTCATTCAAAAACGGACAATGCCCAGCTTCTATCCTCTCCACGGTGACACCATCTCCCATGCCGCCAACCATAGCAAACTGACCCTGAACAGGAACCGTGTTATCAATCTCACAGACAACATACGTCTTGGGGACAGTAATATCCGTAGCGACAAAGTCTGCTGGTGTTTCGAGGGACGCAGTGCTATGATTGACACATTCGCTGATTGCCTTCCTTGCCACCTCGGGGGCACAGTCGTTGTAGAAGGAGTTTTGTGCTTTGTCATTTAGGTAGCAGATATCGTCCCGTAAGCATGTCAGCAATGCTCTGGACTCGGTGTCAGGTTTTGTAGTAGCTTACCGTTCTATCGAGAAAAGGGCCATGCGTTCCTCCAGCGGCGGTCAAAAGAGAAAGACCCTTTACAGGAAGAGCAAACGCCGCGATATACACTACATGAGAAATACCACCAGGCAAACCCTTTGCCTCTCGTTCGTGAACCTGGTAACCCTCAACCGCAGCGGAACCCGGGATGCCTCCGTAGCTGTGGCAAACCAAGATGATTCTCTGGCCCTTGTCAAGTAAAGGTTGAAGAGATTTTCGGATAGCTTCCACGTCGTCCAAGTGGGTCTTTCCCTTGATGTCTTCGTCTTTGCCAGCTGTGACGTTGTCGGGCTGAAGGACTGTGAAGCCGTCGTTGGTAAGTGACTGCACAAGGCCTTGGTAGTGAATTGCGCGATGCCATGCGCCTTGGACAATGGCGATGACAGGTTTTTCCGAGTTTGTAGGCATGATGAAATGATGAATTCTTTGTAGGTGTCTGCGTGAGGGAGAAGTAAATGAGATGGAAGCGAGTATATATACCTTAAGGTTAGTGTCAGCACTATCAGTGTCTTACACTACAGGCTTCCTTATCAAGCTTAGCAGCATCTTATTTACCGCTCGCCATTTACCTTATTCAGGTGACTTGGCTGACAGTGCTGACGAGTTCAATCCTGTCAGCGATGGAGCCAGGGTATGAAAGTCAAGACCGCCAATGAGAGACTGGGTTTATCGCTTGTAATGCATGTCAGCAATAGTGGTGAGAGTAGAGCTGATATTTGATTGAGAAGAAACTAGAGCCCTATACATAATATCTCTTGATCTCATCCCACGTTTTTGTGTCTCATCCAATGTTATGTCTAAGCCAACCCAGTCATTCCTTCTTCCAGTTTCCAATGTCTATTTACAGCTTGAAAGGACTCTGAGGTGGGTTCGCGCCCATAGCCAACTCCATACTATTATCAATCTTGCCCATCGTCTTCTTGAACCCCTCCCTCCCCGCAATCCTCTCAAGATACTTCAAAACATTAGGATACTCCTCCAAACTATACGGCGAAAAGTATCTCATCGTCGTAAGCGGGAACAAAATCATGATATCAGCAGCCGTAAACTCTTTTCCAGCCAGCCACTCGTTATTCTTAACCCGCTCATCCAACAACTTCAGCGCCTGGCGAGACTTGACTTTTCCAAACTGCACAACAGGATTATCATCGCTTAATTTTGCAGAACGGATTAACATAATTCTGCCCAGCGCTGTTTGAAGAGTTCCGTCGACGTAGTGCCACCAGTACAGAAAATCAGCGTAGGCTGGGTGGGTTGGCGGGAGGAAGAGTGCGCCGTTGGCGTATTTGTGGCTGATGTATTCGATGCAGGCGCAGCTTTCGGCGAGGGTTATGGAGTTGTCTGTTATGACGGGGGCGGCGCCCATGGGGTGTAGGGACTTGAAGTCGGGGGGTGCGAGGAGGGGAGAGCGTTTGTATTGCTTGAGATCATATTCGATGCCGAGTTCTTCGCAGAGCCAGGGGATGCGCTCGGATTGGGAGACTTGAAGATGATGGACTGTGAGAGGCATCTTGATGTAATTGTCTGAGTTACTTATGATTGTGAATTGTAAATTAGAGGTTGTAAGTTTTGACGCGTTGAGAGTTCTTATACTGCTCGATATCAATCGTCATTATGGAGTTCATGTTTTCCGTGCCGAGGCATTTACCGGTCCCACTATTAACTCACGATTTGGACAGCCAATGATAGGATTTACCGACTCGGACAATGTCACCGCTAGTACAAGAGTAGAACCGCTAAAATGATTTGTCATATGATAAATGTCGTCGCTCTAGGGTATTTCCAGATCTCTTCCCAAGTCCCATGAAGTTTGATCTGCATCTAAGAATGATAAATCAAAGTCATCATTCGATGGGAAAAGACCAGCCATATCAGCATCGATAAGGGAGCTAAATATGTCCAAAGTAGGCCATTCGCTGGGCCCTGGGTTGAGTTTCGGAGTTTGCGGGAGCATCGTGTTCGGATTGCTCGTATTCGTTGGGACATTCAAATTCTGGAGAGGGCCACCCTCTGTACCCTGTGGATCAGATGTCATGTCGCCACTAATTCCGGCACTTGCGAGGGTTGGATCTGAGGCCTCATCTCCAGACTTGACGTATCCATTCTCATCAGATCGCAACATGCCAGCAAACTGCAAGATAGACGATTTCGCAAGCGACGCGTCAACATCAAAGTCCACAAGTGCCGAAGCATCCATATACTTTGGTTCGCCCGAGATTATGGGAGGGCTTTGTTTATGAACATCATGAAGGCAGCGCACGTAGAGTTGCTGACCCCGAGTTAGTCTCAGCGGCAGCTTATTTGCAAAAAGAAAAGTGATACTTACCAATAGTGAAGCCAACTTCCAGTAACCTGACATCCCCTGTATCATCTTGACATTGGCGTCGATGTTGGATTGAGCTCGTTCTTTGACGGACAGCTCGGAACACCAGAGAAACGGAATCTGGATACCGCAGCTCGAGTAAGCTGCATATGCGACAAAAATCGGCATCGAACTGAGCGGACAACCAGCAACTAATATTGCAGAGATGAGACTGGAGATTGTAGTAGCGTGATCAAACGCGACTTGTGCAGATAATTGTCTGGCTGACGAAAAAGTCCTGTCGCCTTTCGACCAGCAGAAGAGCGGAACAATGGAAGAGTGCAGTACACAGAGGGATTGGTGATAGACGAGGTTGGTAAGAACGATTTTGGGCAAATCATTACGTGGCACAGTCGAGACAGTAGATGCATCTAGCTTGAAGGTAACAGGGACGTTGTTCCACCATGTTGAGATGTTGTTCTCAACCCTAAAGATTTCTTGAAGACGGGAGTTGAGATCGCCCTCGGATCTAACAACAGACATGACAGAGGACCTGTGACAGTCAGTAAAAGTATCTGATCGCTAAGAGATGACGTACCAAAGATTCAGGGCGCGTATAAGCTCGCCAAAAATACTTCCAGAGTCCACTCCATTCGCAATCGTTGCAACCTCAGAGCGTGAAGTCCCAACTGCAAAGTCTTCTTCAGACCAAGGCAGCGGTAGATTCTCAATATCAGCAATCGCCTCGAACCGAAATAACTTCTCACAACTGAAGCAATGAAATAAATAACATGTCCAGAACCGTCGTCTTCGCAATTCAGCTTCGAGTGAAGAGCCGTTCTTGGGACCGGTTCCGATGATGTGGAGGAGTTGACATGCATTACCTGATCGAGTCAGCCAACTCAATGCTTTTAGTGATGGTGGCTTACCTTTGTGAAGATAACTTATCCTCCATGAACCTTGACTGTGCCAAAACAGCGATAGATTGCAGAATGTTACGAGATTATCATCACTAAGTTCTTCGGCGTCTTGGAAGACAAGTGCTCCAGCTGTCTTGGCCCATCTCGTCATAAGGCCTTGTTCTTTGAAGGTGGGTCTACCAGAACCATCGCGATAGAAACTTGGTTGCTAGTCAGCTTTAGAGTATGGCAATGAGTAGGGTGCTTACTTGGCGCCCCAGGCACAGATGCTTAGAAGGACATGAGGCTTAACGGTCTGATCTGCAAGTGACTGCAAAAAGGTGGCTTTGTGGAAAAGAAGAGTTGATTGATAGACATTGTCAAAGTATAATTCCACAAGGATATTGAACAAAAACGGAGCGATGCCTTGGTAGAAATCTTGGTCTGATACAGGCTCGATAGCTGGCAATGCAACTGGGGCTCCATGTATCGACCGAATGGAGTGTGTTGCTCCAGCTCTAGATGTCGTTTTTGTCACGCCCCTCTTTAATTGACTGTTGGTGCCGTATCTACAAGTGTTATTCAATCTGTAACATCGCTTGCAGCTCGGTCGCTCTCCAGAACACCGTATCTAGTGGGTTAGTTAGTAAACACGCCAATTACGTGTGGACATTTGACTCTGTACCTTTTGCCTTTTGCATATTTCACAAGCTTTACTCGGACGTCCTGGTGGTTTGGCCATCGCGGCGTATGCGGATTGTAAGATTTCCCTTGATGCATGTCAGCAACTGATATCATCGCTAAAGGGAAAATGATTACCCGACGCCTGCATCACAACACGGAGACTATAGTGCTGAGCTCACTAACATCGTTTTGACTGAGCAAGTAGTAACTAAGCCAGCCAAATCCTCAACCTCGATTGAGATACCTAACAACTACTGCAACGGACAAAGCTCACCCGATCATCTTTCTCTCGTAATTTAGGCTTTATCGTGTAATGGACCGATTGGTGGTTGCCAATTATCCCGGCTCGTGCCCCCCGGGGCATCCCAGCGCCAAGAGTCCCTATGATTGAAGCGTCTACCAAACTAGCGGGGGATCGACGTAGAAATTGGGGGGATCCCCCGCAGAACAAACAAGCATAAACGGCTCTGATTCTAAGACGAGGTATGACGCCGTTGGGGGACTTTTGCGCCGTCGGTAAGAGATATACCGAGACAGCTATAAAATGCAAACATTTCCTTTTGGTTGTACAAGTTACAGAACTAGTTGTACAAGTCACAGAGTGTCAATTGATTGCTAGTATGACTCTCTTCTCGGTTCTAGCGTTTGCTGCGCTCGCGAGTGCAAAGTGGATTGTCCCTGGTGCGAGATGGTACGATACCGATGGAAATCTATTCAATGCTCATGCTGGTGGTCTCTGTGTCGACAGGGAGAGTGGCAAGTTTTATTGGTTTGGTGAACACAAGACTGAAGAGCAGGAAGAGGGCGGCGGTATTTCGGTGTACAGCTCTGATGACCTCGCTACGTGGGAGTCTCACGGTTTGGCTTTGAGTTTGTCTACCCAATTGACTAGAGTGATGGTTACTGATGTGTTACAGAGCCTGAAGAGGGTCATGAGTTTGTTTCGCCGGAGAGTATCATTCAGCGACCCAAGGTTCTTTACAGCGAAGAAACAGGAAAATACCACGTACATCTCCCTATTCTCATACAACCACCAAGCTGACTCTGTTTCTTAGATGTGGTGGCACGCCGACGATAGAAAGTACAGCCTTTTACTCCAAGGCCTCGCAACATCCGATAAAATCGCCGGCCCCTACAAATTCCAACACGCCGTATCACCCCTCGGAAACTGGTCCCAAGATTTCGGCGCCTTCACCGATTACAAAACCGGAAAATCATACGCTCTCTACTCCAACGGCGATAAAGTCGAAGGTCGAGATGTCTACGTCAGCGAATTTAATAAGAATCTTACGGATGTGGAAAAGGTCACGTTTCGATTTAATAAATATGATTTTGAGGCGCCAACTATTATTCAGACGGAGAAGAGCTATTGGACTTTTATGAGTCATAAGACTGGTTACCGACCTAACAGTAAGTCTTGATTGGGGTACTGAGATGAGAGTGAGGGCTAATTGGAGTAGATGTTGTGGCTATGAGGGCTGATAAACTTGAGGGCCCGTGGTCGCAGCCTTTCTTTGTTGCGCCGGCTTATACGAGGACGTTTAGTACCCAGTCTGGGTTCTCGTGGAGGATCAAGGGGACAAAGAAGACGACTTACCTTTATATGGCTGACCAGGTATGTTGCCTTCTATCTGTCGTGAGTTGAAACTAACACTTTGGAGTGGGATCTGCCATCGATCTGGGAGAGTCGCAATGTCTGGCTTCCTATTGAGATTGACGAGGAGAACAAGAGCGTCAAGGTTGTCTGGCACGACGTTTACGACTTGAATGTGTAAGTCGCCTTTGCGTTGACTCTGAGTCCATACTGACTGTTTGTAGCAAAACTGGTGAATGGAAACCTATCAAGGGCAAGACATATCCCTCAAAGAACGCTAAGTTCGCTGGAGACGCTCACCTCCAAGAAGCTGTAGGTACCTCTGATTCACTACGCAGAGGTTTTGCTAATGGCTGTGACTAGACCTTTGGAACGGACCATGTCATCGCAACTGGCATCTACGGCAACGACAGCACCGCAACATTCACAGTTGAAGGCCAAGGCGCTGACCAATGGGTATCTTTCTACCACCAAAGTAAGCCCCCCCCCCCCCCCCCCCCCCTTCCCTTTCTCATTCACATACTAACAACCTTTAGACATCGATGACATGGGCTTTGGCGACCAACCTATGGGTTCACCTGATCGCATCAACGGTACCTGGGCAATCCGACGGATCAGCAGTGTCGTCGTCAACGGCGATAAGGATAAGGTGCACACTCTGTGGCAGAAGGATACACACAAGGGAATTATTCTATCTGCTCCTTTGTTGCTGCCGCTCAAGAAGGGGAAGAATACTATTACTGTTGGAGGGTTGAATAATGGGAAGGATGTTAAGGGTGCGGATTTGGATAGGATTGTGGTTTATCCTCCGGAGAAGAAGAAGGGAAAGAGGAGTTTCTTTGGTATCTTTTAGAGACACCTAACTACTGCTCAGATAGAATAAAGAGCTTTAGTTGAGACATGAGACCTGACTTTCGGCCTAACTGCTGAAACTAAAGTATGAGTTGCTCTGTGATTCCGCTAGCTAAAAGGCCATGTACTCGCTCGATTTCACCATGACTGCGCACTATCACCCCGACAATCAGGCCCTAGCATCACTACGCCCACCTGTGAACCGCTAGGTTAGTTTATTTGGACGATAAATTGTGTTTATCTTGTATGGGGGAAGCACACTGACACTACCAATGAACTCTCGCGCTGAATAATCTGCTCAGCATCGCTCTTTGGATTGAGCAGTCGCCTGCAAGTCTCCAACTAACACTGAATGCTTTGTTTCAGAGCCAATTAGACTTCAGACGAACTCTTAGCGCTATCCCCTTTGTCATTCGTCTTGTTCAAAACCATCCACAAAGGCCATTGACTCGCTTAGTTCTCACAAACAAAGCTAATTGTTCATCTTCAGCACAATGAATCACAGTCAAAACCACAGAACAGTGTCACAACACTCAAGGGAACCGCCCAGCATGCCATTATAAAACCCCCAATTTCTTGGAAACCAGTTGAATCCTGCCAACCTTTTCCAACTTCTACGTCAAAAACAGCCCACCAGGTAAGAAGATCACTATCAACATGACGTTCTTTCCTTGGCCAACTGCTCTTCCTTCCAAGGAACACATTCCTTCTCGAGTATTTCCATCTCTTTTGCTGATCGTTCCACTGGTTGCAAGCTTGACCTGTGTTTGGCTTCTTCTCAATGATATTTGGACAAAGGTGTTTTGTACACTTTTCACACTGAGATATCTTCGTTTATTCGGACATGTTGCTGGATCGTGGATGTATCGTCCTGCAGAGATCAAACAGGATCCTTCGTTTTCGCGGAATGATGTAACGGTTATTCTTCCAACCATCGATCCTCATGGTCCGGACTTTCGAGAGTGTGTGGAAAGTATTCTTGCGAATAACCCAGCTTGCATTCTCGTCGTAACAGTTGGTGCTGTTCTACGAGAAGAATGTCAAATTGTTCTCAGAAAATTGACTCTTGATGCTCCGTTTACTCAGGTCCTTGTCTCGGCTCTCTCTGAACCGAGTAAGAGGCGACAAATCACTCATGCTATGCCAAACGTCACTACGGCCATTACTATTTTCGCAGATGATCATGTTTTCTGGCCGAGGAATTTTATTCCCTTTGTTCTTGCGCCTTTTGAAGATCAGGGTGTTGGTATGGTAGCGACCAAGAAGCGAGTTCGGCGAACGACACCTGGAGACTGGACATGGCCGTCCATCGTTAACTTCATCGCGTGTAATTACCTCCAGCGTCATAACTGGGAACTTCGTGCATCTAACGCCATCGACGGTGGAGTATTCGTCATCTCAGGCCGAACAGCAGTTTACCGTACAGAGTTCCTCAACGACACTAACCTCCTCGAGCGCTTCTGCCATGAGAAGTTCTGCTTTGGACTTTTTGGTGGTGGGGGTCTGGGTCCTGATGATGATAACTTTTTGACAAGAGAAGGTATGAAGAAAAAGTGGCTTGTCAAGTTTCAGGATACAGAGGATGCTACTATTGAGACGACGCTTGGTGAGTGGCCTAAGTTTAAGGATCAGCTACTTCGCTGGGCCCGTACGACCTTTCGCAGCAATCCAGTCATGCTTCGCGATCCAATTTTTGTTTCTCGGTATACATGGAGTTGCTTCATGGTGTACTGGGCTGGTCTTGTCAACTTTGCTATAATCTGGGATACACTCCTCATCACGACGTTTGTCCTGGCTGAGAAATCTGGCGGCGCTGAGTTGGTGCTCTTCTTGATCTTTTTATTCTGGACAAAGGTTATCAAGATCATCCCGCACTTCCTTCAATATCCATCTGACTTTCCACTTGTTGTTTGTCAGATTGTGTTTGGGTATGTTCACAGCTTTATCAAGCTTTGGGCGCTGGTTACGTTCTGGGATTGTGATTGGTCTGGCAGAAATTTGAGCGAGGTTAATCCTGAGCATGTTGGGCTTGATACGTCGTTTTATGAGGTTCAGTAGTGATGGGTTTGTGAGGCTGGCTCGGACGCACGGTGGAATTGAGTTGATAGGATCACAAATACAATACGATGTCGAAAACTGATGCTAAATTGAGCCCTGCAATTGAACTGTCTTGATGTCAATGATGCGTAGCCCAGTGTTGGTAAAGCTACTGATAATGATCTATGTGATCACCTGAAGGGTCATGCAATCGTATGACCATTTCTCTGTATAGGACATTATACTGGGCCTTTTAGCTGAAGGCGTTGGTGTTAGTAACTGTTGTAGAGGTACAGACCAAGTTCTGTGTGGTAATTATAAGCTCTCAACCGCAGTTCTCAACGACAAATAACACATCTAGCTCACTATTTAGACATTATACCGTAATGCCTAACCAATTGCTACAGCATATCTGCTGAGCAGAGGTACAGAGTGGGTGCTAAACACCCTCACCAAGGTGTTGAAGCTTCTTTTACCCCCTCAACCTTATGACTCTACCATAGTGTATTTGCTCCGGTATTGTCTACGTAATACCAGCTTGCATGATAAGCTGGAGTTTATCTTGAGCTGTTACGTCGTAGCTGGTATGCGGCCTGATGTGTGTTGTCGAGAAGTGTTATTTAGAGTTAATACAGCAAAAAGTCAATGCTTACATCGTACGTCTTCCCTCGTGTATTCGCTCCCTATAAGAACTTGAAATGAAGGTTTCATCCCTACAGTACCCCGATTGGATCAGATACAATCGTGGAAACCTAGGTCTCAACAGCAAGGTTCAGATCCATTGGTGACTGAACACGTCTTCATGTTGGAAGTCAATCAACAGGACAACTCGGACCTACGGAGTAGAATGTTTTTTTAGACTAATAAAACGGGAGAACTCCCAAAGTCAATTCCGACATACAAGAAACTGACGGGCCAGAGGTAGTAAAATTCAATGTCAAGGCCAATTAGCGAATTGCACAAGATTCAACATCTCACCATGACGAGAGACTCATAGAAAGAAAGCCATATAAAGTAAATATTTCGGCGTTCAAAGAGCTGTATAAATATCTGCTCCCATCCAACAGTCTCAACCATTTCCGCTGCCTCAAGACAACAAGCGACCTACTCAAACTCCTCCCCTCATCCAGCTATAAGCTTCAACAGTCATCCAACCACCTTCTTCTCGTCAAGATATCTCAAACTTTACTTACAAGCAACCAACCCACCCCGTGTTATATTTACCATCCATTATGGGTTGCTGCGGCGGTCACGTCACAAAGACCGTGACTAAAGCCTTCTCCAAAACATACGAGAATAATAAAAGCAGAAACTTTGGATACAGGAAGGGACCCGATGGGAAATGGTACGGACCCGGCACCCAGGACGAAGCATCCCTCGAGCCGGAGAGGAAAAGCAAAGCTCAACTCAAGAGGGAGAGTCAGCGTAAGAGCAGTGTTTTTGCGAGGCACAAATCTCCATCAAGCCTCGGGACTCTGGCTATGATGCATGGTACTCGTTCAATTAGCGGCAGCTCTCAACTATACGGCCAGCCTCGATCCTACGGAAAGTCTCAATCTTTTAGCAAGTCTAAGACTAGAAGCCAGCGAAGAGATTCCTGGTTTTAGGATGATGCCTTTAGCTGTTACAGGTTCGTCTCTTCACAAGATCAGCATCCCAATTCGAAGGCATAAGTCTGAGTGCGACGCCTCACCTCTATTCTATGAAGCCTTGATGTAATTGGAAGCTCTTATATATCAAACATGCAGAACTGACTACGTTCGAAGATTCACTCGTCTAGGAACTCTAGGATTGTAACGAGCAGGACAATCAAGAGACATTTGTCGAATGGTGATGCAGGATGTCTTCAAGCGGTATAATGCACTATATTATTAGAGAAGAAAGGAAGCGAGGAAAAGAAAACACTGGCGGGGCTTGGATGACGAGAGACTGGAGTAATAATTTAGGAGTTAAGGTTTGCAAAGAGCCCGAAGTACTAAATCCTGAAGCCGACTGGAGAGGAAATGACAGATATGTCGTTAACACGAGGCCTCTAGCGTAACCTGATGAACTCTATTCAAACGTGACCAACAGACTTCAGTTCCGAAAGCCTATTAACAACTCCCCTATCGACTAAAGCTTAAGAAAAGAACATACACTTGCCGGCTCGATATCTCATAAAGCTTAGTTTTCAGTTACACCGCGAGCAAAAGATGCGATGATGTTGTATTTCGAACTCTTACTTCTTAAAAGCCCCATTGGACATCTCATCCTCCAGATCATAATAAACCTGAAACTCACAGTAACAAATCTCAGGATCGCTCTCAACATCAAAGTTAAAGTTGGCCTCCTCATCTTCGATCAGAACCTTGGGCATGCCATTCGCCGTAGCAGCTTCGGCGAGAAGTTGAACGCGACAACTGTTCTCCATGGACGTATACAGCCACGCTGCCTCATCCACAGTTTGTCCGACCGTGAGAATACCGTGGTTCCGCAAGATACAGCCTTTTCCCTCGGGCCCCATTGCGGCTGCGATGCGGTCTCCTTCTTCACTGCCTAGTACGACGCCGCCGTGACTGTCGTAAACGCTATGCGCGTCGCCTCGAAATTTACACGCGTCTTGCGTAAGCATTTCGAGGCGTTTGCCGAACACAGACCAAGCTTTTCCGTGAATGCTGTGACAGTGACAAATAGCGTGAACGTCACTCCTCGCTTTATGAATAGAAGCATGGATCAAAAACCCCGCCGTGTTAGGTGGTCTCGAGCGATCCCCCCCAATGACCTCTCCGTCAAGGTTAACGAGGATCATATCGCTAACCTTTAACAGACCAAAGTGTCTTCCGAGGGGGTTCGTCCAGAAAGCGTCGGTGAATTCTGGATCGCGCACGGAAATGTGACCGCTCATGCCTTCGACGTAGCCTTCGCGATGCCAGTGGCGAAAGGCAGCGGCCATGTGCTCGAGTTGCCATTGGCGTTGGGAGGAGAAGTCGGGGTGTAAGGGGATGCCGCTGAGGACGACGTCGCCGTGGGACATTGCTTGGAGGGGGGTCTTGTCTTTGAGTTCATGGCCGTGGGTGGGTTTGGGGGCGATGCTGATTGTGCCGCTTTGGGCTTGGATGGTGGTGGTTGAAGTCATGATACCCAATTGTTTTGATATGAGTGAGTTTGATGATATTTCTTGTTATGGTTGATTCCCAGTTCAAGTGTCGTCCTTTATGTCTTTGTTATCCATCGTCTATCATTGGCGTGCGTGCGCCCTCTAAATACTGTCTAGCTTCATGATTGCGGGGAAGCGCCTTATTCAGAACAGCCAGTGCTTATCATAAGCGGGGCCGGGAACTTGATCCGATTCATGTAGTATTGGAATATGAAGATGAAAAGCGTCATCTGAAAGGCGTGGACAGTAAATTGCGAGAATCTGTAAGTCAAAAGAGGGCGCGTAAGATAAAGATCCTTCTCCGTCTGATCAAGACCAATTATATCCAAGCCAACGTCGTCATCAGTTGCACGGCCCGGCCACGAAATGGGATGGCCGGGAAGTTTATTTGGGAGTTTCTCATTCCGTCAACGCCGGGTCATGATGATATCCCGGTTGTGCTCCTCCATTCTCTCTTTGCCTTCCATACCGCACTGTTACCAAGACGGACCAGTTCCGATATAAACCTAATGAGCTCATGAATGCAGTCCATGTCATCATTTGTCAACTCTTCCATCGCCGTGCTCTGGAATAACGTTGCACACCCCGCCAAGAGGTCAAGGTCGCGTCGAGCCCGTTGATCCAAAGGATGGATCAGAATGTTCATGAATAGCGCCATGGCCGCTATGGGAGGGTGAAATGTAATGTGACTAAGAGTGTTAGCATGATCCAAATACAGGGATAGATAGTCTGCTTACCCGAACATGTCCTCCTGGAGAGCATCGGCATAAGTCTTGAAGATCTTTAGCGTTGTGCGACTGGCTTCGAGAGAAATGTCACTGCTTGAATGATAGACGCTGTGTAGGTCATCAGGTAAATTATCGTCCACAGCATATACTCCGCCACATCTACGGACGGCAGCATGGATTACCGTTGTTAGGTAATTGTACTCTAGCTGGAGATGAATGCATCTTCTCCTTTGGGCGAACGACATATGCGGGTGGAAGAGTGATTGCTCGGGAAGGACGGACAACTTTGGCCTGTAATCCACGGGGATATTTGAGCGCCATGTCTCAAGATCAAGGTCTAATTGGCGAACTTGACCGAGAATCGTTCCATCTGATAAACCTGAGTTGTCTAGAGAGCAAAGAAATAGACATATTTGTTCTTTGAGGTGGGATAGGTGCAGGTCCTGCGAAAAGCAAACAGTGTCGTTCTGGGGAAATTGAGTGCAAGCTTCAGTGAACCCTCCACTATATATGCGAGCCCAATTATCCGGGAGCGTCGGGTCACAATAATCTCCGGTGAGGCAAGGCGGTCTTCCGAAACGGATGGCTATGTCCTTATCGAAGATATAACATATCCAGAAGAGGTTTCGGATATGTGTGTGTCGGCGTGGGCTGTCGGATTCGCCTGGTGTGAGGGGATTTGAGATATGCCCTTTGAGATCGTACACAATGCGACAGGTGTGAGGATGAAGTGTAGCAGCTGTCCCCCACTGACCAGACAGTAGATGATATATTTGCTTTCACCTGCGTCAGAACAGAATAACGAACACTTGAAGAGGCTGACTTACCAACATAAGAACTGTTTGAAGACTCTCCAGCGTACTCTGGCTGAGTAATTGTGGCAAATAGCTGTGTGACGCATGTACATAGACATCACTCTCATTAGGCTGCAGTTGGGAGCCCTTCAACCGCGAACTCATAGCCATGAACGCCAAAAGGCATACCCGTGCTCCTCGGGACTCGGCGTAAGCTTCCGCCAAAGTATCTTCAACAAGTCCTGGGTCAATGATAGGGTATATAAGTCGCCAGTGTGAGTTGAAGTATGAATTTAGAAATTCCTCTACAGTGTGCCGTTCCGGAAAGCTGAATGAAGGTGGTGGGCTACTCAAATCGCGTTTCTGCGTACCAAACAGACGGAAGCCATCTAGAGAGACGCTTTCGCCGACCTTTGAAGACATCCACTCACGGCCTTTGGTGGAGTTGATAGGTATGCCCTTGAAGTACCAATGTTGTCCGAGACATGTCCAGAGCGGGTATGGCTCTGCAGGCGCAGACACTGCAGTTTTCTGTTGGATACATGGGGAGATACAAACCGAGGTGTCCTCAGAGTGATTTCCAAAGGCTGAGCGTGGAGACGTCAGATTTGCGGTCGGAGTTGATGTGGACGCTCGAATGTCGGAGCGCATCTGCAGAAGAGATGCTTCAAGCTCTGTGACTCGACGCTCAAGCGTCTTGACATGGCTTACGAGGGCAGTGCTGGAGTAGGTCAGCCGAATGTTTCTCATATGTGGAGTCAAAGGACTTGCTTCACGTCTGTCTTCCTTTGCGACTCCCTCTTGACAGCGCACTCAAGATCATGATTCGCGCACCATTCACACGGTTGTTCGGGAACCGGTTTTATGCATTGGATCTAGCGCCTTTATTAGTACAAGTTAGGAGTAATACGTGGGGTGCGATACCTTTCGCTTGTAGCAAACATCACAGGCTCGTTTTGGAGGCATTGAGTGATTATCAGGGTTGGTCAACTGGATGATTGATAGCTTCCATCGGAGAATCGGACTCCGTGGTGGCTTTAAAGGTCCACGAAGCTACGATACTGCGCTAAACCTGAAAATCACAAGCGGTGTAGCGTCTCTTCATTTATTGGTAGACAATTAGCTCGATGGAGTCGCGGAGTCCGTACGCCGCTGACATGACTCTGCTATGTGGGGTCATAATGCACGTCTACCCATCATCATCAATGAATAAACTAACGACAGTAAGGGGAGCTAGAAGCGCAATGCCCAAACATCACCGAGTCTCTGGTTATCCTCCCCAAGACCCCCATGAACAATCACAGTATCCATCCCATCTTCATCGCGCGCAACATCAGCGTCAAACCAACCTCTAGCAACAGGCCCGTTTTCACTAATATCCACTCTCTGCCAGGTACTCTCCTCAATGTCGAAAGCCCAGACGTCGGAAAGCATCTTTCCGGCTCCTGCATGGCCTAAAGCACTAGGGTCTCTTTCGCCAAACATTGTGATTAAAAAGGTCTTGCCCTGCACTGAGACGGGGAGTAGTGTTGCGACACTTCGTGCTTCAGGGCCTTCAAGGCCATCGGGTTTGTAAGTAACTGTAGACCATGAACCAGCTGCGATGTTATAGATGTCCAAGGCACCGCCCTGTTCTGTCTTTCCATCGAAGCCATTCATGCGATAGAGCTTCCCATCGCAAAATGCGATGGAGGAGCCACCACGAGCAGGTCCTGGTGCAGAGGGTAACTCGGTCCAAGCCCGTTTGTTTACATCAAAGACCCAAAGATCGTTCAATCGATTCTTCTCAGGGCATCCAGAGTGGAGATAAAGCTGATCAACTCCATCTGACGTGATACAGTGATAACTTCGACCATCCGGAAACGACACAGAAGGATCTGCAGGCTTGATGGAGTCCCATATACTTTCGGGTGCATTGTACCGCCAGATAGCACCTTTCTCTTCAATCGGCTTCATCTCAAGGCCGCCGCGTCCAGAGAAGAGGAAGATGTTGCTTCCGATGGTGGTGCTTGGGCTGCCGACTCGAGGTGAGGGAGCCTTGGCGGGAGCCGTGAGTTTCTGGGCACCATGCTCTACGAAAGTCAGTAATATTTAGTAAGTGTTTGACTATCAGCGGACCTTGGACATCAAGGCTGACAACATCGACTCTGTTGTCAACTGGTTCACGTGGGAGTAACTCGCCGCCAAAGATGTAGACCTTTTGGCCAACAGCAGAGACAGCTTGGGAGGATCTGTAAAGGCGTTTGCTGGAAGTTATGCGAGTCCAAGTAGCACAAGGAAATTTAGTAGGAGCCATCTTGAATGTTGATGATTACTAAGATGTAATGGCAAATGTGAGTGAAAGTGTTTAAAAAAGCTGTCTAGAGAAGGAGGGAGAGCAGTCTCTATTTGTACTGTCACAGACACCTTGTTGAGCTTCTGCTACCGACGTTTCTGGCAATAAGTTCCATCACGTTTATGCATCTTATATTGACTTTGGGCAAAGGTATCTTGGTGGTATCGGAGGACGCGGTCCGCTTAGGTAATGCTGCCTCAGAGACTAATGCCCCTTAAGGGACTAGACCAGTGACAGCGACCTCAGCTCGAATACCCAATGAGCTCATACTCGTTCTTTAGTCGATTTTATAAGTAATCACAACAAGATTGGTGGTGTTTGTCTCTGTGAAGGCTTATGAGGAGTCCGACATGCCTCTCGAGTCATCATATGACCTTCATTTCGGCCTTAATCCGTATGGGATGTCTCTACTAATGCTATGTGCTGGGCAGTAACAGGCAGGACAGAATAAGCAACTAAATGATGTCTTTAGGGCCCATAATGCACATAAGAAATCCACTCAGCTTTTTTATGCTTCGATGGTTGCTTCCTCTGCAAGTTCAAACGCCCATTCCGACTAATAAGCATTTTGAAACTCTGGTTATCCAAAATCCAAGTCAACTTATCTAGACTCTTCGCTTTACACTCCTCTGAGGTTTCTGAAGGCGGTTCACGTGTCTCAGTCGTTCCAGATAGGCCACTCAACCATGCATCGCGAGCTTGTTTGACCGCAAAGTGTAGTGAGGCACAAACTGCGAGGTCTGTTAGAGGATTAGATGTCAAGTTTTTATACACTGACTCAGCCACGAGTGAACAGGTGGCGTCGAAGACCTGCAGCTGAGCACCAATGACGTGACGGAAACCACTCAGCTGGAATGCTCCGATGGTATGAATATTCTCGTCTTCAAGGCCTACTGCATCGTTTGCGCCTGTCAAGCAAGCAGATAGGTAGCTGAGAAAGGCATCATGCTGGACGAGATTACTCTGGCCTTGCAGTCCACCTTGCAGGTCGTTGACGGTGATAAGGCTATCCTTGAGCATCAGTCCACTACATGAAGGGTCAAGCGGGTCTGATTCTCCATGACCAGCGAAGTGAAAGAAGGTACACGACTCCAAATGCTTCAGGAGCGTTGTGCGGTCCGGACAGTCCAGTCGGATGGTTTCCAGACCCAGCTTCGACGTTAGGGTCTCCAGCTTGTCGATCTCTTCCACGGCTAACGGCAGATCGGGTAGGTTTGGACGGAAGGGGGTCTGCCTCATGCTCACCAGAAGAGCCTGTTTAGTCTGACTGACTTCCAGTGGCTCAACACTTTTGCTCCTGCCAGACACGAAGCTTCTGAGGGAAGAAGCACACGAGGACATAACTCTGTCTATTACTGTATTTCTGGAGCCGTTTATATGGAGACCTGCTGCATGGATTGGAAATGGATGCAAAGATCCAGTCATTATCCAGGAGATGCGTGGAGGATGTCCATCAGACGACGGCTCACAGAATCCCAACTCATTCAGAACAGGCTGGGCAATAACGTCCCAAAGCCATTCTAGTAATGTCGGCTCAGTATAGGGACGCGAGCTTGTGAGCCCATCCAGGCGAGTTCGGACGTCAAGCGAGTGTAGCTTCTTCAGCGGAACGAGCCTAGTTCCTACTGATTGGCTCAGAATTAGAGCATCGCACCGTAAATTGTCCTCATTGACGACTACAATTGTGTCGTCGTTCAAGACCTGTAATACCTCGCTCTCTGAAGGTGGTTTGAGGAATCCTTTTGTGTTCGGATTCTCTTGAATACGCCTCACAATCGTTAGTAACTCTTCCTCAGCTTCCCTTAGAGCTTTGGAGTGTAATATATGAGAAGAACGTGCTAAACTCTCATCCATGTCTAAGAGATCCAGCACTGATCTTCCACCCGCCGATAGAGTTTGGAGCCTCTCTCTAGCTTGCATGAAGGCCGCATCTGTCTCAACATCGAGCATCTCCATGTCGGCTGGTTGCGGGCCCATGAGGAGACCGGCTATAATGCCACGCCCTCGCTCCAGTAGCATCAGCGCTTCCGCAGCACTGGCACCAGCTTCCAGTGCTACAGCCGCTACACTGGTTGCTAAACCAGACACACCTTTGAGTAGGATCTGCTGGTCCAACTGTGGCAGGGATTGTGACGTCACAAGTGGAAGCGAAGCGATGGCGTCTTGAAGAATTTCGGTTGCCTCTTGCGGTCTCCCCAGGTAGCACAAGATGTCAGCTGCTCCCATAGCACCCTGAATTCGCTCGATATGTTGGCCATCGCCATAGTGATTTCTGAAGCACTGAGTAAAATACGAGACTGCATCTTCCAAGTCCTTGAGAGAAGAATTTTGCTGCGTCGCGAATCGCATTATGAGGGACATACCTAGGCTATTGAGAACCCCAGTGAAAGAAGGATCATTCGAATCCATCTCGCAAAGGCTTTGGCGGAGTGTCTCGATAGAGCGATCGCCGTCTGCTATCGCTCGACTCTCGAAGAATCTACCCATAAGAGCACACCCAAATAAGATGAGTGATTGAACTCGATCAACACTACCCTGAGGTAGTAACTCCAGGGCGCGTTGAAAGAGCTCCAAGGCTTCATCTTGATCTATTCGGCTGTTGTTGCCTCCAATCAAAGAACGATGATATAGATGGGTAGCCTTAACTGAAATTAATCGAGGTTTCTCAGGCCTGTAGTCGGGTGTTTCGTCAATAGCCATGGTAATAGTTCGAATGGCCTCATTCAGATCACTCGCCGACCTCGTGAGGCAATGACGGAAAGCATAGCATCGGCTAAGTTGTTCCATGCGAGGGACCCAGTGGATGGAGCCTGTTGGGGTCAACTGCACTGCCGATTTGGCAGCCTCAATGGCGTGATGAAGATCAGCAAGAGTACCTGTAATAACAGACCGATTAGACGGACAAGTTGAGAGCGTCAGCAGGCTATCCGGCATGGATGATGCCTTTTCCTGAGTGACCTCTACTGCCTTATTCGCCAGCTCGATGGCGCGGTCGATGTCCTCGAGTCTTGCAGATATCTCAAACCTCGTTCGCAGACAATGTGCATTGGCGGTAAGGACGTATGGCGTAGCCGACTGCGAAAATATATCTGCAGAGACGGCCTCAGTGGTGACGCGGACAGCATCTTGGACATCGTCGATGCTTCCCTGGGCCCGAAACCGCAGAGCCAAAAGATTCCCGTGTACTGCTAGCCAAAGTGGCCAATCGTGGTTGCTGAACGCTTTCTTGTCCAAGACGCCACTGCTTAGTGTGATAGCTTCCTCCAGGATTTCCATCGAGGTTGGATGACTTGGGTGATGCAAAGAATTTTCGAATACGTTACCGAGACGGTCTGCTAGTTCAATTTGGATGTTGAATCACCGCGGGTTATCTGGTGACATGACCTCTATGGTCTTTCTGCTCTCCGTGACACTATTTTCCGAGTCCGTGATATCTCCTTTCGCATTGAAACGAGAAGCATAGGCAGTCGCCAATAGGTTTGAAAGATCTGCTGCAAGGGGATCCTCCGGCGTAATGATTGAGCACGCCCTCTTAGTCAGCTCAATACACCGGTCTATATCAGTCATGTCACCCAAGCGGCGAAAACGTAATCGAAGGAGCGAACCCAGGTTGGCCAGAGGTCCTGGCGCGTCGGGGGTGAGTAACAGGGCTTTCTCCGATATCTTGAGAGCACGGTCCAAGTCTCTAGGCTGGGAGGTGAACCAATACCTTTCCTTAAGCCAACGTCCCAGCGCAACTTCAATCCATTCTATTTGGAACCTTTGGTGAGAAGCCGAAATGCTATCTGCTTCCTCGCAAACCTGAATAATTTTGTCCAGCTCTGCGACTGTGCCTGACTTTTCAAACCTGTGCCCGAGACAACTGCAGAGATTCTGCAATCGCTCAAGGCGCTCTGGATCATCCTTGGAGGTGATCTCGAGAGATGCCTCGCAATCGAATATCGCCTTTTGCAGAGCGTCCAAGTCACTGGAAAGGTCGAATCTGGCTTCAAACCCGATAGCACGCATAGACATGTAGTGGGAAATCTGAGGATCTCCCGGGTCGGCTTGGTCCAAGACGGCATTGCAGCTTTGTATGTACAGGTCCAAGATGTTCACTCCGCCTACGGCAAGGTGCTTCTCCCACAGCAACAAGGCAATGTCGTGGTGCACTGAGTAATCAGGTATAGAACTTTGTGGTGAGGGTGAAAGCGCCATCCTCGAATATGAAAGAGCATTATCGACATCATTTATATCCCCGTACCATTCATATCGTAGAACGTAAAGCTTGGCGAAATCAGTAAGGATACTGCGTCGATTGGGCTCTGTATCCTGCATATGAGGCAAGGCAGCGATACCAAGGTTGATGCCTTGTTCTAGATACTTGTGATCCATGGTAAGTTCGAAATAGTCCAGAATGTCTCGTAGTAAATCTGCAATAATGCCAATTAAAAAAACACGGTTTTCTATAGCCCGTAGAATAGCTACGTCAATGGCATCGCTCAACCAAGACAAGTCTTCATCAAGCATAATCTTATCCATTTCAAGAAAATTTGGCAATATGCGATAATAGAAGGATAATTTGGAAATATAGGTAAAACATAAAGTAAGATGAAGGAACACGCTTCGATTGCAGAGATTTGGGCTGAGACAGATTTGGTTCGACAAGACATGCCTGGTCAGCTGTTTGTCCAGTAATATCAGGACACGTCGATGACCAAGATTGAAAGGTACGTATAGTTAACCAAGGCATGTAGGCAGAAGTGCACTTTTGTTTGAAGTCCAAGGTTGCCTGACTTTTGCTTGCTTTGCTTGACTTGGTGCGGGGTCGCTTTGGAAATAATTAGTACTCGACTGTTCGGGTATCAAATTCTACATTAGTTTGGAATAGAAAGATATGTACCTCCATCAATCCCCTGCCGCCCAGTGCATCATGGACACTTTCACCACTACCACTAGCTCTCAGCCAAATCACTGGGCAGTGTTGATTGGAGTAGGCTTCACCTTAAGCAAGGATGGGACGTCTTCAACCTCAGATAGGTCTCTGAAAGGCACTATCCCTGACGTCAGGGCCGTCCATGAATACCTCATATCTATGCCCTCTAAACCGGACGTTGTCGTTCTTACGGCGACAAAGTCACCAGACAGCAACCAAACGGGTCCCTTGGAGGCTGAGGACTCCTTACCAACCTACGACAACGTGACATCGAGCTTGATACGCATATTGAAAACAGCTAGCCCAGGACATCGTGTATACATTCACTACTCTGGTCACGGTAGCCGGAGAAAGGAAGACAATGCCTTGGCTCTGGAGCTGCTCGACCCTAAAACATTCCAAACACGATATCTCTATGGGACAGTGCTGCGCAGTGCCATCAATAAAATGATCGACAGAGGCCTAGACGTGACACTAGTGCTTGACTGCTGTTTCTCCGGTAGCGCTCTACGTGCAGATTGCGTGGATACCTCGACCATCCGTTATTTCGAGCATGATCCAAGTCTTGATATGCTGCCAGACGTATCTGACCCTTTCGATATCACCATTACCCAAGATGTCCCACGAGGTGCAGACATCAATTTCGCCCGGCTTCTAAACCCTCAAGGGTATACTATTCTTGCCGCGGCGGGCCCAGATCAGGTCACTTCAGAACTGGACTTTGAAGGTGGCGGCCGCCGGGGAGCTCTTAGCTATTTCTTAGTAAACTCTCTTATTGTACTGTGAAGGCGAGGAGCCCGCATCTCTAACCAATCACTTCATCAGCATCTTCAAACCCAATTCCATGCTCACGTGCCGGAACAGACACCGATGCTCTATGGAAATTGTGGATTTTCATTCTTCGGTGACTTTACAAAAAGTCCAGATATGCCTCCCATAGTTCATCTACACCGGAGCAACAACGATGGCCATCTTGTTCTCCACGCTGGTCAGGCACATGGAGTACATCTTGGGGATACATATGCGTTGAGTACTTTTGAGACACGAGAAACACCATAAGTACTACTCCAGGATCGCATTGAGGGCACTATATCTGCGGTCGGTAGTATCGAGTCCCGACTGGTAATAAGTCCGAAAGACATACATCAAATCCGTAGAGGCTCAGCTTGGAAGGCGGTCCTGGTCACATCTCTCTCCTCACGAAAGACACGGTTCCACCTCGACTCCAGCATAGCGAGTAGAGAAACTCTCGTGGCGGAGTCCAAAACATACCCGTTCCTCATTCTCTGCGATACGACGGAGGAAGGTGTGGCTTTTCATGTCTCTATGGACACACCCATTACTTATCAGATCGAGACTACTACTGGCAAGGTCATTTATAGATCCCCTATCACTGGCCATCCTCACCATCGATTTCCCAAGACACTGCTAGCAACACTCGCTCATCTGGCTGACTACAAGCATCTCTCTGGTGTCGAGAACCAACTTCCGAGTCCAGAGTTCGAGCGTGCCTTCATTCTAAGCACCGAAGCCGAGCCAGCTGAGGATGGCTGCTATTACATTAATCACAGCCAGGACCTAGCGCTGCTATTTGAGAACCAAGCAGACTATCCACTGTATCTTTCTATTTTTATTTTAACGGAGCAGTGGGAAGTACGTAATCTCGTCTCAGAAAAAGGCGAGGATACGTCTTTGGTTGTGTGCCCCAAGGGCGAGTCGGAAAGCGGAAGACTACCTCTCCCAGTAACCATGTGGATCCCGCCAGAACTCTCAGCAAATGGAAAACGTCAGACGGAAGGCGTCATCAAGCTTTTTGTTACCAAGAGACCAACCACATTCCCGGGGTACTTACTACATCAGCTTGGCCAAGATCCTGGCATGCGTAGCTCCTCGGGTCCCATTCAGAAGCTGATTCATGAGCTTGACGGCGGCCTGAGAGGCGAAGACAATGTTGGCTGCGATTGGGTGACCCGTAGCTATCTTGTAAGAACATGCTTATAGGCTCATCAAGATCAGTTACTAGAGCCTGAGCTATAATAAGGCGAAATTTGGATAATATCTACAATGAGTCTATAAAATCTAAAGTGCTTGAGGAAGAACTTCAGCGACAGTTGAAGACCAAGGACAAGCCGGCGTTATCTCGCTACCAAGGTAGCTGCCTCAGACTAAGGTAGGGTAGAGGTAAGACACTATTGTGGGTAGTGTCGGCACAGTCGAAGATCTTTAGTTTTTTCCCCCACATCTGTTGAGCAAGTATCCCCATATTATATATTGCATTACACGTTTAACTCTAAACAGAGCCTATACTATCATCCCCTGATTATTGACATGCTCTAGTACAATACTATGCGGCTCTTATTGGCCCTCCCCACTTCAGTTGATATCAAGGGTGTCCCAAAACCCTCACCATTCTGCCCCATTAGGCAAGCAGAGCTAACGACCTGATACCCATCACGATATGGCCGCAGAACCATCGGCACTCTTAGCCCGTATAAAATCCATACTTCATCACCATCAGTGATGGAAACAAGTGCGCTGCCTTGCCATCCTTGGGCGCCGTAGAACGCTGCAAACGGCCCTTTCTCAACCAGCCATATTTTTGTGATGAATGTCCCATAAACCCTTAGAAGGTGCGCTTGTGTCTGATGGATCTTGTTTTTGACAGTCTCAAAAGTAGATTCTGGAGATTCATGTGGTATGCAACTATTGTGGTGGAAGAACCTGTTCCCGAAATGGTTATTTCGAATATCCGAGGCTTCAGTACTAGTCCAATCGACAACCCATGAAGGCAAGTCGAGATTCTTAGATCGAACCAATGTCGTGGCCTCAATCAGGATACGTAGACTATCTTCCTTCTCTATTATCGCTTTGGTAGTCGTTATCATGACCTCGCTTGCGCTCATATCGTGTGAATAGTCAGGAAAGATCTGATACCCTGGTGAAGCTAACCCAAGAATAGCGTACACCCGATCACGATCATCGGAAGATTTGCAAGAACGAGAATGTGATAAAAGAGCATTGATGTTCATGCTGCCACTCCAACGGATCTTCATTTTCAAGGCCATCCCCACATGACCGACTTGACGATTGAGGTCTCTTTCTTGAACAATGTTGAGGATGCGGCAAAGTTGGCGATCCTCGGGACAGCCCACCGAGAGGCCATTGAGCCCCAGGAAGTGATCCCGATTCATTAGGGTGTATCTGTGTATTCTGCAAAAGGCTTGCATGGTTTTCCAGCACAGCTCCCATGAGACAAAATGGTGGCCGAACATGAAGCTGACCTGACTAGATACTAAGAATTCCTGGCAGATCCAAACTCGATTCCACCATGGGCTGGTTAGTACGTCGTAAAATGCAATCCACCCATTTATAAACTTCTCGATGTGCATGTTGTTCCAGAGATGGTCACTTATGCGAAACAGTTGCTGTCTGTCACCTCCAGCACGCTCAGAGTTGAAGGTGTTGGACGTTTCCTTACTTTTTCGGGAAGCGTCTTTTGAGTCGGTCTCGTGTTCGGTGTCTGATTCTTCTTCTCTGTCGTATTGGAATGCTTCATCGTCTTCTCGAGAAGGGACAGCGTCGCACAGGTCGATCAGCCATTTCAGGCCCCTCCCACTGGTCTTTGTTGTAGATAGGCAAGCTAGTGTACGTTCCGCGCACTGGTAGATCTCCCTCATGAAGCCGACTTGGTGTGACCTCTCTTTTAAATCGTGCTGATTGATACATAATTGATCAATCCATAGGAGTGGGCTTTGCCTGGAGGATCGAATCCAATAACGACGAGCGAGTACCAGTGCATGATGCAAATTGGCAAAGATGTTGCATTTCACTCCGTTCACGAGGATGTCCTTTGTGTCTGTCGGGTCTCCTGCGCAATACGACAAAGCAAGATACCGTTTTTGTGCGTCGATTAACGGCATCGCAGGCAGTAACTTGCACTCAAGTATACCGCCGCCAGTTTGCGTAGAAAGTTTAATAAGTCGAAATTCCCGCTTGCTTGTGTCGAGACTCTCGTACATATTCGCTGAATAGAATGTCGGATTCTCTGGAGTTCTGAAGATATCAAGCCCTGGTGACGGTTTGCTTGGGCTGCGGACTGACCCCACCTTTGTCGCCATTGCAAAGAAACCTGTCTTCCGAAATGTTGCCCAGGGCTTAGCCGAAGGTGAGGATTCAGATTAACTGGAATGGACGTTCACTTGTCAATTGTGTTTAAATTTCACCTGAGGATAACCTTTTGTGGATTTAGGCGGCGTTTAGGCTATGGTTGGGTGCTCCGATCCGCCTTCAAATATGCCTTACAGCCTAATGCTGACATGGTGGGCAGGTTGAAAGCGAGAACGCATGATGATGTCTAATTGGAAACTTTATCTACTCAGGTCAGGTATCGGAAGTTCTTGCTCTGCTCGCCCTCCTCTACAGCATCCACCTCAGCGTCGTTGTCTAAAGGTCCATAAAGCTTCTCGTTGCGCTTATTCTCTCTCTCCAAGGCGAAATGCATGAACAAAGCAAGGATGACGATAGCTCCACTCATACCACAGCCGATTGCGCAACCCTTCACAAAGAATGGTCTACCTCGACGTTAGCTGTAAGTTAACTGAAGCACTAAAGAAATAGGTAACTTACGCGTCCTCCTTTGGAAATACATAACTGCTGATAAGAGACGAGCATTGCCCGATTATCAGCGTGATCGCAAGGCCGGCTCCCTTCTTCGAATCCCGTCCCTGATTATTGAGTAACCAGGTAATATTGATGCAGAGCGCTGGAAAGATACCGCAGGCAGCGAACCATACACCAGCGTATCGGGGGCCTGGGCGATGGATATCCTGAATACCTGCAAGAAGACCATAACCGACCGTGGCCATGGCAGCAAAGCCAGCTACAATGAATCCACGGTTTCCACATCGATCTGACACAAACGCAGCTCCGATGCACAGTAGAAAGGCAGCGAAATATGCTGGAGCTGTGAGGCCCTGCGCGTTGATAGAACTATAGCCCATAGCGTTGACGATCGTGGGAAGGAAATTGGATAAAGCTGCAAAAGAAAAGTTACAGCAGAAGTGAATAATCGAGTGGACGTAATTCTTGTAGTCGATTATTCCAGCGATGATTTGTCTCCAGTTGACGTTTTTCTTGGTGCCATCGCGACCTTGTACGCGCTGAACAGCGAAATATCGTTCTTCTTCTGTGAGAAATTTTGCTGTTGCGGGGGAGTCGATTAGGAAGAAGTAGACAACCGGGGCGAAAGCAATAGTCGGTGCACCCTCTGAAAACGGTCAGTATTGTTAGACCCAGCAAGGATGGTCATACCTATGATGAATAACAGTCTCCATGGGGCTAAAGACCCTTTGATATGGATGATACCATACGCTAAACTAGACGCAAAGGTATTCGCGAGTGGTGACATGCCAAGCAAGATAGACATGCGAAGACCCAGTTCCCTTCTTTTGTATAGACAAGACAAGAAGAATGGAGCACCAGCACCAAACGTAGCTTCGAATATACCGAGGAAGATGCGTGTGACTATCAATTGGGTCATATTGTGCACTGCGCCAGAACACATCGCAGCTGTTCCCCAGCTACATCTTTGTTAGCAGTAAACATTGCGAATAAGCACGCGAGACTTACCAAACACAGAGAATAGAGACATAGATATGAGCAGGAAATATCTTCCAGAGCATAGTCGTCCACTCAAACAAGATATACGCGATATAAAACGAGTTGAGAACCCATGACCAGTCATCAGAGCTTAGGCCCAGGGCTTCTTGTGCCCCGGCGGTTTTGGCATTGCCGATGTTACCGCGATCGAGGTACGAGAGGACGTAGAGACAGCAGACGACGGGCATAACGTGACGGTCGAACTAGATTTGTCGTATAAGTTGGGGATGTGATGATGGACTTTTGGACTTACGGCGTGTCTGATTCTTCGGTCCATGTCGGGTGTTGAGAGGAGAGGTTGCTCGCCTATCGAACCCCTCATGTTCTCTCCGCCATCTGTGCTGGTCTTGTCTGGATCCATGGTGTCTCTAATAGTATACGACACTGAAATACCGACAAATCTTATCAGACGCTCGTCTTCTGTGCTTGAGGTTCTAATGTCAGTACCTGTCGTTCTTCCTCTCAAATATAGGTTATAAGAAAAGGACGAGGTGAGGAACACGGAGAAAAAGTCATGGCAATTGACGTAGCTTGCCCTGGTACCTTGATGTCGATCATTACCTGTGGATATCTCCGCAAGAGATCGGCAGTTGGAAAGGTGGGGCTTCGGACGGCCCGAGCGGGCGTAGATTCTCAATGCCGCTTTGTTGAGTTGGAGCTTATTCTGTGGATTTGCTGTTGCAGTCATTTACGAGAGGTAGTATTTAATGGGTGAAATCGGTATCTATATCCAGATTTGACAGATTCGGAGTCTTCGGGAAGCCGTTGGGTTTGTCTCTTCTGCTCCTGGATATAAGCACGAGGTGTGAACGTGGTCGCGCTTCATCACTCGTTCGGGAGCTTTCCCGTCATCACATCCACTCTACGGTTGCTTTGAATGGCGCATAATGCAATTAAACCCTTAGCAACTCAGTTCATAAATGTTGCATGAGTTCATGAGATTTCGCGTAAGTATCTTGTCTTCCAATCAACAAGCAGCATGAACCTCAAGGAGCCGGCTCTCTCATCTGAAGAGCAGCTCTAGGGTAGGCGGCTCTTCAAAACTCGGATTTATGCTACCGTGTAACAAGCAAGCCTCAAAAACGTGTTAATAAGACAGATTCAGCCTCGGTTAATGAAAGTTTGAAGAATTAGTTCATTAGTTTTCCGCTCGTGTTTTTTTTCGCTGCTAGTATATCCAGTGCATTGACCCTCCATCAGGCTCCATAGTCATTTTGTAAATTCCGTACCATTTTATTCACATTCTGTCACCCGCACAAGATATACCCTTGCAGATTTTGAGCTTATGGATGGATATGCAAGAAAATGTTGGCTCATCTCCTCCATTTACATACCCTCCTGAGGACAAACAACATGCCCTTTCTGTATCTGATGTGTCCAAAAGTCATCCCAGTTCTGGAACTCATCAATCTCCGTGTCAGTCTCGTGATCAAAAGGACAAAAGAAACGCTGCGTTGTCGGCCATACCACGTCGCAGACAGGACATATCACCGCGTCCACAGAATCACCATCCTTCTCCGAATCCCTTGTTCCAGTCGCAGCCATGAAATGCGAATGCATCATCGAAGCTCTTGCAAGACTCGCCAACTCTTCTAAGGCTTCTTCCCTATCAGATAGTCCAAGAACCGCAATCATCGCGTCCCACGCCCTCTCCATCATCAAGTCCCATATGTCTTCCTCCTGCGCCAAGTGCGTTTTGTAACATTCAACCATCATCAATGTGTCCATTAAGCGGCCACATGTTTCTTCCCTCTCTTGTGCTGAGATTGAGGAGTCACTCAGAAATTCGGAAATCTTGGGCATGACATTCAGTGTTGTGTCCCGACAGAAGTGCCGCCGCAGCCTTTCTCCGGTTTGCTCTGGCAGTTTGAATAGACCCTGGCCATCTTGACTTTCCATAGCAACCCGCCAGTTTAGAGGGTCATGCGGGTCATGTTGATATGAAGGTAAGTCAAAACTGCTCTGACTCCTTTCCTCGTGGTCTGAATCGTGGTTTGAATCCCAAGATCCAACGTTACCCGGCTTAGCCGTATTAGCGTCACAAGGGAATACAGGATATCCGCTGTAGGGAAATCCATGGTCATGAGGCGATTTTGCGTTTACCGCTAATGAATCAGGCCCAAGGAAAGTTTCAGAGGGCTGAGAAATGTATGTAGCGCTCATTGCCTCACCGTTTTTCGCGTCGCTGTTGTATGTGCCTGGAGCTCGGGGTGGGGGACTAGGGATGGGTGGAACTCTGTAAGTAGGGAATTTAGGACCACCAGGTAGGGTCTCTCGTGCGCTGCTTTGCGGTGCCCAGCCAGGCAAGGAAGGCTCACCAGACGGCGGGGGAACCTTGGGCGCGATGAGTTGGCGGTCTTCACCGACAGGAGGGCGTCTAGATGACGGCATGGTTTGTTGAGGGCCCACGACCCGAAACCTCTGGTTTGTACCAACTTCAAAATAAGCGTCTTCGTCCTCAGATAAAGGTGTACTGCGGCGCACGGGCTTTGATGGCGTGGAGCACGCAGACGTAGAAGCTCGTTTCGTATCGGCTGCTGAATTGTACGATTCAACGCTACATGGTCTAGCCGTATCAGCTCGAGAACGATCTCTAAGCTCGTGAACTAGAGAGTCTTCTGCCGTAGGTGGTGGTAAGTCCGGAATGCTATGCAGAGTGACACCGTCTGCGGTATTCGCTCGCGTGCGCTCCAATCTTTCTGCTTCTTCATAAGAAGAATCATTTGGAATGAGAGGAACATTGGCAAAAATACCAGTTATTGGGGAATTGTCGCTAAAAACGCGCTGTCTTGAGGGTATGCCAACATCACCGTCGACACTCTTCGCCCGAGCTTGAGATTCAGTAGAACCCCGCCGTTCCCGAGATCTCCACTCAAGCACCTCATCTTCAGAACTCGAACTTCCAGTTATGCTCAAAGTGTGGGAGACGTTTTGACTTGTACCGGCAGGACCACTATCATCAGATGCTTGTGGCTCCACTGGCCCTGAAACGGATATGCACCGAGCGATTGGACTACCCGCGAGAGGTAGATCCTCGGGCTCATAACTATCCTCTTCAAAAGAACAACTCCTGAGCGTACGTTTTTCTATAACGAGTTGCCGACCTCCATTATTGCCTGCGGAATGGGTTTGTGACTTTTGTGCGGGTGGTGGTGGTGGCCGATAGAACGCTGGCTGGGGAAGTGGTCTTGACTTCGCAGACTCGAGTACTCGGCCGTAGTTATAGTGATCCGAAGGTCTAGAGAATGGTGGTGATAAGTCTAGGCTATTCATTTGCGGGCTCTGAGAGACACCATAGACAATACCACTCGACGAATCAGAAGATGTACTTTCATCATCATCCACGTTATTGAGAAGCTCATCGATGTCTATCTCGTCAAAGAGTGCCTTGTAGTGATTCATCTTTTGCTCTTCCACGGTCTGCGTAGGTTCCTTTTCTGAGACAGCAACGAAGCTTGTCCACTTGCTGGTGATGGAGTACATAGTGCCAATGTTCTCTGCACTTGCTTTGGTGACTTCTGTTTCTGTAGTTCCGCGCTTTATCTGATTTTCTAGGTCAAGTAGAGCGGATTTGGCGACTAATCGATGGATAGTTCCGTCGTTGTTCGTTACTATCTCTATCGGTAGTTCATAAGACTTTTTCTTGGCACCAGGGGTAGTCGTGGTTATCATAATAGTCTTGGGAAGTTCTCCGCCATGACGAAGGTCGACCAAGAAGGAAATCGAGGCAAAGCTGAAGGGATGGAGGGATGAGATTGGAAAAGGAGATTGGACATAAGGTATCTTGCCACCATCTGCAGGATTATCCCGTCCTAGCTTGTAATCGATCAGGCTCTTCCGTTCGAATCCGCTACCGAGGTCGATGTCGCAACTCCAGCTGTTTGGTTCCAGAGCCGACTTCAGTAATCGGTTCAATCGATCGTGCCATCGTGGTGTCTGCGTAGTATGAACAACATCGCTATAGCCACCGCCACACTCCGCGATACTCTCCACCAAACGGTGAGAAACTTCATCTCCAATGCCCAGGGCGAAGAATCGAATGCTGTCTCCGAATAGTTGACGTTTCTTCCAGATAAACTGGATCGATTCCTCTGGTTCCAATTCGCCGTCTGTGAGAATGATGATCTGCGTTGATCCTCGTTCTTGCACTCGACGCTTCACTACAGCCTCTAGAGCTCGAAGTAGGTCTGTACCTCCCATATCAGCTTCGATTTGGGAGACATATTTCTTGGCTTCTCTGATATTCTCTTCGGTGTGAGGTTGGGAGTTTCCCCACAGGCCGACGGTTGCTGATCCCCATGATATGATGTTAAAGATGCATGTAGATGGTATTCCAGAAAGAGCAAGGAACATTGCTTCTCGCATGACATCGATCTTTCGTCCTCCGGTATGTCGGCTGCCATAGGCTGGTGACCCATTAGACCAATCCATTGATACAGATTGGTCAAGAAGAAACAGAATCTCCCCGGTGAATGATTGTGGAATGATGGCATTGCGGAACAGATCGTTGGGTCGGATGTTTACCCTCATGGCAGCTAAACCCTCATCATCTGCCGGGCAAGCGATGGCCCGAGACTTGATGCGATGACCCTCATTCATCTGGATAACAAAGACAAAGTCCTTCCTCAGAACTGGTGGCTGTGATTCATGGTGCCAGACGTAGTAGGATGCAGGTGCTGCATCTTTTTCAGACACGTGGAAGTATTCGATGGGTTTGTAACCCTCAAAATCCACGATATGGCCCGACTCTTCATCACAGCCTTCATGGCTAACTTTCCCATTATCAATGACCCTGATCCAGATGTCAAGCTTCTCCTCTGGTATGGTTGACGCTGGCTCCCACTCAATTGGTGACTTACTATAGCGCGGAGCAATAGACATCGGAATAGTAAGAGCTATCCCCTCGGTTGCTTCTGTTTCCATCATGACGACCTTCAGCTCTTGAACATACGTAATCTTGATCTCCACTGTTGTATTGGTGGGAATGTTTCCAAGAGACGTCTCGAAGATCTCGGGCGTATGCTCTTCTAAAAGCGCCGGAGCTGCGACTCGATCGCGGACAGCTTCCTCATATTCTTTCCGCGCTTGCACCTTTGGCTTGACGACGCCTCTGACACGACGTTCATCACCAATTGTACACTCAAATGAGGTGATAACAGCTCCATCGTATAGAGGGAATACGTGCTTCGCAGCGTCGATTATCACATCAGAGGGATTGTGAAATTTCTGCACCAGCTCTGTATGGGCGACTGTCCCGTCAACAGTAGCTGTCAATGACACACTGAGCACCGGTAGACATAGTGTCACCTCAGGTATTTCAGGTTCTTGAGGTCTCTCTGGGGGCTCGGGGTATGGTGGCACGGAGAAGAGTCTGAACTCTTTGACATCTCTGCCCGAGGTGAAAGGACCAGCGTCATCGTGAGGCTCATAAGGAGGCGCCACTCTTGATATGTACCTGGGAAACTGATCGATGCCACGGTGTGCGATTTTCTTCTTGGGTTTCTTTGGTCGAGGGACTGGTGTATCGTCACCCCAGCCTCCTTCGGGCATGGCCAGCATGTTGCCGGGGGCGGAGAATATTACACCGGATTTGATTCGGTGAGTTAGAACATGGCGGCTAGTCATTTTGTTGTTGAGTTGCTGATTCCTAGTCCGTAAGATGATAGTGGAATCTCAACTGGAGTTGTTATTATGCTGTGAAATGAAGAATGAGATCTGATCCTTCACCTATATCAATAAATCCGCACCACTTACTTAAATCATCATCGACAAGCATATGACTAAGAACTTTCAACCCCCCTGCCTTGAGTGACCTCAGCCGCAATGCTGGCCCAAGTCAGACGGGTGTCGCATTGAGTACGTGGCTTGCAGATAATCGCTCAAGGGTGCTAAGGATGCAGCACATAGCCATCAACATCCCGTGGGGTAGTATAACTGAGCTTAAATTTAAGAACATCAACCCTAGCTTGTGAAATGGCGACTTATTTTAAGGAAAGGTTCATCCGTTCCATGTTCACTTTTGTCTCTTGGTCTAGTTACATGAAGGGCAAGTGTACAGCCTCGTGCTTGTGTGATTAACGTGCATATGGCATGCATAATGAGGGGGGTCATGATCTGATCAGCGGGGTTGCTGCCAATGATGATATGGGATACTTGGTGTCTTTGTCAGATATGCGGGGGCTTGCAGACTCAGTAGAGGTGGCAGACCTATTGTAGATCAAAGACGAAGGTATATGATTTATGGTGTGTTGAGAGAGGAGTTCCAGTCTCAGGCCTATTTCTACTCTCATTACTTGACAGCAACAAAGAGATGAGGAGTTCCAGCATTAAAAGAGTTCAATGAACCCAACCCTAATGCCATGTAATGTATCAAAATTAACTGGCTCCATGCATCTTTCTAAACAAGGCTCTGGTGAACAACCCGAGGATGGGCTGAAACGTCTGCTCTGTCGCTGCCTAATGTAACCGTCAGACGCAGCCGCACAAGCACTGCCACCAAGGCATTTTATGTCAGCGTCATTATTTTCTTTTTGTGACCTTGGAGCGAGTTTCACCGTACCTCTGAAATCCTAGCGCATCCAATCATGAATACGCTACACTCAAGCATATTGGAAAATGAAGATAAGAAGGTCTTCGATGAACTGGCGGAACACGTTCTCAGTGTTTCGGACCGGATCTTCCCACCGGCGCCGCCTGTCGACAGCTCTCAGACAACCTTCACTGTTAGCGAGATGGTTGTGGCGAGCAAAGCCGGATCTGGTTCATTTCACGAGGAAATAGTTGTCTGTCCAAAGGCTCGGCTCTATGAAACCACAGTAGAGAGACCAAAGGTCTTCAAGTGTCGGTGCTGCTGTGCGCGCGAACCGCATTCAGACGACTTGACCTACAAGCGTAAGTGATCCAAAGTACAAACGCTTCTAAGGATAAAAGCTGATGCACACTTAGTTATAAAAGGAAAAAGCCTTCTCAGAGAGGAAACAAATCTTGGTGGGCTGCGCAAATGGTGTATTATGGCATTGAAGCCACAAACACCTGAAATTGTTGTTGTGAAACTATCAGAAGTATCGCCAATATGTACAGTACCGCTGTTTAGAATGTGCTCAATGTGGAACTAATTCAGCGTAGATATCAAATATGTCCAGGCTTTGTCAAAGGTCATCGCGGCTGCCAGCCTGACTGGCCGTGTAGCTTCGAGGATTCCCGTGAACCTTGGCCTGAGCCCAACAGTCGAGTCTAGAGCCACAGAAATGATCCAGAAGTAAGTGCATGCCAGATCGATGAGGCTTTGACTCATCCTACACGTCATTAGAGGCTGGTGTCATTGGAACTGACGTATAGAAGCGACTGGGGATTCCCGTCTACTAAAATAGTTAAAGTTACTTGCGAGTCGGTCAACACACAGATGCTTATGATAAAGCCGCCACTTGTTGCGTTGAAACACTTTTTCGAATGGCAGCTTTCCCTCAAGGAGATCGATTCAGATGAGATGGCTTCAAAGCACCTTCACCCTCAGTCCTACTTCTGTGTCTTGGTATGGGGTTCTCTCTCAGGGGAGAAAGACTGGGAAGTACGAGGTGAGTTCGACCCCTAAAAGCAGAGTGTCAGTTTAGTGTTGCTACTCACACAATACATCTTAGTTGCCGCAGATACACGGATATGCCATGAAACCAACCCTCTTGGTAGACTTGTCGTTACTCTCCAGAATACAACGATAGTCCAAGCTGTAACCCAGAACAAGATAGAAGCGAGTGACGTGCATTTTTACTTTGACCTACGTGAAGGTGAGTTATTTCAACGATGTTGGGCCTTCTCTGAACACTGATTGTCACTTGAATGATAGACGCAGAGTTATTCACTTCTTATGTGAGAGCTGCTCAGGACAGACTACGGCACATGTTCGTCCGAGGCCCAATGGGGGACGAAAGAGTAGTGTATTTGAGGTAAGACGATGTCCATCAGGAGGTTCCCTAGTAAAGCGTTGGCGAAACTGATTCTGGAAGGGATTTTCTAATAACCACCAAAAACGACTCCGACGACAAATTACGATTTATCATTGTATCGTCACAACAGGTTGAAGAACCTAAACAGAGATGCCGCGCGATAGTATCGCGGGGCAAGTATGTAAGCTCAGTCTGCTTCGAATGTGAGACTTTCTCTATCAAGTTCAACAGATAAACTTATTCCTGACAACAATACAGTCAATATCAGAGTGCTAGACGTAGCGCAGAGAGGCGTCGTCAAGTCTCTCCCAGACCTGAAGGTATGGACAAGTGACTTTGATACAAATGGGAAGTCTGTTGTCACGCAGATGACCTGGGAGGAACTCGCCAAAAGGGGAGCTCAACACAGAGGCCTGAGAGCCACATTCATCAAGAGGTAAGTATCGCCTCAAGAGCGATTTTGACGAGAAACTTACAGGTTCAAAGTGAACACGAACGTACAGCAGGTGACTGGCTCGATGAAGTGGATGACTTGATCAGAGCTATGCGAGGAGACAGGAAAGATGCCTACGAAAGAGTCAAGATCGCCATTATCGATTCTGGTCTCCATGACAGAGAGAGGGGTCGTTACCAAGCTGAGTATAAGGACTTTACTGGTCAGCCTAACAATGACTCGTGGCACGGTACTTGCTGTGCTGGGATCATTCAGGGAATGTATGAGGAGGCCAGGCTCTATATAGCAAGGGTTTTTGAAAGGGACCATGCGGATGAGATTGAGGGGCCACTTCGAATGGCGAGAGTTTGTGTCCAATAACCCGAGGAGATGCAACATATACTGACATCTGTAAGGCTATTCACTGGGCTATCGAGCCACCTCGCTCCGTCGACATTATCAGTATTTCGGCTGGTTTTCGCAACTACTCCAAAGAATTAGATGACGCCGTGACGAGAGCCAAAGCCGCGGGTGTTCTCGTGATAGCTGCAGCGTCGAACTGGCAAAACACAAACACTGTCGCATTCCCAGCTCGCCACAACCTCAGCACCATGTGTATATACTCGACTAATACAGGCAACCAAAGCTCAGGCTTTAACCCGGAACCTCGTGCTGATACACCGAACTTTGCTATACTAGGCGAGGGGTTTCAGCATCCGGACCAGAGGAGGAACGAGCGAATGAGTGGAACTTCAAGTGAGGACCGCATGTCTTAAGGAGAGTGTACTTGCTGATTGTGAACAGTGGCAACGGCTGTTGCGGCAGGACTTGCTGCGAGAATCGTCGACTTTTCACGACAGATGGATAACAAGGCGTTGATCTTTAGAGCACAAGATGTAGGCAAACTGCCTGGTATGCTGGCAATCTTCAGTGCTATGTCAAAGCCGGCTGGGAATCTTAGATACATCTCACCGCTGGAGTTGTTGCCCTTGAGGCATGGAGTCAACCGGGAGGCGGATAGACAGCGAGTGAGGGAGGTTCTATCGCAAGCGATGGAGAGAGCAAACTAGCGGTATACTTATATTCATGAAGTGTAGTTGATTCTCTCAAACTAGTTTATAAGGCTTTCGTCAAAGATGACAGCTTCATGTAGTTCCTCGTCCTCAATAATCTTGAATCCTTCTAGACCTTCACCTCGCAAGACACTCTCTATATCAACGTTGTTTTCACCACCATCTGCAAATGTAGCTCTCTTGGTGTACGGATCCACTGACCAGTCTTTCATCAGCAAACCTTTGTGGATCTTGGCAAGTCGGATAGCCCAGATGAAGTCGCTAGGATGTTCTCCAGAAGTTCGCTGCGAGCCGATGCGGCGTGTAGTTGCTGTAGCTCTCATTGTAGCAACCAACGGCAGGTCCCTGTAAATCATCAATATTAGCTGAGACCAGAAGCATGAGATGTGAAACTTACAGTTCTGGACCAATGTCAGCTGCCACGTTGGTCTCTTCTTGCGCTTCCCGCTTCCCCGCACGGGCGACTTTGATGCCTGTAATCATAAACATGGACCACGACACTTTTCCCTTGACACAGGCTTTCAACTGATTTTGCTCCAGACAATCCTCGATATACCCCTTCGTAGGCTGGACTATATATGTATCGAGTCGATCATACGCCTCATGGCTCTCCACAGTCTTCATAAACGCAAGCTGCAGACTGGCCTTGGCTGTGACGCCTGTAGCTGCGAGTATCGGCGCGCCGGCAGCGAGATTAGTGCCTGGAGATTTCAATCTCGTGTCATCCCATGTGAAATTTAGAGTGGCGTTGCAAAAGACGCGCATGCGCGAGGGAAAGGGGAGGATTGAGCCAGGATTGAGAGGGAAGTCGAGGGTTTTGAGATTGGAGATAAAGTGGCCTAGGCAGAGAGGTGCAGCTGAATCATCGGCGTCGCCGCGGAGGATGGCATCCTCTGGAGGAGGGGGATAATCGGTTTGACGGAGCTTGAACCAGACTTTTTCCATTTTTTGCTCTATTAAGGTGCAAGGGACGAGATGATGGATCTCTTCTCTAGTAAAGTTGAATGGGCTGCAACTGTGAGGCCTCTTTGGGAGACAACAAGGCTGTGCTGTGTAACCTGCAGCATATCACGTTACATAACCAATTGGCAATCAACACGATGAGGACGAGACATAAGGCTCAGGCAGTAGCGGAAAGTCTGTCTACGAAGGACCTTTGAAAATGTCTCTTGACTAACATGCCGTTCAGGCAATAATCTACATGTAAAGAGCATGAATGTTGGACATTACCGCATCGTGGAACATGATCCGATTCTCAGTACCCTATGGTTCATCGCATGTAAGCTTGCATTTATGACCTGGGGTTATCCCCGACTTTGACCGTATTGAGTAAACAGTGCGACGAGATCACCATCATGCATGTAATCAGCAGAAAACAGAATAATGAGTCACATACCGCGTCTGTAGAGCTGATGTTTAATGAATTCTTGGAAATGTAGAGCTGATCTGTTCATTGCGATGGCTTTTAGCGGTTCAGCAGAGTCAGTGAGCCGCTGTGGATATCGCGCGATTGTACGCGCCATCCAATCGGATGATTGATACACGCTTACTTTAGTGAGTCGATCAGTGAGTCAACGACATTTCTCACTACATCTTCAAAAGCGAATTAGACAAGCTTGTCTCATGAGGTAATGCCAAATGGCTTCAGTTCAATTGAACATTAATTTTCATACCGAACATTGATTATTTAAGACCACAAAACCACACACTTCCAACTGTTCTCCCATTAGAACACAGCTTCTGCAGGCTTTAGCGACCAAGAACGGCCAAAACAGCCCCTTCAGAACCCCTCACTGTGCTTCGCAGCACATCAATTCACCTTCCTTCAAGCATCATGACCCAATCCACCACTCCAGGCTTCGACAAAGCCTTCGCCCAAACCCTCTGCGATCTCCAAGTCCCCAAATTTATCAAAATCTCCCCTAACGGCGAAAAACTCGTCTACTCTACCAGTCTCGTCGGCGGTCATCTTAAAGGCAAAAACGCCCTCTCAACACTCTGGATCGCATCATCATCTGAACCAAACTCATCTCGTCAACTAACATCCGGTCTTTTCAACGACACTTATCCAAAATGGCACCCCGACGGAAACAGAATTGCCTTTCTGTCAGATCGTGCAAAAGTTGGTGAAAGTTCGGCGATATACACCCTGAGAATGGACGGTGGTGATGCGATCCCGATAACTGATACTGAGAATGAGGAGGATATTGAGAGTTTTTGGTTCTCGCCCGATGGGAAGACTATTGCGTATATTTCTCCAGATGAGAAAACTGAGGATGAGAAGGAGAAGAATGAGAAGGATGAGCCTGATCCTGAAGTTTGGGGTGAGAAATGGGACTTTGCAAGATTGAGACTCGTTGATGTCGAATCTCGTGAGACAAAGGTTCTTTTCGGTGGCGATAAGCATGTTGGCGAAATTTCTTGGAGTCCTGATGGGAAGAAAATTGCTTTTATGAGTACGGAGAATCCTCATATCGAAGAGGCGATGTTGACTGGGACCACTATTTCAACGGTTGATGTTGAGACTGGCAAGTTCAAGGAGCTCTGCAAGGTCATAAACGAGCCGTATGATCTTACATGGGCGCCTGATGGCCAGGTTTACTTCATCACTGGAGTACCTGATGATAAAGATACGGGAGGAAGAGCGGTCTACAAGACTGATCCCAAGGCTGACGCTCACGATTTCATCAAGGTTGCATGTGGCGTGGATGACGATGCTGGAGGGCTCCATGTCGTTGGTGGAAAGATCATTGTTAATCGTCAGGTTAGGCTGGTTGATGTTATCAGTGAGCTGGGAGGCGATGATCTTTTCGATGAGAAGAAGGAGCTTTGGGTATATGATATCTTCATCAGTCCCGAGACTGGAAGTCCGCTCCTTGCGGCGAGCTTGTCAGATGTTGGTACGCCATACGACATCTTTATCATCGAACCAGGCAAAGGCAGGATCAAAATCTCCAAGCATGGAAAACCACTCGCAGGTAAATCCCTCGGTTCATGCACAGTCCTCACCTGCCGATCCACCGATGATGAAGTCGAACTCGATGGTCTTTACCTCACCCCAAATTCCGAAGCAAACTCCGACAAGAAGCCAACTAAACCTCTTCCAACATTGGTCCTCATCCACGGCGGTCCAACATCTCGTGACACTGATAGCTTCGACACAACATGTTTCAACTGGGCACCATATATCCTCTCAAAGGGCTACGGTGTTCTCCTTCCTCAATATCGCGGCTCAAGCGGTCGTGGAGAAAAGTTTGCATCTTACAGTATGGGCGGACAGGGAAAATACGACTATGCTGATGTTGTTGCTATCACTGACAACGCTATCAAGAAAGGCTTCGCGGATCCTAAGAAGCTCATTGTTGGAGGCTGGAGTCAAGGTGGTCTGTTGACATACCTCTGCAGTGTGCGCAATGGTCTTCACGGCCTAGGCTGGCGCTTCAACGCAGCTATCTCTGGGGCTGGAGTCTGCGACATTGAAAGTCTCGCCCTTACAGCTGATCTTGGTTCAACCTACGAAATCGAACTTGCGGGCGGTGACACAATCTGGACTCTCAACCGCGACGACACGAGAAATCGGCAGGGCAGTGCACTCTGGGAAGTCGCTAGTGCAGTGAAGCATACTCAAGAAACAGGAGAGATGGTGATTCCTCCTATGCTGATCCTTCATGGTGATAAGGATGAGCGATGTCCGTTTTCACAGGCTGAAGGATTTAGGAGGGCGTTGAGACATTGGGGGTTGAAGTACGAGTTTGTGAAGTTTCCGGGGGAGGGGCATGGAATTGAACAGCAGAGGTTTTGGTTTGATATGTTTGAGAGGGTTGGGAGGTGGTGTGATTTGTATATTGGAGATGGGCAGGAGACGAAGTTGGCTTTGAGATGAGAAGTCTGAGTGCCACTGTTGTCAAGCAGCGCCATCACCTTTTCTGTTCAGTGGCAAGGCCGGTATCTGTGTTCCGCGTAACTGTTCATAGCAGTTATAGACGTGAGCAGATAGACAGTGGCAGTAGAACAAACAGATCCTATCATTTCCTCTAGTATTTACTTTTATAAGATAGCAAGATCGTTCCTAGAGCCACATTCAAACTCAAACCTTTTGCCCACCTCCTGGGTTTTCATCTCAAACTCAACATCCATCATCACAACGAATTCAGGAACAACTCTTCACATTGCCATCATGCCTCAACCCCTTCTTCAGGTTGAGGCCGACCAGAAAGCCTCTTGACCTTCTATCTCTCCTGGCCCCTCTCTCACCCCCAAGCGCAACCCAATCTATCTCCGCTCCTTTCTCCGCTGGGCCATTGGCGCCGCCGCCACATCCTCCAACGAATCTCTCACTCTACGCGTGATGAAACACGATCCTATCCTCAACACCTGGACCCTCATCGAAAACTCTCGCCTCAAGAAACCCGGGGATCTTCAGGTCGTTGTCATCACAGAAGAGGAGATGAACAAGATGCCTGATCGCTGGGGAGGAAAGATCACAAAAGACACGACTACACGCACGGGACCGAGTTTGGCGGCGTTTCCAGGCTTTGGACTTCCTGTTCCGGAGTTTTCGGAGGTTATGAAGAATGGGATGGAGGTTCTGGCGTGGAGGGTTTTTGGGAGTGCGGATAAAATGTTTATGGATACGGATGGGTTTGGACTTCCGGGGGTGTCGGGGATGATTCAGGCTTGGTTTGAGCGTATTTGAGTGGAGGTTGATCTGGGAGGTATGGAGTCCTTGCTTGTATTGTAGGTGGTTGAGACTTTGCACAGGATGATGGGGAGATTAGCTTGGCAATTGTACAGTGAGAGTATGGTTTCGGTAGGAATAACAACACTGTGATGGTTGCTGGCAGTTATGTAGCTTGCTAAATGCTATTATGTTTTCGTACCTTTTTTCTCATCTCAAGTGAATATCCTATTCGAATGATTAAACTCTGTCCAAACGTTTATGGCAGTTGTCAAGACACCGTGAAGTTATGCAACGTCTTTCTTACTGCCAGGCTGAATGAACGTGCGGGCGGTGGTTCTTTTAGCGCCCCTACTCATTATTGGGGCATAGATTCCAGGCCCCAGATTGCTCACCTTTGATTTGATGGCGCGTATAATGATTGAAGAACTATTTAAACGACCTCACATCCAAAACATACCGACGTTTAGTAGTCGAATTGTATGTAAATCACTAAGACCTCTACTTCTGAATCTTCAAGGCCATACTTCATCCAATTTTGTAGTCATGGCTACACAAACAAAAATCGCAAAGACTCCATCAAAGAACATTGAGGAATTCCTCCAACGACATCCCCAAGTCCGCACAGGCGCCGCAGCAAAAGCCGAACTAGACCATCTTCACGAGCACGGCGACACATTCTGCGTCATAAACAAACTCTATGACAATGCCATTCTTCACAAAGACTACGATCCCGACTCTCTAAAACTCATCTTCGCTTTCGCTTACGTCAACGATGAGCAGGCAATGGCCAATTATATAGAAGACGCTGGAGAAGATGATAGCGTCTTGTGCGATTGTGAGGTTGGGAGGGAGGAGGGTCCGGATCATCATCTTCATGAGTTTGTGAGGGCTACGGAACCGGATTGTAAGGCTCATAAGGGGAATGGTGAGCCTGATCCGGGGTGTTCGGATTGTTGGCCTTTGTATTGTGGGAGTAATTGTCGTGGAGTGCCAGGATTTGATTGACGGATGGATTTTGGGTATGCATGTTGGTTGGGAGGAGATGCATGGACGTCACTTTATCACCTTCTTAAATGGATATAGGCTGAATGAGCTTGTGAGCGGGTATATATATCACACGATTCTACTTGCTTCTTGAGTTATTTTGATCTCTCGTATTATATGCCCCTATCTGCTCTTTCGTCCATAGTGTTTCCAAAATGTCCGACAAAATCCAAGTCAACTACACCGTCGACCCCTCCAAGAACCCAGCTACATGGCCCAGTCCAGACAAACAGCCCAGCTTCGTCGACATACCCAAAGTCGACGTCATTTTCGTCAACATCAACGCGGACTCTGACTTCCGACTCCTTCGTACCGGCACCAATGAGAACATCCACCATGCTGTTATACAAGTGACCAAGCATATTTCTCGAGGTCTTTATAAACTTGTTAGTATGAATGTCAGCGAATATTCGTGTACGGTTGTCATGTCGGCGAATATGTCGAGGGATGAACTTATGTGGAAGAATGGGTTTCCGTGGGATCGTGAGAATGATCCTCAGGAGGAGGTTGTACTGAAGTAGTGAGGGGGCGATGGAATTAGCTTGTGGGGATTTGTGATCGTACTACTCTTATGGCCAGATTGGATGGGTGGTTCTTAAAGAGGAAGCTGGGAGGGATCTTTTGTTGGTTGCGTGACGTTTATTTGATCAGGGGTCGTTTTCACAACCAACAACAGATTTAATGCTTTATTAACACCAGCCCTTGTATCTTACTCACCTGGGAACAGTATGGTTTCACATTTATGTAACACAACGATACAGGGCATACCTTCTCATAAAACAGCATCATGTGTCAGTAGAGTCTTTTCGACTTGGGAACGGGACTGGATCAGTGGATAACATAAGTCTCAACCTTAGTCTTGACGTCTAGTCTGTTGTCATGTCTATCATGCCTGTATATCTAAATCTATATGAAGTCTATCTTCCTCTCTGGAATATCGCTGAAAAGAAATCCTTTAACCCTAATGTCTACGCCCAACCAATTCTAAAAAGCTCATAATGACTCTCATCCCCCCTCCCAACACCACTCCTCTTGTCCAACTTCTGCCTCTCTAAAATATCCAACCTCCTCCCATTCTTCCCACGCGGTCTATCCCTCTCTGCAAAAGCATCTTCAACAGTATCTCCAATACCAGCAAACTTCCCATTAGGTCGTATTGTAACCAGCAACCAGAAAACACCATCATCCGAAAGAAGTCGTGTTGCGCAGTCTCGTAACCAGCGTGCGTGCTCGGGAGCGTATACCACATCTGTGGCGAAGAGCATGCTTGCTGGGATGTCGAAGGGGGCGGAGTTTGAGAAATCTGCCCAGTCGAGGGGAGATGCTTGGACGGAAGAGGGGGTGTTGGGGTAGTTGATTGAGATGTTGGATTGGAGGTTTGAGAGAACGGCTGGGTGATAATCTGTTGCGATGATCTTGGAGTCGTTGATGCCCAGAGCGGGGATGAGTTTTCCGAGAACGAGACTTACAAGCCCGGTGCCTGCACCAAGCTCAATAATGCGAGTGTGTTTCGTAGGATCAAGTTTTGTCAGACCGAATCCTTCAGGGTCTGTACACATGAGATCCGAAAAGACGATCGAAGCGCCCCAACTTTGGAGTCCAACATCTTCAAAGTCTGTATCATTCGTCCCCGCAAGTCCGTCATTCAGTTGAACCGAAATCCTCCCATTAACCCTCCCAGGAATGTTCGTCTCAAACGAAAACTCCCTCAAAAACGGAGAGTTCTGATCATCTTCATCCAAGGCACTAGCAAACAGTGACTCAAAAATATACGCCGCCTGATCCAGCGCCCGCTGGCTCGCTTCCTCCGATGAAAATATCTCTAGACTTTCAACGCGTGAGATAAGTCCTGTCAACCAGCGCTCGGCAAAAGATTTCTCGTGAACATCTGCGCGAATGGTCGCAGGGGTCAGTTCAGCCTCGTCATCTTCGTTTCCAGATGTATATCCTGAATCCACTTCTGCAAACTTATGCTTCGAATCACACAACTCCTTCGAAAAAGGAAATGATAAAGGACAGTAAATAGCAGCCAAGTAGTGCAGAGCGTTGAATATATCTGTCTCGGCGATTTTAGAGAGTGTAAATAAAGGCGGTAAGCTGCTCGAAGGCAGCGCAAGGGTGCTCATCGTGCCGTCTAACAAATGAAGTAAAGATCGTGGAGAGAGTGGAAACAAATCCGGGGAGAAGAAAGATAAAAAGAAGGAGAAAAATATTAAAGTGGGTGGCGGGCGCTATCTTGAAATAGGTCTAAGCCCGGAACATGAAGCTATCGTGAGAAAAAAAATCTTGCTGATAGTCCCCACGTGGCCCACTGTTAGGCTAGCGTTAGAAGGTTACTAGGCCTTCTAAATGCCTGAGGATGATGTACTAAATTTGACTGACAGTGCTGAAATGTCGGTATGATTGTGGGTCTTTTGCGCTAGCTTTTCGGGGTTTGACTCCGATCACCTGGTTAAGGCTGGAGAGTTCATGATACTCTGGCATGACTCATGAAACCATAGCCAAGGTCCAACAAGGTATGTTAGGCTTTGCATAACTATGCATCTTTGGGGCTAGTAGAAGCGTTCAGTTTATGTAAAGACTTACAGTGTTTCAACATCTAAAGCCTCGAGCTTAGCTCATTGAATTATCTATAAAACCTTAACTAATTTCTGTAATAATTGGCTGACGTATTTTTCCTGTTCTATGCGGCTCTTGTAGAGTCTTAATACTGGCTAGCTGAGAGAGAGGCTATTGGTCGCCACTAAAGAGAAACAACGTAAGTTTCTGTTGCTAGTAGAAATGTTTGTGTCCTTGCATCGACTTCATCTTGACATTGGTTTTCTGCCCCAAATGAAGCGCATGGGAAAGTAAGCTCCTGTATCTTTCAACTCTGTCTCTAGATCTCGCACAAGGCTATCCAACCTCTCATCCGGCAACGGCTTCAAAGAAGGGCTCAAAGCTGTCACAATTAATAGATATCTCCAAGATGTTATCTGGACTCACCTTTCGCACCCGCCGCAAACCCCTTCGCAATGATCAAATCTGCTTCAACCCCTAACCTCCCTAACTCCTTATCAAGATTCCTCTTACCAACAGCTCTCATCGCCGTAATTTCTCGTACATCTTCGAGCCCGGCTTCAACCAACCAAGGCTTCATCTTGGGCGCTTCGAGAGGATCTAAGCCTGATGCTTTACAAACAGCTCTGATGCACGCAAACATATCGTGATACCTCGGATTCTCGTATTCTGGGGTTGGGCAGATACGATCGCAGTCACCAATTTGGATCCAACCACCTGGTTTGAGCCGTTTGATGTGTTCCGTGACGGCAGCGCGTTGGGCGGCACCAGAGCCAGCGGCGATGAGAATCATGCGCATGTTGATAAGATCAAAAGATTCCTGCCAAGATTCCGGTGTGTCATCCTTGATATCTTGCTTCACATATCTGATGCCATCCGTAGTCGTAGTTGGGAAGAAAGAATTATTGATATCCGTGCCGGTGAAAGTATGTTCGCATTGAGCTGGCTCGGGAATTGAAGACCGGACATCCCGCATCCAAAGTCCATCCGCAGTCCCGACATCAAGTATAGCCCGAGGCTGAGTTGAAAAGTCAATCGGCGGGAATATGAGTGTCCCATTTGTCGCCTGTTTGAAACCGAGGTGATAAATGGTCAGCCGGCCTATGTCACTGCTCACGTCTTGATCCTGGGCCTTGAGATACCACTCTGGTGTTGCATACACCGCCCCTGGCATTTTATGCTGTTTGAGATCGTCAATCTAGTGAGGGAGATTGAGTTAAAGGATATCTGTTTGCGTGAAATACTCTGCTTATAATTTTGTAAACGTCTACAAAGCTGACAGCACGTGCCTTTGCTGAGCGGCACAGCTGCTACGGAGTTGCATCAGTATAGGTTAGCCAACCGCAGTATCGCACAGGGTGTCGTTTTCGCTTCATGGATGAACCTCACTACACCGCTGAGCTACTCTAGTAATACGCACAGAAGGGTTGGTTTTGCATGCTATCAAATAGTAATTGTGAAATTTTTACATGTGGCATTATCTAAAGTCTTCTTGGCCAACCTTAAACGATATCGTGCTGATATGTTTGGTGAATCTACGAAGTAACTCTAGGGTTCGAACTTAACTTCACGCGTCAACATACACGCGCCCATCAACCACTGCATCTTCGGTTCGATTGCTGGAAGCCATCGCATACATAACATGCGGTTGTATCACTCATTTAATCCTTCGGAATGAGGTTGTCTATATAGATACACTTGTAGGACAGTTTCAAAGTCAGCTATCGTGTAAGGAATATGACCAAAATCCAGTGTCCTACCGTGAAACTTTCATATTCTCTGTGAAAACCCTTCTTTGAACCTTCTTTGAACCTTCATGATCGGATAAATTATAGTTCAGACCTCTCCCACAAGATGGATCCTGAAATCTTCCCAAATATCATCACCGTAAGGCTGAATAGCTTCATTTCGACGCCCCGTCCACGCAGCGCACTAGCCCCCAGCTCCTGTACACATTAATTCTGCCTTGCACTATAAATCATGCCGAGCAAGGGGCATATGCCTAAAGCCCAAGGGCCAAAACTCCCTCCCTACAAAGGCAATCTGATGTCCAAGAGAGTGGAGTTCCTCAAAGTCCTCGACGTCGACTCCGCCCACGGCACCGTCGTGAAAGCGCGGATAAAGAAACGTCACTACGCCATAAAATTCGTAAGTCCCTCACCTCCAAATATAATGTAAACCACGTTAACAACTCACAGTTCGTCAGTTCTAAAGCGCCGGTCAACACCAAGGAAGTCTACGGCGACAAACCAAGCTGGAGCTGCTGTGAAGCATTCGACTGGTATTTCTCACCCTTTGAGAATGAATGTCGAGCCTTTGGCAGATTGAAAGAAAGAAATGCGGAATATATCGCCATCAAGGTGCACGGATGGGTTGCTCTCACAGCAAAACAGATTGAGAAAAAGCTCGTTTCGTCGGGGGCGAAGGGCCGTGGCCTGAACGGATTTCCTGACGGTACTCTTTACGGAATTGTCAAAGACTGGGTCAACATGGTTCCGTATCACGATTCAAAGCAACGAGAGACTTATGACCAGATGGTAGCGGTGAAGCACTTCCCCAAAATGCTAAAAAATCTGCATAAGCTTCATTTTCTGGGGATAGTAATCCGAGACTTGAAGCCTGACCAGTACATCAATGGTGTACTAGTCGATCTCAGTCTCGCCTCTACAGTTCCCCATCCATACGGTCCAACGGTCTCAGGCAGAGAAAGTCCTTGGCAACCACGCTGGACATACGAAAGCCTCGCAGCATGGGATCTGTACTCATTCCAATGCCACGTTATTGATTTCTGGAAGCACAATTCACAGATATTCTTCCAGAAACGGCGTCGGAACGGGATACAAAAGAAGTGCAGTTTGCAAGCGTATCCTATAGCTCAAGCTCAGAACGCGAGCAATATACGCTCAGGCCGGTATAAACCAATCCTAACCTATTACGGCGAGTTTCTGGCAATGGTGCGGAAGCCGAACCACGATCCCCTTGATTTTCTGAGAAGACATCCGAAATATCCGAGGTCGATTGCATCATATACGGGAATACCCCCAGCGAAAGTCAAGTCAATGATTAGAGCTAGGAGGAGACAGATCGACAGTTGTTGTGCTGTTATGTAGTTTATTTAGTTCTACTATTCAGCGCTAGTATTTTGTACTTAATAAAAATGTATGAGTGTTGATCAGCGAAAACACACCGAGCATCTGGGCTGAAGGCCTTGGAAAATGCACTTGGTATGATCGACATGAAACGCATCGGATTTCATCTAGCGTCTCGCTATACAAGCAAAACTGTTGGACGGCGCGTATGCACTAGGCACTGCATGGTCAACTAGTGTCATCACATCCAGGTTATTCATGTCAAAAGTCCCACGGTTATGTAAGTAGTATACTATGTACAAAGAATGTCCAAGTAAAAGCAATCAGAACGAGCGCGTTGGCGCGGTCTTTTATACGATGTTGATACCAAGGAAACCACCAAGTCCAACAGCCATAACTCCCCAACTCCAAGACACGATAGATCCAGCCGAGCATCCATCATCGTCATGGTTCTTCTTCTTGGTAGGACTTGTGGATGAACTTTCACTATCGTCATCATCATCAGCAGCAGATCCAGAACCGCTTTTGGAACCGCTGCCAGAACCACTGCTGTCATCGTCGCTACCAGAGCCACTGCTGTGATCACCGCTTCCACTGCTTCCACTGTCTCCAGAGTCCGACCCTGAACTTCCATGATGAATCTTTCTCTTGCAGAGCTTGTTACTCGCTGTCTCCGTCGCTTTAGAAGCGGTTGACTTGGTTTTCGTAGTCTTCCTCTTCTCGAGATCAACGAAAGTAATAGGCGTCATCCAGAGTTCACTCTCTGACGAAGGAATGGTCCTGGATTGGACGGATTCAGTCTGCTTTGCGGTTATGGTTGCGCAAACAGCTGAGCCTGAGCCCAGGGAGCAATCGTATGTTGTTGAGCTAACAATAAGATTCATGCTTGACTCTTCGTAAGTCACAGTGATACCGTGGAAATCTCCATCGCAGGAGTAAGACGTGCCAAAGTTTGTCTGGCAGGCGAGAAGATATTCCGTCTTTGAGCCAGTTTCTGTGATCTGGGAGGCGTAGATATTTGTCGCGCTTCCTGTCTTTCTCTGAGGTAAAAAGACAGTTTTGGTAGAGTATTTGGTAGTGCTCCTTGCTGCATCAGCCATGTAAGGCGCGAGAGCAAGAAGGCTGATAGTAATTGAAGACCGCATGATGATGTTTGTTTGTCTGATTGAGAAACCTGTGGCCACAGAATCGACGGAAAGGCGGAAATGAGCTGAATATTTATCCTTAACCCAATTCAACCTCAAAATTCTTCAGGAACCATATCGTCCAATCGTCAGTGACATTCCCTTGCAACGCCCCTGGCAACCCTTGCTGACAGCTCAGCCCTGGGGGACAGGGGTAAGCGAGTGAATCATCTCGTCTAAGCTTGTTTTGTGGGAGGCCGTGGCTGTTTATGCTTGTTTTTCCGCAGCCACTACCGTCCCGTTATGGTATATAAAAAGGAGCGTTGTATCAAAGGGGGAATTGATCCTCTACTCTGAGGTAGCCCGTCTCTTTGACAAACGTCTTAGTCTGACCATGTTTGTCAACGTAGCTATTTGCTGTCCATTCAGCGGCAGAGTTAATACCCAGTAGGTATATAGTTCCCATTTGAGGGGCTGCTGTACACAGTCTACGTCAGTAAACCATCTATTCCCTGATGTTCACCGCCATCCCTTTGCGGGATCTTGGCAGGAACTCACTATTCAGCCCTATCATTTCGCTAGGCATCCTCTGTATCAGAACAGGGATGACCGAGGCTATGGCAGTTCCTCGTTCGTGTATATCGCTCAATTGAGTAGGTATTTTACAGTTGCCATCCTTCTACAGAACATTTGCCTTTACTGAAACTTCAAGTAGTATTGCCAAGTAAAGGAATCGAACCGAGGCCTCCAGGTTCAAATATGCCCCGCTCCGAGATGATTTTCCGAGCCGATGGGCTCAGCTTCAATGACGTAGCTTGCTTGACTTTTTATCTCTAACTTCGTGATAACCTCACCTCTAAACTCAAAATGGCAGACACAAGTTCCAAACGCGTCGCCGAGGTTCTTCTAGAGCCTATAGGCTTAAAGATTACATCTTTCCAAGAGATACAATCCCTTTGGGCTGGATACGGCCATATCTGCGCTCTGACCGCAAAACCAAAGGACGCCGAAACAGCTAGCAGAGTCCGCAAATACCTGCATGCAGCCGAGTCAAACAATACGTTCTTTCTCATTCTCAAGCTCATATCTCCTCCGCCTGGTCCAACAGACGAAGGTCACTTGCGCAAGATTCTAAGTTACGACGTTGAGCAGTATTTCTACGAACATGTTGCTCCTCAATTGGATGACGATGTTGCAGTAGCTCACTGTTTGACGTCGAGTTGGAAGTCGAAGCATGAAGATGGAGAGTTACGGGGCCTCACTGCTACCATTCTTACAGACTTGAGAGTCAAGTTTCCGGTTGAAGGAGAGAAGAGATCGGTTTTGAGTTCACGACAAGTTCAGTCTGCGTTGGAATGGTTAGCCAAGTTTCACAGCAACTCATGGAAATCTCTACCTGCAAACTTGGATGAGTATCTTCTTCCGCCTCTTGAGGAGTTCAAGCGACGAGATGCAGGTGAAGCTGGGGGAAGCAAGTTATGGTTGAACGGAGGATACACTTACCTTGCGACTCGACGCACAGAGTATAAGTCTCTTGCTGGCGATACATACTCAGAGTGGTCAGATGCATTTTGTGCACCATTTCAAGGATCGGATAAGTCTACTGCTGAAGTAGTAGCTGACTTCCTCACACCAACTGGTCGACCCTTCGAGACATTTATCCACGGCGATGTCAAGTCTGAGAATCTCTTTACTACCGAGTTAGGGGATGCTGTCTGCTTCTTCGACTTTCAATACGTCGGTCTGGGTCTGGGAGTCTGCGATCTCGCCAAGCTATTCACTTGCTCTGTCCCTCTCGACATGCTAACAGACTGTCCATCCATTCCCGACGAAATGGCCATGGACCACGGTGAAAAGGCTTTAATGTATCTCTACCATGAGACCTTGTTGAGCCGTCGACCTTCGGACAAAGAACCCCTGGATTATAATTGGGAAACTCTCGTTCGACATTGGGAGTGTGCTCTTGTCGATTGGTGTCGCTTCCAAGCATCATGGGGATTCTGGGGAAACACGGAGTGGCTTGAGGCGAGAGTTAGACATATTCTTAAAGATGCTAAGTGGAGAGAGTGGTTGCAGAAGGAAGTTTCTGACACAGGACGGTCTTCGAGTATATAGAAAATAGATGAATAGATTTCTCTTTGATTCAGTATGCTCACAATAACACTTTATACACTTCAAATACAACAAGTACTACCTTTCTAGTCTGAAACCTCACTATCAAACTCCTCGTAAGGAATTTCTTCAAAGTCCATAAGCACATCCTCATCGCCACCACCATCGTTCACATTCATCTCGCCAGCGTCCTCTTCCTTCGACGTATCGTCTTCATCCCACTCACTCCCTCGTTGAACAAACGACGAATGATCAGGGTGTATCTTGTCAGCAGCCCTGTAACATTTGAAACACAGACTGAAGTCAAAACATAGTGAGCAGTTGAAATAGATGCCGTGAGACTCGATCAAACAACAGTCACAGTAAATGTTCCCGTTGTCCTGGGACCCTGGAGCACTACCCCGTTTTCTCGACCGAGTCTTCTCAGTACTTGGTCGGTCTATTAGACTTTCAACACTAGAAAGGGTTTTCGTCAGTGTGGACATCAAAGGAGATGACGGGTACTTACAAGTCGGCCTGGTGATAATAGGCTACCTCACAAACCGTCCAGTCTCTGTCAACTCCATACCCCTTGATAGTAGGGTCAGCACCGTGCTTTAAGAGGAACGAGACCATATCAGTGCTTGGAGATTCGGTCTCAAGTTGACGATTCCAGATTCGTGCTGCACGAGCAGCCCAGAGAAGTGGTGTCCACCCATCGTCGTCCCTCACATCGATACCAGCGCCAACTCTCTGAGAGCGCTCTAGCACTGCCTGCACCAACTCAACATCTCCGGTCATGACAGCATAGTGCAGGGGTACCCGGCCAAGTTCATCCGCGGCCGCGAAATCAGAGTCAGGAATTTCCAGGAGGTTGAGAACCTCAAGGGAGTTATAGCACGCCAAATGGACTGCTTTGCGATTCCAGGAATCTTGATCCTGGGGCGAGGCATTTGAGTTGAGAAGGAGCCGGATCGTGTCTGCAGGGCACGCTAGACATGCTGAGATGAGGGGATATTGGAATAATCCCCCGGTGGTTCTTGGGCTGGCTCCGTTCACAAGGAGAAGAGCGATTATATCACTGGCCAGGGGAGATGATAATAGGCCGCGTCGAAGTGTCGCTGAAATCAGAGGGGTTCCATAAACTCCTTCGCAGCATGAGTTGACGTCCATCTCATGCTCGATCAATGATCGAACCATTGCTAGTGAACCCAATCTACACGCCTCGTGAAGTGGTGTGACTCTTTGCTGTGATGTTATGAAGCTTTGGGTCAGCAGTGAAGGCTCCTTTTTCAACATATAGAAGAAGATATCATCGAGCTGAGGTCCAATAGCAACGATCAGAGGCGTATCTTTATCAGAGTTCAAGACGTCTAGCTTTCCGCCGGCATTGATGAGAAGTCGGACCGTCTCAAGGGTCGTAGAGCTGTTGACACAGTGAAGTGCCGTGTTCTGTTTCTTGTCCCTCATTTCCAGATCAGGATTGTATTCGAGAATCTTGCGAATCATGCCACTGGGTGCATTATTTTTGACAGCATATGCCAGTAGTGATTCACCGTCCTCATTGACATTATTAACGTCAGCACCGGCTTCGAGTAGTGCCTCAACGACCTCAGTGTACCCAGCAATTGCTACGATGCGCAAATCCAACTGGATGGTGGCCGCACCAAGATCGGGCTTAGTCTTAGACTCAAGCAGAATTTGAACAGTGGCAAGATTATTCGCAGAAATGGCCAAATTCAGGGCTGTTCGGGAGTCTGCATTGCCTTTGCTGATGTCTGCACCGTGCTGGAGAAGAAGACGAACCATCTCAGGATAGGGCGTGGCTTCGTGTAGAGGCGTCGATTTGCTCTCGTAGTAGGTGACGTTCAAATCGGCATTTGCCTCTGCAAGCCATTGCACCATATTCGTATGTCCACCGCTTATCGCAGCGCCTATTACTGGTATGTCGTCCGAGTCTCGCGCATCGGGGTCTGCTCCCTTTCCAAGGAGATACTGAACAATCTCGGGACGACTCCAGTCAACAGCCGCTTGCACTACAAGAGGTTAGTATGTATCTCTCTAAGCACGATAGGTACGAACTCGGTGTGCGTGACCACCCTTCATATGGCGGCGCTTCACGCTTGTCGACTGTGGCCTTGTTTTCGATAAGCAATTTGACTATATCCAAGTCTCCCTTGGAAATTGCCTGTATGAGAGGTGTATTAGCACCATCGGGTGTCAGATCTGGATCAGCATTATTCTCAATCAACATCTTGCAGAGATCAAGCCTTCCGTTCTGAATAGCCGTTCTTAGCGCTGTTTCGCCAGTCGAGGTGACATTGTTGGGGCTGAAGCCGTGACTGAGAAGAAGCTTTAGACATTTCTTATTCTCGTTGTCGACAGCCTGATTCACTGGGTGTCTGTCCGAATCATGCACCAAGCTCTCAACTGCGTCTTTACGCGAGAGTATGGCCTCTAATGCAGTGAAGGAGCCCCATATGGCAGCCATGTTCAAAGCCGTGCGGTGGTTCCCTGGGGCCTCGTCCCCGATGCTAGCGCCTTGTTCTAGCAAGAACTCGACTGTCTCGCCAGAAGCCCATTCGGTTGCTGTATGCAACGCAGTGTGTCCTTGGGCGTTCTTTGCTGTGAGACTCGCTCCCGCATGCATGAGTAACTTGGCGCAACTTATATGGGAGTTGTTTACTGCTGTATAGATGAAGCTGTTGCTGTTGGGCGTTGTGTTCTCCGGAGGGTTAGGGTCTACTCCCAGCTGGAGTAGTCTGGTGACAACATCATCCATACCTGAACCGGCAGCCCTATACATTGGCTTCACGAGCCATTCAAGAGGGCCGGGTACACGTTCTTCAGGGAGAATGCCTTCGGCATCGTCCTCACCCCTGCTCGCTCCATTTAATGAATCATCCGGTAGATCATTCGCTTGTGCATTCTCGCTGGCCTTGACGCTCTGTTCAGACTCTTCTGTCTTACTTTCTTCTGATGAGAGGGTACAGGGAGGCTTAGGCAGTTTACTGACTAGTTCCCTAAGTGCCTCGTCGTTACCCGAATGGCTGGCAACTCTTGCAGCTTCGTGTAGGTTCTCGTCGCTAAAGTCCAGATCATCTGAATATGAATTCATCAAGAGTCGAATGACGGCAACGTGACCTGCTCTGCAAGCCTCAATCAGGGCCTGGCCGCGTGACTCGGCTTGATCTTGATTTCTTTCTAAAAGTGTCTCTACAACCGCCACGAGGCCCAAGTGAGCTGCAACGGGAAGAGGCTTTATGTGTGTCGATGGTGGCTTCAGTTGCGTGTTGGGCATGGCAAACAGTGACTGAGCCCAGAATTGGAACACTGAATCGTTCTCAAACAAGTCCAGCAGTTGCTTTTCGGATGTATCAACTTGCTGCCAGTGTTTGGACCAGAATTCGATAGCATAAGGCAGACGCTGGGCCGCGTATTCTGGCCTCTCAGCTGCTTCTTGGAAATAGCTGACGCATGTTTGCAATATCCCCTCATGGCTTCTGGTCTCAGTCGTATAGTACCACGTCATTTCACCAGCAGATGAGCTGTGGCTTTCGAGCCAAGTGCGGGTGTTAGGGTGTCTAAATCGAATCTCTCCGTTAGTGGAAGTGATTAGCCCCCCAAAGTTGCGTATAATCTCTGATAAGACTGGCGGAGTGGTTTTGCCTCCCTCAACTTGAAGCCACACAATGTCGGAGACACGACAGAGCTCGTCACATCGTAGAGGTCTATAGCAGGTTAGAAGCCATGAGAGCAGTATTTTAGCCCATGGCCTCTGCATTTCAGCCATGCCGTCCAAGATTTCCGCGAAAATGAGAGCTGGAGTGAGGGTCTTGTTGTGCAGCCACTGAATACGTTTGAGTTCCTTTGTGTCCGACCCGAGCCACTCGAGGACCAGTTCACAGAGATCATGATCATCTGCACAGCTGCAGAGTGCGCTGAGGACATCGCGATCATGGTCAGTACCAACGTATTCCCCGAACTTCTTCATGAGTTTCGATGCCTCCGTTTCAACGGAAAACGGTACGGGCTCTTTGGGGTCATGATCGATCTTTCTGATATGCTCTGCAGGGAATTCAGATAAAGCCGTGGTAATGCGTTGGTCCCCAGGAGTTCCCTTTGTGGTTGTTATCAACAACTTGAGACAATGTTCACTCCTAAGAAGAAGCTTGTGGATCTCAGAAAGGAACCATATCGCAGACTCATCGCACTCATCAAAACATCCGAGGACGTGAATACCCTGCTGGAAATCTTCTTTCAATCAGTTCTGTAAGTAGTCGAGCTTTTAATTTGACACACCTTTCACGCCCTGTAGACTCTCCAATTCATCAAACAGAGCCGATCGGTGCAAAGCTTCGGCCCTGATAAGAGTGTCCATTGGCCTTTGTACAAAACTTCCAGTCTGCAGTCTATTGCATACAATACGACCAAGGAAGGTCCGCAGCATGGCATCGCAATTGTTGAACCGGATGTCATGGGCATCAAACTTCATGTATAATAACGGATGGAATGTGCCGCTTCTGTTGTTGTCCAGAAAGAAACTGGCGTTTTCAGTTGCTGCTTTGGCACCGGAAGAACATCTCATATGCGTTATGAGCGTTTCCTTTCGCTTTGGTAATTCTAGGAGATCTGAGTTTTGCCAGCCTTCATCGAGTTTGTGGTATGGCAGTACTGGCGACGCCTGATTGATCATTTTGCGAAAAGCGACATGCTGTTCGTCCGTTAGGCTTCCCACTGAGAATAATATTAGTGATTGTCCTATGCTCAGTGACTAACTTACTGAGCCAGTCTGCGTCCGGAATATCGTTCACAGGATGGACTCCATCTTCTCCCGCCAAGATCAAATCGCTGTTTGGCTTCTCCATCTTTACCACTCGCTCAAAAGGAGTAGCCATAGTGGACATGCAGAGAGGAAAGACCTTTTACAGATTAATCAGCAAGAAACGGCCCCAAGTATCTTCTCATACTGCGAAGTACAGATACACTAACCTGTTCTGCCGGGTCTAAGTGGAGGTTAGAGACGACATTGATGAAGTTGGCCTGAGTAAGCATCTGAGTCCCAAGGAACGCGTCGTTCACTTTTGTAATCGTCTTTGTGAGGCTTTTGGCGTACCAAACCATATTACCAGACCAGAGGTGTCGTTTCTGGGCCACCAATCGCAACACAGCCTCTTCCAAGAGACCAATGGAGGGATATCTGTGCGGATAGCCGAAGAAATACTGCCATTACCTAGTCAGTGAATCTCATACATCATGACAACACCATCTTTCTCACCATAGCGCGAGTACAATGTAAGATGTCAGCGTACTTGTCTTCATGATCAGTAGCCATCGCCAGTGCCTGCATCCATTAGCAGCAATTACAATTGAGGCCACTCAATCTGTAGGCATTTACCGCTTTCACTATAGTCCCTCCAACATCGTGAGAAAAGAAATGTATCGGTCGTCTAATCCCCTGCATAGGAATTGGTTAGTGGCGGAAGTAAAACCAGTGCAAGGTGACAAACCGTGATCTCGGATGTCCGAAGCTTTCGAAGAGCTTCCAACAGTGCTTCTGCCTCTTGATAAACACCGTATGGCGTATAATATCTACCAGTTTCAATATCAGTTTGATAGCTGTAGGACATTATTCGTCCTTTGCTCTCTGATGCGGCAACAAGGGCGTTGTTGATCCATATCGTGTCAGATCCCTTTGTCCACGAGTCTTCACCGGTCCCGTAGATTCCGTGAATAAGAACGACACTAGAAAGTCATAAAGTCAGTACGGGTCTTCAACGCGTTTACTGGGACTCACTCATAAGGAACGAGAGGAGTTCCGCTGCTGGAAGCGTCATCGGGGGACGTAACCTGTTCTCCGTCTTGTATTATCTTCAATCCGACTTTATGAAGCTATCAGTTATATCCCTGCCTCTATGATAAGATATCTTGAAGCGACTTACATCTTTGAAATTCCTCGTCATCCTGCCTCTCATTGACTGCTGTCTGGATCTCCAAAACAGGTTTTTCCATTTCGGGAACGACTATCTCAACCATGGTCACAATCAAGCTCAAGCCTTCAGCTCGGCTGGTTGAGATCGAATTGTTCTCCAAGTATTCAACTCAATCTCTGGTGGGTAGTCGTTTGGATATCCGCAGCCTACTTTGAGAGCCTCACAAAGGGTGAACAAGAGATTGTCCTTCCAAGGAGGGGGAGGCAAGGCAGCACTGCAGATAGTGTGACGAGTTTGCGAGGTGCAGCTGTATCACCATCACCCCTGTATCTTACATGCATATACCCCTGCCCTACTACAGCCTGACTAGGGGCTTCTCCATGGAAGGGTTGGTCATTGATTGATTTCCAGTGGCTGTCTATGTTTACCAACAAGTTTTGCGTACCACGAGTTCATTTTGCAACAAATGGAGCCTCGACAGCCATTCTCACTTTGCACAATTGATTCAAATCCACGCTCGCCAAGTCTTTCGCACCGCAAGACCTTCCCTTCTTGCTTACCCCCCCTGTCTCTCTGGGATTAAATAAGATGGGGTCATCCAATGGTATCTTGGAAAGCTTGCGTTCCCACCCAGTGACCCAGTCAACGTCAGCCTGTAGCGTAACTTCAGCGTTAAAACGCTCATCCCCAGATCGTCGCACAAGAATCGCAGTCGTTACTGAATCTGGCACCCCCGTCTTACGGCGCTCATTCTCCTGCAAATTCCATACTGCCACCGTAGATTCGCCCGAGTTCTTCCCGGTACCGAGGTTGATGCTGCCCGTAACAGTCGTCGCATCGCTGATATCCCTGCTGTACGTCTTCTCCAAGCTTGCTGTAGCGCCGGCCTGGAGGAAGGGCACACCTGAAGCACCCAGGTTCAGCTGGCCGCTGCGCGTTGTCGTCTCGGTATCAGTCGTCGGTACCACTGTCCAACGTTCCTCGGGCGCGATGGCATCTACAACGAGATTCGAGTCGTTCTTGGCGAAGAACTCGATTTCGACTTTGGCTCGAATGACCCTTCGTGAGCTCTTCTGAGGATCAAAGCGGAAACGGAAAACCATCAGCGTGGCTTTGTCTCCTCCTTCGTTGTATGATCCGTGGGTGACGGAAAGCAACTCAACGCGAGTATGGATGCTGCCACTGGTGCGCTCAATGATGTTCCGTCTCTCCCAATCGCTCATTGAGGTATTTTCAGTTCGTAGAGTGTCATCTTCACCGATGACCTGGTTATCCATAGGCGTATCGAAGACCAAGAGCGGCTCATCTGCTTGATCGTCATTCTGTGAGGTTGTCATCGCTGTCAAGTTTCTGATCTATACTGTGAGGATATAGTGGTTGAGTGTCTGGTGTGAGATAGAGGCTTCAATGTGCGGTAATTCAAACCTTTATCTTTCAACAAACTCTTCCTATTGCTTACAAGTCTCTTCGATATGTAGGACACCTTCCTGGCAGGCCTGGGTACCTAGCACAAAGTCATATCGCCCCGCAGCGAGTGGCACATGCTGACCATGCAGGACTGTGGGCGGTTCGAGGGCCAATCATCAGAAGTTGAGTGGATGTACCCAAGACAAGGCTGATAACCCCTACTTTCAGGCCTTTTCGGTTGGTAATCCAGCTCTATCCATCCAATTGACCTTCTTGTTCATTCTCACTTCCTATGGCGAACCAGATGGTCAGTCTTCACTATCATCATGAACCACAGTGACGAAACTTCCAACGGGTTCCCCCAAGCGCATGAAGAAGATGACGACGAAGTCTATCTGGATGAAGATGAATTCCCAGCTGCGTCAGTAACTCTATTAGATGAGGATCCCATCAAAGCGAAGTTTGAGCGACATATCGAAGATGCACGAGCACTATCTAATAACTTACAAAACTCTGAATCAAGTGACAAGGCAAGCCAACAACTCAAATTTGTCAACGACAGGTTCAGCGAATGGCACAACACGACCGAGGAAGGGAAGAACTTTCTTCACTTTCTGGCAGACTACGATCACAGAATTCACAAACCACCCGTCAACCTCCAATGGCTGATGTGGCGAGCTATTCGCAAACTTCCAGCGCATCTACTTTGGTCACTGGACAACAATAAGCGCATTCCTCTGACGAGCGCGCTTTTGGCGAACAACTCTTTGTTCGGTTGGTCAGTATGCTTGAAAATAAAAGATGCGACATGTCAGGAGTATCATGCTCTGTTGCAGAAGAAATATGAGAATTGGGACGGAAGCAGTGAGACTACTTGCTTACATGCCGCTGCGACCTGCATCTTTGACAATGGAGTCAAGAGGACAGAGTTCTTCGGTAAAGTCTGTGGCTTTGTGCCCAGAGATATGTTCTTTGTCAGGGACACTAAACGTCGCACCGCTCTTCACCGTGCAGTCGATTATGAGTGCTGTTGCAATAGTCAAGTCGAGGTAGTCAAGGAGTTGTTACGCTCGTGTTCCGACCTCTTGGATGAACCTATTCAGGATCCAGATGACTTCAATCGCACTTTATCAGTTTATCAATACCACCATCATACCAGAAAGAAGTTCCTCGAGAGTCGACGCAGACGTGCTCAGGATCTTGCCAGCCAAGAGCCCGCAGCAGCAGCCCCAAAGAAAGCCGAGTCCAAACAGGAAAGAGGAGTAGATCCAAAGAAGGATGCAAAGAGAGTCGTGACAAGGACGGAAAAGTCAGGCTCGGAAAAGACAAGCATGGGTCCTCCGCCAGCCGTGAAGCGGAGAGGTTCAATCGCCGCAACTCCACAGGGCGCTACAACTCCTCTTCAATCCCCGTCCTTAACGCCAATAACTCGAGTCAAGACAGGAACGGCGACAGCAACGACTCGGACAGAGGTGGTTCAGAAACCTGCGTCCAAGGAGAAGGAGATGGAAGATGCAGCCAGAACGATTAGCAACCTCCTGAAACTCGAGACTTTGCGTAAACTAAGTCCAGAGAAAGCAGCTGACAGTCTACGGCTACCAGATGATCCAGGCAAAGAGTTCTGGTTTGACTTTGGGCCACCCAACACAGTCAGCGAAGATGACTTTAAGAAGTATTTCGGCCATTTACAGTTCGACACAGCGCTGCAGTACGTTGGATTCCCAAGGGTTCGTCTCAAGGGTAATAGAGAACAGCCGGATGTAAGACATCAAGGGAGAAAGGTGAGAAATACTGACCTTGTAAATTAGTCGTGTCACTGATAAATTCAGGATATGACATTCTTTTTTGACTGGCTGAGAGGGAAGTCCGTTACTCGAATCATCAAGGTGAGATACCCAAGAAACAGTTTAGGTTCTATTACGAATAATACAACAGGTTGTTGTCGAAGATATGGAGAAGCCTTCGCACAGTGATGAGGCGATCGAAGAGTGTTTGAAAGATCTTGTATGTTTGAAACCTATATATCGTAAGGGGCTTATACTAATGGCTTGTAGGGTGTCGAAATACTCGACTGGAGGCGTCTGGATCTGGATGCGCTCTCCCTTCGCAAGATTGGGACTCACCTACGTGAGATCCATCTCCAATGGAGTGGCAGTAACTCGACTCTCCGAGCATGGTCCGAGAAGGAGGGCTTGGCCTCAATACCTACACTGGAAGTCATTCACTTATTCCAGCATGAAGTGCGTCAAGAACGGTTCCTTAAGCTCGTTAACCACTGACATACCTTTGTCTAGGGCCTTGAGTCTCGTGAGAGAACTATAGAGAATCTCAATGCCTTTGAACGAAGATTACACGAATCTTGGCCCGAAGGAAGACCCAAGCCCCAAGTGATCCCCCCAAAAACAGGTGGCGGCCGGCGGGTGGCACAAGTCCAAGTCCCCGACGCAAGACCTCAACCGCTAGAACGCTCAATCGACCCTCATAAATGGATGGAATGCATGGTGAGCTTCTCCAAGCGCTTCAAGCAGATCAAAGCTCTCAGGGGTAATAATCCCTCTCTACCGCCAGTAGAAGTGGCCCTGATCGATGATGGCGTCGATATCATGCACCCTGACCTCAACGACACGAGGGATCGCACGTTTCTAGGCCAAAGCTTTGATCTCCATGATGGAGGCTCGACACCCCGCGTGCCGCCATACTGGAGCTCACCTTCTGGCCACGGGACTTTAATGGCGAGGCTTATCCATAAGATCTGTCCCAGCGCTATCATCCATGTTATTAAGCTACAGACATTTTGGTCGGGGAATTCCAAGAAGCTTCAGATCAAACCTGACAGTGCAGTAAAGGTAAGTGACTCTCCCAGCGACTTGGTTTCAAAGTTCTAACAGGCCAGGCTATTAACTACGCCGCGAAGAGAGGGTCCCAGATTATTTGCATGTCATGGACTATCAAGCCTCCAGAAGAACCATTGAGGAGCCAGTTCGACACGGCAATCTTCAACGCCATCGGCAAACATGGCGTTCTTATATTCTGCGCGGCAAGTGACCAAGGACAGTCCGCTGACGTTAGTTATCCGCACGCAAGCAGCCACCACTGCTTCAGAATCGGCGCGGCAAAAGCCACCGGCAACATAGTCGACACAGTGGGCGATTCCCAAACTGTAGATTTCATCTTTCCCGGCCACGAAGTTGTGATCGACGGCAACGAAACCAAAACTCAGCTGGAAAAATTCGACGCTCACTCCGGTAGCTCTGTTGCCAACGGTCTAGCAGCAGGACTAGCAGCTCTCGTCATCGAGTGCGTGAGGTTGGGCGCCTTGTACACCAGAGAGTACAGAAAGCTAGAGCCCAAGGTTGCTATTAACTACAGCCATATTTCTATCGATGAAGAGGATTTGAAGAAGATACGGAGTCGCGCACAGATGGCGTATGCGTTGAATTGGATTGGGACTAATCAGAACACGAATAATAAGTATATAGAGGTTTGGCATACATTTAGCGGAGTTGCAGAGAAGTTGTCGAGGAGTGAGGGTGTTTCACTTGAACAGCTGGAACATATTGCAACGCTTGCTGGGTTCTTTCTGAAGAAGGGGATGTAGTAGAATGAGTGGGATAGCCTATACTAGAAGAGGGCCGAAACCTAACACATGTCAAAGATTACTATTGGGGTTATCGGCCCTGCAGATGAAGGCCTAACGTCGACATTGATATACGAAGTAAGAACTTGCCGAGGAGCTCCATCACGTCTTGAAGACTGGACTTGGCAATATAAAGGCTGAGCCGATGATTAAAGGGATCAACTAGAGTATTAATGGAACTTGTTCTCAGCGAGGCGCAAGTTGAGTAATCACAGCTTAAGTGCCTGACCTCTTGGATTTGCTGTCAAAGTATAGTTTGCGGCATGTTGCCATCCCAAGACCGACCTTACCGCCTCAAGGGGAAGAATATTGAATTTAGTGACTTAGAAATTGTGGTAACTTTGTCGATTAAGTAGAACCTGTTGGAGGTGCTGTGCCGCAGCCAAGGCGGTTGCCTAAATGAATCATTTTACATATGAACGCTATCAAGCTACACTGCAAAATAATGTTTTTTCACGGTACCTTGAACACTTATTTGCAGCACGAAAGGACTCAATACAACCAAAATGCCTGTCACTATCGCCATTCCCAATCGCAAGGTCAGCTCTTGGGAACAACCCAAAGACGAAAACACTTGGAAGATCCTACAAGGAGCTAGTTCCAAAGAAGCACAAGGCTGTAAGCAAATCATCCAAAGCTCATTCTCCATCGACGGATCTCTCGAAGAAAACCATGTTTCAGCTTCAAGGAACGGTCTCGTCTGGTCGTCCTTCGACGCCTACAGCAATCACCATCATCTCACAATCCGCCCCGAAGACGTTTGGTTCGCTATAGTCACCCAAATCAGCGCTTACATCAACGCCAACTCTGAGAAAATGCGCGGTTACTTCGTCAGTCACGACGGCCAGAAAAAGCTTGAGGTTATCGAAATCGCGACTCTGCATACTGCTGATTATGGGAGTTTGGCTCAGAGAATGACCCTCGAGATCGCAAAGAATATCAAGGACCCGGGGCTCCGGGAATGGGTTCTTCCATCGTTCTCGACGACTACTGAGAATGATCGCATCGTTGGATCCGTGCTTCTCATGGGGGCGCTACAGAAGTACTTCTCTTACGGAATCAGATTGTTGTGTGGTATTCCTTCAGTAACACTCCTCGGAGAAGTAACCGACTACGAAGAAATTCTCAAACGGGTTGATAAACTCGATGAAATGGGTGAAGAACCATCGCACTTCGCCAAACTTCTACGACCAATTCTTCGCAACATGATCCTCTCTTTCACTCAACCTTCCGACCCAGCTATCCATACATTCTGGAACCAAATTGCTGATATGCACAGCATGTCAGGGTCCGACAAGATGACAGGCTGGATCACAGCATTCTGCTACTGGGACGATGAAGGAAAGGTCCAACCACCCAGTCGAAAAGGAAGCTGCACTCTTGAGGGGCTATTGTATCCTTATGTTAAGACGGATGATATACCATGTGGATATGTCACTGTTCCTGTTGAGGTTGACGATAATGGTACTCTGTATGATTGCAAGATGCTAGCTGGATCTATTGGCATACAAGCACTTCCAGGTCTTGAGGGTTATGTTCCCGCTGGCGAGGGCGAGGAAGAAAGGCAGGATACAGATGGGAAGGGGAATATGGGGATCAAACCTGTTACTGGGTGGATGATCTATGAGTTTCAGGAGCCGGAGCCTGATGATCTGTATTACTAATTTAAGGGTCGAAGATGAGCTGCAGTTGTAGGCAGAGAGGAACTGAAATTAAACTCCAGGTGGTATAATTGATACCTCCTTGACGGCAGAAAATCCTCCAAGTCTATTTTTCTGAGAAAATAGTACTAGGTGAAATGGCCTGAAGATATACAATGATGCAGGAGAAATCCGCTCACAAAAGAGCCTTGGGGGGATTTCATCAAGAAGTCAAGCAAAGATTCGACAAGGCCGATGATGGAACAAAGAAGGAGATTATAAACAGAAAGGGGAGAGCTAGGCCAAGAGACGCATAAGATCAGAGGTCCCAGGCTACATTATGGGGGACTTTGTTAGGGTTAAGACGTTCTATATCTTTCTCTTTGGCTGTCCGTTGAGAGGTCTTTCTGAAAACTCTCACATCATCTCTTATTCCCAGTGCCGTAACCGTCAGGCTCTTAAACTTCGGCGGCAACTGATTCAACAGAGAGACTTCCTATGGGGGCTTTTGATGCCTTAAATACCAAGTGTACCCTCAAACCCTTGGTCCCGTATGCTTGCACTGAAATGATGCATGTGAAACATAGACTCGATCAGATTCCGTTCAAGACAGAGAACGTCTGAACTGAGGCGTAGGTGTTTTGAATGTTAAGGTAGGGTGTCCTTGATGATGTCTTGCTCCTTGTTGTTGAACCGAATCAAGTCTGTCGATGAAAGAGACTTCCTCAGGGCAAGCAGAAATGTAAATTTCTATACCCTAGGTCTCAGAATTAGTGATCCTTTGTTTAATATTGGCCAAGTCACAACAAAGTGATTATACGATTCAGTCATCTCACATTTCCGGTACTGTTCAGAACGATCCCTCTGAAACTCACTGATGTCATAATCTCATATCTCGCTTCCAACACTCAGGTATGCTTATCTCCGCGTTTCAACAACTATCCCACAATCATATCCCCACGGGGCAGGTAAAATGCAAGATTCGTCAATTATGGGTCTTGATAACAAAAGTCCATGATTTGATCCCTCCGGAACAAATGTTCACAATGCACTGAATGCAGTGCAATGATTCAGTCTTCGGCTTTCCAAAACAGGACATCCGTCAATAAGCAAGTAAACCAACCAACCAACCATATTCCGTCGCTCCAGCTTCCATCAAAGTCAAAGGAAATGACTGACTTAGCCAAACTCCACAAAAACAAGTGGTTCCTCGGGGTAAACGCGGAGGACTCCTCCGAACGCGTTAAGGGTTCTCCAATTTTAATACATGGCTGCCTAAGCTGAAAGGAAAGGATCGTCATATTGACTCCACGGGGTTTAGGTAAGAGGAATCTAATCTCCAAGGGGGGAAATGTCGGGGAAAGAGTTTTCGCCACACGTTGTAAATTGGAGAATTGATGCGGAGATCACGGTGTAAGTGATGTTGTTCAAGATATCGGGTTACGGTTTGGGTGTTCGTTATAGTGTTCTATTGATCTATAACTCTATAATGCCAAATGGCTCTAATAGTCTTGTGACTCTTAAGATAAAAAAAGGGTATCCAAATATGTGTCTAACACAAACGTTTCTATATGAAACAATACTGATCAATCGCTTAAGACTTCTCAGAGTTGAAGCCAGAGTCGTCGCGGACTGTACCGCTCTCCTCATTTGGCTTCTCCAAAACTCCACCACGACCAGCCTCATCAACGAGACCAAGTCGAATAGCCTCGCGCTCGACTTCCTCGTGAGAAAGGAAGGGAAGCTCCTTGGCGGCTTGAACATAGGACATCTTCTCGACGAATCCCTTGGCGAAGATGATGTCGATTTCCTCGAGAGATCGGTTGGCAGTCTGTGATTTGTTAGATGTGAATGCGGAGATGGAGTGGGGGTGCTTACCTCGGGGTAGAACCAGTAAAGGATGGGGAAGAATGTGGCGTTGGCGCAGCCGAAGAAGAGATAGGTTCCCCAGTGGATGTTGGAGATCATGATGGGGACGATCATGACAATGACAAAGTTGAACAGCCAGTTGGTGCAGGTAGATGTAGCGTTGGCCTTGCCACGGGTCTTGAGGGGGTTGATCTCAGCGGGATACAACCAGGGAAGAGGCAGCCAAGTAGCGCCGAAGGATGCAATGTAAGTGAAGAGACCAGCGATAGCACCCTTTGAGATTTGAGGCGCATTGTTACCGGGGTCAGAACCACCGGGGATAAGGAATCCCATTGTCAAGAACATAGAAAGCATCTGACCAGCAGTACCGATGAGGAGCAACTTGCGACGACCAACACGCTCAATAAGGAACCATGATGATGTTGCGAAAATGGCGTAGACAATCATGTTGATGCCGCCGAGCAGAAGAGCAAAGTTCTTATCGCCAAAGATGTCTGTGCACAGAATAGGGAAGTAGTAGATGACTGCGTTGCAACCACCGACTTGCTGCATGAACTGCGATCCTGATCCGAGAAGCATACGGCGGAAATGCTGTGTCTTTCCACCTGTGAAGAGAGCCTTGACGGGTGTGCTCTTCTGAGCGGCGAAACCGGAGGCACGAATGGAGTCGACGACACGATCACGCTCAGCGCGGGTCTCGTCGCTGTCGACTTCGAAGCCGCGAATGGCGGCGATGACACGCTCGGCTTCTTCGTGACGGTCGTGGGTGAGAAGCCAGCGGGGGGATTCTGGTAGCCAGACCATTGAGATGCAGAGGATAAGACCGAACACGCACTGGAAGGCAATGGGGAAGCGCCATGTGAGGTCCTGGGGACCGTAAGAGCAGCCGTAGTCGATCCAGTATGCGATTAAGGTACCGAAAGCGATGATACCGCCTTCGATACAAATGAGGAGACCTCTGTTGGTGGTGGTGGAACACTCAGCTTGGTATGTTGGGATGGTGGATGTGTTGATACCGTTTCCAACACCAGTGATTGTTCGTCCAATGATGAGCTGCGCAAGAGCCTTATGGCCCTTCATGGCAGTGATCTGGATGATGACACCAACGATCATGATCCAACCACCAAGGATCATAGCCCTTCTACGACCGAGCAGATCACCGATCCAGAGGATGAACATGGCACCGAACAAACACCCAATCTCGTAAATGGCCGTTACGAAACCTTGCATGGTGCTATCCTTTGTCTCGGGGAAGTAATCATGGAAAGGGTCTGCGTCGATGATTCCGGACATTACACCTTGGTCATAGCCGAAGAGGAGGAAACCTGTCGTTGCGACGGTGGAGATGGCCAGGGACAGTTTCTTGCCCGTTAGGCCGGCGAAGGAGGGAGGCATTTTGACGGTAGGGGGGGTTATAGACCTGCTATGATGGAGGAGAGAGCTCGTCTAGAGCTGGATGATGGGGGTTTGGTGAGGGAGGCATTGGAGGAGAGGAGAGGGTTTATATGTTGAGTGTAAGTGGGAGAGGGTTTGTAAGTGGAAGGGTAGGGATGCGAAAATTCTGAAGTGAACGTATTACTATTTCTCCACGTACGGTCCACTATCTCCACGCGTTGGAAGTGATGATCATCCTTGAAAGAAGTCGAAAAGTTGGTCAAGAACGAAAAGTCCCTGTCGTACATGAATTGCCTGGAGTATCTCCGCGTGCAACGGTGGACCGAAGGATTATTGGAGATCTCCACGTCTGAGTCGTTCATCAGTCACCCACTGAAACTAGCCACTAAAACTCACTCTAACCACTATAAGTCACTGTAAGATTCAGGCGGTGCCTTACAGGGCACACACTGTAGATGCCGTCTTCCGATTCCTTCGGATCTGCCAAGAACAGGGAACCGCACACCTCGGTGTTACTGAAAACAGACAAAACCGTGACGTCAAGTTTCTTTTCAGCAAGCGGCAAAAGCGCGTGAAAAAACGGCATTGTTTTCTTAGTGCTGGAGGGTAGCGGATGAAACGTTCTATTTGGTCAAAGAATCCCTGTCGTGGCGATCATTTAGAGCGGCAGAGACGTCATTGGTTCAGGGGGCGATGGTGCTAGTGATTAAGCATGAAAGCCGAGGCTCTACACGTGAAGGTTTATACGATTAATAGCGGTTACAGTTAATGTGGTTTATGGAGGTTCATGTTGTGGTTTGCAGTTGATGGGTTATGGACTGACGATCAAAGGGTCTTCCCCAAAGTCCACAACTCTCGTCTAAAAAAATGGCGAAAAAAACAGGAACCTGGGGATTGAAAATATCGGGCCTCAAAGGTCGGGGGTGGGAACCACAGAATTATTGAAGATCATGTCCTTATGAGGAGCGGACAAAGAGCTCAATGCGTGATTGAGGTTCCAGTTTACGTGGAGAAGATAGAGAATTTGTGGTTCTGAGCGTTGTTGGTGACAAATTCGTGTTGACGAGGAATTATTCTGCCTTGGAAAGAGGAAAATTGTTTAATTGACGTGGGGAGCACAGTATGAAGTGCAATATGGTAGGTGAGGTGAGGTGAGGGTGAGAGTTTTCTCTTGGGTGCGAAAATGATGGTGGAGGTCCAAGCAGTGGTGTTTTCAGTGGACCGCGCGCAGAATGACATTCAACGGTACAATCTGGGTCTGGGGAAAGATGATCAAAGGATCCAATTGAGCTGCATTTGTCAAAACGTTGATCTCAATCAGAATTCCATAAAAATGGATGAAGAGAAGGGACAAGAAATGCACGTCGTTAAAAGCACGTTTCTTGGCCACGGGAGATCATCAAGTTGGGGACCTGAACTTATAAACTTGGCGATGCTAGAACATTGGCATCACCTTCAGCTTTACAGACAAATCTTGGCAGGTCAATTACATGATTGCTACAAATTGATGCAAGTTGCTGATTCATTCATACCAACGTTTGTTATCCATTGACCCGGCATCGGATTATCTCCTATCTGGATTGTATTGATCATCCACCCTCCCTTACTCAAGACCGTCGTATACGCCGATCCTTTTGCGCAATTAAACTTTCGATTCCTTCCAAAGACTCTCGGATTGCTTCTTTTGGTATTGCGGTTTGTTTTCGTCAGCTTTTAAGCCGCAACTAATCTCAATCTCACTACCAACCAACAATCCTACGAGCAAGCAACATCCTAGGTAACGTGCGCAGACTTGCCAATTATGTGAAGGACGTACAACGGAACTGGTCTTGCATCCGTGGTCTTGGCGATCCTTCCGACGGAGAAAAAGATGCCTTGGCAGGCGGATAACGGCGCAAGGACGGGAGTTAGCCGAGCGTTTAGGCGGGCATAATGAGGGTTTACCAAGAAATTTACTGGCTGAGGGAGACTGCCAAGATGACGAGTTTGGTGATACGGGATATCCTTGTTTTGGTGCTGAGGCTCTCGTCGGAATGGTTATCTTTTGAAGCATTATTCGACGTAGACTTGGGCTTGATGACACTCAAAAGTTATTACGATGAGATAAACACTGAGTGTAGCTGGTCTTTTTGCACCATCAGCTCTTCAACATGCCCTGTTCGTAAGCTGCTCGTCGTGATGACCTTCCATTAACTGGCGTGCTAAACCTGTGACACGCGACCCAGTATTAAAAGTGTCACTGTCAACCTCGTGGACCCTTAGTTTTCTCCATTCACCCACAATGGATTGCATTGTGGGATTTTCCGCCGAGTTTTACACCGAGAAGCAGGGACTTCTCCAGCTCTCCAGTGTCTCTGGTCCCGTATTTTGTATCCAGTGTTTTGTGGTTCAAGGTTAAGTTGACGAGATAATGGCATGCGGAGGTTTGGGGTTTGGGGTCTGGGGGAGGAGTTTTGATGCATGTTTTTTTGAGGGGATTGAAGCTGGGGAAAATTGCCACTCATGATGATCTGCGACGACTTCAACGACATCAAAGAATGAAAATTTTCGGTATTGCGAGTGTGAAGTAAATTTATCGTGTTTTTCATCTTGCTGCATTAATTATCGTGATCGTGGTTGTGGTTGTAGGCGTTGTTTGTGGTATTGATGCTCACTGCGAATGCGACCGTGAGCTCAGTCTTCAACGCAACAACACCATGTTTGGCACAATATCTTTTTATCAAAACATTCGCCTTATTCTATTCTATTCTCTCCCAGATAAATGGTAATTTGCCTTAAAACGTCTCCAATGGAGGCGCCGCTGTTCAAAAGCCCGTCACTTGCGGGCAGTGATTAACAGTTGCGAATGACAGCCTCGCCTGTATTGCCGGTGCAAATGACCGCCAACAAAGTCATCGCTACAACAAGGACAACAGATAATCTGTCTCGTCGTTCTTTCTCCTCAATTCATGTCACAATCGTGACGCATCAACACTCAAGGTCACTGCGACAAATCGAGCTGACAGCGTCAAACTTGTGCATCAAGATGGAACAGCATCACATCCACCATCATCACCACCATCAACTATCATTATAACTACCTTTTCCACCCAACCTACCTCCGAATGTCCAGCCAAATAGTGAGCCTCTGAACCAAGAGGCGGATGGTCACGATAATGACGAACGATGGGATGAAGATGAAGATGCGGAGGAGCACAATGAGAATGGCAACAACGACGACCAGCAGAACCCCGAGAACCGCTCCCCTAACCCAGTCCAGCAGTAGGAGTCTATCGCACATATCGATGGTAAGAGAATGGGCCTTGCAGTATTCGATGGCTACTTCAGCGCCTTCAACTTCGACGCTCAGTCTATCAAAGCGCAAGCTCGCTGGACAAACACTCAAATCAACAACGACGATCACCAAGAAGGTCCCCCAAGAAAGAAAGTCAGAACTAGCGCCGGTCCAGAGCAAAAGAATCACCCTGCTCAGCCTCGACAGGGCGGCCACATAACGGTCATCGACAAGGCTCGCATCGTCGCCACGGACCGTGGCTTTCGTGTCGTCAACTGCGATCCATCAGGTCCACAGGTCGATATCTGCTGGCGGATCCCTGGCCAGCGAAACATATGGCTGGCGAGACTCGCCTGCCCGGGGGGTCTAGACAGAAACTCATGACTTTGTTGGAAGCCCAAACTTCGCCGGACATGCCTGTCTTGAGCTATTTGGAGGCACCACGTGACGAAGAGAGGGCATTGTCCCTGGTCGTGTGCAGTTGTAGCGATCACGCTTACAATGATTTTGAGCGTGAGGAGGGTCAGATTGTTCCTGGAGTTCCAGGGAGTCCTGAATTTGTTTCTGCGCTTGGTAGACTCGTGGGATTTGAGGTCTTACAAGGTTGAGAGTAATTTGGGGTATGTGCATTGGGGTGAAGGCGATGGCGGACTGAGCTGACGTGAACGAAAGCATGGAAATGTGGACAGAATGCACCAGAAATGATATTAATCATCAAGCCGCTGTGTAAAACTCTGCTTCCTGTGTAATGATTCACAAATGTGAAATAACTGCCTCACCCTCAGAGTCAGTGCAAATGGCAGCTGATAAAGTCACCACTCACGTAACACCAACAAGTAATCTCGTTCGTCATTCTTTTCTCCTCACGCGACAACACTCAATATCACTGCGATAACTCAACCCGACCGCCTGAAAGTTGCTACGATATGGCAAGACATCACCATCATCACGAGGATCAGCACGATGCTTCTCAACCGGACACGCCTACTATAAGAGTCCGTCCGCGACATTCTGAAGATGAGATACCTGGAGCAAATGATGGGCAGCGTACTGAAGCAGAAACAGTCGTAGTTGATGAGTTGCCGCAAACCGGCTTAGTTGTCTTTGACGACTGTGTCAGTTTGCTTCATGTTAATAGTCTGCCTGAAAGAGCGCTGAATCGATGGCGTGAGGAAGAACAGCAGCACCAGCAACATGTCCAAGAAGAGGGAGACAGTCAGCCCCAACGTCGAAGCGAAATCCCACCACAAATCTACGACGGCTCAGCTCCCATCTCCTCCAGCCCCGAACTAACCCAAGTCCAACGAGCATGTATCGTCGCGTCGAACGGCTTCTACGTCGTCAACTGCGACACATCAGGGCCTCAGATAAATATCTGCTGGCGCGTCCCCGGCCCACGAAACATATGGCTCGCGAGACTTCCGGTTAGCCAAGACGGGAGGAACGCGGAGCCCCAGCCTTCGATATATCCGGGTTTCACGCTGTCTTGCTTTAAGAGGGGACCGCAGGGGGGTGAGAGTGCGTGGTCGATTATCATTGCTGGTTCGCGTGTTCATGCGGAGGAGGGGATTGGGCGTGGGGAGGGGGAGTTGGTTTTTGGTGAGCCGAGTAGTGCGGAGAGTTTGGCTGCTTTTGGGAGGGCTGTTGGGATTGAGGTTCTGCAGGTTTGATGATATTGGCGAAGGGGTTTGTCTGGCGTGAGTGATGGCAGCGTGGAACTGAGATGACATTAGCGAAGCAAGCTTGGAAATGTCATGTATGTCACGATAGTGTTTGAAGGGTTATTCGGCTTGTTCTGCCTTTTCCATGACGATCTCTGGGCGTTGGGAGTTGGAACAATTTGTCGAGACATCGTGCCTACAAAGGGACATCGAAGGGTTTATACATATTGTATGAAACAATGAAAAATGAAAAATGAGACACACGTAATTTAGATCTGTTGGAACGTACCCCTCTCCCCCAATAATGTTACTGCCAAACGTGAGAGCGGTCGAGTGCAGTGCAGCTCCTTCCCTCTCTGTCTTCACTGCCAAACAGCTGACAGCAACACCTCGCACCTGCCTTGGGTTTTCTCCCTTGCCCCTCCCCTCTCCTCCTTCTTTTTTCTTCAATCAACCTCTTCTTGAAATCATCGCAGCACATACACACAGACAAATCTTGAACATCAACACCATCGGCCTCGCGACTATGGACACCTGCCAGCAGAGTGGCACGAGGTCTGCCCTCAACGAAGAGCATCACGTTCAAGCGCTGAATTTCCGTAAGCGCGCCGAGGCTTCTGAGCAGAGTATTGATGCGCAGAATGAGACTCACGCTCCCTCCAACGATAAGGCTTCTCAAGATGGCACCCCTCAGTGTAACAATCCTCAGAGCGACACACGCCAGGACAATGCAAGCCATGCAGACGCCTCCAACTTCAAAGACTGGCGTCCCCCTGTGGCATCTTACAGCCTCCTACGTATCCTCCCAACGGTTGAAATTCATGCCAATTCAACACTCTTGATCCGCAACCCCCGCGAAAACGGCCCTCAGACGGATATTTGCGCGCGAATACCTGGCTACCTCAACCACTGGGCCGCACGAATCAGCTGCAACGATAGTCTGTACGATTTTCACGATTGGGTCGTCGGAAACTCAGGAGAGGAGTCTCCCGAGGTATGGATGTACGTATCGACCAATCCCGACACGTTCATCAACATCAACGACATTCACCTTTTGTCACTGTATGAGTCTGTGAGTATTGTCGCTCTCACCAACCCGGGACATCCTCTACCATCGGGCTGGACTAAAGTTACATCGGGATGGCTGTCAGTTTGTCCGCTTCTGCCTGGCCTTCGTGATGTCCAGGGTCCTGAGGGAGCGAAATGGCTGGTCTGAATGACTACAAACTCTCGCATCAACTTTGAGGAGGCCTTGTTTGAGTTCAAATGAGCGCGAAAGGGGTTTTGGCCGCATGTGAGGGATTATCACAGCTTCGAGTCGGGAGAAAGTGAGTTATTGCGTGTCAATCATATTGTGCAATGCTGACCTTTCGCAGAGTGTTTATTGAGGCAACTCCGATATCACACCCCCTGCGACAATCGGTACAGCACAAGACCGACGGATGATGAAGCACCACTCTCTCGAGACATTAGCGAAAACATCGTTGCAGGGACTCGGGGCTTTTTAGAGGGCGGGAGGACTTGTGAAACGGTCTCGTGCGAGTCTGTGTACCACCAGTCCACGCTGGCGACGAGACAGAGACTAATGATCACAGATGCATCCAGCCCATCTCGACACGCAAGCGCATGTGTTCCAACAAGGAGAGCCTCCAGTCGATCTCCAACACGAAATTTTGGACGCCATTATATCTGGTATCGCGGCCACTGGGAATTAAGCACCGCTTCTGTGAGAGCTCAGCGTTCGCTGGACAAGAGGGCTGTTTACGCGAGTGGGTGGTGGCCATGGCGGGAAGGATGGATATTGGGGCGGAACCTTTGTGAGGCGGCTGCTTGCTATTCTAGAACTCGGGCAACATGGCAAGGGGATATGAAAAATGTGCGAAAGAATAGTTTGTTCATATCGATGCTTACTTCCTTGTCATCGTGAACTCACCTTCAGCCAGATGTGACCTGCACCTCAGTGACGCTCACACTCAGTCGATGACAGATAAATAAATTGCTGAATACCCAATTACATTTATGTAAGTTAACTTCAACACTTGCGCGTTTCTCCGACCAAGCCCAACTGACCAAGTCCGACTGGAGTTTTGGTGATAACTACCGTGTGTATAAGGTTGAGGGGACAAAAGAAACTTCATGGCCGACCACAAGATGGAGAACACGTATCAAAATCTAAAGACTATTCATGTACTGCAATTCCCTTGATTCCACCTATAATGATGCTTCATGGTAGAAAAGTAACTTATCGAACCCCCCCTCAATGCTAGCATTCTGCTCCTCCGCCTCAAGACATCAAAACTGTTATTGCCCTGAAACATCAGCAGATAACCTATTCAGACGAGTTCTGGAATGACCAGCGTATGCCTTAAATCTGTTCACCAGGCATCACTTAGCGCTAGGAGGGAGACAGGTTCGCACTAGAGTTCTCAATTATGCGCTTGCAGCGAGGTAGTTGGTGGTGCTTCGATGTGTTTGCGTGGTGATCAAGTCTGATTATCAAGGTCTTTTAATGATGATCAAGGTACAATCTGTGCTGAGACAATGGACAAGGGCCATGATCAGGCAATAGATACTTGACTGGAAGCAAAAATACAAGGAGGAGAAAGCATTCAGACTGTGGGTTGGAGTGTCACCAGAGGTTACCTGCAAGGTGCTGCTGTGACAGCAGCAAGCGTCAAGACTAGTAACATCAGCCACGTTACCCAAATGTTCGGAATGCATAAAAGAAGTCGCTGTTGTATATTGTCTACCCATATCTTTAAAGAATGTCCTGTAAACCATCTCCATCGCTTTGTCCAGAGCGTCCTAGTCGGTCCTCCTCATATCGCGGCTACCGTCCACCAGTCTTTTGCAATATCTGAAACGGAACTCGATCGCTGAAAAGATCCAACTTGACGCTGTATCCTGTATGCCATGTCAGCAGAGTCTTAGATAATAAGAAGCCAACATACCTCCACTCACATCGCAAACGACTTCATCCAAGCTCACACCATCAGATCCAGTCTTCCCTAAACCTACAACTCATTAGTACAAATCTTCAATCTCCTTCAAACAACTTACTGGACCGGCTCAGGCGAACGGCGCCGCGAGCCAGTAACCCACACCACGGTCCACACATGAGAACAAGGCGTCGAGTCCACCTCAACCACAATCGCCCGGCCAGGATAGACAAACTGCTGAAAATCGTGCATCTCCTGCATGGCATTTTCCACAGTGATACGAAACGAAAGACCGAGTCGCAGCTGGTTTCTGTCCTGCAAGTTGCGCCAGTTCACAAGGGGAGGGTCGTCCGGAGATGCGGGTCTGGTCGTTACCTCTAGGTAGTCCCACTCGTCGAGGGTTGCAGTGACGGTCCATTCTCTTGGACCGGGAGCTTGACGCCGTGGCATTGTGGAGGTAAAGAGAGTTGGGGAGGGGATTGAGATGTGATGATCAGCGACTGAGTATTTGTCCTTGGTATTGATGTGAGGATTGTAGACTGTTGATGATGATGCTGATGATCTTACTGATGATTAACGAGAGATTGATGATGTTGTTGATGGGAGAAGAGAGACTGCGAGGAGAGAGGAAAGAGAATTGACTTGAGAGATCCGACTGAGAACCAGCAAGCAAGAGTCAAGTACGACCTTCCACTCAGATGAGATCGTGAAAGAAGGAGACAACCAGTTCGTTCGGGTTGGGAAGTTCTTAAAAGCACAAGTAATGATGGACTGCTACTTCCAGCATCTGTGATAAGGTCATAAGGTTGAGGGGTCAAAAGAAGCTTCAGCCTCAACACAAAGGTAAAGAATATATATTAATGTAGCTTTTGCCCTCACTGATACCTAAGATAAAGCTTTTGGCTGAAAAGTTAGTTATTATGACGCCTAAGAACCCCCTCTTTAATGCAGTATAAAGAGTCTACCTGCTGCTCTTCCGTCAAGAAACAAGAAAGCATATAAAAACCACACCAGGTAAGATACGCGATGCAAGCATCGCCTATCCTGCTTATCAACTACTTTCAGCATCAAAGGCGTTGCGTGCTAGAAGACGAGCCAGATTGTCCCCAAGGAAGAGCAACATGATCCTATGTAGGTACACAGCACTGAAGAGGGGTTTATAAGTTACTTTTTATCATTAAGCATTATGACAATGTGCTTGGCTTGACACATCTCAGACAGATACCGAATGCTCAACTGCACTGTGATCTCTTCCCTTCTCCGCCGGCTCCGTGAGCTCCGGATCCTCATTCTCTCTTATCTTGAGCCCATAGCCTAAGGTACTCTTCAATACACTAGTCACCCTCATGATTCCACGCTTCATGCCTTCTCACGACTAGCACCTCATCACTCCTCAATGTCAATCCAAGACCCCTTTCTCTTGTCCAACGCCCATCCATACAACTCCGACACTCGTCCCGCCCGGTCTTCTTGTCCACTTGAGCTTCCTCGTTGTCCATCTCATCCTTGCGCCGATACATACTTCGTATCCAGTAGAGCTATGGACAGGTTCAGGCTGCTACCAAGCAATTGATCAAATCGCATTCGGAGTGAGCAGCAATCCCATGGGTTGCTGTCATATTCCCTTTGGCTTCATAAATAGTAACTACCCAAAGCTCGATATCCTCACGAAATTGTACCAGGGTCAATTGAAACAACTTCGCCAGCTGTAATCCTCCGCTGCGATGAAGTAGCCTCGCATCACATGAACCACTGCCAATAAAAGATCATTGTCCTTTCAGAAGTATTTCAGGCATTACTATTCCCAATATAGCACAAACAAAGCACCCATCTCCATTCTCAGACCTCAATCTTACGTTGATCCAAGCCAACAAAGAAAATCCCAAACCTCCTCCAACAGTGCATCCACTCCCCAATACCTCACCGTCATCAAACCCATCTCGCATCAACCCCATACCAAAATCTCTCTTCAACTACCAAGATGTCTCAGCTATATCATCCTCACCCCTCCCATCCTCCTCTCTCCTTCAACACCGTTTCAGCTCAAAGCAACAAACATCATGAAACTCACACTTGCAGCTCTTACGCTCCTCACACTCACAGCTGCTCCTCCTCCTCCTGAGCCGGATGTTCTTAAACCTGTTCCTGAGAGGGCAAGTAGTGGTTGTTATCACTAGTATGTCTCCCTCCCCCTCTACCCCATTTCGTCAGTTCAAACCCAGCCCATCTTCCTAGTCGCCAATCTCAACCTCCAGCCTCAATCCAACATCAATGTCAACCCGCTAGCAGTATCAGCACAATCCCCAAGCCAAACAACTGCTGTCTTCCTCGGCCTTGCGCCTGTAGAGATGGTACGTCTCCTCTCCTCCCCCTCTTCCCTCTCCGTTCTCTCCTCTTCCCATCTTCTCTCTCAGAGGACATCTAACACGTATCAGGCAATTGCTACCAATTCAAGGATGACGCTTGGAAAGCAACCATGAACGGATGTGATCCTCCCTGGGGCTATTTCGGAAAGACAATGCACGACATGCCCAGTTTCTGCTGCCGAGGATAGAAAGCACCCAAACCTGTGTTTCCAGCGTAACTCATTGTATTAATCCTCCTCTCCTTATCTTCTTCATCTCACTAGATAGTTTATTACAAATCCTTTACTTCCTCCTCCTTCTCATCCTCCCCCTTAACCCCCTCCTTCTCGTCTCCATTCTTATCATTATCCAAAGCAGCCTTACAGCTCACAATCCCCCCCGCAATCCCTCCCAACTCCTCACCACTTCCAAACCACGGCCCAGCGCTATAATTCGCATCAACACCCGCATATATAAACCATCCGCTAACAGGCTGCGCCATTACCCCGCCCGGAGTATTCTTCTTCTCGACGCCGACGTTTCCTGCTAGGAGATAGGCTTGTGTGTCGACGCCTGGTGATGGGTGGTTTTTCATGGTCAGGGGCGCTTTGGCGTAGCCGATGCTGATGTCGGAGAGGGTGCAGGGGATGTAGCTCTGTCCGTCGATTGTGACGGTCCAGTCGTTGGGGAATATGCCGATTTGGACCTCTTCTTTCTTGTCTTCAACCTTGACTTCGTCTTTCTTCTCCTCAGCCTTGGTTTCGTCTTTCTTGACCTCTTCGGCCTTCTCCCCGGCTTCTTCTTCCTCGTCATCCCAATCATCATACCATTCATCATAAACTCCTCTGACCTTGCCATCACGATCCCAATGCATAAATCCCGTAATCCACCCGGAAACATCCCACTCACTCGCCCCTTCACCACAAGACCACTGCTTCTTGGCCCTAACAATCTGCTCCCAGAACAATCTCATCTCCCCATCACCCTCACCATCAGTATCAACATCCCAGGAACTTACAAACCTCTTCATAATCGGCCTCAGCCTCTCCCCAAACGTCCCCGCCTCGTCCCCAAACTCCTTCAACATCTCAATCTTCTCCCCCAGCTTAACCCAATCCTCCCTCTCCCCAAGGAGCGTAACACTCGGTATTCCACATACCACCATCCCCTCAAACTCAAAGAAATGCTGCATCAGTCCCATCATCAACACCGTAGCCGTAACGTCATCTTGCGCAGTGGAAGTACTAAAACCGGGTGTTATCCAGTCTAGTAACCATCCCGTCTTAACCCTCTTTTGGATCTCCCCGCTAAACGCGCTGATGATACCGTCCCATGAAAACCCTTCTACGACAATCTTTTCGCGCCCAGAATGATCAACGAATAAATGCCGAAGAGTTTCAGAGTGTGTACTCATGTAGACATTCATCTGCGCCAAAACCTCAAACCAGATTTCATCAGGGCGTAGAATGAGATGCTCGTGTTTGGCCCATGCTTCAACAGCACCCCTCACAAAACCATCCGACGAGGGGAATACATTTCGTCCCGAGAGGTCATCAAACGATGACGCGAGAAGTGAGGCTGTGTTTTCGACTTCTTCTGGACAACTCCGCGAGAATAGATCAGTAGCTGATGTAGCGATACCTGACGTGCTGAAGGGTAGTGGATCGACGCGGTGGACTTGGATGGTGATTGAGGCGGTGGCCAGGCTGGCTAGCCACAGCGCTTTGAGCATTTCGGCGTTCGTATAACAATCTCTCTTCTCTCTTCGATGTTCTCTCGGGTGTATGCCGTGGGGCGATCAAGGATCAGTGAATAAGGTGTTGGTTGGTGTGGGTATGCAAATCGTGGCCTGATGCAAGATTACGGACCTCCCGATCGGACGGTTAAAGGGGTGCGCTAGCGGCTCTTAGTGGAGTTGTCTAGGGAACTGGGCCGAATCTCATCTCATGATATCTACGTATGCCTCAGACTATTTCTGAGAAGTCATGGCGAATAGGAAGCTGTTCCTCTGACAATTTTTAACAAGTCATGACGAATGAGAAGGTATTTTCGGTGCATTTGTTGGCGACGGGATCGGATCTCCGTTGGGGACTTATCGAGATATGATCCTGGCTACTACAGGGGAACGCAACATCCGATCTCCGTCAATATGATCACAGATGCAGGGTAGGACATGTGACAATTGGCAATTGACGAGATTAATGAATTGGGCATGTCAAAGTCGACATCGCCATGTTGGGCCGTAATTAATGCCATAAGGCCCGATGGACAAATGCCTCATCTTGCCACTGTTCCCAGTCACTACTAACTACCATTCACGATCTCTCACAGCAACCCATCAAATTACTCACACCAATCGCAGCAATCACATCACATGTCAGTTGAGCAACCGATTTATTCAGTGCTATCAATCTATAATCATGCCTTAGGCTCGAATTGAATCCCAGTCCTTCCTGCGCCATGCTGCCATTAAAGCAAATTGGATGTCATATCTCGTAAACGCCATGCCATGCCACTTTGTACCCGTGGCTCCATCTCTTCTAGTAAATCGCGCCGAATGAAATCGCTTAATCCTCACTGCTGTCGGCCTGGACACGCTGGACAACGTTGACCAATTGGGGGAAGATCTTCTCGTTGTCCTGAATACCGCAGACCTGCTTGACAACATCCTCAGGGCCGTTCTCGGACATGATCTCGGCGAGCTGCTTGGACTCCTCGTCATCGGGAACGTTCTGGAAACGGAAGGCCATCTCAATGGCGTCGAGGAGGTACTTGATGGGCTGATCGTTCTCAGCAAGCTCAGCAGCAGGGCCGATGAATCGCTCCTTGCGGGAAAGCTTTCGGAGAGGAGCACGGCCGACACGCTCGACGGCATCCTCAAGATGGGGGTTGCCAATTCGCTTAATGATCTTCTCGACGTAGGCGGCTTGAGCCTCCTCGTCAATCGCATGCTTGGAGACAATCAGGTTCTTGGTCTCCATAAGTGCACCGCGAACCTCGGCCATGATGTCCTTGTCCTGGAGAGCATCGTAGACAGTGCGCTTTCTTCGGTTGTAACCGTGGTAGGCAGCGGTGGCGTGGCCAGTGTTGACAGTGAAGAGCTTGCGCTCAATGAAGGGCTCGAGGTTGTCAACCCAGTTGATGCCCTTGATGTCGGGGATACCAACATCCTCAAAGGGAGTGCGGTCAACGACCCACTCAAAGAACTTCTCGAGTGTCACGTCAAGACCAGCATCGGGGTCCTGAGCGGGAACGATTCTGTCGATAGCAGAGTTGGCATATCGGGCTCGGAGGTGGTGATCCTCAAGACGAGAGGCATCAGTGTTGTTCTTGATGTGCTCGGCAAGGGTATCAGTGGCACCGATGGCGTTCTCGCAAGCAATGACATGCAGGGGAGACTCTTCTGTTGATCGGCGGTCGATACCCTTGGCGATGACAGGGGCGATAAACTTGAGGATGTTGGGACCGACTGAGCAGGTGACGATTTCAGCAGTTCGAATGGTCTCGATCAGATCCTCCTCGTGTGTTCTCGAGTTGATGGCCTTGTAATTTGTGATGGTGTTCTCGACGGTTGCTTCAGAGCCGACTTCGATGACGCGGTATGAGGGAGTGTTGTTGAGTTGGTTGACGATTGTCTCGTTGACATCAGCGAAGACGACATCGTAGCCAGAGTTGTGAAGGAAGCAGGCAACAAAGCCACGGCCTGAATAGTTAGCATGAGAGGTTAGAGCGTTGGGTGAGACGAGACATACCGATGTTGCCAGCGCCAAAGTGAACAGCAGTCTTGCCCATGATTGTGGTTGTTGGGATGATGTGTAAGTGGTAGTGTGTAAGAATGTCTCAATGGATGAATTCGAATGCCTCAATAGGAAGCAATAGAAGAATGTTTAGGAGTGAAGTGGTGATGAATGGAATGGATGAAAACGGTGACCGTATCGAGGGGGGAGAGACGAGTTTATATGTCTAGACCAAAGCCACCCTCCTTGTCTTTCTTGGAGGGTGAGGGTGACGATGACGGGAAGGGGACCCATTGATGCCATCATGGTACGTATCGTTCCTGCCCTGGTCACGACTGGGCTATGGGTCCGGTTTGGTCTGGCAGGTCCCACCGAGTCAAGTTTGAGTTCAACTCGGGCAAGTGGAGACCATGCCAAGTATAGCCCGACTCACAGTCACAGCCCGTACAGTACGGTTGTGTTGTATCAGTACTTGTACCATGCCATCATCGGTACAGTGGACTCTCTCTGTATTTGGTGACCTCAGCACTCTGACTCTTTGGCTTGGCGCCGTCTGTTTGTCAAACAACCATCCAATACTCTAGCCCGTGCCTATCCTAGTGATGATCCATTGGATACGGTGCTCACCTCACTGTTATCATTACACCGTAGCCTCGCCGAACCGTATCCATATAACATCAAGCCCAAGGCAGAGATAGAGGTCAATAACATCTCACTCATAGATGACAACTGTACAATAGGCCTCCAATAAGCTGACAAACAATTGAAACCACATAACAAACCTCACCATGTGGATCACCCCTCTACCGTTTCACCGACCGTAACTGGCGAAGCCTCCACTGCCTTACGGAGGTTATCCGGCCCTCTACAGGGTGTTCGCACAGGGGCTGGGGGTGTTATGCATGCATGTCTCACTGCAACCTCGCTCACCTCTGCCCGAAAAGCCTCAGTGAAGAAAAGACCCTGTCTCACGCCACATGCTTCATTTTCAGGGTATTCATATTTATGAGATGTTGCCACGACTGTTTATCTTGGGGTTTCTTCACGAGATATATACTGCAAATATCATGGAAACAATAGAAACAATTACTAACCTAGAATCGTCTGGATACCACTCGATCCGTCAAGTGGATATCCTGTCAAGTAACCGTTTTCGTGCCAATCCCACCTCTGACGTCGACTGTCTGCATCGTGGGTCGCTGAAAGACTGTGGTTTTTTCTCTCCAACGCAGTGCAACACTAAAAATGTACTTCCAGAGCATAAGTTGAACACCCCAGGTTTTCCACAATTCTCTTTCTCTGGGGCATTTGACATCACTTTCTTCAATATCACGATGACTTTCGATCTATGGTCCTCTTCTCCTTTTTTTTTTATTCCTTTTTTAACTCCCCCTATTTTATGACATATTTTAATTTCCATTTTTCATGACTTGATTATCACCATCATATGTTTTCAACGTCGTCGGTATTTCGGCCATTCCCCTCCGTCTGAGCCCCAAACAAGGGTTCTCTGTTTTCTTACTCACTCACGATGCAGGGGTGTGGAGATGGGGAGTTAGGTACAATTAGACGGCGCTCACGGCGGCTTTTCGTGTGTGCTTTTGAGGCTAGTGAAAGTGACTGATGATGATGATTGTTGAAACGGGCTTCATGCATGTGAAGACTTTCGGCAATGCTTGGGGTATCACACATGCAAAATATTCCGGTGCGTGTATAACAACGTTGTAAGCGCAAATCTAGACTGTTCAAGTTTATGCAGCACGTGTAATTGTTGAGATAATGATAGGACTTGTGGTGTATCTCGTGCTCTGTGTTACTGTCTCGTGCTCTCGTACCAATAATCACAAGTAAACAAATATCGTTATCATCTGTGTAACTGCATCCGTCAGATATGGGCGCCATTGTCTTACTCTCCCAATGAAGTACAAACTGCATACTAATACGTCATATCCTACATCCAGGGTTACCCCCTCCCCTTGAGCCTCTCTGGTCTGGTTCCTGTTTTTCCAGGGGTGAAACGGATCATTTCTGCCACCGTATTCTCTCTCTCTCTACCGTAGAATCACCGAACCATGCCACTATTCAAGCATAATTCCCTCAACCTCAAACTGGCTCAACTTTAAGGGCGTATTCTATCTGAGTGCTTGAGGCATTTCATAACCCATTTCCGTTCGGCCCTCAACCCCGACAACCCGCTTCCGTTCTAGCATAGCCTCCCTCCGTAGATAACGCTGCAGCGAATCAACCGTCGGTGGAGCAATAAAGCCAAGATGGACCGTTCAGGCGTTCACCTGTTTAGCGCCGTATTCTGATTGGTGATGGCTTCAGTTATCTTCGGTCGGTTACCGCGGGACCTGTTGATCTGGGAAAGGGAAACTGTATCTCTTCAGGCTGAATCTTGTTATACGACTCAGCAAATTTCGGAACCCAGATCCAAGCCTATCATCTTCATCTTTACTGATATATCATGGAGGTGTATTGAACCGTTTGTTACTGTCTCCCATCTCAAGGGTCTAGGGGTCCAAGCCACTATCCCACACCGATGTAGCATAGCATATCTCCAACCAAGAAAAACTGCAATTGAACCACTCAAAGATCTCGTCATCGACGCGGGACGAGAACATCGTGAAAAGCCTCAAATTTCTAGGGGGCGACGTCAGAGGCTACCCACTCACACTTACCAATGACAATGACCTGCACAAAAATTCTTCCGTGTCTTGTTGTATTGCATTGAGGAGGGTTAGTGTGAGTGGAGTTGGACTGACGAAATCAGAACGGATTGCGCTGGTATGGTTTGGCTGGACTGGTTTGGCATTGCTGATATTGATTGGTTTGGTTCGTTTGGATTGGCTGTGTTTGGTTGGATTGATTGGCAGATGCAGTATTCGCTTTGACTGCGGCTTATTCAGATGGAATCACTGCATGCAAAAACCTCGCTTCGGATGCCGTGACTTGAAATGACGATCTTTTGTTCTCGTTTCAAGAGATCGTCGTTTTCCAACCCAGACTCAGAAAATAAACATGTTGTTTCCGACATGAGCCGAATTAACTCCCGCTGTACAGTAAATATCGTGATAAGTCAACATCATCACAGCACCTTGACGATCAAGACCCAAGCAACACTCTCGCACGTCAACCAACATGCAAGCCTTGATAGTAATCTCCATTTCCCCGCCCTCCATCTCACTCCAGTCCACTGCACATCGAGGTCTGGGGTTCTCCCCGCGAAAATAAAAAGCACCGTTATAACCCCGATGTGATAAGTTGCTGCGTGATATATCTCATAAACATACCACCCTTATACACCCTCAGAGGAGTATTCCCCCCTCTTCCCCATATTCCCCCGCAAAACTCCACATGCGAACCTCACCTGCTCGTCTCACCACTGACGCTCAAATGGACCAATGTTCTCAAACGTAGCACTCTCAATGCGCCTAGACTCTAACAGCACCAATGCTCTCAAAACGTGGCAGTGCTCTCAGACGCACTTACACTCAAATCGCTTTCTCTCAGATGCAGTGACGCTGCCTAATCCGGAAATGCATACTTCTGCCGGAAACACGGAACGTTGAGACAAAAACATATGTAGACCGAGGTGTCTTTATTCCACGTGTCATTAATATAAATGCAAGTAACAAGGTGTTGCGATTTAAGATGTAAATGTGAGAAATCGCGCAGATGCATGGTGTACTTGTGCCGTCCTCTTGTGCCGTGTTTGATGTCGATGCTACAATGGAGTCGACATCTGAGAATAACAGGGTGATCTGGAAAAGGTATGCAGATAATCACGATACACATCGATCAGTGCTACTCTTGACAATTTGAGAGAGACAGATACTTCCGTCTACTTGTACAGCGACACCATGCACAACTTAAATCCCAGGTCCAGAACATAGGCCGTCAAACTTATTCATGCTATCTTTAATCATTATCAACATCGTTCCACTCGCTACACATTAACACTCAATCCTCCTTTTAGTTACCATACTTCTTGAACGCTCCAATGAGTCCACCAGTAGAAGCATCGTGTCCCTCACCATTACCAGCCTCATCAAGCTCCTTGAGAATCTTCTTGGCCAAAACCTTGCCCAGCTCAACACCCCACTGGTCAAAGCTGTTGATGTCCCAGATAGCACCCTCGGTAAAGGTGAGGTGCTCGTAGTAGACGATCAGGGCACCCAGCTCGGCGGGACCAATGGCGCCGCCGACAAGGATGGAGGTCGTGGGTCGGTTGCCCAGGAAGCGCTTGTGAGGAACAAGCTCTTCGGGAGTACCCTCGGCACGGACCTGCTCGTCTGTCTTGCCGACCATGAGAGCCTCAGCTTGGGCGAAGTAGTTGGAGGCAAGCATCTTCTGGTGGAGATTGTCGCTGACAGGGTTGTGAGACTTGGCGGCGAGGATGAAGTCGGTGGGGATCAGCTTGGTGCCTTGGTGGACGAGCTGGAAGAAGGAGTGCTGAGCGTTGGTGCAAGGCTCGCCGAAGAGGATGGGGCCTGACGGTTAGCTGGGGGGTCTCATGCGGGAGGCTATCCACTTACCAGTGGTGTACTTGGCAGAAGATCCATCAGAGGTGATGGTCTTGCCGTTGGACTCCATAGAAAGCTGCTGGAGGTAGGCAGGGAATCGGTGGAGGTATTGGTCGAAGCTATAATTGTTAGCTTGTAGATTCGCATAGTTCCGACTGACTTACGGAGCAACAAGGTGAGTCTGAGCCTGGAAAAAGTCAGAGTACCAGACACTCAAAAGACCACCAAGAACAGGAATGTTGTCCTTAAGAGGAGTCTCACGGAAGTGCTTATCCATGGAATGAGCACCGCTAAGGAACTTGTGGAAGTTGTCAAAGCCAACGTAGAGAGCAATGCTCAGACCAATGGCACTCCAGACAGAGTATCGACCACCAACCCAGCTCTCAAAGCCAAACATGTTCTTGCTGTCGATACCAAACTTGGTGACCTCCTCCTCGTTGGTGGAGAGAGCAACAAAGTGCTTGGCGATGTCGCCCTTGTTGTCGGTCTTTTCGAGGAACCACTTCTTGGCTGTGTTGGCGTTGGTGGTGGTCTCTGCGGTGGTGAAGGTCTTGGAGGCGATGAGGAAGAGGGTGGTCTCGGGGTCAGAGTTCTTGAGGGCCTCGGCGATGTGGGTTCCGTCAATGTTGGAGACGAAGTGAAGGGTCATGTCTTCAGCGCCGTAGTGCTTGAGAGCTTCAGTGACCATGACAGGGCCGCTGCAAGATGTCAGTCCAGTATAAGAGGAGCATTCGAGGGACTTACAGATCAGAACCACCAATACCAATGTTGATAATGGTTGTAAGCTTCTTGCCAGTATATCCCTTCCACTCTCCACTTCGAACCTGCTCAGAAAACTCCTTCATGTGCTCAAGAACCTCATTGACACCACCCTTTGTGTTCATGACATCAACACCATCAACCTTCATATCCCAACCACTGACATTTCGTAGAGCAGTGTGGTACACGGCGCGACCCTCGGTGAAGTTGATCTTCTCACCAGCAAACATGGCATCGCGCTTCTTCTCAACACCAGCCTGCTCGGCGAGCTTGACGAGGAGATCGAGGGTCTCATCTGTGAGGAAGTTCTTGGAGAAGTCGAAGAGGATCTCGGAGGATACACCGTCGGAGGCGAAGGTTCGGGTGAAGCGGTCGAATCGTTGGGGGTCGGAAGCGAATGCCTCCTTGAGGACGAAGGATTTGCCTACGCTGTCGCGATGGGCTTGGAGGTCAGACCAGGCGGGGAGAGTGTTTGCGGGGGCCATTTTGGGTGTTGTGTAGATATTGAGGGGGGCGAAAGGATGGAGGTGATGGAAAGAAGAGAAGAAATATCAGCTCAGAAAAGAGTGGGAGGGGAAATGAGGTTATGTCTTTGGATTAAATCGTCTTGGGTGCTTGTCTCATGGTAGAGCTCCGATGCCAATGGAGGGGGAGGGGAAAGAGCAGACAGCGGCATGGGCGGAGTGGGGGCATTCATCATCCCACTTCATCAGATCTATTCTTTCTTGTTCTATACAGTTTATTTAATTGATACTATCATGATACCACTTTCCACTACTACGAATTGTTATGATACGACATCTTTTTATCACTCATTCTGTCAATTCCTCTCAATTGTCATGTCCATCTCTCATACAAATGTCAGCTAACCCCTCCAATGACAGCATGACGCTACACCATGCTCTCCAAGCTAAAAAGCAAAGCTCTCTCTTCACAGCTTATAACTCAAAAGCCCCACCTTACTTAACAATTGTTACCAAATTTACAAATCATCAAGGTTGGCTGACTGAACTTTTCCAAATCTTTTCGTCATGTCTCCATAATCATATTAGCCTCTTTATCCTGCGTCATAATCTCAGTGGAGGCTCTGTAGTCCAGGGTTTCCGGTTATGCCGCGCACTCGCCGTGGTTGTCCCGCATCACCTCCGTGTGAGACACCGAGGACAGCTTATTTATCGTGAGATTCTTCATGATCAGTGCCAGTAGATCCTAGCTGGAAATCTGTACAGCTTTGCGATAATGTCTCAGCAATAAGGAATAGAGTTTACAGAAACTGAATATAGGATACAGATATTAACCAACAACGTAATAAACATCTGCTCGATGTCCTGCCCGAGGTGGCTCTCACCTTTCCCCCAACACCGGCAATCTCTCCGATCTCAGCCTCAATTAAGAGTTTTCCTTTCATTCAGCCTATAGCCTAGACTCATCAACAAGGGTTGTCATGATATCCCTCATCCATCATAAAACCCCCAACATTTTACGAAAAAGCCTCATGGAGCCCCAAAGCGTGATCCTAAGACTGAACTGGTAATCTGGAGACCAGAAAAATTGAACTGGTGATCTTGGTATTGAACTTGGTACATGCTATGACTTGAAAAATCACGTCTTTCTCAATAGCTCACTTGGCCGAGTGGTTAAGGCGGCAGACTTAAGCTCTCAACTGCTGAGGATTCTGCTACATTTAATGTGCGCAGGTTCGAACCCTGCAGTGAGCATTGCTTTTTGTTTTTTGTCTGTTTGTTGTGTCTTGATTACAACTGTTTGCCAGTTGATGTGGTGGCGAATATCGTTGGGAAGGTTATTAGAGCCATACTACTGAATAGCGTTGAGCGGCGACATTGGAGCTTGAATGTGGAATCTGTTCAGTCATAGCTTTCGAGGTTCCAATAGGGTACAATGGCCTCTACAGGTCAATTGTCAAGGTGAGCTTGTGTTGGCGTCAGAGGACAATGAGTTTGAGCACCAAGGCATGAGAGCTCATTGTGTTTGCTGATGTTGCATCATAGTAATGTCGGAACAATGAGCATTGTCACGAAAGGGAGGTATCCATAAACAAAGAACGACAAAGTCAACGGTACAGAGTCACGACGAGACAGTCTACACTGACAGAATGACATATCCACAGAACTAACGAGTGTATCAAACTCCAACACGCCAAAGCAAGTAAAGGCTTCTTATCTACATTCATCCTCTAGGTTCACACCTCCTAGGCTGTGCTTATCATGGCTTACATGTGTTTCCCTCCCTCAACCGGCTCATTGACAAGACTGATACCGTGTCCGAGTCAGCCAGTCCTGCTCGCTGTCTACCTTTGTCTCTCTTCAAGCCAGCGATTTATCGGTTATCTGTCAAACTACCGACAAATGATGGATCCTTGACACTGCCGCCTGCATCTCCCAGTCCAGCGATCGGACGGTTGTAGCTGAATCCTTGGAATTGGTTCTGCATGGTTTGGGAGAGCATGGGGCCTTCGACGTAAGAATCTTGGGGGGCTTCAGATGTGAATTCGGGGTCAAAGTTGGCAGTGTCCAGAGCATCGGCCTAAAAATGTTAGCTGGGTTCAATTTGTGAGACTGGGAAGAAGGGTACATACCACGCTGGGCTTGAATGTAGGCTCGTACTTGCGCTGTAGAAGCTTTCTCCAGTCAATAGCATGGAAGAAAGGATGCGCCTTGATCTCAGCTGATCCATTGGCACCAAGTCGCTCCTCAGGGTTGCGGTTCAAAAGCTTGGTAAGAAGGTCCTTGGCAGCTGGAGGAACAACATCCGAGAAGTGAAGAGGCTCTGATAAAATCTTGCGGTACATCTCGTTGGTGTTCTCATCGTAGAAAGGTGGCAGACCTGTCAACATCTCATACAGCAAAACACCAAGAGTCCACCAATCGACGGTCTTGTTGTAACCTTGACCCATCAACAACTCTGGAGCAAGATACTCGGGTGTGCCACAGAATGTGTTGGTTCGGTCCTCATCCTTCATATCAAGCTTGCAGAGACCAAAGTCGCAAAGAGCGATATGACCTTGGTAATCCAGAAGAATGTTCTCGGGCTTAAGATCTCTGTAAATGACGCTGAAGCCGTGCAGACATTCCAAAGCGCACAGAAGCTCAGCAGTGTAAAAGCGGGATCGGTTGACGTCAAATCGGTGCTCCTTTTGCAAGTGGTGGAACAGCTCTCCTCCGTTGACAAAGGCGAGAACAAAGTAAAGCTTCTCCGGTGACTGGAAACTGAACTTGAGAGGTACGATAAAAGGGTTGTTGATCTGTGCCAGCACAGATCGCTCAGCGAGTGTATGGGCGACTTCGGATCGTGAAATGATGTGCGCCTTTCGGATTGTCTTGAGGGCGTAAATTCGGTTTGTGTCCTTCTTGCGTACCTGCATGACCTTGCCGAAACTGCCCTTACCGACGACCTTGAGTAGCTCAAAGTCTTCAATCTTGAGCTTACCTGCTCGAGTCTCGACATACTCAACACCAACCTTGATTCTACCAGTTCCATATTGCACATCAACCCACTCGGCGCCTTGGTGACCATTGCGCGCTGCGTGCTCAGCAGCAGCCTTCTCGCGGTCCTTCTTGCTAGCCTTGGGGTCCTCCACGTATTGCTGTCTCTCTTCGAATCGGGGGTTGATGCGGACAACACCAAGGAAAATATCCTGGCTTCGTCCAGATCCGGGTGGCGCATTCGGGTTGCGCATGTACAGATGAATGACGAGCTCTGTCACTCTTGACACATCGAACTTGTACTGGGTGTTTCCACCGGCCCACAGAGGGTTCTCAGGGTTTCCATCGACCGAGTTGACAAAGACCTGGACCTTGTCGAAATCGAGGAGGGCGTATGGCATGTACTTTCCAGAAATTCGGCCGTGGTTGGTGGGGATGCCGTTGAAGCCGCCAGCGGAAGAGTGTGGTCGGTTACTGCCGTTAACAAATGATCCGGCGACACGTTGTGAAGATCCTGGCCGAACAGAACCAGACATGCCAAGAGCGTTGGACGAAGACATCGATCCTTGATGTGACGAGGCAAAAGCACTTCGGTGCTGCTCAGGAAGAGAAAATCCTTGACCTTCGTGGAGGGTAACAACGAGAATACCGGGCTTGGGGGGCTTAACAACAGGGGCCTGTGTCATGGCCTCAGAGGCAGCTGTTCAAGTCAGATACTGACTGTATTCCAGTCCAATTTGCTCACCTATGGCATTTTCCGTTGTAGGCGTAACAGCGCCGCTAGCCTGTCCATCCTTTTCCTTGTCGGTGATGGTTGAAGTAGAGGGGGATCGAGAGAAAGGGCTCAAGGATTGACCCAGATGGGTTTCCTTTAACTCTGATAGATGTTAGTGATGCGACAGATATCGGACATGTATGTAAACTTACTCTTGGTAAGCTTCCAAGACATTGTTGTTGATATCAACGAGGTATTTGATGGTTGGAGTCAAGGATCTATAGCCAACGAGAGTTGCAAGATCGAAGAGTCAAGCAACGAGTGTTCACTGCACGCTGACAAACTCCTGATCAAGCAAGAGGCTGATGGCGTGGCAGAGTGTTCAACAAATGGATGATTTGTAACCCCGCATGCGTGGGAAGCGTAAACCGGCCGCTGTTTGTTTATATGGAAGGATCGCAAGTCGACGAGACGAAAGGAGATTGTGCGCCGACTGGTTGGAAGGGAAAGAGGGTTCAAATTGAACAAAGATGGCAGAGGTTGAATATGAGGAGGAGGCGAAGCACAAGAGCCCGAGACAAGACCAGCCGAGATATGAATGAGGTGGATACGGGGGATGGAAAGAAGGGGATTACTATGACATCCAAGGCCCATTGGGCGACAGCAGAAAGAGTGGATCTTCCCGTGGGCAACCGCACTGTGAGCTAGGGTCGCTGGTAGTGCTGTTCTGGGTGCTGGAAACACAGTGTCTCAGTCTGCGACACAGGAGCTCAGACTGTGGAGATGGTATGGAGTAATCCCGTAAGGTCGATTTCAAGCCACAGCCACGGGCTCTAGCTTTGTTGATCAGCTAGAGAATGAGCCTAGAGCGAGGTCCAGCCAAATAATCCATAACATAAGGGGTAAATGAGAAGGAGAAGCGAGACTAGTTCATAGACAGTGTCATTAATGCCCAAGCAGCTGAGCAGCCGGGAGCCAAAGAGCGTCAATTGGCGTACAGTGTTGATTGATCGTTGATGTGAAGCAACCAACTTGTTGTACAGCCACACTTTTCATCATGTACGAAGACGACGCGTGTCGAGATATCTTGGCTGAGTTATGTGGAGGATCTATAAACAGAATCAGAATATTTTTAGTTTATTCTGCACATAGGTAAATATTTGTCTTAGGGCGGTCGAAACTCATCCTCACATAGCCTAAACGTTTATGAGCTGGAGACATGCAAGTGATGCTGTAATAAGACGGTACAGCGTATCAACAATTGACCTCACTCAGACGACTCAACCACGGAAATCAGTTAAGGAGAAAAAGTGTACAAAGATATTATGTAGAAACAACTCCATTCATGTCGGCAAGCACCCAATACTCAACATCATGATATTTTATTCAGTTCTGTGACTATCTCAATCAACTACCCTACAACCCCCTTTTCTGGAGTATCCCTGATAAGAAGGGATAAGGAGGTGGAGCCTGACACTTCAGGCCAACACCACACCCATGGCCAGCCTGGCAAGAGACGCAGGACACATTTTGGGGAGCTCCAAATCGATATACACGAGCTTAAGCTTGATCAATTCAAACACACGATTGATGATTAGCGGTTGACCCTCTTCTTTTTTGTTAAATCCTCCCCCAAACTCTGTGCACTTGCGACCGCTGTCATCCTGCATGGTAGCCTCCTTCAGGGATTCTTAACTTCAACCCCACTACCTCGATATCACCGCCCTTGCTGGACAGCTTGCAACTTCAACTGCGCAACGCGACAGCGACGACACACGACAAGATGAAGTTAGACGTCAAGGTCAGTTTGGTAACTTGCTGCAGTGCGCCCGATGATTAGCATCATGCTATTTCTTGAGCGAGCGCACTGATATCTGCGGCGGCAGCTTGACTTCTGCGATCTGAGCTGACACGTTTCGCAATACAGCGCCAGCTCTACGCTCGCAGTGAGCGAGTCAAGGGCATTGACTTTCATCCTCACGAGCCATGGATTCTCACAACCCTCTACAGCGGTATGTTCGTGTTGCTGCTCGAAATCCAATGCTGACAGTATAGGCCACGTCTACATCTGGTCCCACGAAACCCAACAGATCGTCAAGACCTTTGAGCTCACCGATGTCCCCGTTCGCGCCGGTCGATTCATCGCCAGGAAAAACTGGATTGTCTGCGGTTCCGATGATTTCCAACTACGAGTCTACAACTACAACACCTCCGAGAAGATCACCTCTTTCGAGGCGCACCCCGACTACATTCGAGCTATCGCCGTTCACCCCACACAGCCGTTCGTCTTGACTGCCTCCGATGACATGACCATCAAGCTTTGGGATTGGGAGAAGGGTTGGAAGTGTGTGCAGGTCTTTGAGGGTCATGGTCATTATGTCATGGGTTTGGCCATTAACCCCAAGGATACAAACACCTTTGCTTCGGCTTGTCTTGATCGAACTGTCAAGATCTGGAGTCTTGGTTCTTCTACTCCCAACTTCACCCTCGAGGCTCATGAGACCAAGGGTGTTAACCACGTCGATTACTACCCTCACTCCGACAAGCCTTACCTCCTCACCACATCTGACGACCGAACTGTCAAGATTTGGGATTACACCACAAAGTCCCTGATCGCTACTCTTGAAGGCCACACCAACAACGTTTCGTTTGCCTGCTATCACCCCGAATTGCCTGTCATCATTTCCGGTTCCGAGGACGGTACGATAAGAATATGGCACGCCAACACCTACCGATTCGAGCAATCCCTCAACTATAGTCTGGAGCGAGCTTGGTGTGTCTCGTATCAAAAGGGCAAGCAGGGTGTCGCTGTTGGTTTCGACGATGGTGCTGTTGTTGTCAAGCTTGGTCGTGAGGAGCCTGCTGTATCCATGGATGCATCCGGCAAGCTCATCTGGGCCCGACATAACGAGGTTGTCTCTTCAATCATCAAGGGAGGAGGTATGTACCCAGATGCACTGAGGCTGGACAACGCTAACAAGACAGATGCCTCTATCAAGGACAACGAACCGATCTCCCTCCCCACCAAGGATCTTGGCACCTGCGAAGTCTATCCCCAAACACTTATCCACTCTCCCAACGGTCGATTTGTCGCTGTCTGCGGTGATGGCGAATACATCATCTACACTGCCCTCGCCTGGCGAAACAAGGCTTTCGGTTCGGCGCTTGACTTTGTCTGGGCTTCCAAAGAGAACAGCAATGACTTTGCTATCCGAGAGTCAGCCATGAGCGTCAAGATCTTCAAGAACTTTGTCGAGAAGAGCGGCGGCCTTGATGTTGGATTCCAAGCTGAGAGACTCCATGGCGGTGTTCTTCTCGGTGTTACAGGACAAGGTGGTGTCTCTTTCTTCGATTGGGCTACTGGTGGTCTTGTTCGAAGAATCGAGGTTGAGCCTAAGCAGGTCTACTGGTCCGATAGCGGAGAGCTTGTGGCAATTGCTTGTGAGGATACCTTTTACGTTCTGCGATTCTCTCGCGAGAACTATGTTGAGGCTGTCCAATCCGGACAAGTTGAGGAGGATGGTGTTGAGGCTGCCTTTGAGGTCATCACTGACATTAGCGAGTCGTATGTTCCCCGTTCCCCCTTCATCTGCCCTGCTAACGATATAGTGTCCGAACTGGCGAATGGATCGGTGACTGCTTCATCTACACCAACAGCACCAACCGACTCAACTACCTCGTCGGCGACCAGACCTACACCATCTCCCACTTCGACAAGCCCCAGTACATCCTGGGCTACATTCAGCGCGATTCTCGAATTTACCTTGCCGACAAGGATGTCAACGTCACTTCTTTCGGTCTGTCTCTCCCCGTTCTTGAGTACCAGACTCTTGTCCTCCGAGAGGATATGGAGACAGCTGCTGAGCTGTTACCAACAATTCCCCATGATCAACTCAACAAGATTGCGCGATTCTTGGAAGGTCAAGGCCACAAGGAGCTTGCGTTGGAGGTTGCGACAGATCCTGAGCATAAGTTTGAGCTTGCTTTGGCATTGAATGAACTTGCCATTGCGCTGGACCTTGCTCGTGAGGCTGATGCTGATCACAAGTGGAAGACTGTTGGTGATGCTGCTCTATCAGCTTGGGATGTCGCCCTCGCTGCTGAGTGCTTCACCCACGCCAAGGATCTCGGATCTCTTTTGCTTCTCCACTCATCAACAGGCGACCGCGATGGCCTCGCTGCCCTCGCCGCCCAAGCACAAGAAGCCGGCTCCCACAACGTCGCCTTCTCATGCCAATGGCTTCTCGGCAACATCGAGGCCTGCACAAAGATCCTCACCGAAACAGGCCGTCTCGCCGAAGCAGTCCTCTTCTCTCAAACCTACCAACCCAGCCTGACTGTACCGGTAGTAAACGAGTGGAAGGAGAACTTGGAGAAGAACAAGAAGGCCAGGGTGGCCAAGTTGATTGGTGTGCCCGGTGAGGACGACGACCTCTTCCCTGAGTGGGATGAGTGGCTCAAGCTCGAGAAGGAGGGTGGCGTGAGTGTGGCAGAGCCCGTTAATGGACAGAAGGCTGAGAGTGAGCCGGAAGCTGAGGATGAGGAGAGTGAGGAGGATGAGGAGTAGAATGTGATATGTGCTTTTTATGCTTAGATGGCTGGTGTAGAAAAGGTTTGGTCATTTCGTCAGGGTTGCTATGGCATCAATGAGTATAATGAAAAGAAACATGGCAGTTATTTGTGATGTGTGATGAAGTCGTGAGGTTACTGCTGTGAGGTCTTGTGGCATTGATTACAGGGCTGTATTGATGGACGGGGGTTCAGACGTGTATTTGTGAGGTGGCTTTATTGAGGCAAGCCTCAACTGGACCCCGAAATGGCGTTCAGCTCAGTGGTCAAGCTTGATGTCAGGGCCTGATGCTTGGTTGAGGCTGTACAAGCTGAAGATGAGGCTGAGAGATGCCAGTGTTACTGTGCCGTAGACTTGCAGCTTCAACCACTTCGTGTAAGTCAACCGACATTTACAAACTCCAAAGAATGAATGACCTCGCGATCGTTTTATTTAATCCCCATCACCAAATCATCGCAATCTCGCGAACACCACTAACATAATCCACCAAAAAGAATGATAACTGACTGCTCACCCCCACCACCAGCTCTCCTCAACCCCAAGCCTCCTAATACTGCCAAACCTTCGAACTCCCCCCAGGACACCCAGGCGTTCCATACACACCACCCACAATCCAAAGAATCATATCAACGAACGACCAGAGTCCCAAACCCCCAACCGTGAGTAGTTTGAACACGGCGAGAGGCCAGTGATGAGCGTAGAATTGATCAACACCGAGAGTTCCGAAGAGGAGGGAGAGAATCATGGCGGTGCGTTCTTGGCGGTAGCATTTCTCTGTGAGGGGACGCTCGGAGAAACCGCCCCAGCTTCGGGTGTGGAGGGAGGGTTGTTCTGAGGGTGTTAGTAGATGCTAAGAAGTGGAGGAGAGGGCAGAGAGAGGTGAATGGGAGAAGAGGAAACGAACCGTCGTGAAAGTAGAGAAGAGCGCTACCGATTGAGATGATGAAGACGTAGCTTAGCATGATGACCTTCCATTTGCGAGTTACGAAGGAGATGCCGTTTGTCAAGCCGCGGCCGAGCTTGTCGGCGATGGTGAGTTTCGCGTCCATGGTTGAAGTTGTAAGGTGAGAGAACCAGATCGAGCAGAGAGAGGGACGGTATCGTCTTTATGAATGATGAAAGAGACAGGCCAGCTGATATTTGAGCTTTGAGGAGGGAGCTCTTTGTGACAGGTCTTGATATTCTTTGTCCATCCCGTATCGCGGCGTTTGGTGGGAGTGAATAAGTGTCTTGGCGTTGAGGGCACGGATGACAGTGAAAGCGATAGACTGTGTGAACGCTTTGCTACTTGTTTGTTAGTATGTATTGTTTGACACACAGTGAGTTGAGTGTTGATGAGTCAAAGTAGTCAAACAAAGAATGACAATCGTGGGAATAAGCTTGGACTATAGTGAGACCAAACCAATGGATGTGGCGTTACACTCAAACGGTTGGTTGATGGACATAGATTAGACTGGATGTTATGACTATATTGAGACGACCATGTTTAATGATGCTTATGATTACATTCAGATGAGGTGTTTGAAAGAGACATGTCTTGTATTAAAAACAGATAAACTTAAATCTCATAGATGAACAACCAACTCTTGTCGAAGGACTCTTACAGAGCAGCGACAACGACACCGGCAACAGCAGCAGCAGCGTAGATGAAACCACCCTCACGAGCAGCACCGTTGGTCTCAACAGCAGCAGCAGAAGAGGTAGGAGTAGAAGCCTCACTCTCAGCAGAAGTCTCCTCCCCAGCAGCAGCAGTGGTCTTGTCACCAGAAGCAGCGTTAGTCTTCTCAGGCTTCTCAGCAGTGGTAGTAGCATCCTCAGAACCACCCTTTCCACCAAGAGCAGCAGTAGCGCAAACAGGAACAGCAGTAGCATACTGGCTCAGCTCAGGGCACTCAGACAGCGCACTCTTGATTTCGCCCTCGTTCTTGCTGTACCATGACAGAATCTGGGAGCTGTAGCTGGCGTAGTCCTTGGAGAGAGAGGCAGGGGTGCTGAAGGAGCAGGGGTCCGTTTGGGGGTTTTCGGTCAGGTCGGAGACGATGGCGGGAGGAGGGGTGGGGAGAGTCTTGTAGACGTCGAGGATGGCGGTCTGGCATTCTTCTGTGATACCACCGACGGCTGGGGCGGTTGCGCGGGGAGCGAGGAGATCGCGCTTCATGAGCGGGTGGGCCATGAAGTTGGCGCTGACGGCGGTGGCCAGGAGGGAGGTGAGGATGATGGACTGCATTTTGAAGATGTCTGAGGTTGAGATAGACTGGAGATGGACTGAAGATGAAGTGGTGATGAAGATGAAGAAGGGAGAGACAGGCAACGCAGAGGGATCAAGCCATCCTTTAATAGTTTATATTCCCCAGTAAATGACCTCTCTAGTACCGTAGCTAGTGTGTCTTCATTTCCACTCACCGCCCGAAGGATTCACCATGTGTCGCCAAATTGCGATATTAGTTATGGTCCATGTGCCGTGATCCAGTCATGAATCAGCCCTACAGCACACTCAGGGGTAACGTTCAGTCAAAGCCTTAGCTGAAAAATAGCGTACGCATTGACCAATTAGATTCACTCAACCTCGTTATGGTGTAGGCAGATTCTGGGGCTGAAGGCTTGGCGTGCGTTTGGTGTGGAGAGTGTTTACATCAAGCTGAGTCTGAGCGTCGATGAAGCGATTGCCGTGGAATGTAGTATTCGTATTGAACGCGAAAGAACGCTGTATAGAGTTAAACTCTGAGAATAGACTTTGAGGGAGAGAGCTGACAGAGGGATTGACAGATGACAGAGAGTGCCTTGTCAAATGACCAATGTAAACAAGCTTCCGCTAAATTAAGCATCACGTTCGTGGCTTGAATGGCTTGCCCCTGAAATTAACACGACTACGTAAATTAATCACAACGCTCTAAACCTCAGCTAAGAATCGGCATAATTCCTTCCGAGCATTTGCCATCAGAACTGATGTCAATATTGTAGATCAATGGACATCGGGGGTTTACTCGGGACTAATATTACATCCTTCTCGTCATCCTCCACCAAGTCTCCATATACACATCCAATTAAGTACATATCAGATACTTCAATACACAGGCTAATTGCACGTCCCAAAATCTCCCTGGCATCCAGTCCCACAGTGATCACTCGTACTCCCACACCATCCCGCCCTCGAACAACATCCCCATCCACTCTCCGTACACCTCGCCCCCCCATGGGCAGCTCCACATCTCCCCGGCGCCGCTGGCTCAGGCGTATCTCTACACGTCCCGAAGACAGGCTGACAACCTCTCCCGCAGTGATCAGTTGTTCCGCCGCACCAGCCGTTCTGCGAACAGCATGTCTCGCCGTTGGGTTCCCCGCGACATGTTGCGCCGCCGTGTCGTGAGCCGCAGTGACCGTTTGTGGTGGCGGGGAATGTGGGCGATGATGAGGAGGATGTTGTGGGGGAGGAAGAAGACGAAACGGTGCGGTACCAGTTTGACGGGGGGTCTTGCAGGCATTGGCCTACTGTTACGGCGGTGAAGTTGTTGTGGCGGATGGAGCGGAGCATGTATTCTGTTAGGTTGTAAACAGTCTGATACACGGGATCATGCTCGATGTGAAGCCATTTGTTCGTCGCCGGACTTCTACCCTCGACGGTATTATCCCATGTTTGTTTAGATGTACTTATCATATTCGGACTATCGTGCAGATATCCTTCTGTATCCAGATTAAAGTACGCGACATGATATCCCAGCTCATTCAACCATGCATCAGTCGTAGAATTACTGGCAGAGTAGGGAGGACGCATGTAAGTGGGAAAATAACCGAGAATATCAGCAAAGGCAATTTCGTTGTAAACCATCTGGTTCCAGAACTTAGAGCGGCTCAAGGTTGTGAGACGTTGATGAGACCATGTGTGACTGGCGACTTGGTGACCGTCGCGAACCATGCGGCGGATGAGCCCTGGCCATGGTGTATCGGGGTCGTTGATAGCGCCTTTTCCGAGGTTGCGACCGGTGATGTAGAATGTTGCTTTAGCATTGTAGCGCTATAATTATTAGAGAGATTAAACAAGTGAGGAGGTGACGTACCTGGAGAAGATCGAGAAGATCTTCGGTGTAAGTATACGGTCCATCATCGTACGTCAATGCAATGTCGCCGTTGCGGTTACACCGATAAATAGCTTGACCATACGGAATACTTCCGACTTTCGGACGAGCAACGCTTGTTGTATCAGGGCCATTTGGACGAACGTTTGCGTCGCAGCCAGGCCCATACTCGATCTGACACGAGGGAGCAGAGCAGTAAAGATATCCAGTTCCGCACCATCTTTGAAGGTCAGTACGCAATTGAAGAAGGGGTTGAGTGACTCACCCAGCGCTGGAACAGCATTCATTTCGTCCGCAGACTGTTCCAAACCCCGTTCCACATCGTCCAGCTTGTCGTTTCTCAAGAGCACGGCTGAACATTGTATTCCACGGAGAGGCGATGACGGAACTCGCCAGAAAGGCGAGGAGGAGAGTAATTGACTTCATAATGAGGGTTAAACGAATGACTGTAACGAACGGATGCCTTCTAGGCCATTTCATGATCCAGCATTGAATGACAGAGACATATCTTATATACCCATTTCATCGGTATACTGCTCGACAGAATGACGTCTTGAGGTCCGCGAGTTTGAGGCGTATGTCATCTTAACTTTGGTGTAGCACAACATGAAATGCCACTGCTAAAAAGATTGAGATCGGCTGATGAGACCAATATATTAACAGATATTTTTGAGGCCCTTCAATATCGCAAGCCACAAAGAAAGGATCATCCTTGATGTTAGCTTTAAATAACAACAGTTTGGGTGTCCTTGGGGGAAATCTCGTACTCTTAGATGAGAACCTTATCAACACGTGTCACAATGGCTTACGAACCACATGCTGTGCGAGAAACGGTATCTTCGGAGGTTTTTTGTATGCAGAGAATACGAGATAGCCTGTTGATGCGACCGTTGATCTGTGGAAGGGATTGGTTGAGAGGGGACATCTTGATGACATGTAGACGATAATGATGCGATAAATATGAACTGGGGAGATGGTAGACTGGAAGAAATGCTCCGAGGGCGAGAGATGGGTTGAGGGATTGGGGTTGGACAAAGTAGGCGAGAGGATAAGCTTGTTCCTTGCAGTGTGATGAGATGAGATGAGATGTCTTGCAGCGGGACGACATTCTCGAGGGGGATGATTGGTGATCACCTCAGAGATGCAGGTACGTGTTGGATATCACAAGAATTGATCAGTTCTTGGCCTTTTCAGCTGAGAAGAATCTGACAGGCATAGATGGACTTGCGGTCAAGGGTCAGGGATTGAATGATTGCTGGTGGTCAATTGTGTTTGAGTCTGTTTCTGTTGACGTCAAATGCAGCTTCGGCCGCTTCAATCAGAAGATGAGAGGAACCTGGGTTTGGTATCCAGCACTGACGATCTCTGGGTTTCGAGATGGATGCAGGCGGTTCGGAAGGGTCTAATTGGGCATAACAATTGACCAATTCATGCAATCATGCATAACAACCTCAATTGGGCCTGCAAAAAGTATACGAAGAGAACCCGACTTCACAGAACATCTAATAATCTTTGATCAATATTGATCAATTCACGACATGTTCACGGAGGACCAGAAAATTAAACAAATAGCCCCAGGCCAGATCAATTACCATATTACGACGTTATATACAACTTTTAAATACTTTTGTCTTTTCTAAGCAGAGGCGGAAGTGCGCTCAGCAGCCTCACCAGGCTTCTCATCCTCAACCAAGTTCTGCTGATCGGTGAGCTTGGGGTTACGCAAGCACAGCGAGAAAGCGATAAGAGGAACACAAAGACAAATACCAGTGATTGTAAGCAGGCGCTGAACGTGCTTGTACGCATCAATCATGGCATCGCGCTCATCAGAACCAACAGGGAAGTCGAGAATGGCAGAGAGAGGCTGGGAATAAGCATACACCGCGAGGGTCTCGTTTCCAAAGCTGGAGAAACTCTGGGCAAGTCGCACAGGAAGAACTTGGGTCCAGATGGCACCGGAGACGGCGTTTCCAAAGGCCGAGCCAACCTGGTACAGCGCGAGGTACAGGCCTGTCATGACGGCGAGTCGCTCGTGGGTAACGTAGGCTTGGAGCGAGGCTTGCGCGGGGTATGGGAACATACCACCAGCGATACCGAGGAGGATTTGTGCACCAATTACACCAGATTTGTTATCGGAGCTGGGATCGCCGCGGTATCGGATGAGAAGACCGAATGCGACGAGGAAAAGACATGTTCCTGATACGATGAAGACTTTGAAGCGGCGCACTTTGTACACGATAAGACCGAGAATTGTGCCGGTGATGACACTCGCGAAGGAGTAGAGCGATTGAACTCGTGTAGCGGCCTTGATGCTGAAGTTGAAGGAGACTTGGAGAACGGTGTAGAGATAGTCGCCCTGCATTGTCCAGGCAAAGTTGAGCATGCATGCGATTCCCATGGGAGCCCAGACGGAGCGGTCTTTCATGTGGTGGAAGGGCACCAGGGGGTGAGGAGCGCGGAGTTCCCAGATGACGAAGACGGGAATGCAGACGAAGCCGATGACGAGGGGGGCTACGACTTGAGGGTCTGACCATTTGCTCTCGAAACCTCCTGCGATGGTGAGAGGGACGAGAAGAAGGGCGAAGACGGCGATGAGGAGGATTACGCCGATGATGTCGAGAAGCCAGAATAGTTCAACGGTGAAACTCTTGAGACCGAGCTGTTGGAATGAAGAGCGGTAGCCGACGAGATGGCCTTGCTTCTTTGCGCGATGGCCAACGACAAGAAGGCTGATGATGAGAGGGAGCGCGCAGACGGGGTAGATGATACACCACATGCCGATTCCCCATCGCCAAGTCGTGACTCCAAGTACTGCCTCTGTGATATCGCCACTGACCCAAGTATTGATGATGAAGGGTAGAGCGGGGATGTAACTAAAGAACAGGCGCGATCGCACAGACGTAATATCTCCAATGATGACCTCAACCAGCAGAATAACCATAGTATACCCAATCTGGTAAATAACAGCACCAGCAGAATACGTATCGAGATTCTGCGCCGCAGCCTCAATAACAGTTCCGATAGTATAAAAAAACACAGAAATGCAGATAAGTTCCACACGACCGAAAACATCTGCGATTTTTCCAGCAGTAGGTTGAGCAGCTGCTGCGATGACCGCGCGGAGGGTATTAACGGAGGATTGGAGGGAGTGCTCCTCGAAGCTGTTGAGCGCGGAGGGCTGGTAGGCGTAGCGCACGGTGCCGTCGAGACCGTAGGCGTAGGCGATGAGGAAGACGCCAAAGAAGATGAAGATGCGGTCGGTGAGGGTGATCACCTCGGACATGGCTTTGATGCGCTGGACACCGGGGGATGTTATGTCCCGGACGGCGTCGGCGGCTGAAGAGGGGACTTCATGGCCGTGGTCGTTGTCGGGGGTTTTCTCTGGGGAAGACATGATGCCTCAGTAGATTGTTGATCTCATGCAGAGAATGCACAGAGGGGAGATCATGGGGGGAGATGGGTGGTTTATAGGATTCAGAGAGAGATCCACTCAGATTGATTAGATAACTTTAACGTGCTGGGCTCCTACCGAGTGAAGACTTTTCGGAGGATCTGATAGGGAGGGGCGTCATGCGAGTTTGTGAGCCACTGATGCGCTATATTAGTGTCGTCCGTAGGGTGCAGGACGTGGATTTTTGGCGATGATGATGGTGGCGGATGATGATGTCGACTCAGAAGCACTCAACTATATATATCTTAATGCCAGTGTTACTGCCTTTGAGAGCATCGTGAGGTACACCCGTGTCAAGTGAGTTTTTGATCTTTCAACACAATAAACTTTCGTATAAACACAGAGTTCAAATTGATTAGCGACTCTTCTATCTTGGCGTTAGTCAAGTCAGCCGAGGATGAATAAAATCCACTGATCCACAGACATATTTCCCTCTGTCATATCCTCCAAGCACCACGGAGGACAAGGATGTTAAACAGCTGCCTGCGGTTTCGCCGATGCATCCCCCAAAAGGTAGGGATCTTCAACTCTCGGAGCTGTCCGCCCATCTCAAAATGCAACGTCGCTCTGATCCACAAATTCCTTCTACGAATGAAGGGTTAAAAATCTGATAGTGCACCGGATGACGCGGATATAAACCGCAACGGGTTAAGGGACTGATTGATAACATGCCACTTGAGAATCCGTCTCTTGGCTTGGTCCAATGGTGAGAGGTTCTGCGGCTTGGTGGACGGATGAGTTCCTCTTTGGGCTATCATTCCACATCGTCGGGTCCCGAAAGCCTTGGCGGATATAAAATTTTTTTGATGGAATATCCACAAAGTTTGGTCTAGAAGGGATCTAGGGAACGGGCTATCGGATATTAGGAGGTTTGGACACGCGACTTTGTGTCAAGAAGAGCCGCAGATGAGGGTAAATCGCCGGCCGAGGATTGGAAGAGAAACGTGGGATGAAGAGACAATGTGTCAGTGGGATCGATCTGAACGTCTCATTGCGATTACTGTGGCATTGAATGTGCATCAACCCACTTGGCCGTCGATCTCAGATGCATGGCTACCTTTACATCCACTTGATGCTTCGATTTATTGTTCTTGCGACATCGGATGATGTCGGTTCCTCGGTTAAGCTAGTCTTGGACGTTGGGTAATGCGTTTCTTGGCATGAAGCATTGGGCTTTTTTAATTCAAGCCACTAGACACAGTCTCAGGTTAAAGCATTCCAGCAGGCCTTTTAGTGTGGGTTCATTGTCTAATCTTATCTGATCCATCAATCATGTTCGCCGATCGCTATTGAGTTTATGCGACGCGTCTTGGCCGCAGAGCTATTGGCTTGGCTCAATTTTTTTGGGAAAAAAAAAATCTGTCTAGCTTGCCACAAGCTAAATTCTCTTTGGAAACAGTGAGATCTTTGTGGCTTTGGCAAAGTTGTGTCAAGGATAGGTTTCTCATTTGTGTGTGATACTGTCCTACGGCAATCATAAACTGCCAAATCCAAGCAAAATGTGGTATTTGACACTGTGCGCTGTTGTCAACTAGAATGCCAAACATCACAAGAGATACCGATAGAGATAAATTGTGTGCAAATTGACACATCTTGGGTTTAAAATCACGTGAGATAAATCTTTATCATAGAAACAAAAACAGCTAGCATGCCCACCAACAAGTCCGTCAGAACAAACCATGAACTGGCTTCCTCTCAATCACTGATATTTAGCAATGAGTTGCTTCCTTCTGTTGTTGCCCAGTAAGCAGGCCGCATCCAACATATGAGATTGCATCCGCCCCTACTTTGCGATGTTCGATTCCTCTCCACGAAAAACATCGTGTCAAGCTTGAAAACGAGCCATGCTTCTGCCTAGACAGCAACCAGTTCGTGCCACCAACAAGATTGAGATTGCATTTGTGATAGATTGAAGGAAGAGATTGCCTGAGAAACATGAAATACACTGATAAGAGTGTTGAGAGCAAGAGAAATCAGCAAATATCATCCAACTGACAAGCCTGCTTGAAATGAAGCTTTCAGATCAATCACCAACATCTACAGCATGGACTTTGCTGTTTCCCGATGATGAAAAGCGATTAGACAACAGAACCATCAAATGTAAATCTGTCCCTTGCTTCCTCTGCTTCCTCTGCTTCCTCTCTGCTTGACAGGGTTGTGCTTGCATTCCTTTGCCATAACGTAGCGTAATCCTTTTGTCAAGAAAAACAATCTGAGAAGTTGCAGCCTTATGTGTAACCCAGAATCTCTATATAAAGCCTCTCTTCGCAGGGCAGATTTGCTCATCTCTCGTCAACCTCACCAACTACGATCCCACTTTGCCCATCGTTAGTCAGCCTTACACCAGATGGCGTCTCCTAATGAAATATCAGGGCTCTCTCCGCCTCTCCATCAACCACTCAACAAGGATCAACGCGAGATACGTCTTGAGATCCTCCCTAACTCTCCTGACGGCAAAGTTAACTGCAAACTGCACACCGTCCTTCTTACTCCAGATCTTTACTACGCTTGTATCTCTTATGTTTGGGGTGACCCGTCTATCACTGAAGAGATCATTGTGGACGGCGTTCCTCGACAAGTCACCGTTACTCTTGCTACTGCACTTCGACACCTGAAGAAGCATTGGACTGAGATCGAAAGCAAGTCAGATCCTGAGCTTGATACTTCCAAGTTCCGCTTGTGGGCTGATGCGCTTTGTATCAATCAAGATGATCTCACCGAGAGACTGCATCAAGTCAGCATGATGGCGGATATCTACTCTTCAGCCGCAATGGTCCTGGCTTGGCTTTCTTCAAACGACGAAGATGTTGCTAAAGCGTTCGATGCTTTTGAACGGATAGTCCACATCACCGAAGGAAACGTGGGACCGATCAACTCTACCGGTCTTGCAGAAATAGAACTTTTTAGGCTTTGTTTTGACGGGATTTCTTGGGAGCCTAACCAGTTGGACTGGCTCTTTCCACATGACTCTACTCTTTTTACTATTTTTGATACAGAAAGCAATAATCTTCTCGACGGACCTTATGGAGCCGTATTCAACTTCTGTCAACTCAAGTTTTGAAACAGAGTGTGGATTCATCAGGAGGTCATCCTTGCAAAGAGGCTGTACTTCCTATCCCCATCTCGCTTTCTACAGCATTCGTCATGTGTCGTGGCATTACTCGGAGTCGATAAATACATGCAACAAATCATTGACACGATCCAGGAGTCTGCATAGCGGTTCAAAATTAGAGGGCTAAAGTTAGCTTTCTCCAGAATCTGTTACCTCTTCTTCACGCCCTTTCTGTCTCAAGAAATCGTCGATGCCGATAGAATATCCGTGTATGGTATGTGGCTTTGAACTTGTACTTCTCACTAGAATCTGAGGCTTCTAATGATTTGGAACATGTCTATGGCCTCTTGGCTGTGACCAAGTCGCCGATCACACCCGACTATACCAAGTCCATTCGTGAGGTGAATCTAGAGTTCATGGCGTGGGCTTTGTCTTGTTTGAAATTAGTACACAAGGAGGCAAGGGAGCAGAATTGGGAGGCCAAATTCAAAGACGAATGGCGTTATAGAATCCCCAACTTCTTGAACGGTCGTTCTGTTGGTCTCAAACGTCTTTACGATCTACCAACGCTCCTGTGTTTTCAAAGGCCGGCAGACGAAAGCGATTTAGAACAGACACTGCGAGTTGTCGTTGCGCACATAGAACAGTACCTGAGCTATTCAACTATCTACCTATAGAGATTGTCGGCGATAGCTTATGGGTCAAAGGAATCAAGGCCCAGCTTGTAAAGACTGTTTACGACGAACCTGTTTCTGTCGATCTCGTGATAACCGGTTTATAAAAATGCATCATGACTTTTACACAGTCACCACAGGATATGTATCCCACCGGCAAAAGCGTATTGGAGGTACTGTGCTGTACTCTGCTACGAAAAGAAGTATATGAAAACTATGCTTTCAACATAGGTCTTTGCGTGGGCTGTTGGTTACACCCCGAAGGTCCAACTCGAGAGAGCGAATGGAGGAGGCAATGGTTTCAGAAACCCTACGTAGTCGCGGTACTATCCGAGTGGGTGTTCAAGGGAAAACTTTTTGAAGGCAACAAGCTATTCACAACCGAGGATGGCTATATCGGCACGATGTCAGACGATGTGCTCCCTGGAGATGTGGTCTGTGTTCTTGCAGGCTCTAACGAGCTTGCAGTCCTCCGCCCTGAGGATGACCACTACCTTTTTGTTGGGTGTTGCTTTATGATAGGCCTGATGAGTGGCGAGGTCTCCGAGTTTCTGGTGTCAGGGAGAGCCAAGATTGAGACCATTGAAATCCGATAATCGTGGATGTTTTGAGATTTCATAGCAGTTTAGACAGATGAATAACAAGCTCTTTCTTCCAGAGGCTATTGAATTGTGACAGACAGATTTCAGGTTATATACAATAAAAATATTTACAAAAGACGAAAAGACTAGCCAGCTAATCTGCACTGCAGGCAGTTTAGTTGACAGAGAGGCTGTAGGCAGAGGTGGAGAAGACACAGTTGGAACCTGACAAGTTAGCTTCAGAACAACCACATAAAAGACACAACTTACCGACGAAAGGTTCAGTACCGGCCTGGAAGCTAGTAGCAACATAGCTGCTAGGAACTCCCTGGCTCTTGGTAAGGTATGTAAGGAAAGGAAGAAGATCGCCTTTGAAGTTGCCCTGGTTCTTGGTAGCAACGAAAGAGTAAACAGTAGTATCACCGTTAGGTCCTCGGAAGAGCTTCCACTGAGCACCGTTGATGGTGAGCGTCGCAATGGGAGTAGATCCAGAGTCGGAGATAGGGCCAGCGCCGCCATAGCTTCCAACCCAGATCATGATCTCGTACTTGTTAGCGGCACCGACGGAGGGAGCAAGCCAGAGATCGTAGGATACATCGGAAACCATGTTGGTTCCGCTGTAGCGCCATGTCCACTTTGTAGGAATGGACTTGATAGCTGAGACTTTCTTGTTGATGTTCTCGAGAGCGACGTTGGAGTAGCTCTTGACGTGGATGTTTCCACCGGCCCAGCTCCATTTAGTAGACCACGAGAATGATCCGCTCTTGTAAGAGTTGAAGGTAGTGCATTGAGAACCAGACGTAGCTTGGCCGCTTCCCCAGTTGTTGTGGTAAACGGTGTATCCGGCAGTTTGGAGGGACCCGAAAGCATCACACCAGGTGGTAGCTCGTTTATCAAGGGTCTTTGAAGGTGTAGTAGGCGTAGCTGAAACAACAGCCAAAAGGGCAGAAATAGCAGTGAAGAACTTCATGGTGAAAGGAATGTGAAACTGTAGGGCTGAATGAATGAACTGTAGATAAAGTGAGGAGTAGACAGAGCCTTGGCGGCTTCTTTATAATGTTTCTCAAAAAAAGTATCCGTGCTTCGGAGATTGGCTGCGTGTTTGACCTGAAACTCCTATTCGGACGACATGATCATATCTGGTAAGTTATAGTCCCACTGAGTGCCGACTACCGACTGACCTAGTCAAAAGTTCCACCAATCACGACTCAAGACTAATTCTCCCAGCAATAGAAGTCAAGCCGCGTATTCTAGAATAACCATCTCGTATACAAGGATAAGAACGATTGGATCAGAGCTGTGTTGAATTAAGTAAGTTTCGGAGATTCGGAGCATGCACGAATATTTCCTTTTTTATGTAGAAATCTTGGACCACTATTGCCGCCTTGTTCTTCCGCTTACTTTCCTTCTCTATTCGTTGGAGCTGATATCTATATGATTTATGTCCCTGCCAGTCTGTACTTAGCTAAGACATATGCCAGCTTTTCTCTATATTCTAAACCCCAGGCTTCACAACACGCCGAGTTCAAGACCAATACAATACGGACCGCCAGCCCCGAACCAAACGACCATCTTCCATGCTCCCAGTAAATTGAGGCAGAATTCCCTCTATATCACCAACTTCTAAAGTTCAATTCCAGCTCCGGACAACTTTTTGCAACGTGACATGGAAGAACTTAATGATAAGCTGCACTGACCTGTTACCTATTGTAGATTCCTCACCCTTATCAAACCTCTGCCCTCTACTGTTGATTCTCTTTACCGATGGACTATCTGGATTCATCCCGTCACAGGTAACCAGAGGAGCGGAATTTGGTTGGCATCCTGTCAAGGTTGCAAGGGAGGGTGATTGGTTTTGCAAATCACGCCTGTTATTCGTAGTAAAGGTGCCGTGCAAGTTAGTATCAAGATATCGAGAAGGTAGGTAGGTCCTAGATTCAATGACAATTAATTCCTGCCCTTCATCAGAGGTGGCTATCTTCTAGGGTTATATGCCTGCTAGCTCGCAGATGCCTCGCTGAAATGCCGATCCAAGCTACAGAACCTTGATTGCGCCTCTTTACCTAAAAGCGGGGTAATTACAAAAGGAGTCTTTCTTATCTTATTCTTTGATTTCGGACGCATATTATACTATAAATCTGCCTCTTTTAACTGCCTCTAGACTGGGAAATTAGGTATAATATTTAAATCAAGGATATAAAGCTGGATTATAGTTATTTACTTTACTTTAAGTTTTTAAATATATCAAAGTTAAATTAAATCTCTAAATGAATTTTTAGTATTTAGTTTTTAAGTAGAAACTGATATATAATACTGATCTATAACTATTCAGTCTATGAAAATCTTCTAATAATCTCTCTCCTTTACTTATCAAGCTCTACAACAACCTTAGAGTTGCTTACACCCTTTCCTAGGATATCCAAAGCAGAGTTAACTGCCTCCAACCCGCCACTAATCCTTTCGATCTGCGTCGGCACGAGTTTGTCACTTGCAATGCCTTTAGCAAAGAATGTACGGAAAGCCCATCTAATCCAGTGCTCATTGCCCTCCTTATACAGAACAAATGGCCATGAAGTATAGTGGCGGACCACACCTTGGGGCAGTGTCTCCGGGCCAAATGGGGGCAGAGTTGCGTAGACTGTACCACCGCCCTGGGCGGCTAGGACATCGGCAAGCACGCTGACAGTGTTGGGATAGGAGATGGTATCAACGACGATATCGTATGGACCCTCGGCAATGAAGGCCTTGATAAGGGCTTCGCGATCCTGACTGTGGTCGATGATCTTGTCGGCGCCTAGCGTTTCGACAAAGGCCTTGTGTTTGGGCGAGGTTGTGGTGACCACGCTGTAGCCTGCCCGACGGACATACTGTACAGCCAAGCTACCCAGGTTGGAAGTCCCTCCGTAGATGAGGATCTTCTTGCCATTAGAGGCTACTTCGTTCTCGATATCTGGCTTCGGCACACCGGCTGTGGCGCTAAGCATGCCGACGACGGTCGTCAGGTTCCCGTTCATGCTCACAGGGACAGCCAGATCAACGCCCTCTGGGACAAGACAGGTCGTATCCACCTTGGCCAATGCATAGGCCTGGTAGGCAGCATACTTGTCGCCATCTGTTGGGCTGGCATAGACGGCGACTTTATCTCCAACCTTGAAGTCAGAGACACCCTCGCCAAGGGCGATGACCTCACCGCCAAAAGACGTGCCGATTACACACGGGTAGTTGGATTTGAACAGATCGTTCTTGGTGATGTTGACCTCGACTGGGTTTATAGCGATAAGCTCGTTTTTGACGAGGATATCACCAGGTCCTGGGGTAGGTGTGTCAAGTGTCCTGACCTCGAGCGGCGCCCGAGCTGCAGGGTTAACGGCTCCACGATTCTGAGACATTGCGTTCTGTTTTTGTCGAGATATTAAAGTTCTTAAGGGCTGTGGGTTGGCAAAAGATATGCTCTTGGAGTATAATCTCTTAATGATAGGTAACCTGATAATTGCTGATTGTTGATGTTTGATATTGCTGTAAGGGGAAGTCTGGTAGAGAAGATGTGAGAATGGTTCTTTATACTTATAGTAAATAGGCTTCATCCACATTACTGCCAGGAAATATATTAGAGTTATTGGATTGCTAAGCAACGGACTTTTAAACAATAGCTTGTAGGGCTGTGTAAATGGGTATGGCTTTCATAGATGGGCGTGGAATCACTGTCTCTCGGTCTCTCTCGCACTTTTCTTTATTTTCCGATGTGCGAGGCTCTAATATGTTTTCTCCTTGGACGCAACCGGCACTTGCACCCTGCGCAACTCCATCAGAACAGAAGCGTGGGCTCATGTCGGTACCGGTGCATTAACCAAGCCGCTGCGTGAAGGAGTTCGCGCTTGTGTATGTCCGGGCTGTACGTATACCAGCAGACCGGAAGGCTAGCTCGAAGCAGCTCTAGCGTTGGTCTTGTTCAGGACCGGTTATCGAATAGAAATGAAACTAGAGGTCACTCACAGGCCCACACCCTTAAACTTAAACCACATATATTAATATACTCAAGTAAGACTCTCTTAAGGTTAATTGAATATAAATATCAGAGAGCTTGATGAAGAAATAAGTGATAAAATCTTTTGTTAAAGGGGGCTTATCTGATATTTTATTTTGATCTTTTCTTTTACAAACGTGAGCAACAGATCTCAACCATGACTAAAGGCGTATCCTTCAACCCAGATAAAGATATTCCTGACCTCTCGGGGAAAGTGATACTAGTCACAGGAGGGAATACTGGACTAGGTTTTGAAGTCATCTATCAGCTGTCCAAGCACAAGCCCAAGCACATATACCTCGCAGCCAGATCGGAAGAAAAGGCAAACGAAGCGATCAAGACACTCCGGGAGAAGAATCCTAATGTGGGACCCATTACTTTTCTTCAGCTTGACCTAGGCTCATTTACGAGCATCAAGGCAGCTGCAGCTTCATTCATATCCATGTCCGACAGGCTGGACATCTTGATAAATAATGCTGGTATCATGGCTGTACCAGAGGGTCTGACGGAGGATGGATATGAGATCCAGTTCGGGACAAACCATGTCGGTCCTGCGCTCTTCACGACGCACCTCCTGTCAATCCTTAAAGCAACCGCCGCTGAATCTACCGATGCACGAGTTGTGTTTCTCAGCTCTGAACTTGAGAATATGGCACCGAAGAATTCCTATCTCTTGGATGGACTGAAGACTACTTTGCCCCAGTTGTCTACGTGGGCTCGTTACGGCCAGTCGAAGCTAGCCGCCGTGCACTACGCCCAGGCACTGGCAAATCATAACCCAGACCTCAAAGTTATGAGTATCCATCCGGGAGTCATTGCAACAAACCTCAGCGGCCCCGTGGTCAAGAATTATAACTTTTTGATGGCCGCATTGTTCAAGGTTGCCATGAAATTCGTTACCGTGAGCGTCGAGGAAGGGACGCTGAACCACCTGTGGGCAGCAACTAGTCCCGATGCTAAGTCTGGTGTTTTCTACTTTCCTGTAGGTATTCAAGGGAAAGGCTCGTCTCTAAGCAAAAACAGTAAGCTTCGTGACCAGCTGTGGGACTGGACGGAAACAGAGCTCAAATCACATGTTACCATGGTCAATTAAGTGACCCAAATGTTTATACGTTCCAGTTAACTCAAATGATCGGAGAGGCAAACTAAAACGGACTTCTTAATATACTCTACTAATCAACATCATATATTTTGTATTGCGTAACTGGTTCTTGCTTTTATGAGAGGATAGTTCGTCAAGAATAGACTGTTCATCTGATAAATCGATTTTCCAGACATTAAAGCCCAGGGCTGAAAGAGCTTCGAATCGATCATCTAATTTGACAGCGGCGAATATTTGGGCTTTACTGATCTCTGAGTGCTTGGATAAGAGATTGGCGACGATAGAGCTGATGTTATGAGACATTATGTTATTGATAGGGCTGGATTATTGTAGTTGAGTGGTCTTGTATATATTTTTATCTGAGAATCTTGAATCTTTCTTGGTTGCTGACTGATTGTCTTGAGCGACTGCAAACGGAAACCTAGACCTCTCAAGAAAGAAACAGAGCTTCTATATGGCTTTTGTATTAAAGCACTATAGTGTCCTTACTATGCCGAACTTACTAGCTGAAACTCTATCGTCAAGCCTTTAGTCTCTTTCTGACGTCGATTTGCTCGTTCAAAATACCCGAATAGTGTTAGTTTTTCGTATTGTCAAGCCACAGATCTGGTACAACCAATGAAGAATGACCCCTCACCCTTTCAACTGGGATCAGATGCCGCTCACTCAGCCAGAGACAGAATAACCCGTTATTCGAAATACCTAAAATATTTAGGTGTTATTTTTGCTGTGTTACCTAGATCTATCTAGCCGAGACATCGATAGGGCTTACTCAACTGAATTCGAAATACCTAATTGTTTAGTAATCAGTTGATTTGGTCAACTGGGCGGGCATCCTATCCTCTTAAGAAATATCTTCAATACCAAAGGCTGGAACATTAAATTTGTAATAGTTCAGTGTGAACACGATAAGCTAAGCGCTTTCCATTCCTAAAATAGCACTGTTTCCGTCCCATGTCCCACAGCCTGCAAGTGATATGCGTGATTATCACATCGGTCAGATTGAGGCCACCAATCTACCTATCATAACTGCAGAACATGAGCCAGGCTCGCGGGTCAAGTTAGCCTATCTGTTCCAACCGGGAATAATGAAACCATTTCTGCTTACTATTGATCCTGTGGAATGAAGTGGATCTGAGGCTGAGGCTGAACAATTGGCGCTCTTTGGAGGATGGGACAGGCATAAAGTGCGGGTTTTCCCTGTTCAGGCCAGCCTTGTGGTTATTCCCGTAATGCGTCAACTCTCAGCTTCAGTCAAGCTGTCTTCCCTAGTTCAACCAAAATGGCCGGAACTTTAGCAAAACCGGGTAGTTTGAACTTGATCCTCTCAATTGCAGCCATCCTCTGCTTCCATATCCAACCAACAACAGCCCTCCAACGCTCCAACAAGCAATTCCAAGAATTCTTCCCAGCATGGGCCCCCCTTCTAAAAGACCAACTCAAATACAACTGCTCCTCCAAAATCCAAGAATACCTCAACATATCCAGTCCGGCTCCTCGTCCAGGCTATGGCGTCATCGACTGTATCCTCAGCACCATGCCGGAATTCAGAAAGGCTGAGCTAGCATCGGCTGCTGTCATTCTTGGTCTCGCGCCATCTGTTCTTCAGTTACTCAGTGCTTCGTATCTTGATACAGCGATATTGGCGTATCGGAGACCGGGACTGGCAGTGGTGTTGGCGATGTGTAGTTCTGGAGTGAGGCCGCTTACGGCGACGGATTATGATGACTTTATAAGCAAGATGGGTAGCGAATCTTCCACAACGTTTGGTATACCGCGGTTTGCTGGAGCTCAGGCGATTGTGTCGTTGGTGGAGTACATCATCGCCGCTGCATCAGTCGCAAACAATGCATATCTCACATACCAACTCTGCCTCCAAGCAGTGTGTACATTCGCTCCGGCAGAAGACTTTCTACCCGCTGTCTGGACCGCTGCAGCTCTAGCAATCCATCTTGTCGGATACATCACCGCACGTTTAAAAATTACCGTTGAGACGAAAAGCGCATGGGAAGATCGAGGAAGACTGTGGTCTGAACTCACACCAACACCCTGGCAGTCCAAACTCCAAGTCAAAGCGAACAGACGACATACGGGCTGGTTCCTCACTCTTGCGTCAGCTTTATACGTGGGCGATTGTCTCCAAGCACTCTTCGGAACGCTTATTCTGTCGAGTTTGGTGTTCATTAGTGTGAGGGACTCTGCGATCATTGTGATTCGACTAATGGGGAGTGCTCTTTTCGCAAGGTTGATCCTCATCTATGAATTGGCGGGGCTGAAGACGGATGGCGAGGGATATACTGCATCTGAGAGCACCATCTACTTGGAGTCTCTTGAGCAGAATGAGAGAAACTTGAGAGGATCCCGAGTTTTCTCATAGTTATGTACGTCAAAGGATGTCTTGCCCCGGTAGAAGAGATGAATACAAACACTATAAAGTCATTTATCACTTGAACTGGAAAAGTACAAGTTGGCGCTAGGTCCAGGCCTGTCGTGTGAACTCGAGGGTGATGAAGGGTGGCTATGTGGTATTCTCGGCAACATAGATCTTCACGACCCCCCAAGACCAATCTTCATTGCCGATACTCATTGCTGATGATTCACAAATCACAATCTAAGGCTTTGATGATGCTTTGATTTGACTCTTGTGATAACCTTGCTAATAGACTCGCTGTAGTGATTGACTCGCTAAACTCTTTTTCCAAGTAACAAGCTGTGGACACAATCTGCCAACCCCCATATGAAGACATGGTAAAATACCGTAACCCAAAGACATGCTTACAACGATAGTCGGTGAGTGAAACTCAAACGAATCCACACCATATCTTGCACAAATGCTGCTCTGCGCACCAAATGGCCAGCTTCGATCTTGCGACTGGCCTGGGTAAACCAAGAGTTCCACCCCATCCCCGTCCACGATCCTGTGACAATTCCGAGTCGATAAACTGCCCTGGGATGTTGATGGAGCCATTTAAAGACAGTAGTATCTGCACGTTTGTCGGTACTCCCTCTCGAGCAGTCATTGATTCCCATAGTGAATGTCCCAGAAAGGAATGAAGATAGGAACGGTCTGATAGGTATCATCAAATGGGGCAGGCGTGGACAGTCTGGGGTAGGGTGAGCTCGATACCTGTTTAGGTGGTAATAAAACATTCCAACTCATCTCTGTACTTGTTTTTGGTCCGTTGTGTTCAAACGTCATGATAACATTCGCCGTTGTGTTTGGAGGCTTCTGATTCCACATTTCCATCAGGGTTGAAGGGCTTCCTACAGTACCTGCCCAGGTGTTGGCAAGACCGTCAACTTTGGCTAGGATGTTGAGCCCCCTCTGCGAGTCGCTCCGGACTCTGATGTCACGAGCGCCCGCATTGTATCCTTCCTTGTATTGAATACTCTCCAGTCCGATACTGTTGACACGAAGCATGCTGACGCTTGTATTTGTGGCTTGGAGATTTTCTGAGTCTTCATTTGTCGAGGGGCCATTTTCATTAGATAGAAGAGGCTGGGGTACTGTCGGTCGTAGAACATTCCAATCGATGGTTGTGTCTCTTGTTGCTCCTCTGCGACTAGAAGCCATGATAATACTCACCACACCGCCTGACCTAGAATTGTAGAGTTCAAGAAGACTTTGAGGGTTATCGACAAAACCTGCCCAAGTATGGACAAGGCCGGGGACTTTGCCGAAGAAGTTGATAGTCCTTCCGCCTCCGCGCCTGTCGATCTTTATAGTATGACGCCCCCCACTCGCCCAACTCTGCTCAATACTGCCCAGAATGACTGGTGCTTTCTGAAGGTGGGTTCTTCCGGGATAAGCCGTTCCATTTCTGATGCCTTGATATGGGTTGGGTTGGGATTGCTCATGAAAATTCGGTATGCCAGGCTGACCGTAATCTTGCTGCCACCATTGTGGCTGGGAGTTTACCGGCATATTATGATAGCCTGGGTGACTTGTGCCTATTGGAGGTAGAGGCGGCATGTAATGGTAGATTGGAAGGGCAACATAGTGCTGAGGACCGTTGTGGCATGGGCGGACATCGTAGGGCTGATGGGCGTTGTAGTGCCCAGTTCTGTTATGCTGAGTAGTATAACCCTGCCGCAAATCAACATCAGGCCGAGTACCGTCGTGTTGAGTACCGCCGTGTTGAGTACCGCCATGCTGAGTGTCGTTGCCTCGTTGTGAATCCATGCCATTCTGGGCCCCGTTGATCTGAGTATCGTTGGCCTGAGGAACATCATCGTACTTCGTGTCGTCGTCCTAATCGCCAGCGTTTTGAGTGTTTTCAGGCTGAGGGACGTTATCTTGCTGTGGACCGTTGTCATGCTGAGGAGCGATTCCATGCTGAGAGCCGTTTTTTTTAATGCCATCGTGCTGCAGATCGTTTTCTGGCTCAGGGCCGCCGTGCTGAGCTCCATTATGCTTGATGCCTTCTTTCTGAACGTCATTGTTTTGCAAACCGTTGTCTTGCTGAGTATCGCCGTGCTGCACGTCGTTGCCAGGCGCCTCTACGCTCGGCCTCTCGCGCCCGTTTGACTCGTCACTGCTCATTTTGGGGTTGGAGTAGAAAAAGAGTGATGGGGAGTACGTGAATTCGATGGTACTACTGTTCTGGTAGCGACTGTATTGTTCTTGATATGTGATGTGTAAGTTTGTTGATGCGATGTGCATGAAGAAAAGAATGATGTTCGGTTGTTGTTTTCATGGAGGGGAAGAAGGATGCTTGCTACTTGGGTCACAGGTGGGCGTTCGCTATTGCTTCAAAATCGAGGGAACAGCAAATGAACATCAGAAAAGGAAAGTCGGACTCAACGATGGAATACGTCTACAATTGGGCAAAAAGGAGAATGTGCATTCATTCCATTACTTCTGTCTATCGTGGAATGGTACTCGTACTCTCGTCCACCCAAGCCAGCTCTGTATCCTATGGTGGCGTGCGTCTATTCCTTTACCTTCTATTCTTAGTATCAGAATCCCTGGAATCTCAAAAGTCAGTACCAAGCGTAGCAGTTGAAGGTTTGGGGCGCTTACTGTTCAAATCGAACACTGGACACGCGTGGGCTGGTGTAAATACTCGACATTCGTGTTCCTGTAGAGTGTCAGTAACTGTTCCGCTTCTCACTCGAGGGCTGTGCTGACCTTTTGTTCAGATGATCAGACCGGCCAAGTCTGGGTACAGGGACTGCGTGTCCTCTGCCGGTTGGTCGCGTGGGCTGTTGTAGGCAGCTGGCTCGGGAGAGGTCTTGTTGTTTTCCTCATCGGCACCCTTTTTGGTGCATTCTTCTTCACCGACGACAGTCTCATCGTCTGCGACAATCGTCTCGGTGTCTTCGAAGGCCTGTTCGTCGTTGTTCTCTGTCGATGCAGCAGCAGCTTCCTCCGAGGCTTTGAGAGCACTCCAGGGGATCTCTGCTGTAGCCATGCTAGCCCCCGACCCGTTAGGGGGCACGGCGAAGATGACGCTCAGGGTGCCTTTTGGCATCATCTTGTAAAAGTCAAGCAAGCTTTGATGGTTGTCAATCACCCCAGCATACGTGCCCTCCAGGCCGGGGACTTTGGCGACGGCGTTCTCCTGGCGTCCCCCGCCAGGGGAATTGTTCACAATCCTCAATCCAGAGGACTTCTCCGTACTGACGCCTCGAAGGCTGAGGCTCTCGACAAGGCTGAGGCCTATGTTCTCTTCGGGAGAAGGTACATCGTCGGTTTGCTGCCGGCGTCTGCGGGAAAGGAAGCCCGGTTGGTACGGGTGCGGCATTATGAAGACGGGAAAACAAGTGATGATGGTTAAACAGAAGATGGTGATTAAGTTCTTTTGCGTGGTTTTCGTTCTTGACGAGGGCTGACTGTGTAGAAAGGAGAAGGGTGCTGTGCTGCGTTCTCGCTGAAGCTCTATTGTTCAGGAGCTCGGTGAATCTCCCACAAAAGCCCCGTACCAGAGCTCGCAACTGGCACGCAGACGCCCAGCAAACTTTCTGTAGCAACAATAGAAAACGTGAAATACCCTTCATTCCGCCTGGCCAGGGTATGTGGATGAAGACAATGAACTCACAATAACAGCAGTTCTTTGCTGTCAACTAAGTCTGATGGGCTGTTCGGGTGAACAGATACCATGTTCAGGAACCCAATGACTCTTGGAAAAGTACAATCACTTCTAAGTGCTACTGGTGTTTCGTATATCTTTTTATGTTGCCTCTCGAAGCGAAATCGCTACACTTCATATCAAGATCACAAGACCCCATGCTTCTCTGCATCTTTGGAGACGCCCTTCTGGAGTTCATATCCAGTTCGTGCCTCACTGTCTACGGCGCTTTGGGCCTGGGAATGATCTCAAGTCTAAAGGTGGCCTTCGCAATAAACTGCATATTGCACCACAACTTAACTTGACGATGAGCAAAGAGTACCAAAGTTATATAAAGCTAGGCTCTTTTCTACAGCTATGTGATGATCAAATAATGGCTCATTCTGCCTTCGTGAGCCTGACGAGGCTAAAAATTATTCTGCCAAAACTCATCTCTATTCTTCTCCTCCTTGATTGGCTTCTCCTCCCGAATCTTTTCCATTTTTTCTTTGACTTCCTCCCATACTCCAGAAGGAATCCAAGTCCAGTTGCAAACAGTGGTCCCTCCATTTGCCAAACGCTTCAAATGCGTATAAACACCAAAAACCTTGTTTTCTTGACCGAAAAGATAGTCCCAATCGATCACCGCAAGATTCAAATTGCATTCGAGAGGCCTCTTTGTGAAAAAGTCGTACAACCTCGGTAATTCCCCCTCTTTCAAATTCTTTTTGAATGTAAAAGTCACTTGGTGTGAATATGCTTGCAGAAGGTCTCGCGATATCTGTTTGTAATCTGCTTCATTCACAGATACCTGGACGGTGGCTAATTCCTCTACTACGATATTGTTCTTGCGTAAGACTTTGTTGAGGAGTTGATTGAATTCCGACAAACATGCAGAAGCAACTGCGAGAACTCGAATGCTACCATTAGCGATAGGGACAGTGGCCTCAGGGCACGCTCGTCCATCAACCATGTCCGCTAGGCCTTTCGCTGCCCATAGGGTGCTACGACGTACCCAGGCTTCGGCACCACATACCAGGGAGCATTGATTTAAACAGTCTCGGATTGCCTTCTTAGTCCCCGAGTCAAATCTCTGGACATGGAGCAGTTCCAGGAGTCCATTTCCCGCTGTTAAGATCGGGGCAAGATGTGCTTTTATCATGGTGATGAAGGGGGTCGAGCGCATGCTGAGGAAATGAGCGACACGCCAATCATAATTGACTACTGGCAGAAGAGCATAGAATGCCTCGGCGGTAGCCAATCTGGGTGGTAATTGGAGTGCCCCTTGCCCATCACTCGTAATTCCTTGGAAGAGCAAGCGATGACGAGTATGAAAGAAAACGCGGTCCTTCTGTTGAGTAATTCTGACTAAGTTCCAAACAGCTGAAGGCCACCCAGTAAACTCTGTAAGAGCAGCCATGAATCCTTCGGCGTGTTCATTTCGGATTTTCATTCGACGTTCTGTCGCGCGATGCCGCTTGAAGTGATCGAGGTACAGAACATTGCAATTATAACTCTCAACCCGGGAACGCCAAGAAAATTGCTGAAGCTCTTCCGAAGCTGAGACCCACAGAAAGGTATACAATAACTGATGAGAACGGCGATCGAAGATGACTCGACGGATCGTAGGACTCGCAAGAATGCTGACAGAATGGTAGAAGGGAAAGCTTTCTGCTATTCTTGAGTTTGCATCCACATGAAGCATTTCCCTTTTGGCTCCAGGCTGTCCTAACCTTGCTGGACTGAAACTACAGTTTCCTTTTGTGTTGGATGTTCCGATCCAAGGATCCCAGTGTGATGGCCTGGTGTTCCAATCATCCAGATCCTCAGCATCATGCATTGCGTCCCGAAAACGTAGGCATAGGTGCCCAAAGTCATGAGCAGGCGACACCGTAGCATACTTAAGCAGGTCTGGGGCCATCTTCTTGAGAAGCACAGGCTCTATTGGCTCGGGGTCAGATCTGCGGAACGAGAATTCGCAAAAATTGAGATTGTGGCTCTCGAACAGCTCTTTGGTGACTTGGTGGATGCATTCCCATGACATAGTTGCCACCTTTATATGCAAGCCACTTTCAGCAGTTGTTCTTGATGCGGCAAATGTTGTGATGACAGCCAATGCTAGGGCAAATTCCGCCGAATAGTCAGGGTCGGCATCGATGATAAAAAGTATTCGTTCTGAAGCTACGTAGGGTAATGAGACCTAATTTCCCTCCCGGTAGCGAGACTTGAGATACTTTATTGTTTGAAGATACGTCTCAACAATCAGCCTCCGCTTAGTTTGACATGTCTCAAGGTGAAGGTTTGGTGACAAAGAGTTTTGACCTTGGACCACCGCATTCTTCTTGAAGTCGGGAAGAACCTGCACAACTAAGGTATGGCCGCCATCCCGAATTCGAGGCGAATTGAGGATGTCCACTGGTATTCTGATCGCCTTTGCTGAAGCTGGAGGCCCTTGGATATGACCAAAGCTTAGGCGTTTGTCTGGGTTGGTGTCAAGGACCCATGTGATAAGCTCGTCGAGCTGCCAAGGGACGTTCATGATTATGGTAAAAGAGTAGAAAATTGCTGTACTTTGATATGAAGTGATGAGACCCTATTGATGTGGTTTGTTGTAAGATGGATAGAAGAGAGAATGTTGTTTGTTGGAAGTCTTCTCTGTGAGGTCAGTGTTGGAGGAAAGGCAAGTTTGCTTTGAGGGAAGTTGTAAATTACTTTGGGTGCTACCTTGAGGAAAGAACTTCCTACGAGATGATGGTATTACCCCCGGTTAAGTAGGGAGAATTGAACAAAAAGGTCCAGTCTTTCTGTTCACGTTTACTCAATTTGGTCACTTTCCTTGGTGTTTCTGTGGTCGGCAATAACCTCACATCTCAAATTACCTCAACCACAGCTGTACCGTCACCAAGCACAGCCGTACATTTGGCGACTCAATCGTGGCTTATCTTCGAAACATATCTCATTACTTTTTATTAGTGCCTTTCTACTACAAGTAAAGCTTCCGCGGATGAGTGACGTTGAATAGGATAGGTTGGGTGCACTGCCACCACCAATTATGGGACCAACTCGTTGGCGAGGCCGCGCGGCCATCTTAGCCCTCGGCAACATTTAAACTTCGAACCCTCCCGCGAAACCCTTGCGAGTGAGATTTCGAAAGCCTTTGGTTTGTTGGTCTTTTGGCTCTATACACCTTGATTCAACTCCATGGCTGTCACAATGGCGATGAACAGTCAGGCGAGTGCTTGTACTGTGATTGGACCTTGACTTACACGAACAGGTCACTCTTCAGCCCAATTTCGAACAATGGAACAACTGCACAAAGTCTTCCCAGCCTCTCATCATCTCCAACTCTTCAACAAAACAAGGCCAAGAAACTTTCATTCAACCTTGCGTACCCGGATGATAACCCGAAGCCACACCTTGAGACGATTAAGCTTATTTGAACCAAGCGAGTCCACCAATCATGCACAAAAATCTCACCCACGGAGTCTTGACCCCCTTGTCAACGCATGAGATGACGATCGTTACGGTGGCTTACAGGGTTTGGCACCCACTTTCTGGTCCCTGGCATGGTCTGAAGCTACGGTGACTGTCACTGGCCTGTACCGATTGGTATCACCCCCGACGTCATGAATTTGAAGCAAGTGCGGCTCATTCAAGATCACACATCATCACCGACTTTTCTATTTGGCTTCATCCTCTTCGATCCTCTTTCTTTCCTTGACACTTAGTCTCTCCTTCGTTTTAGAGAGACTCTGTCATTCAGATTGGCCCCCATTGTGGCAGGAACACGGTCGCGTGCCCACTTCCCGCTGTTTCTTGAACGTCCTTTCTCCTACTTGACTGGCCTCTCTGTCCAACTTCTCTTCTTCAACTTATTCCTCCTCTTCAATCTTCTCAACAGTTCTCACCTTGGTCTTCTACACCGACTCTGCGCCAAGCTTCACCTCAGCACAGAGCGCACCAGGGAACGCCCCTTTAGTTCACTTGCAGCTCCGCCCCTGCCAACCTCGACAGTTCCGCGGAAATCACACACACCAAAAACCACAGCAAACCACAGCAAACAACAGCAAACTCTACCATATCCCACTCGGCCGAGAGATTATCAATCCCTTCATATCTAATCTCATTTCCAAACCTCCAACAACCTTGCAGTTCTATGGGTCAATATGACGCCGGTGTGGATCAACAACTGGATCCCGGTTCTCTCGGCTTGGGAGGACTCCAATATCAGTGGTCGAGGAAAGAACTTCTCTGAAAGGGGTTTTCCCCTGCGAGACAAGTTGTTCACGCGGTGATGAGGTTTACACTTGAAGCAAGAAGATGATGTTGGTTTGACGTTTATTCGTTGTGGCTAATCGTTGCTTCTGTCTCGTGTTCGTCTCAACCACCAAGATGTTGAGAATCCTTTCTCCAACAACCTTCAAGAGACGCCCTCCAACTCGCGCGGCTAAACCATGTTCCCCGCCTACTTGGAGTCAACCGCCCTTGCAAGCTTATATCTCCACCTGGCGGCCTCCCATCTGAGCGACTAGAGACAGCCCTACTTATATCTGAGCATTTCACGCCCAGAGTTTGCCATGCCAGACAAGATTTCAACTTGGATCGCCAAGATGCACAGCGTCCCCCGGATGCGATCGATACCCTTGTTCTTGCTTTTCTCAACAATGGTCAACCTGAAACCAATTCTAATCTATCCCAACTCCAAAACTCGGTATCTGTCGTATCTCGCCAGCGACTTCTATCGTTAATCACGTATCGAAACTCTTCCAATGCGAGTATTCGGGGTCGGCATCTGCGGGATGACTGCAGTGCTTCCATTCCTTTCTATTTTCGGTTTTGATTCGGGATTGAGCACCATTGACATCAACTTGGTGCATCATCTGCTGTGGACGTTGAGGCTGAATCGAGTGTTCGTTAGCCTGTGTTCGTGTCGGGTAGTGCCTGACCATACGTACAACGAGATAAAGGCAAGGCTACTTTTTTGTGGTGTCGTTCAATCAACTCAACGCCTTCAAAAACTCCGTTCTCCTTCCGCTTCCTGGTATCTCTTTTTACGAATCTGCCGCCCTTCTCAGACTCCTCAACCATATTCCCTCGATGGACTGTGCTGTCAAATATGTACGATGGTACGGATACTCGATGTGCTGTATTCCAGCTGTATCCATTCTTCTGGCTTCACGGAGATGTCGAACTTATTCGACTAGGGGTTGTATGTGACGACGCTGGCGAGCTTTGCCCCAGTATTGACGGACTAGGCACACGAAGGCTATCGGCATTTGAATGCGTACGACGATGCTTATTTTTGTCAGGTTCTTGATGTACGCTCGCTGTCGCAAGAACTGAAAGTTTATCGAGGGGATTGGGGTCTGGCCTACCCTGACCGAGGACGAGAGCTGGTAGCGCTGGCAAAATGGGCGGTTGAGGTCGAGGCTGTAATAGTGGTTGTCGCTGTTCAACTGGCAAGGGAAGTGTTGGTCCACCGTGAAGACCAGCTTTTCGAGAGTCTCTTTTGATCCCTACGACTGCATCCACCACGTCTCGAGTACTCGTCTTCTCTGGCGCGATATGGGGAGCCGGTAACGTTGACCTTGGGGGTTCTGCTGAGTGTCCCCTTGATAGGGGTTGAAGGGGGACCTTGGGTGCTGCGGCGAGAAGTGGTTGACCAGATGTTGACCGTGATATCGTTGCCTTTGCGGCTTCTGAAGCTGGTTGATCTGGAAAGCTCTGCAAGAACTTTTCAACATCCTCATTAGTGATGCCGTGGTATCCCAGCAAGATTTTTAGGCGTGAGTTTTCGACAGCAACACTGCGAGCTGCTTGCTGCATCTCCAACGTCGCTTCAACACCTCGACGCTCATAGTCTTGAAGCTTCTTCTGAAGACCTTCGACATATTCCTTATGTCGCGCACGGGACCGTCGTTGGTTGTCACGAATACGGACAGCTGATGGATTGGTCGAGCCCTCCTTCTGCAGGGGAATGTGTCAGACAAAGTACATTGCAAAACAGGACGAACCCAACTGGCGACAAACACCAGCAAGATGATGATTAGAACTCACCTTTCCTCCTGTCATATTGGCAAATACAGTTCATCTGGATGCCGATCCAAAGTCTAAGCTACGTCAATGATGGCGGCGAAAGCCAGCCCATATGAGACTTGAGCTCTTCTTGATGTAGGTACCGTTTGACTCGCCAAGCAGGACGCGCGTTGAAGGCCGAGCACTGACTTCTTGGCGAAAGATCCATGTCCTGACGGTGCAGATCCAGCCGATGTCAAGGAACGCTAGCGCCAGTCATGTTTAAACATATTGAACCATGGCAACCCTATCACGACTTCGTGCATTACAGAATCGGACCTGTTGACTTTATTGGTTTTTTTCGTAAGGAGCTGCAAAGCTTATCACATCCAGAGTTCCGTGAAGCTCTTTACAATTTCAGCAATTCACAGCAACCACAACATCACGCACGACTCAAATTACAACTTCCCTATGAAACGTTGCTTACAGGCAGAAGCTGGTGGATACACTTGTCGAGTTTTCCGCCCTAACCTCCCTTGACTGAATAAGACCCGAGTCTTACAGGGAGCTACAGGGAGCTCTGTCTCTGATTGCGGGATGCCCAGAGGACTAGGCGCCCCATAATTTTCAACGCATTGCTGGGCTCGCAGCTGCTGCGCCACGGTCTTTCGGTCCAGCCGACCGCCAAGCCAGCCTCTCGGCTCCTCATTGCCGATTAAGCTGCGATGTTGACGATTTAAGGTGATGGAGGACAAGCTTGAGACCAATCTTCTTGGAGGAGAGACCACTGTTGCAGGGTCGGTGAGCTCAGGGACAGAATGTCGATTGATGAGTCTAGGCCCTGCAAGGTTTGCCAAGACCAGGTCTGAACCCGTTGGTCGTTGGAGTTGTCACTGAAGGATTCCCCTTCGTCGAAACGTATCTGTTGGGTTTACAAGCTGACCAGACGATGACATGGTGCTCTTGGCCATGCTGAACCGAGGCTGAATACATCATCAGCCTGACCAAGGAATTCTTACAAAGCTGTTGGAGTTTCCGCACTTGATAGACAAAACAAGCGGAGCCCACTGTCAGAGTGTCAAGGTCAAGAGTCGAGACCTCAGCAGCCAAGACTTGGCTCCAATTGACAAGACTATTCAACAGTTACAACTTGCACAAAGTGGCTGTGTACGTGCCGACTTTCCCATATGCCCCGCGGTCCCGCTTGGCAAGTCTCATGAGATATTACCGCCGGCCAAGTACGAGCGTTGTATTATCAGCGATCCAAGATGATTCCACCCACGGAAATTGCTCCCTATCAACAATAACACCCTGGCACTGAAAACCGAATGGCGTGCACTAAATCGAGCTTCTGCTTACAGCCAACATCCTTTTTCTGCTAGCTCCCCACACTCCCAACTCAGCCGGCAGTCCTATTTACCGGGTTTAGAGCGGCTAGTATACGAAGGTCTAAAAAGGTGAAGCACCTAGAAACACTTGAATGTCATTCGTGACTTCGTACAGAAGGTTTGTCAATCTGGATAAATTATGCCGTGCAAAGCTTTACTCGTTTCGTATGTGATTTGCGCAAGTCCCGATCAACCACGTGGAAATACATCAGCCCACCGGATCAATATGAGCAAATTTCGGTCTTTTACGAGTGACACGATACTTGTCACTTGTCAAGGGATAGTAATGGTCCGGGTCATTGTCATTTCCGATTAACGACTTTTCTTGGCTATGCCCATCTTCTTGATTTGGGTAGTATTGTACAAAGTTCTATTTCCTGTTTTGTTTCAGGATTTTTGGGGTATCATTATTTCGCTTGAAAGAATCTCCAGCTCCATCTCTGCCAAGTCAGGTCTATGTCACTGATCTGGACCATGTCTTGGCGATCATCCTTTGCAATCTCCTTTCCACTCATCGTGACTCGTTTTTTCCCTGCGTCGCAGTCTCCTTCAACCTTTTCATGGCAGCCGGCCTGCCTTTGTGGTAGCTTACTTGAAAAGTCGCTTTCCAGTACGGGTTGAAAAACGCTCAACACCATCGCCCTGCTGGGCATGCCAGAGCTGCTGCACGCCTACGCCACGGCTCTCTCCAGATACTCTGTAGCGGCGCCAGGCCTCGCGTAGATGATCAGGTCGTAGGGGGCCGCGCTTAAGATCGATCTCTTCCTCTGCTGCAGCAGGGTCGTCGTTTGTCGATGGGGGAGGCGTAGGCAGCTCGCTCTGCTTCTCTCCTGCGTGGATCCATTCGCCTTGGACGTTGCGGGCGGCTTCGATGAGCTCACCGGCGAAGAGCTTGGCGACGGCTTTGACGGCTGTACTTACGTTCTGCGGAACCGATTGAGAAACCGTAGCGTTGACAACCTGTAAACATCAGTATCAAGACTTGACTCCGTGTGAAGATGACATACTCGTTTGACGACACTATCAGCCAATTTAGCTGCACGCCAGAGCTCATACCGGTTATACTGCTGAGGATCAAAAGCCTCAACAAGCATAGCTCGCAGCCGAATCTCCTCCTGCTTCTGCTCCTGCGTTCTTGCAACGACATCCTCAAGCGCCATCTCAGCCTTCTCATCATCCTCATCGTCATCCTCCTTCTCACCACCCTGTCCGCTCACAGCAGTCGGAGCCCGTCCCCCAACAAGACTAGGCGTTTGTTCACGAGCATCATCTGGCTTGGCATTCTTCGCCTTGCGGCCGCGTTTCTTCTTCGGTGCTCCACTGGCTGTCGTGCTGACTGCACTGCCGCTCACGTGGGACTGGGCATCGACGGAGGGGGAGCGCGGGAATGGGGATCGTGCTTCGGGGGGGAAGGAGGTTTGGCGGAGAGGGTGAGCGGCAGAGCTGGTTGAGACGGAGGTTTGGGAGGGCTTGCGGCGCTTGAGGGGCGGCGCGGTGCCGTCGAGGGTTGATGAGCGCTTCTTGTTGGGGATTTGGGCGGGTGATGGATAGGGCGGTGACATTCCCGATGGAGAGGTTGCGTAGGGCGGAGAGGCCATGATGATAATCTCGAGATGTGACGGTTGATGGTGAAAGGGAGAGGTTCGAAATGAAAGGTGCTGTTACTAAGCAATGCGATGCAGCAACTGCGATGTGTCCCGAGAAGGCGTTAGTCAAAAAAAGATACGTATTTCGATATCGGCGTTTTCGCAAAGTCGTTTCGAGCTGTGTCTCTCTTCACGGCTTTCGGAGGATGATCCGGAGCACTGCACAACGCGTCTGCTATTCCGAACGGGACGGACGTGACGACTGAAATATCCAGTCACGTGAACACCCACATGATCGGATCCACGGCGCCAACGACCGTTTTGCTCTAACGTTCTTGTCCACTGAGACAATGCAATGCCTCTGCTAGGCCGTTGACGTCAAACAGCTGGGTTGCTGATAAGATAAAGCATCGCGTGGAAAAATAATTCCACTGCAGCGAAGTCATTCCCCGCGAATCCCGTGGGCCCCTCTAATTTTTTCGGCGTTTGGATCCGGTCATTGGCTTGGAGAGAGAGACATTTGGACCCTGACTCAATCAATTCGGTTTCCGTACTGTTTGGCTTTTGGGCTTTTGATTCTCGTCAATTATCGCCTGTTTTTCCTCTCTTGACTCATAAGATACCTAGTACTAGTACTTATTTCCCCTCTTTCTCCTCCATCATCATCTCTCAATTCTCTCAATTCTCTCAATTCCCTCTACTCTTGTGCCAAGTTTAGATACAGACATCGCCACCATGCCTACCTCCGAAGACGGAAAGAAAAGATCCCACGATGTCGCAAGCATCTCGGGCTCATCATCCAGCAGCGACGATTCTCGCAGACGCCGTCGCGAGCGCAAGGAGAAGAAGAGAAAGAACGGCGATGCTGTTGCTGTCAATGGCGCAAAGCCGAGTGCGTTCGCTCAGCGTCGCAATAGCTTGGCCAAAGCTTCGCGAGATCCCCGCGATGAACCCATCCCCAAGAAGCGTCGCGCTGCAGCTCAGAGCGTTCCTGAAGAAGGCGCTGTGGTGAAGACTAGATCTCCTAGTCCTGTCATTGACTTTGATGGGCTCAGTCGGCCCAGTACGTTACTCTTACCAGTGATGGTTACGCTTACTGACGGTGTTAGGTCGTGGGACGAGAGAGCGGAGGGAGGAGACGGAGGAGCAGCAGGCTGAGCGATTGGATCGTATGCGAGGTGCTGTGCGCACTCTGCTAGAGTGTGTTGGTGAAGATCCTGATCGCGAGGGTCTTCTCGACACTCCTTCGCGCTACGCAAAGGCGCTGCTCTTCCTGACCAAGGGATACCAGGTCAATGTTGAAGACATCGTGAACAATGCTCTGTTCAGAGAGGGACACAGTGAAATGGTTATCGTGAAGGACATTGAAGTTTTCGTAAGTTCTTCAACCCCCCAATTGCGAAATCTAGCTAACGATACAGTCTCTGTGCGAGCATCATCTCGTACCATTCACCGGCAAGGTTTGCGCTCCTCCTCCGAAATCGCATGCGAACAACAGCTGACTTTTTTTTTCCTTCCCCGCAGATGCATATCGGCTACATCCCCAACGAGACCGTCATCGGCCTTTCCAAGCTCCCCCGAATCGCAGAGATGTTCGCCCGCCGTCTACAGATCCAAGAACGCCTCACCAAAGAAGTCGCCCACGCCATCATGGAGATCCTCAAGCCCCAGGGCGTCGCTGTAGTCATGGAGTCGAGCCACTTGTGCATGGTGATGCGCGGTGTTGAAAAGACGACTACCAGCACCATCACGAGCTGTGTTCTTGGCTGCTTTGAGAAGAAGTCCAAGACGCGCAATGAGTTCCTCAACCTTATTGGTATTAACCGATAGAGTAAACCGGTCGGAGGTTTGAGCCGAAGCAATCTTCAACATGCTTATGATGGAAACGATAAGCCTATGAAGAACATTCACCATGTATAGGAAGGGTACATGCCATGAGACATGCACCAAGTACCATCACCATTGATTTATCTGCATTTACGGCGTTTACGGTTCAGGTTCAGGATAGGTTCTCCTTCGAAGGGCGGTTTTGGGACAAAAGTAAGAAAGAGGCCATGTCTTCAACAAATTCGGTCGGGTCCAAGTTGTCATCAAATTTTCTAGGAAAACAGGCGGTTAGAGCGTTTATTAGCCATTGTCCCATTAGATGTCCGGGCTCAACGCCCTGGAGAAAATTAACCATGTTAGAGCTTTTTGAATGAAATCATCTCATTAATAACGTAACCTAGCCGCCTATTGTTTATGTAACATAACCTGGTCTGAAAACCAGTACAACCTCATGTGTTTGTGGTATTCTCTGAATCGCCATCTCAGACGCCCTTTTACGCATCTCGTACAAACAAAATTGTCTCAACACCAAATTGCATAACCGACCGACCTGACTCCTTTTCCTTCTTGGTATTTTTAAACCGACGAGAACGCCCTCACCCCTTGTCATCCCCTACAAACTCACTCCCCGTCTAGAAGAGCGTCCATCCCATTTCTCTCCTTTTCCAAGGACGCTGTGGTCATGGTGACATCTCCCCCAGCATCGATCTTTTTCTCATCATCTTCGTCTTGGTTCGTCATCTCCTTGAACATCTGATCCACTTTACCCTCTTCCTGCTTGATCATTTCCTCGTCCATGGTATTAGATACGCGTCTCTCAATAGACCCACGTCCAGTTCCCCAAACATTTGGTCCCCACATAGCCTCGGCTTGTTTTCTCCCCAGTTCGGTTCTCGCAAGAATCTCCAATGCTTTGTTCTTCTCAGCATCGGTGTGGAAGTTAAGACCATCGTCATGACCTTGAAGAATTCTGTCCTCCAAAGACATTGATGAGTTGTCAACAACCAGTTGCGGGCCGCCAACTCCCAGGGGTCCAGCATGCATACCATTGCCCAGGCTGACCGAATTGTTCCTGGAATGGCCTGAGGACTGTGACTCTCGGCGCTCTCCATGGCTGTTAGGACTGCCAGCTTCACCGGACCGTGGGTAATATCCCGACCCTCCATACCCAGCTCCTATTCCGCCCATAGAATGCGAGGCCGCCGCCGCTGCGGCTTCTGCGTTGGCTGCTTTCCTCCGCAGACTATTCGCCTTTCCCCGGGCATGCTCCGGCAGGTCATCGGGGTTGTCAACGCCGTACTCGACCAGCATCTTCTGTAGTTTTGTCGGTCGAGGTTTTCGTGTGCTTCGAGACTGCTCCTGGATCGGTGGAGCCTCTGGGGCCACAGGACACCATTTATGAAGTTCTTGACGGAAGAAATTGGTCTCATATGTCAGTAAAACCTCCGCCCCTTCAATCTTGCGCAGATAAAATCGTTGGGTCTCTGCCTCAGCTTCCGTAGACAATAACGGATTGCAAAAGTTGGTAATATGGTTTCGGAAATTCTGTGCGTTATCGATGATTTTGTTGAGAACTTCCTCTTCCTCAGGCTGAAAGGGTAATGTCGCCATTTCTTCGGCGAGGGCCAACAGCTCCTCCAGCTTCGGTCGCGACGCATCTCGGGGAATCTTCATGCGCCAGTCACAGATCGGACATGTATACTTGTCGTCCTCTTTGACCTTGCCGCGGGCAATCTTGAGACATTTGTAGTGATACCTAGCTGTGTTAGCAGTGTGTATGACATTATCGTGACAACTTACCATTCGTGGCACATTTCGCACTCTATCATCATTCCCGCCTCAATCCTTCTGCAGATACAGAAGACTTGTCGGGATCGACTGTCGTCCCATTTGCTAGATCCTTGCTCAGGGCTAACCTCTCTGGAAACGGGCTCTCCAGGCATTCGAGGCGTGTCGTGTTCGATGTCGAAGCAATCCATGTTGCGCTCTAGTACGTACTCAAGATGACTCTTGAGGATGTGCAATGGGGCGTTGGATTTACCGAAGAGTTTCTTCCCTTTTCGCATCCAGTCCTCATGACGCTTGCGTTCGTTTTCGAGTTCGAGAGTTCCATCTGGTTTTGAGTTAAGGTCTTCCAATCTCTTCTGGATCTCTACGACTTCCGAATACTTAGGTCGGTCATGCAAATCGGGGAGCCGGCACCGTTCTAGCAAGGAAACAATCTGGCGTTGCGCTTCGCGTTGTTTGTGAAGGATTTGATCAACTGCGTTCAGAGTCTCCTGCGACACGGGAAGCACGTTGATCTGCACCTGACGAGATAGTGCTTCGAGCTGCGGGTAGTGAACAAACTCAGCAACGATTAGTTCTTTGGCCTTCTTCTCCCACTGCTGTCCAGCGTGCATCTGGTCGCGATAGTAGGTCAAATGATCGTTATAGGATGGAATGCCAAGCTTGCTTCCTTCTTCGATAAGATCCTGTACCTCTTGGAGAGTCATGTAAACTCCCCGGTTGGTAAAGGCTTTCTCATTCCATTCTGACTGCTCCAGCACCTTCAACAATTGGTCAACCTCAGGGATGTCCACATTAAAGCCGCGTCCTTCTTCGAGGAGTTCCTTGACCGTCTTCTGTGACAAGGTGGAGGTGTTCCTCAAAGCCTGGGCCGCAGTGGTCTGGAATTGTTTGACTGCCTCGGCGCGCTCTTGAAGCTGGAAAATCTCTGGGCAGTCGAAACCAATGTGCTCCGCCTCATCCAGAAGTCGATAGATGTTTGAGACATTCCGAGATTCTCTCTCTTTTTGGTCTTGCTCAGAGTTGCCGATAGACTTTCGCATGCTTGATTGCCAGGCTTTGTCATTCTTGTGTCGGTTCTGCTGCTTCCTCACAATGAAGTTCGTTGCCTCTCCCACCCAATCATTGCATCGGTTGACGAAATCCTGTAGTACTGGAAAAGATGGGAGAGGGTAAGGAATGCGCTCGCCTTCGTGGAGGAGCGCACGTAGTGATTTGAGCGATGGCCTTGCCTCTTCTTCAAGCAGTTTCTCGTACTTTTCCTCCCACAATTCAGGAGTCTGTGCTTTCTCCATCACCTTGCGGTAGATGGCATCCATGTCGTCGTCCGCTTTTCTGAAATAAAGTATGTGTCCTTCACCTTGGAATCGCGCTTGCTCGGGCAAATCACAGCAAGCGTGGTAGCCTGCGTGAAGCAAGCAAAGAACCTTGCCCGACTGGAGGCACTTGAAGCGCGAGAGATACGAGAAAGCCTTACAGTAACTGCAGCACTGCTCGTCTTCGTCTTGGACATCTTCGTCTTCTATCTTCAGTGTCAAAGAACATGTATCTTCGCTGCCTCCTTCAATTTTACAGTGATGAGATGCGGTTTCGAGGTGTCTTGCGACAAATTGTTCCCTTTGATGCAACTCTCGCTTGTGTATGCGATCGAGGGCGGGTGCTAGCCATTTCGCGGTCTGGATGGTCAGGCCTGTCGCAGTACTTTCCGCAGCAGTCCAGAGAAGCTCGTCGTGAGAAAAGCACGGTTGCCTTCGGAAGAGTTGCAATCGCTCAACACCAGCAAGTCCGAAAGGTTCCCAATCATGTGGCGCAAAGTTGACAGCCTCGTTGAAGTTGAACCCATGGTTGAATCCAGCGTGGTAGGCCTGCGGGAATGTAATGACGAGCTGGCCAGCTCTCTGGTCTAGAGCGTATACACGAACTCCAGCCTTCTTCAATTGTTCGGGAGTCAATAGTGTGACCAACTGGAATAGGAGATCCGGTTGTGTCTCGAATAGTTCGGGGACGGCTTCCTTCATGGCGTTCTCGAACTTTTCAGCGTCCTCGCCTGGAATACCATACCAAGTCTTGGTTGCGCCAAGGTGCTGGTAGTTGGCAGAGTAGGCATAGTGATCCTCGTTGTGCCAACAAAATGTCGAAAAGATCATACCAACATAGACCCAGGGAACTGTCATGCCAGAGATATCGGATTTGATATGTCTGAATAGACTCTCAGGGTGGAATGGAAGAACATTGAGGTTCCAGGGATCAGTCGCATACGGGTTTTGAGGATGTCGTTCTGCCGTCGGAAAGCCTGAGCCGTGAGTCGTGCAATGGATATCAGCTCCGTACTCAACCTCAACCGTCTCTTCCAGGTCGGCAACCAATCTCCAAAACTCAGTCTCAACATCCTCCTCCGTAACAGGTCGATGACAGTTGAGCTCGTGGTCGAATGGCATCTTTTTCTCAAAGTAACCCTGCTTGAAGTCGTTTGCCTTTTGCTGGAACTGCTTTAGCGAGTAAAGACCTCCCTCCTCGAATCCGAACTGGCCATCTCCAACCAGACATCGTGCGCAGTTCCATTCGTTATCCGGCTTTCGTTTCAAAGGTGGGTCGAGGCATGCTGGGTGGTAGGAATGGTCGCAAGACTCGCAAATCAGTAGAGACCCAGTATCTTCACCACTTCCACAAGTTTCGCATTTCTACAAAGTCAGTAAACCCCCCCTTGACGACCGATTCGACTTACCTCGCCTGGTGGTGGTGGCTCTTCTCGCGGAATCCTTGGCACTGAAGGACGGAATGGCGTCATGTGCGATCCAGCCACAGTGGGGACAGCATCTACGACGGAAATGTTAGCCCATGATCATGGAACCAATGAAAAGCGGGATCGGTCATCGCAACTAAAATCCCTGCGTATGGTACTGAAGTCGGAAAAGGAAATGCTCTGCGTTGCGACAACGTGGATTGACAGCAGGGAAGAGGAATCCAATAGTCATCACTAACCTTTCTTAAGTCGCTTGCTGCGACGGCTGCTAGCCGCTTCAGGGTCCTCGTTGTCATTGTCCTTTCTGGCTGATTCAGATGAGCTTTCGCAGCTGAGCTGACGCTTCAATGTTGTTTCTTTTAGACCGGAGGCCCGATTGTCTGGAGTATTCTTTGCTGAAGAGGCAGGGCTGTCAAATCGCTTGGGGTCAGGAGTGAAGCTTTTTGGCTCACTGGTCACACTGCGATTGACACTCGTAAAGCCAGAATTCAAGGGAGTAAACCCGCCCGAGTTGACTGCTGTAAATCCGCCAGATGTTGGAGCTTGAGAGGGTATGGCATCGGGCATGGGCGTGTCGCCATCCGTTTCACTCTTCACTCCAATGATGTTGGCCTGGAGTGCGTCGGAAGCATTGCGCGCTGGGGAATCACCTCGGATGCTGAGAGGCGTGTTGACATTTGATCGCTTAACTGGAGTTTGCGCAGGACTCGGGGTCAATGGTCCACCATACTCTTGCTCCAGCTGTTGGTGAACTCCAGGTTTCGCGAGTCGGAGGTACTCCTCGTACGGACAAAGCCATCGTTGGTAAGAGTTTTTGAGTGACGTCGAAAGAGAGGACATGATCTTCCCACTGTAGCCCAAATCACGACCAATTTCTGCCCATTTCTTATGCTTGCAAACCTTTTCAAAGCCGCCCCGCGACTCGACTGCTTTCTTTAATCTATAAAGATCAAGCGGTTTCTTGTCCACGTACGGTAAGCGATGTAGATTGGTGCCATGTTGCTTGTGAAATTTTGAAAGGCCATCAAGATAAGTAAGGTTGGCACGTGTACCTGCAACATGTGAGCCGAGTGCAATCATGTCAGAATGAGTAACACATACTCCCTTCCACTGAGTTCAACTCTTGTTTTCGGGTTCTAAAATGGAATTTCTAAATAATTAGCACGAGTCATCGACAGCTATCGCAAGTGATAGCTTGAACGCGCTGGGAATGCGCCGATTGTCGCACCTCGGTGTCAATGGCAAAGTCTGGATTCCAAGAATCTGGTGGAATAATCTTGCAGATGCCAAAGTTCTTTGCTTCAGGTGTGATTTTCCGTAGGTATTCGAAAGGATCTTTCCACTCTTCTTCCGTTGGGCAGTACGTGGGTGCCTCTTGAAGACCGTGTGGACGGCTCTGCTTGATGACTGGTTCCCTGACTGCGGTGGGCTGTCCACGACGTTCGACGGAGGTAAGATCCAGCGGAGCACTCGTGAGTGAGCTGAGAGGTGTCTGTGGATTGATCGGGTGGTATCCGTTGGAATTCACTTTGGGTTTCGGTTTCGATGAGGAGCCAGCGGGAGCACTGGGTGAGCTTCGCGTGCTTGCATTCGTGCTATGGGTGGCTGCAGGAGCCGCGGCGCCAACAGTTGGCACTGATACCATGGTGGGAGCGGACGACAATGCGTTGAATTGACGACTAATAAGGAAGAACGGATTGGGATCGGTCGAGCGTTACGATTACGCGGCGTAAATCGACTTCATACTCGGGCAGGCCGTATCGTCAATAATTCACCAGCATCGCAGGCTACGAGGTCTCAATCGCGATGAGAAACCAGGGTGTATGAATGGTGACTAGAAAGGCGATGGATAGGCGAGCTTCGCACCTGGACTACAAGGTTAGTGGTGAGTTGTACTTGATTGAACTCATGGAAGGGAGTACGAGGAAGTATCTCCAACTAACACGGGATATACTCACGAGTAAGTCAATATAAAAAAGGTCGGCTGTGCAAAACACACAGAAGTTATCGTGACTTTCGAATCGAGTACCCGAATTCGATGTTCTTAGTGGTAATGGTTGAAAGAACCAGTTAACCACTCTGTTAGGGACAGTTGATGCTGAATGAAAGAATTAAGAGTGAGGAAGGACCGGAGGGTGAAGGGTGTGAGTGGGAACGGAAGTTAGGAAGGTGGGAATGGGTCGAGGGAATCCCAGATCTTGGAGGCGCGAGCGACGAAGGACGGACGGTACCTAGACACACAAAGGGAACCAGAAGGGACAAGGGACGAGGGTGTGAAGGGAAGGAAGCCCAGGCCAGGGTGCGGCAGGAGGTTCCTGGTAAGTGCACGCCAAAGACTAAAGTGGACTGGACGGCAGGTAGGTACCTCTATTTAGCACGATTCTGGCGCCAGGCACAAGTACCCGCCGCCTTGTCAGTCACTGACTGTACGGAGGAAGGGCCGGTGGGTTCGGACCAGCAAGTACAAGAATTGCAGTAGATTTTCTGGACAACTTCAACTCTAAAATGCTCATCGTATCATTCTTGTTGTATTTCCGAGTATCTCGCGTTCCAACGATGCTTTTTATCACCAATTAAGTCTTTGTTGGCTGTTTCAGCGCTCAAAAACGCCGTCCTGATACAGGGCCCCGAAAACTCATGTGGCGGACCCACTAGCGACGACATCCGGCCGGTGCCCCCATTACCGAGAATCACATCGTCAATGTCCACAAAAGTAGCATGTCGAGAACAAAGAAGATACCAGTTTGAAAGAGGACGCCCTTTGTCGGCGCGTGGTCGCTGTCGCATCTATGCCTGGTCGAACTTTAACCAACACGTCTACGACCCTCCACTCAGACTTCAGGGAGAATGCCACAGCCTTATGAGGCATATTGGTATCCATTGAGCATCGCCAGCTTGTGACCCGACACATTCAGCATCAAAATCACGCTCAATGCGAAGGCAAGAAGTCTGACAGACAAGAAAATATTTATCTTACGGCCACGTCGTCATGAAGAAGGAGGTATCCGAATGCGGCAGGGCATGGTGGCATTGAAACCAGTCACGCGCTGACTGGCATCATCATATTCCTTGTCCAGTTGTGTGGCTGCCTTTTGTCCCGCTCAATAGCGATGGCATGCCCCTAAAAGTCTGACGGCCACAGAGACAAAAGGCGGGCCCAGAAAAAATCCAATCTGATATCGAACTCTCAATGAACAGGGGTTAGTTAATAATGGACCGCTTACGAGCCAATCACGATGAGATGACGTTCAGCACAAACGCCGGGGTCCTGGTCAGCATTTGCGTGGGGAACCGGGGCACACGATGGATTTGGGTGAGGCTTCAAAACAGAATGCCTTGAGCAAGAAGACTTAGGACCTCGATCCTAGATGATAAAAAGACTCAGGTAAATTAGCAAGAGTTCGAGGCTTTGGGGAATTCATTTTTCCATCCTGCGTCAAGGTCCCAAGTTTTCTTGCTTCCCGAGGTGATGCTTCAAAAAAGAATGGCAGCAACACTTTATTTCGCTGGCTTGAACTTACTCTGCACTACCATCATGGCGACTTGCTGTCAAGCTTTGGTCAGCGATTCATCCATCAGAAGCATACTCACAACATCCGAGACATTTAACAGATAACAATTTAACGAAATGCAGAGCGGGTATCTTCCTATTTAACGCCAAAAGCAAAAAGTCAAGCCATCCTCAAATATCCTCCTCAGCTTCAGCTTCAGCTTCAGCCGCAATCTGCTTCTTCGTTCGCCGTTTCTTCTTGAGTAATTTCGCAACCTCCTTCGGTCCTCTCACGCGCAGAGTCAGTTCCTTCATCATGTCGCTCCAGTTTATCTTGCCGCCACAGCTTGGGCATGTGCATGACAAGGGAAGCAATGTCTCCTTGGGTTCATCCTTGAGGGCGTGCTTTGACCAACAGTCGAGATGACCCATGGCTTCACATCCGTCGTGAGGACACATTGGTTGTAATCCTTTTCCTGACTCTAGTGCTTCGTGACAATGGATACAATTCCCTTCTCGTTCAAACTTCACAACGTTGTGTGCCTTCTCGACGTATGGCTTTATAGGAGCATAATCCAGTGGCAGAGCGTGAATACCCCAGGACTCGACAGATTTAGTCCCGTTCGACCCTTCATCTGGAGAATAGTCTTCAGTGATCTTGATACCCTCTCGTGGTGTTGTCTCCTTATACTTGAGCCAATTATCCCAAGCTTTTTTGGACTCCGTTGCAAAGAAGTGCAGGGTAAGTGGCCAGCGTGCAAAACTCGACACACCAACAAGCAAATGAAGATTCGATACCACAGATCTCAGACTGTGGATTGGCTTCCGGGACTTTCGCTGTCCTTTTTTCCTAGGCGCCCTTGTCGTTATGCGCTCCTCGGTTGATATATGTGTCGTTAAATGAGGATTCGTTAGAGCCCATCTGTGAAAACTCAGTCAGCCAGAAACCTCACACATCATGATTTTGACTGACTCAAATTTCAGAGCAGCAATTGAACTGGGGAATCCTGTTATAAGTATAATAACCTCCCATGGTCGTAGTGTGTCTTTTGCAGTTCGCACTGCACCGCCACGAGCTATGCCATTGTGCTGATTTAGACGTCTTGGAGGATGGGGTGTTGAGCCGATGTAGATTGATGCATGGCGCTTTGTTGAACGGAGCACGTATACGGCGTAAAGGGCTGGTATAGGTCTTGAGAGCTGTGACATGATTGCGGATGACGGGATTGATGGTGATGTTTACTTGGTGTGAGCGTGAGTTGGAGGGGCGATGGAGTCATGACTAATCAAGTCATGATGCCTTGACCCCTTTCACCATCACCAATATTCACAAGAAATGAGACAAGCCATCATGATCGCATCAAACTCCATGAATTATTTGTGAGACTCCTGTTTCTGATTTTACCATACAATACAAATACATCTACAACAATCCCTGCTTCTGCAAATCCAAGTAAACCTTCTCAGGCATGACATTGCCCTCACCATCCTCCATCTGGACTACACTTCCCTCATCAACCGTCGTGCGCTTCTTCTCCTTCTGAATCTTCTCCCACAGCTGAAGCGCCTCCTCAATGCCGGTGATATCGCGGAATAACGTCGTATTGGTGATGCCCAGACACTTAAGACCGTAAATATGTCGCGCTTCATTAAAGTGCTTGTCGAAGGCTCGTCGACCCATGTAGACAAAGTTTCCGCAGATCTCGCAGGGGAATTCGACACCCAGTCCGTGAAGGCGGTACAGCCAGAAGGGAATTGGCTTGCCGTCCCATGCGAGGGGGAGTTTGAGGGGGTTGTAGATTCGTTCCTCGCCGTCTTCATCTTCGCCCTCGCCGTCGTCTTGGGCTTCTTGGGGTGTGTCCTCGGCGTTGAAGAGGTTCTCGAGTTCTTGGGCGCGCTCGCGTTCGGTCATGCCTTGCTTGCGCTCGACGTTGACTCTGGTGTCGCTTCGCTCGGTGCTCATGGCGCTGGTGAGGCGCTTAACTCTGTACTCTCGCTCTGCGACGGCACGCTCTTTTAGTCGTGTCGCTGATACGGTTCCGTTTGCGCCGTTGGCTGGCGAATCTTGCTCCTGTCGTTGTTTTCGCTGCTCGGCTGCCTTGATGTGTTTTCGTCCTGTCAGATGGTTCTTGTAGACGTTTTCGTTCTTGAACTCTTTTTGACAATCTTCGCACCATACAGCTTCTGCTGTGCTGGTCTCCTTTGCTGTGGCGTTCGTTGAATGTGAGTCCTTCTCCCAGCCCTGAATCTCATCCTTGTCCCATGCCGTCTCGAACTCTTGATCAAACGACGCAAGCACCTTGTCCACGTTTTCCAGCGGTCGTGTTCGTCGCATAAAACTCTCGAGGTACTCTGCTAGTTGTCCAACATACTTGAAGTACTGATCCGTCAATTTGTTGGCTCGCGTAACACCGCCATGTCCTGGGGCAAAGTTGTCAAAATTCTCGAGATATTGCAAATATGTGAGTCGTCGAACATTGGGGAGGTTGAGGTAGGCTTCGTGGCAGATGTTGAGATCGAAGAATCGTCCATAAGCTTCCTCTCCGGAGAACAACGAGTCAACGATAGATGGTAGCGGTTCTCCATCTGATCTCCTGATCTGATATCGTTGCTCCGAGTTTTCTGCTTGCTCGTATGGGTATCTTTCGTGATGTTCACGAACACTTTTGAGCTGCTTGTAGAATTCCGCGAATGGGTCGCCTGTACCGATCTGCTGAATTTCTTGCGATCGGACACCGTTTTCGTCTTTGTAAATGTCGAGGAGGTTTTTCGACTGGACTTGAATCTGGTCTAATAATTGAGAAATCTCATGATCTCTGTTGAGGCGATCACGGATCTTAAGAGTCAGTGGGCGAGTCATCAAGCGTTTCAAGCTACTCACATGTCTAGGCTCATCGCGAATGCGATCAGCGATACCTTGTTCGAGACGCTCTAGATCCTCATGGATATAGCGCTGTTCTTCGAGAACGAGCATTCTTGCGAAAATGTACTGCAAAAGCTCTCGCGGGTATCACAAATGAAAATACAATGATCTTCAACTGAGTGAAGATGATAAGTTGAGCTTGGTGCTCAAAAAATTACGGAGCCTGTCGCGAGTTTCAGTGGCGTTCAGGCGCGCAATTACCGACCGAAGAATATCCGGCGCGCGCTCCGTGTTACGTCTTTGCTCTAAAAGTTGCAGACCAAAACTTTGACCCCAGAAAAAGCCCCAACTTCATCGCGAAAGCGTATTTCTTTATCTTACAAAAAATCATCAACAACAGACGAAATCATGGCTGAAAGCGCTGGGGGAATTGACCGAAAGGCTGATGAGAGGATGGAATTTTCCACCTCCAAGGAGGTTACGGTCCATCCTACTTTCGAATCGATGTCGCTGAAGGGTATGTCGCAAGCAAGGCTCGTTTTGTGAATGTAGCTAATGTTTTGCAGAGAACTTGCTTCGTGGAATTTACGCTTACGGATACGAGTCGCCTTCTGCTGTTCAGTCTCGAGCTATTGTTCAGGTCTGCAAGGGTCGCGACACTATTGCTCAGGCGCAGTCTGGTACCGGAAAGACAGCTACCTTTTCCATCAGTATGCTGCAGGTCATCGATACCGCGGTGCGAGAGACACAGGCTTTGGTTCTGTCACCGACACGAGAATTGGCTACTCAGATTCAGTCCGTTGTCATGGCGCTGGGCGACTACATGAACGTGCAATGTCACGCTTGTATTGGAGGCACAAACGTTGGAGAGGATATTCGCAAGCTCGACTATGGTCAACACATTGTCTCAGGTACCCCGGGCCGTGTGGCCGATATGATTCGACGACGACACTTGCGCACCAGACATATCAAGATGTTGGTCCTCGATGAGGCCGATGAGCTTCTCAACAAGGGATTCCGCGAGCAGATCTACGATGTTTACCGATACCTCCCTCCTGCCACTCAAGTCGTGGTCGTCAGTGCCACTCTCCCATACGACGTTCTCGACATGACGACCAAATTCATGACCGATCCCGTTCGCATTCTCGTCAAGCGTGACGAACTGACTCTCGAAGGTCTCAAGCAGTACTTCATCGCCGTCGAGAAGGAGGACTGGAAATTCGACACCCTATGCGATCTCTACGACACCCTCACCATCACGCAAGCCGTCATCTTCTGCAACACCCGACGCAAGGTCGACTGGCTCACCGACAAGATGCGAGAGGCAAACTTTACAGTCAGCAGCATGCACGGCGACATGCCTCAGAAGGAACGTGACAGCATCATGCAGGATTTCCGACAGGGTAACAGCCGTGTTCTCATCTCGACTGATGTGTGGGCTCGTGGTATCGATGTTCAGCAGGTCAGTTTAGTTATCAACTACGACCTTCCCAGCAACCGTGAGAACTACATCCACCGCATCGGTCGAAGTGGTCGGTTTGGTCGCAAGGGTGTTGCTATCAACTTTGTTACTACCGAAGATGTGCGCATCCTGAGAGACATTGAGTGTAAGTTCTGTCGCTCCTGGTCATGAATGAAGCTGACTTTTAAGTGTACTACTCTACCCAGATCGACGAGATGCCCATGAACGTTGCCGACCTTATTGCATAAGCAGAGCGTCAGTAACTCCGTGACAAATGCATTCAATCAGGAAGAAAGAACCCGCGTCGAATACGTGGTGAAGAGCGTGGAGGAAGGGGGCCGTGTACTATGCTTAGTAGGTTGCCGATCTCACATATCCTCTGAACACAACTAACTCAACCAGATTCAAAGTGCAGCAGAGAATCAGATTGTCAAAATGAAAAGAAAGAAGGGGGCATCAAAAGGACCCTGAACTTTTGGGACATGCAGTCAAACAAAAGAATTCCAAAAATTAAAACAGAACAAATGATCCCGTCTTATCAGTCTTGTCGCCCGAAGTTTCCTAATTCGTATAAGCACCATCTTTGACGTGTGTGGGCCGAGATGATGATCCTGGTCAATGCCGAAGCCCAATTTTAACGTCCATGCTTTTTGTGTTATCCCGATCAAGACGATGAAGTTGTTTCTTTTACGTGATGGATTGCTTTTTGGTGATCATCGTGAGATCTTCCCCACGGGGTAAAGAGATTGCAACATCGAGTTTCATTGTGCTGGTTGTCTCTTGAGGTTGATATACAGCACAGTACGCTGGCTTGACGTTCATTTTAGCTACAGTATGTATAAGCCCTGTGGACTCGACTGTACCAAGCTGCACTCAGCCTCAACTATGCTGTTCTTCGGCCAACTCAGGCTTCAGAGAAGCACATACTAAGGCACCAACATTTCTGGTCAAAAACATTTCCTAATCCTTACATAAATTGACACTGCGTTACAAATGCCAATGATTCTCGGGCCGGAAATACGAACTTCTGCATAGCTTCTCCAACACATGTCACTGGATCTTGTGGTACCAGGCCTACTCATACTTGCTTGAACCCTCCCACCAAAGCTCCTCTTCCGTCTTGCGAGGCGGAAGAATATTCTCAGGTAGAATGATCAGAAATGGCGTATTTTCTTCATCCCTACCCCATCTCCACTCCCTCTCAGCATTCTTCGCATCGATCCATGCCTGCGCCGCTGCATTATCGTACTCTAGATAGACCTCGTCGAATTTGGCTTGGGCTTTACCGAATGCATGGTAGGCTCTAGTGAATGCAGGGCTCTATTGGTAGGGGGGTCAGTGGTAGCTCAGCATGGTTTGTGATAGTATCTTACTCTTCTTACGAGCCATTCGATGAAGGGTGTACCGGGGTCAGCTTCGTTGTACTTTTGCTTGGCTTCGTTTTTGGCTTGTTGTGCAGCTTTGGCTGTGTCAAGCCAGTTCTTTCGCGCTTCTTCGTACTGTTCTTGTCCAACTACTGTGTTTGCGTCTTGGTGATTCTGACTGTCAGCCATGGTGTTTAATAAGGTGTGAAGAGTAGATCAATAGATGTAATCATTGGCAAATGCTGAGAAGCTCAACTCTGGGGTAACGAATACAGCGTCATCTTATAGACAGAGCTCTTCGAGTAAAGTTCAATAGACCTTCTTTCTACAACTGTTTCTCAATAGTTTACATCGCATACAGTTAGATGAAAGCTTCTATTCTCAACCGTTTCCTAGAAATGGGAATTTACACAAGCCATTCTGAAGGGATCAGAAAATATGAAGCTGAGACAAGTAGTCAGTCGTTATATTCTGCAGCTGACAACCCCTACCTTTTTTGTCCCCCATTACTCTCTTAGGAATGTTAAAGCGATAGCTAACCTCTTCGTAAATTAACAACCAATAACAACCCCCAATGGCTGGTTCTAGATCCAAATGTCTACAACTTCCATCCCCCGCAACCCTTATCAGCTCCCTCCAGAACCCATGAGGTAACTCGACCGTTAGATAAGGTAACAACCGGCCGAGTCACCGATCTATTCTCTAGTTGGAAACCCACCCGGAAACCTACCAAATCGCCTGCGCTAAACTGAAAAGGGTGTATACTTTGCACGTCGTTTTGATGCGGAGGTTTACTAGCGCACGGGCTGGTGTAACACTGGATTCTGGGGTAAAAGATAAGTGATGGATATATAAGACAGATGATATCCCATAGTAGATCACTCAATTATCGACATTAGAGAGTTCAATATCATATTTGATATACATCTTGATATAATTTCTTGTTTTGGTTCATTGCCAGAGAATGATCACACCCTTCTACTACACTCATCCGACCATCGACTCAAGCTCTGGCGTACCATGGAGAAAACAACACAAATGAACCAAGCAGAACGCGATGCCCTCGACCTCGCAGCCCTCGGGCACGAGCAGGCCCTCACCCGCAAATTCAGCACCCTAAGCATGCTATCCCTCGCCTTCTGCATTCTCGGAACATGGGCTGTCTGCGCACAATCTCTCGCAACAGGCATCCAGAACGGCGGACCAGTAACTTGTCTCTGGGGTCTTGTCCTCGTCACACTCTGCAACGTCTGCATCGCCATGTCACTTGGGGAAATGTGCTCTAGTATGCCGTCTGCGCTTGGACAAGCGCTCTGGGTGGGAAAGCTTTGGAAGACTTCGATGGGGAGGTTTGCGAGTTATTTGACGGCGTTTATAAGTGTTGTTGGATGGTGGTGTCTTTCTGCGTCGCAGATTGCGTTTATGGCGGAGTTTGTGTTGTCGATGAAATTGATGTTTGACCCGGAGTGGACGGGGATGAATAATGGGTGGGTTATGTTTCTGGTCTACACTGGGATCAACATCTTGTTTACGTTTGTAAACTACGTCGGCTGCCGTTCAGAAAAGTTCCTCCCTTGGTTCAACAACTTTGTCGCCGTTGGCTTCGTCGGGCTCTTCATCGCCTTCTGTCTCGTCCTTCCTATCCTCGTTGGAACGAATTCAGGTCTTGAGTATCAGTCTCCGAAATTCGTCTTTGGAACTTGGATCAATGAAACGGGCTGGGCTGATGGCGTTGTTTGGTTCCTTGGACTCGTTCAGTCTGCGTATGCTCTCACTGCTTACGATTCTGTCCTTCATATGGTTGAAGAAATACCCGCGCCTCGGCGAAATGCCCCGAGAACAATGGTCATGGCTATTGTTATGGGCGCCATTTCAGGCTTCATCTTCTTGGTTGCTTGCCTGTTTTGCATTCAAGACCTTGCTACGACTTTGGATGCACCCTCCGGATTTCCTTTCATCGAGGTTGTCCAGAATGTCGTTGGTCTCAAAGGAGGTGCGGTGTTAATCGCTCTCTTCACCTTTAACGGATTTGGTCAGGGTGTGTCAATTTTGACTTCAGCTTCGAGACTGACATGGAGTTTTGCTCGTGATCGAGGTCTTCCATATGGAGATTACTTCGCCTATGTTGACCCCTATTGGCAAGTCCCTGCACGCTCTCTGATCCTCCAAGGAGCTTTCATCAACATCCTTGGATTCTTATACTTCTTCTCAAGCACTACCCTGTCAGCCATCTTGAGCGTTAGCACCATTGCATTGACAATCTCATACGCGATCCCTATCGCTGTCTTGATGGCTGTTGGTCGAGATAAGTTACCTTCAGGAGGAGAGTTTGGTCTGGGAAGGTTTGGACCAGCACTCAACATTATTTCTATCATCTACACTGTCATTACGACTGTATTCTTCTTTTTCCCTGGATCGCCAAACCCAGCCGTTGGAGATATGAACTTTGCTATTGTTGTATTTGGAGTCATGTTGGTCATTGGACTTGGATTCTGGGTCATCAAAGGCAGAAAGTGCTTCTTGAAGATTGAAGATTTGTCCGACGATGTTCTCTATGGCCAGGGATATGATGAACAGCCAAATGTAGATGAGTTCTCAGAGAAGAGATAACTCGCAGGTAGTTAGTTTAGATGGAATAAACCATGCAGTAGGCATGAAACGTTTTCGAGCTATAGCTCTTTGATTTGGCGTTATGAACCTATTGCTATGTGTCCTCATTTCAATTCAAAAGAATTCCTTCATCTCCAGGTCCCTTAGCGTCTTCCCTCTCGCAATCGCTGCCCTTTCAGCTTTTTCATCTGCCTCATCATATTCCTCGCATATTGCCTCCATCAAATAATCCCACTGACCATCTGAAACATAAAACTGCAGTCCTCTATACCAGTCAACAAGATCCTGCCGGAAACCGGCCTCATTCCTCTTAATAAGTATATCGAGAAGTTCTGCCGTGGCCCCTGAGTCTCTATCTTCTATTGCTTCTTGAACATCCCCGAGAGTGGACAAATGACGCTCCAAATCGCGTATCAACAAGTCGAAATAGAGTTTGATAAAGTCCTTTTGTTGATTCTGAGTTGGAATGGTAGAGGTAGGGAAGCAATACCTATCAAAAATCCACCTTAAGCTGCCCAGAGGAGTGCTGCTCTGGGAGAGCTCTCGAAGCTGTGGGTCGATATCCCCAAGGTCTTGCTCTGCAAGGTAATGGACAACACCGAAGTTTTCAGAGATAGCTGCTAAATGAAGTATGCAATGCCGATTCGAATCGATGGCAGTGAGCGACGCGCCTGCCCCAACAAGAGCCCTCAGGACGGGGACATTGCCTTTTTTACATGCCCACAAGACTGGTGTAGCACCTTTGTGATCTTTCGATTCGATATCTGCCCCACGATCTTGCAGAAGCTCGATTATCTTGCCGGTTTCTTGCTGATAATCTTGATTTCCCCATGCAAGGCGGTGCATCGGAGCTTGACCATAATGATCGAGCTTTGATGCGGGCGCTCCAGCCTCAAGTAACAGTCTGACACAGGCTGGGGATCTTGACTCGACAGCTAAATGCAGCGCAGTCTGGCCTTGGACATCTTTTTGCCCAATAAGCCTCCGGCACTCGCTATACCCCAAGAGCTTCTGTACCATTGTGTCGTTCCCGTTGTTGGCGGCTGTCATGAGGGGGGTAAAGCCCAAAGGACTTTGCCAATTGACGTTAGCCTTGGCCGCGATCAGTTGCTCCAGTCCCTCAAAATTGTTATACATAACTGCACAGTGGATTGGAGTCTCTCCATATTCGTTTGGTTCGTCAATAGCCCAAGGTTGCTCCCGTAATGCGTCCAACACTCCACCTTCTGCTGCCGCTATGTGAACTTTAGTCATGCTCACGTCTTCCCAATCTTGCACAAAAGACAATGCTTTGTTCACTGCTGTATTCACTGCACTCCAACTCTCTATAGTTTCATATAGTTTAAGTCGGTATCCAATGTTTCTATACAGCGTCAGTGGTTGCCATTATATGCCTATTATGACGGGACGAACCTGGATAGCCCCTGACTTGGTAATATATTTTCCCATAACTTGAGAAGAATTTCTACACAGTCAGAACTCTTGTGATGAAGTGCTATCTAGAACTCTCATCAACTGGCTTATCACGCTATCGTACGCCTGCTTTACTTACAATTAACAGAGGCCAGGTACCTCCAACTGTGTCATCTGGAAAGTATACAAACCCCTCTCTAATACGGGTTTCTAGTAAGAATGGGTTCGCCATTGTCAACCATAAGTCGTTGTAAAATTCAAAGTCCCTTGATAGACGTAAGGAGAGGGTAATATTTGGTCTTCGCGATGCCTGAGATGAAAGGAATCCTGCCCATAGCCAGTTTGGAAGCCGAAATTCATACTCAATGCTCGACTTGCACCCGCATCTGCGTTGGCAATTGTTGTCTGTATTATCATATCGAACGAGCCATGAAGAGAAGAGAGAGACTGCCCATGTACCAGTGTGATCTCGTCGTCCTCGATGACATCGACACATACATCTCGAGTTGCATGAGCGTGTGCGGAGGGGTTGGATGGTTGTCACACTGACAAAGCCCTCCTCTTTGATATCGGTAACGCCATGATCGGCAGTGCTTGTCAAGGACACATCCGAGTCCTCAGTAACTCTGTTCTCTTCCGTTACTGGTAGGTCCGGCTTGCTGTAAATCGTTTTGCCTTGTGCCCCAGGTTGTAGACTTGTGGTTGAACTTTCTGGCATGAGATGGGGTCCTTGGAGTAGCTTGGGTAAGATTTGAGAGATATTGTGAGTCTCTTGCGTATAGTAAGCCAACTGTTGGGTCACGCGGTGAAAGAGCCTTCAAATGTGTCAGTTTATACAACAGACAACACCATAAGAACTCACACTTCTTGTCGCACATTTCCTCGGTCTACCATGGAAGAAACTCGAAATGTAATTGCCATGTGTAGATTGGACTTTGTAGCCTGAGCCCTTTCACGAAGCTCTTCGATCTTGCTTGCATCTGATAACCATTTCACCTTATCTGTGTATCTCTTCGGGTCGTGGGCTTTTCGAGAGCGCGAGTATTTCTCTACAACCTCGTTAAGCTCATCCAATATACCCTCGAGCTCTTGTATTGTCAAGGAGACTAGTGGGTGTTCTGCGGATCCGAGGAGTCGTTGTGCTGGTATCATCGGGTCTGTCTGATCTCTTGCCTGCATGATGAAGCAGTCAATCATGAGTATCTGTCGTTTTTAGCACAAGTGATAACCACATTCAAACGGTCAACTCACTTCTTTGCTCAATTTATTACACTCCTTCTTCATCTCAGAGTTTTGTCGTAGAAAGTCGACAGCCTTGAGTGTCCCTTTGACCGCTTGTGCCAGAGCGATAGAGCTCGCAATGGCCCCAAGAATCTCGAGACCTGACATCTCGGAGATTACATTTAAAGATCGGTTGCCGAAATGTGATTACTACGTAGATGATGCGTGCTATTCCGGCCTGAAATGATTGAGATATGAATGGCGGAAGAAAAGAGAAGTTGGACGGCATTGCTCAGATAGACAGCCTGATGAGGCTGTGCTGATGTGCCTTGTTATTTGGAAAGCGCCACCCAAGTAACGAATTGGGGCTGAAAGCTGCAAGGTAAGTATGCAGGTGATGAGTCGCAAATGCCACCTTGTTCATCTCGTTGATCGTGACGTTCCGGTCTATTGAGCTACCTACCTACCTACCTAATGAAGAAGAAACAATAATACGGCCTCTATCAAGCTTCAATTTTATTAAGGTCCCTTCATCATCTATAATTCCACTAATATCATAGATGAATAACTTTTAGATAGGACGTGGCCAATACCATCTGCATGAACCAGGATTGTTGTAATTTATATCCAATTAGACCTGCAGCGAGCGTTCTGTTTATACATCACTCAAAAGCCTAACGAACTCAGCCTAACAAGTGGGCGGTAAAAGCACATATAGACAGCTTATCTATCACATTTAATGTCAGTAAATAAAGTGGTAAGACGACCGATTCTATCTCAATCTGAAACGGGATGCTGCTGATCCCAGTTGAAGCAATTCAGGACTTACCCGAGACATGAGCAAATTATAGCTAGGTATGGTTAGAGCAAGCCGCATAAGCAGGTCAGTGGGTGAGATTAAAAGAAGGGAAATAGCTGTTTAGATCTTTTGAGGTAATCTCGAGGTCCATAGCTAACTTTTAAATGCTTCAATGATATGTTGTTATAAGCTGAGGTTTCTGGTGGAGAGATCACTATCCCGTATCATCCTTGAACCAAGGGCAGGATGCCACTAGGAAGAGATGATTATTCATCTCTGGAACTATTCTCAAGGTCGTTATCTAAACTCGAAATAATATAATAGTTCATGATCGTAAGCTCAATGCTATTATGGTACTCTCGGGTGAAGATATCTCTAACCAAGGCTTTTCTTGACCGAGCGCGGGATAACTACAGAAAGACACAACTTTCTAAGTCATTCCAGTGCTGTGTGTGATCTTGATCAAGACTCATGTCAAGAAAGACATCTTCAGTTTCTATTTCTGGGTAGCTATAAAGTTACAGTTGGGCGTTCCCAGTGGAGCCTGAAGTTGATGTCCGCAGATTACAGTTATTTCCATGAGTGCCCTTCTCCCAATCACCCGGACCCTGTCCACTGGACATATCTTCAGGTGACATGACTTATACGCGCGGCAACACGTTTGATGATCCATGAGCTTAAACGCAACGTCAAACACGGTTCGTTGCAACAACTCGGCAGTTAACTGCAGTCACAATATCTTGCTATCCGCAACACACTGCCGACAGAGCAAAACGTTACACTCATCACTTGTGAACTCAATATGAATGCCACAACTGTGTGTTCATGCCTTGTAAATGTCGTGACGTTGTTATTATGCCATCTTAGCTGAACTAACTGTAAGGCATGAATAAGGCTGGAAAACCATTGGCACTTATCAGTGCACATTTATAGGTGGTTTCAGATATCTACGCCGCTCGAATTCATGTTCAGTTGAGTGTCCCTTGATGGCTACTTTGCGCTCAACGCTTGTGGCTGCTGATGAGACAAAGCTTAGCATTGATGCTCTTCAGGTACTCTGGCCCGAGTCCCAACAAGCTCGCTTTCTTTTGCCAACTTGGTCCTCGAGGCGCAAACACTAGACAACTTTAGAGACTTGCAATGTCTCTTATGATATCGTTGACGTAACAATCGTCCTCGATTCATGTTCATCCAGACTAAATCTCCTCAGTTTCAGCCCAACCTCACCCGGAAACAGACAAGCTTCGATCTATCTATCACCAGCATGTCATTCCAAGTGCGTTTCAGACAGTAAATCGTCATCCCCAACCGAGTCAGCTACCGTTTTTCTTTGCGCTCCTGTCGCAGACCGAAAAAAACCTCCGTTAGTCAGGACAAAACCCGTATTCTGAAACCCAAGCGAGAAAGTTTAAATGACGAGAACAGTCTAGGTTACCGGCTCTCTGGTCAACGAAGCGAAGGGGATCTTCGGAGGGAAGGTCTGTTTCTGGCCATGGCTGAAACGGTCCGGGATTGCCCCTGGTGAGTTCTTCTCGAAGAAAGTCGTTGGGCCTAGGGATGGGAAGTGGGATGGGTGTGTGTTGGATGATATTCGGATATGGTTCGTTTTGGGGGACTTCTGCGGCGTGAAAGAGTCCCCAGAGTGTGGTAAAACGTGGTAATGACAGGGGATTTACTGCTGCCTCGTGAACCCTGAAATGGATGTATTTTTTCACCTCTCACTGTCTTCTCTATCATCTCGATAAGTTCTTGTCTCAGCCAACCTTCACATGTCCTCAACTCGGGCACAAAGAGGTACCCATGGTCCTGGCCGTCGGATAAGAATCAGGTCATCACACCGTGAACTGGAGATCAAAGCGCAAGAGTCATGCAAGACAAAAACCGTCTAGAGTCCGGGGCACGGCACAGACACGGATTTGTATCTAGGACAAGCCTAGCTGAACCTAATACAGAAAGCCCGACGCCACGCACATGTAAAGGCTGAATGAGAGTTTACCAACTGGGGAGTAAAGAGGAAAGGTTGCCATGTGGGATAGAAAAAGGGCGTTGTTAACGAGAACTGAAATGAAATGACGGAACCGAGGGAGCGTTCGGGGAAGATTCCCGGTGGCAGGGGGCTTTTATTGGGGAGACATGGGATTTATGAAAGCTGGTAAATGAGCAGTGATGAAAAACAAGGCAAAATGCTACAGAGATAGCACTCTCGAGTCTGTATCCGTAGTTTGGAGATGGACCAATATCGGCCAAGTTCAACAAGACCCTGTGCCACCCGTTCGTCCGAATTGAGGTAATCGTAAAATGGTGCGGAATGGATATGCAAGATTGAGTGCATCACCAAGACCAATTCATTAGCTTGTATATCCTAATCGCTAAAAGATCTCCTGAAGCTAGGTTAACTCGACGTTGAGAGTTTCTCGGGTCGTTAATAATGTCCGTCGACTGGAATGTTGAAGGCGGCACTTTTTTCTATGAGCCATCATATTCGTGAGCCCTTCTCCCGAGCTTCCATTCGAAAATTCCATCCCCCCTAATCTTGCTGCAACCTTGGCTTGTTCTCTAGACTGTGGTTGACTGGTTCCGCTTCGTTTAGCCAGGAACAACGACTGGGATCAAAACGAGTCGGAATAACCCCCCGGTGAAGCCCCCAATTTGGTTTGGGTCCGCCGGGGGAAGACGATCCGGCCCGATGATATCAAGGGTCAGAGCCATTCTTGGTACCAAGCTTCTGTGTTTTTTGTTGTCATTGTTGTAAGGAAAGGTTCTTTTGCTTATCGGGTCGAAGTTGTGGATACTCGTCGATTAGATCGTCGATGATGTGAGACTTTGGGGAGAAGAGTTAACAAGCTGTGAGGAAGCAGTTCTGTTCATTATTCATGCTTAAACTCTGATATTGTTTAAATAAAGTTGTGCTGTGGAAAGTAACGTCACTAACAGACATCATGCTCGTGCGTGCGGGTGAGGCGCGGATTGACGATGCACAACATTAAAAGACGTGCTCGCACAGACTCTTAATAGCCCACGCTATTATCAACAGGCGACCAATAGACACAAGAATCCATTTCATGGGGGAGAGTCAGCAGAAGCTTGATGGAAAGAAGAAGCCGTTATGAGCATCCAATTCCAATCCCAAGTAGCCTTAGGTTTGCCCCTGACTTGTGGCTCACTAGTTCCGGGTGATTTACCAGTGTAAATTGTCTCTCCCTTGTCAAGCGTTGCAAGACTAGCCCCGGTGTTCCTTTTGGGGCCAAAGAGGGCAGGCCGACCGCAAGCTATTGGGAAAATGCCCACCACCCGCGGTTGTCACTGGGCCATGGTCAATGCTTTGGTAGATCAGCGAACAGGACAATCTGCACAAAGATCCTGGCTTGCATCTGGAAGACGGGATCGACAAGAGCTAGTGGATCATTGAGAAGGTGTTGATGGTTACTCGAGTCAGCGCAAGTAAAAGTGTGAGTAATGAACGGAGAATAAGAGACAGGGCGAAGGGGGACAAGAAATACATGCGTAGTAAATGTGCTGTTCCTGAATATTTGGACAGGGATCATGCATCGGGGAAGAACAAGGGTTCAATGTGACAGTGTGATTGTGCCTGGGAGACTTGCATAGAAAATCGCAGGGCTTGACAGTAGAGAGTGACTTTATGTGGGTGGGATTGAGGCTGACTCGGAAATCTAGCAAGATTAGCATACCTAAATAGGATGTTGTGAAAGGTCATAAATTGCTCAATTGATCGAGCCATTATCACTGAACCTTCAGAGTTGACTTATTCTGCATCAGAGAATGTTATATCACAATCACATTGCATACGTCTCATTTGGTTCTTGTTCTTGTTTACAGGCTCAATAGTTCTCCGGGCCGTGTTTGTCTCTGATGCCACGTGCGGTTCCGTCCCTTGCCATGTGCTGTAAGATTGAAGTGGGGGAACGAAAGAGGATGAATATCCGTAGAATGAGCAGAATATGTTATGAATGAATCAATTGATTGATGAAAGCAAGCTTGATATCTTGTTTGCTTCATGTCTCATCTGAGTAACAGAAGTCATGGCTGGTTGGGTAACGTAGTTCCTTCCTCAACACCTTTCGATTTTCAAGATCGAATCACCACTAAATTTGACAGGTTTGCTCTTTCTTTGCTTTTTCTCTTTCTTCTCCAACCTTTTCGAATCATTTAATTCTTGGCACACTCTTCTCATTCCACAGTTCCTTTTCGTCTGCCGCTTGTCAAGTCAGTCATTTCTTTTTCTCGAAAAAAAAAAAAGGAAAAAAAAAGCCACTGTCCTCTTTTCGCTTGATGTCCCGACCGATTGGCGTTGTTTATCGTAAAGTACCAGTACGCTTTAGCCTAGGATACGATACAGACCCGATACCGAATTGGTTGCCTGTCGTCAGTTGAGCCTTTCTTTTTTAGCTGCTTCTATCGGTTCATTGTGGAGTTGATCTCGCCTGAGTGCACGCGCGATTGTGGTGGACATTTGACATTCCAGAATGTCTCACTTGAACTGACTACAATTCGACTTTATCGTT